AAACGATAATTACTTTGTCATAAATAGCTTAAATTTATTTATTTTAATTGGTTGCTTTTCTAAATTAGTACTTAGCTAAATCAATTATCATTAGTTTAACCCAAGAGGGTTGAGTTGGGTGGAAAATGTTTTTGTTGCTTAAGCAAGTGGTCTCGAGTTTGAGTTTCTATATATATAAAAAAACTTTTTGGATATAAAGTTGTTCGTGTCTTGTTGACAAAATAGCTAGAGATTAATTTGAGTTTTTGAGCCTATGATACTTTAGAGATACTTTAGAGGATAAAAAAAATAAAAATAAAAAATTATCATTAGTTTTAAAAGCCTTAGGAGGACCAAGTCCATTGAGAAATTCAATTACTTACCTAATTTCTTTATTTGAAAAAACCCCTTTTTTTTTTTTTTTTTTTAAATATAGATACGACAACAAGAAAGAAAGAAATAAAGAAAAAAAAACCTTGAATGGTAGTTTCAACTTTCAATATACATTAAATATTGCTCAATTTTTGTGTATATAAGAAAGTGTCGAATTTCCTTTACATACATGTTCCTACCTTAACAAGCTAATTAAGAGTACATATTTAGAAGAAAAGAAACACAAAAAAGGACAGGGACGTTAATTGCTGGAGACGACAAAGAGATGTAAAGAGTGAGAATTAGTCATAGGATTTTCTGTCCATCGTTTTCATCAACTCTTTTGCGACGCAGTTAAAGCAGGTCCTCACCTTTTCTCTATTAAAATTGAGTAATATCTTTCTCTATGTTTTTTTTTCTTCTTCTGTCTTTCCATCTACTCATTTGTGCGGTAGTTGATCTTCTTTGTCCCTTTATATCATAGGAGTATAAAAATAAAAGAAAAAAATAATTAATGGTCGAATCATCTATACATGCTCATAAAATACTAAAAAAGATTGTTGAGATTGTATACGTTCTATTTGTAGTAGGTATGTATTCTTATTTAATTACTTTTATTGATGATTTCTTACTTTCAAATAATAGCACAGTTGTTTAATGTATTTTTAAATAAAGAAAAATATTCAAAGTTGATTTCTAAGGGTTTTGTTCTTATAGGGTTAAAAAAAAAAAACACTGTTTTCTTTTCAACATTCATAAGATTTTTTCTTCTATTTGTTTGGAGATACATAAGAAACGAGAAAGAAAATATAGAAACAAAATCAAAAGCATATAATAGTTTTATGTCTTAATAAAACATTAATGAATATTGTGTGAATTTTTGAATTATCAAAACATGTGTGATATATTTGATAGAATTTTAAATCTCAACCGCTATACTAAATTATAATAAAGGATGACGAAGAGTACTGTTTGTGGGCATATATATATATATATATATCCTCTTTTTGGTTATACTTATTCTCATCTTGTTGATCAATTCTCTCGTTAACTTAAAACTAATTAGATTATTGAGGCTTTTTGAGAAAAGTAAATTAAATTTTTTTTTCCATGGAAAAGAAATGGCAAACAATTATTATAACTGATATTTGAATTGGATTAACAATTTTTTTTTATTGATGAAAATGAAAGATAGATAGACTATTTTGCAACTTCGAATTGCGATAATGAAAGCTCTTTTGAAGAAGGAATTTTTAAAAAAATTTCTTTTTCCTATGAAAAATAATAGCAAACAATCTTTTTGACTATTTTTTTTAATTAGTATTGATTCTATTTTTACAATCAACAAATTTTTAATATATATGCTCTAGATTAAATAATTTATGTTGACAATTGGCTTGAATGGAAGGAGTTATAGTAGTTTAAATAAATAGTTTTGACTTCGAGTTTTTGTGTATGTAAAACTCTTTGAGTAGTTATTCCGTTATTGTACGTCCGACGGGATGACGAATTATTAGTTTGAACCTTTGAGGTTATGATACCTTAGAGAATAACAATAAAAAAAAATCACTGTTGTGCTAATTTATGGATAAAGTGAGCTTAAAATATATAACTCAACTTAATCATCATTCTAAATAACCTAGTTCCATTTATCTAGTGTGTTATTTAATTAAACCACAACAAAAACTTAAGATATTGGTAGTTAAGCTCTCCATAAATCAAATGGTGTATTAATTAATATGTTTGGCTTGAGGAAGAATGTTGTATTAAAAAAAGTTTAGTACAAATGATAGCTTTTTTGTTTTGTTTTGTTTTTTTTGTGGGTTTAATTTACTTTTAAAGAAACCATTTCTTGATTTTCAATAACCCTCATTATTTTCACTCTAAAAGAAAAAAGAACACCATTTTTTTTTGCTTTTTTTTTTTAAAAAAGACCATTATTATTATTATTATTTTCCTTTGAAGAATTCAATTCATATGATGACTATACACTTCGGAGACACACACAGGAAAAATGCCGAGTACAAAGGTATGGGTTCAAAATTTCAGGCCAGAATGCTCCTAGTATTAATTAATGAAAAAGTGAAATGAAGCAAGCTTAGGAATATATAAGTAGCAAATAAATTTTGTAGTGAGCAATTTCTTTATTGAATTATTGCATTTAAGATCTAAATCACAAAACACGATTTATATTCGACAAGAGTTTCTAAAATAAGTAATAATAATCTCTTAATTTCTCTATTAAATCATTGCATTTAAGATTCAAATCACAAAATATGAATTATATTCGACAAGAGTCTCTCTAAAATAAGTAATAACAATCTCTTTCTCTTTCAAAGGATCCAAAAAAAAAAAAAAAAAAAAACTCTTCAACAGCACAACAAGTTAAGGGTTTGTGCTATTGTTACAATATCAAGTGAAAAGTATTTTGTTTATTGGCATACCACGGTTAGGTTTAATTAAACTTCAAAATCTTTTGAGTGATTTTAAAATGCATAGAAGGTGCTTTTTTTTTTTTTTTTACCATGTCTATTCACATATCAACTAAATATGATTTAAATCCTCTTGAGCAATACATACATACAAGCATGAACGAAGAAGAGATATTCTCTTGTGATGATGATAATTAACCTAATTAAGAGTCAATGTTATTGAATTATTGTATGAATTTTCTATGGTTAATTTCTATGGATGCAGAGTGTTCATTTTGGCCTTGTTTGATTACCACAACAAAATCCAATGAAGCTCGGCTCATTGACAGCATCACGGCCTGCTTTCATCTTCATCATTCTAGTACTAAACCTTTTAATTATAATAAAACTACTTACATGCATAATTCTTTAACACTTTGTTTGATTTTCAACTTAATTACTGCCTCAAAAATAATGATGAAGATATTTATTTTTCTCGGTGATAATCACCTATTCTTAAGTGGGATTTTCATCTAATATTTTTTTTTTAATTTCTTCAATAATTATCTAGTCCTCAGTATTCTCACTTTCATTAATAATATCGAGGATAAGATCTGTTTAATTTGTAAAAATCTAAGTTAAGCTTTTTAAATTGGCTCACTTCTGTTAAGCATCACAATGGTTTTGAGTTTCATTGTTACCATCACTGAATAGAGGCATAAATTAGCGAAGCGTATAATACAAATCTATGATTTCTAGGAGGCATACCCGAGTACCCAACAGATTTTGAAAAAAAAAATATTTCTGCCTCCCACTCTCAAAACATGACTAGTGGCAAATATATTGCAGAATGAAAACGCAAAAGAAATTTAGGAATGGATAAATTATTCATAGGTGTTTGACAAATAAAACTTTAAGAAACGCATTCCATATCCAGAAACAAATATCATTATAAATATGAATTCTTTCAATTCCCAAACATTCAGTTTGAATTCACATAATGAAACCGCTTGTCCTAAGCGTTTAAACTAAAATTGTATTGCAAATTCGGCATTTGTCTCGTGGTACCAAACAGCAGAAGTTGTCATCACATATGGTTACAGAAGCAATAATTAAGGTCAACTACTAAGAAATGTCGAGAAATTCATTCAGCATAACTACCTATTCTTAATACTTGAATATTTTGCTCGGGATAATGAGGAACATATGAAAGAACCATACCTTCCATATTTGAGCAAAGAACAAAGGAGATATCAAGTAAGTTTTGATTTCTTCAATTTAACTTGAGGCTTCTCGAGGGCTTCATCAGCATCTTCTGAAGAGCTCTCAGCTAGTTCATCAGGAACATCATTAGGAACGTTATGTTTGGTGATGAATTCCTTCAAAATGCTCATGCTTTCCTCTTTCATGGAAACCAATTGCTCAGAGACAGTATTACCCTTGCATGAATTGACAGCATACGTTTCCGACCCAAGTTTAAACGTTGCTTTAACACGAAGCCCTTGATTAATGGTGTCACTAGCTTGTCCTGCCATTGTCTACTTTGCAAACTCTGCATTTTAACCACTTGGTTCAACATTAGATTTTTATCAACAGTAATTTATATATAAATGTAACAACCCTACACTTCCTTTTGAGTTTCTGCAGCAACTTGAATTAAGAAAAGCCTGTAGTATAATTCATCTTAGCAATAATATTTAAACAGAGAAATCAGAGTCCAAAAAAGACAATGAGCACCATATAATCTGATTTAAGCCTTCAAAAAATGGATCATTAAGCATTTCAATCATGCATTGAAAAAAAGAAAAAGAAAAAGGATAATGATAATATTTTTTGACATTGAAAAAAATACCAGATTCGGCATCATACAGAACCACGAGGTCATCAATCTGTATTACATGTTTTAAAAAATTACCCATAGCTATACAATTTAATACATATAAAGTTATACCAAGATAAAAATTCAGACAAAAAGAGGGGAAAAATTAATTAGCTGAAGTAGTAGTACAAATACTGGAAGGAAGCTAAGGAGTTGAAGAACTCTATATCGGAGCTTAAACTCGAAGAAAAATCAGAGTTAAAGCCCTGCTACTTGGCATTAAACACAAATCAAAACCTTGAAATCCAAGCATAATAATTAGTAGTGGCAGCAGGAGGAGGAACTACTGACCTTGAACTTGACCTAGACCTGGTTAGTTAGCACAAGCGACGAGGAGGGGACGGTAAAGGAGGCGGCAGATGAGATTACCAAAAGGGAGACCAGGCTGGACTGGAAGAGGGTTTTCCCAAAGATAATTATAATTACAATTTTGCCCCTAGCATCCTTAAAAATTTTAAAATTTCCCCTGACTCTTATTGTAATCTTGACCATTGATTTTACGCCTTCCTTTCCTTGTTTTACAAGTTCGTAGTTACCCTGCACTTCTGCAGTGCACTCTCTTCGATTCACCAACGGTTTGGTTATCTTCTCCCTCCATTTCTTCAACTATCTGTGTCTCCAAAAGCGGCGTCGTTCTTTATTTATTTCGGTACCCCTCTACTTCTTCCTCAACTGCCTCACACCGTTCATTGATTTGGCACTATTTCTTCTTTTTTAGCTCACATAATATAATATAGCAAAATTATTGCCATATTTCCTATTGCTTCGAATTCGATAATGCAATTTGCAAGTTTGATTGTTGAGATTGATATAATGGACTAATATTCAATCAGATGCTGCTAAATATATATTTTTTTCCTTATTCTGATTTGATAAATTTTGAGAAAGTTGTCGCATCTGTATATATGAATTTTCAACTGTCGATATTCATTTAACATTGATCGGAGCTTCTATCCTTCTTACTTTGTTCTAGCAATATTTCTGCTAAAATTCTAGTGTTGTTGAAGCCCCCAAAAAAAGCATGCTGCCTTTTCAAGGCCCTACCTAAGTCTGCTGGAACTGGCCTATCCATTAAAGTTCTGTTTTTATGTTGCTAAGACTCATTTACAACACCTGTTCTTGGTTCACACTTTCAGGTAATTGGTAATTACAAAATGATACGGCGCTGCTTACACTCCGATTGGAATTCAAGTTTCAATGGCCAACTCTACTCCAGCACAAAGCTAATCCCCCTCAATCAGAGACAAGGAGGAGAAGGACAACAATATAGCAGAGAGCAAGTGTGCCTCCCGGGTGGTAGCTCACTGCCCTTCTCCCATCCGTGTTGTTCTTCTCATGATCATAGTGTCAGTCATACTCACTGTCAAAATCCATTTCTTTGGTCATACTCCTCTGCACCAGGAATAATTTAACAAGAAAAATTCTCACTAATCCTAAACTTAACAACTAGTAATAAATCCGAAACCTCTCTACTGCCCAATTTTACTTTACAAGGAAAAGTTGCAGAGCTAAGTATTAGGAGGTTTTCTAGCTCCAGCAATGATGATGCAGATTCCGATACTGAAAATGAGGAGAATGACGAGAGTGAGAACTGTGAAAGCGACAACAAAGGTTCAAGTGTCAAGTCAACTGCAGATCCTGCAGAAGTTCATAACGTATGCAAGGTGATTGATGAATTGTTTGCATTGGAGCACAACATGGAGGCAGTTCTTGATGAATGTGGGATCAATTTATCACATGACCTGGTCATTAAGGTGTTGGAAAGATTCCGTCATGCTAGAAAACCAGCTTTTCGATTCTTCTGTTGCGCAGCGGAGAAGCCAGGTTTTGACCATGATTCAAGGACTTACCATTCGATGATGAGTATACTTGCTAAGACTAGACAGTTTGAGACTATGATGTCAATGCTTGAAGAAATGGGTGAAAAAAGGCTTTTGACGTTGGACACATTTTCCATTGCAATGAGAGCTTTTGCTGTTGCAAAGGAGAGGAAAAAGGCTGTTGGTATATTTGAGTTAACGAAGAAGCACAAATATAAAATGGGTGTTGATACCATTAATTCTCTGCTTGATAGTCTTGGGAGGGCCAAGCTTGGAAAAGAAGCTCAGGTTGGAAGGTAGGTTTACGCCAAATTTGAGAACATATACCGTATTGCTTAATGGATGGTGCAGGGTGAAGAATTTAATGGAGGCAGGGAGGATTTGGAATAAGATGCTTGATAAGGGGTTTAAGCCTGATATTGTCGCCCATAATACTATGCTTGAAGGGTTCTTAAAGAGTAAGAAGAGGTCTGATGCAATCAAGTTCGTTGAAGTCATGAAAGCCAAGGGCCCTTCACCTGATGTTCGGAGCTATAGAATTTTGATCCGAGATCTATGCAAGCAAACTAAGATGAAAGAGGCAGTTGAATACTTTTATGAGATGGTTGATTCTGGTTGCCATCCTGATGCTGCAGTTTACACCTGTTTGATGACAGGGGATGGTAATCAGAAGAGGATGGACATGGTTTATGAATTGTTGAAGGAGATGAAAGAAAAGGGCTCTCCACCTGATTGCAAAACTTACAATGCCCTTATCAAGTTGATGACCAGCCGGAGAATGCGAGATGATGCAGTGAGGGTATACAAGAAGATGATTCAAAATGGAATTGAACCTTCAATCCATTCTTACAATATGATTATGAAATCTTACTTTCAAATAAGAAACTATGAAATGGGTCATGCAGTTTGGGATGAGATGAGTAAAAAAGGCTTTTGTCCCGATGATAACTCCAATACTGTTTTCATCGGAGGGCTTATAAGTCAGGGTAGATCTGAAGAGGCATGCAAATATTTGAAGGACATGATAGAAAAGGGAATGAAAGCTCCTCAGCTGCACTACAACAATTTGCACCTGATTTCTCCCGAGCTGGGAAGCCTGATAAACTTGAGGAGTTAGCTCAAAAGATGAAGTTCTCTGGCAAACTTCGAAGTCTCTAATGTCTTTGCCAGGTGGGCTGAGATGATGAAGAAGAGAGTTAAGAGAAGAGATCCTGGTAATAGAAAGTGTACTCAACTTGCCCATGACTAGCGTTACTCTTTTTATGGATGATGGTTAGCGAATCTCAGTTCTTCCTGTTCTTGACTGATGAGTACTTGTTGGTGATTGCAATTCGTCAAGCCTTGGCTAGGCAATGGGAGATCCGTGCTGGTTTGTATTGTATATTTTTGTAGTCGTTAAGCCTCACATTTCTTGTTTTAAATATTTATTTTAGTTATTTTTTTATGAGATATATTACTCGTCTTTAATGCAGTATAAATTGGTCCAGTTTTTATTGGTACTAAACTTTCCTTCTCTATGATACCCTCTTACTGGAAAGGTTTCTCTATGATGTTTCTTCTATTAAGCATTACACCTCTTCTTTCATGTAACGAACAAAACAAAACCTTGAAATCCAAGCATAATAATTAGAAGTAGCAGGAGGAGGAGGAACTACTGACCTTGAATTTGACTTTGACCTGGCTAGAGGGGACAGTACAGGAGGGGGCAGATGAGATTACCAAAAGGCAGACCGAGCTGGCCTGGAAGAGGGCTTTCCCAAAGATAATTATAATTACAGTTTTGCTCCTAGCATCCTTAAAAATTTTAAAATTTCCCCTGACTCTTATTGTAATCTTGACCATTGATTTTACGCCTTGCTTTCCTTGTTTTACAGGTTGATAGTTACTCTGCACTTCTGCACTGCGCTCGCTTCGATTCACTAACGGTTTGGTTATCTTCTGAAGTGGAATAAAGCAAGCCTAGGAATATATAAGTAGCAAATAAATTTTGTAGTCAGTAATTTTTTAACCAAATTATTACATTTAAGATTCAAATCACAAAATATGATTTATATTCGGCAAGAGTCTCTAAAATAAGAAATAATAATCTCATAATTTCTCTATCAAATCATTGCATTTAAGATCAAAATCATAAAACACTATTTATATTCGGCAAGAGTCTCTAAAATAAGTAATAATAATCTCATAATTTTTCTATCAAATCATTACATTTAAGATCCAAATCACAAAACATGACTTATATTCGGCAAGAGTCTTTCTAAAATAGGTAATAACAATCTCTTTCTTTTTCAAAGAAGGAAAAAAAAAAACTCTCATCAGCACAACAATACCACTAGTTAAGGGCTTGTGCTACTGCTATAATATCAAGTAAAACATCTTTGGTTTATAGATATATCACCATTTTGTTTAATTAAAATCGAAAATCTTTTGAGTGATTTTAAAATGCATAGAAAGGTGCCTCTTTCTTTTCTTTTTCTCTTTTGCCTTAATTTTTTTTTACCATGTATATTCTTATGTCAACTAGATATGATTTAAATCCTCTCTTGAGCAATGCATACATACAAGCATGTACGTACGAAGAAGAGATATTCTCTCCTTATGATGATAATTAACCTAATTAAGAGGCAATATTATTGAATTATTGTATTGATTTTCTATGGTTAATTTCCATGGATGCAGAGAGTTCATTTTGGCCTTGTTTGATTACCACTACAAAATCCAATGAAGCTCAGCTCATTGATGGCGTCACGGCCTGCTTTCATCTTCATCATTCTGGTACTAAACCTTTTAATTATAATAAAACTACTTACATGCATAATTCTTTAGCACTTTGTTTGTTTGATTTTCAACTTAATTACTTTCTCGGTGATAATCACCTATTCTTAAGTGGGATTTTAATCTAATAATATTTTTTCAAAAAAAAATTCTTCAATAATTATCATGTTCTTTTTTTTCTTCCTCTACTGCAATCGAAATTGCACTCAATATTTCTACAAACTCAAATGCAGGCAATTGGAGTTTTGATACTCCCTTGTGTAGTGGTACCATGGTGGTATAATATAACCAAACATACAAAGAACAACATGGATTTGAAGGCCTATACGGTTCAATATGGATTGCTGTCTGAAATTGAGAACATAGCTAAATTATTGTACCCTATAAATTCATCTGCAATAAATTTGGCAAGAGTTACGAGTTCATCCATCAATGGAAGCAGACTCTCTTATTATGATGTCGAGAATAAGGTTCGTGTCCATCTATTCAATTCATATACTTAGGAAGTTACAAAGATTTGCAATAATAATATGCTACAAAGAGAGGAGCTAATATATTATTACGAGGCTTAAGTTAATTATTTTTTACTCCTTTCGTGTGCAGGTAGCTCCTTCACTGTTTCAAGCATTTTCGACAATTCCTTTCATATCACAGATTTCATATATTGGATTGGGAGGTCCTTTGTTTGCGTACTATTATGAAGGTAACCAAACATTTGCTATGTACTCTAACTCTACAGCCTCAAATGTGAGGAATTTTTCTTGTTATAGACAACCTGTAGATTCAAGCACGGGAAAAGTATATGGAGATGCAGTTGAATCCCTTCCTTTCATTGCCACCAATACAAGTTGGATTGAGCAAGCATTAAATAGTAGTCAAGGGTATGCATCATTTGGGAATGGATGGAACAGTGCTCAAGATCCTCTATTCCTCAGCTCAGTTAGTATACATGGACATGGAGTTTTCTCTTTAGGGTTTTCGGCTAAGGCATTAATTAGTTTCTTCAACAGTGTAGATCTTTATGGTGGGAGCTTGTACTTGGCTACTCAAACCGGCAAAGTTCTTGTAGGAGGACTACCTAACACTGAAACTGTGGTAAAGGGAAATTCAGTTTCTATGTACTTGACAAAACTAAATGGAGATCAAAGTGATCTTGTTGGACATGTTTCATGCATGCCGAACAATGGCAAGCTTAATAATTCACTGCTGAACATTGGGAAAGCAAAGTACAGAGTTTTCTGCTCTCAAGTTGAAATTGTGGGAGTGCCATCGGTATGTATCCTAATTCTTGAAAGTAGGCACCTTACTATAGTGAATCTTTAAAGAAGTTTTAAGTTATGAGTTGCTGTCTGTTGTGATCAATACTTTGGTGTGGTCTGCTTGTGTTTTCAATAGAAATCATAAAATGCTAGCCTAACTTATTTGGTAATCACTTAGAACTCATTCATTACAAGATTGGCTCATATATTAATTTGAATTTTGTTCATAATTGCTTTCTGAGGTCAACAATTTATGGGAATTTGGATTGCAGGTATGTGTATTGGCTTTCCCATACAACAGACTACTGAGCAGTGTTAACAGGAGCATCAAAATATCTCTCATTCTATTGATAATAATGATTGCTGCTGTTTTCATTGCTATTGTTAGTTTCGTATTGCTAGTGGTTAGGGCAGCAAGTAGAGAAATGCGCTTATGTTCAGCACTAATAAAGCAAATGGAAGCAACTCAACAAGCAGAAAGAAAGAGTATGAATAAGAGTCTTGCTTTTGCTAGTGCAAGCCATGACATTCGCGCAGCTCTAGCAGGCATTACTGGTTTGATAGAGATATGCTATGCAGAAGTGCGTGCAGGTTCGGAGTTAGATACAAATTTACGACAAATGGATGGTTGTACGAAGGACCTAGTAGGTGAGCTTATGGACTATTTATGTGCTTTAGCACTTAAGAATTAAATCTTTTTGTATAGAATCTTTTCTTTAACAATTTAAATTCCTTAACTGTACAGGTTTGTTGAATTCTATTCTTGATACTAGCAAAATTGAAGCCGGCAAAATGCAACTTGAAGAAGAGGAATTTGATTTAGCCAAGCTTCTTGAAGATGCAGTTGACTTGTATCATCCTGTAAGTATGAAAAAAGGTGTAGATGTGGTGCTGGACCCCTATGATGGTTCCATTCTCAAATATTCTCGAGTGAAAGGTGACAGGGGAAAACTGAAGCAAGTTCTGTGCAATCTACTTAGCAATGCTGTTAAGTTTACTTCAGAGGGGCATGTATCAGTTCGAGCATGGACTCAAAAACCCAGTTTAGAGAACAAGATAATTGCTTCCAATCAGAATGGTTTGTGCAGACGCTTTTCATGCCTTTTTTCCAAGAATAAAAAAGTATATAATGACTTGGAAGCCATTAATGCAATGAAGCAAAATCCAAACTCTATGGAATTCGTATTTGAGGTGGATGATACAGGTAAAGGAATTCCAAAAGAAAAGCAAAAATCAGTATTTGAGAATTTTGTTCAAGTCAAAGAAACAGCTCTTGGACAAGGAGGCACTGGCTTAGGGCTTGGCATTGTTCAATCTTTGGTACGTACTAGTTTTTTTTATTTTATTTTATTTTATTTTTTTAATTTTTTTTTTAAGGGTAAATTAACTAACTAAATTAAGCTTATACAAATCCTTGAAACCTTTTCCTTGTTTCTACTTTTCATTTTATTCCTTTGATGAACCTTTGTTAAATAATTCTGCACCAGGTGCGTCTGATGGGAGGAGAAATAGGAATCATGGATAAAGAGAATGGTGAGAAGGGAACTTGCTTCAAGTTCAATGTTTTCCTTCATATATGCGAGACATCTTCAACTGATAACACAAAAGCTGAAGTTGAGATTGAAGAGGATTTCATACATCACTATTCGGAGCTGACTATTCGAACTCCTTCTCCAGGGCTAATGATTCGCACCCCTAGTCCTAGGTTGGCCATACTTGGTTCTAGTCCCAAGATTGAAGGATCCCAAGTTGTTCTCTTGATTCAAAATGAAGAGCGGCTAAGAAGTTCACAGAAATATATAGAGGGTTTGGGGATAAAAGTCTCAGCTGTGAAGCAATGGGAGCATCTTCATTCTACGCTAAAGAGAATAAAAGCCAGGCAGAGTGTTTCTCCTCACAGTTCTTCAGGAAAATCTGATTTGGGCTCAAGGAGTGACCATTATAACACTAGATTGAAGGATGTGCCATTAAGTTCCATGGACAGGATAGATCTAAAACCATCCACAAGCAGAAGTAGCAATAAAGGTGCACCACGCTTTGTATTACTTGTGATTGATGCTGGTGCTGGACCATTTGAGGAACTTTGTAGAGTCGTTGATGAATTTAAAAGAGACCTTCATAGCAGTTGTTCCAAGGTTGTTTGGCTGGATAGAACAACTTCACGAAGCATAAATTTGAGAAGCTTTGAACACGACTTGATCGATCCCAGGGATGACATTTTGTTGAAACCATTTCATGGTTCTCGCTTGTATCAAGTGATAGGACTTCTACCTGAATTCGGGGGTCATGGAGTTATTTCCAGATCAAATAAAGGAATCCAAGCCACAAATACTCTTCAAGATCCTGGTTCACATTCATCAACGCATTCACAAAGCACAAAGTTAAAGGTTCCGTCAACTTATGAAAACTCATTTCAACAAGTGGACTTACAAGCAGAAGCCAGCTCAAAAAATGGGAAATACAGGAAGAATTCTTTGTTAGATTATCCAGATCATTCTCATGTTAGATCCAAATCAAGACAGTCTCCAACCGAAACACCATCGGTTAGATCATCAGAGATCCAAGAAGTACAGGGTAATCTATGCAAAGACAAACCCTTAAGAGGGTTGAAATTCTTGGTTGCTGATGATAATGAAATATCCCGCAAAGTGACTAGGCATATTCTTAAAGGGCATGGTGCAACTGTTGAGGTTTGTGAAAATGGAGAGGAAGCTCTGCAACTAGTTTGCAGGGGTCTACACAACCAAAGGGAACATATCCACTCTATTGTGCTTCCTTATGACTACATATTAATGGACTGTGAGGTAAAAAAATATGACTTTCACTCCTTTCATGTTTTTATCTGTAGTTTTCATTAGAATCGTTGCTAAAAATGCCTACTTTTCTTATCTTTTATTTTCTTAAAACCAACAACAATTCAAGCGTCCAATATTAAACTGAAAACGAACTAGTAATAAGATGGTTGACAAGAAATTTTCTGCAAATCTCACACGATAAAACGGTATGCATTGTAGCTGTCTTACTTCCTCGTGTTTTCCCCCAACATTATATATCAATTTGCTTTTATTTGAGGATAAAGAGGGAGAACGCAGTGGAGGTAAATTTTGACAGCTAAATGATTTATGCATGTAGTATAGAGGTTGGAAGAGCATGGGGAAAAATGTTGCCTTTTAAACTTGGTGCATGCAAATAGTTTCTCTTAAGTTTATATATATTACATATTCTAATCTTTTGTATTCAACAGATGCCGAAAATGAATGGGTGTGAAGCAACAAGACAGATAAGAAAACAGGAGAAATTTTATGGAGTTCACATCCCTATCCTAGCATTCTCAGCAGATAACTCAGGTGGTGAAGGTAAGAAGATGATGGAGGCTGGAACAGATGGCCGAGTGAACAAAAAAATCAATATGGAACAGCTGGAGGAGACTATCAGAAACATTCACCTCAAAAGAATGCATCTTTAATTACTTCAGTGCATCTACATTATAATTTTATAGTGCTTCTATACATTAGATTAATGCATGCATGTAAATGAGTCCTTGCACCAGTTTATCCTTTTAGTAATGTTAATCTTACCGTTTATTTCAAAAGCAATCCAAAAAATCTCATGCATGAATATTGAGTGGATCTTATTAATCCAATTGCTGAAATTCAGGAAGAATCTTTACATAATTAAGATGAGCATTACTTTTATCCTTAAGAGAGTAGAAAGTGTCTGCAGACTATTGATCATGAATGCAAACCCTGTATATGTCCAATCATGGCGTATGATTTGTTAGTGTACTTTTCATGTTAAAAAAATGGATCACGGCAAATTTTAGCTCTCTAATTTGGAGTCTAAGCATAATTTAATTAGTAATCGCAATGCACCTTTAAAGATTCTCAAGTTTACATCTTCCAGCACCAAAAACTATCACGGCAGGTCTGATTAATTTTGTGGACAATAACTAACGTGGTGTTTGAAGGGAAATCCTAGTCTTGAAATCTTTTATTTGTCAATTGTTAGAACTTTCCCCAGGATCAATGTAGAATGAACTTCTCCTATTCTGGTAATGACTTTGCTTTGGAAGACTTCCTCTTAGAGACTTTCTGAACACCTTTCAATTTCTTACCTCCATTACTTCCAGATATTGAGCCATCACGCTCATCCATGTTTCTTTTCTTCAAACGCCTCTCAGAAGATGCCATTAGTTCAGCCTGAAAACCAATAACTTCAGTTTCTTGTATTTATAGAGAAACAAGAATAGATAGATATAGATAAAGCACTACTTACTTCAGTCTTGCGTTTTCTGCTTCTTCACCTGCGAATACCATCCTTTTTACTATGTTCAGCATCAGCGTCCTCTGTACTACAATCAGGATCACTGCGAGAGCTGCAACACAAACTACCCTGCTCCCCCTCACTGCTGCATTCCTCCGCAACATTATACTCAGAGTCAGTGTTGTCACTTATGACTTCATTTTCTGGTTCCCAGTAAGTGGCATCTATGAACTCTGGTAGCGGCTCAAACATTCTATCCAAATCTTCCAATAGAGGCATTTGATAATCCTGGCCAAAACCAATATCCGGACCAACAGCAAATTTGATAGATGAAGGACGCCACTCAACTCCTAGTGCACCAAGTCGACGTTGCTGGAACATGGTCTGACAAGGTTCTGGGTATGGAATCATACTTGGAGTTTCCAATAACGATAACATTAGGGGATTTGTTGTCTCAGAATAACATTTCAAACAATCACAATACGTGAAGGAGCCAAAAACATACTTGAGTCACACAGAGGATCTTCGATGTTCCTTCAATGTGGAGCGAGTTGTGTCTCCTGCACCAGAAACGATCTCATACTAGTAAGTTATTTAGCATTGAGAGGAGTCAAAAGAATAGAAAGATCTTTCCCTACAAGTCTGCCATTACAGCTGAAAAGAGTCAAAGACATCAGATACAAATAAGCTTAGCGCTTCAAATTGTCAAAGTCAACAAAATTAATTTTCCAATATTATTAATCTGTGCCAACATGATAAACTATCAGAAATAAATCCCCTAGACTGGGAAAAAAAGTCACTACTTCGATTTTGATGACTTAAAATCTTGCAGGTTGTTGGGTTGCACATACTAGGCGTTATCCACTTCCTGTAGCGTGCTTTTCCAATTGTCCAAAGTTAAAAATTCTTCACCAAGAAAGTAACGATCAGCAGAAACTAACCTGATCAAGAATGTTTCCTGCAACATCACGGATAAGGGGTCGATAATCCCCAAGGAAGAACTGCATGAGAAATATAATATAACCAAAACAACCATCCTAAGAAAACAGCAGAATGCTTATTTAACTAACAGGAAACGGAACTCCGGCTCACCCAGGGAAGCAGGAGATAGGTGAGAAGAACTGCACATTTAAGATTTTGTGTACCTGGTCATATTTGGCATACTTTTGAGACTCACCCTGGCCTGTGTTTAGCAAGTGTATTTGGCCAACATCATCAGAAAGCACAATTGATGTCCCATCCCTGTGACAAAAAGAAAACATCTCTAATCACCAATGAAAAAACCACAAACCAAAACACCATGTGCGATGAATTCTCAAGATTTGGCCAAAATTTATCTTTTTTTTTTCAAAAAGCCTACATGACAAGAATATCACAGCATTGCTTTATCTCATATCCACGGCAAATGCAACACCTGGAAGTACTGAATGATATAAAATTACCCAGCCCATAAGAACCACATGGGGGAATGAAGAACACAGTCCAAAGAGCATATCATTCAGACTAACGCTCATATGATACATCCCACTGTATAAATACTCAAATATAAATGGAAAGATCAAATGACATTCAACCAGACATATTTGAAATTCAATCACCTTCAAGAGTAATTTCCAAATAAGTGTGACAAGTGGTCAAGTTTAGGCATAGCCTAACAAGTCAAAACCCACTCACTTCCTCAAGTACTTATTACCATAATCTGAAACATATTAGCTGAAGGACAAAGTTGTCTAATTGAACAAAGAAAAGTAAAATTTGATTATAAAATATGTTATGGTTCACTTACGGAGAAAACTTCCCATCAACCAACTTGACACGGCCAATTTCATATATGTGAATTGGAATGCCCTCCCACATCTATCATATAACATGCAGAATTACATAAAAAAATAAACAATGGTGGAACAATATCATTGATTCAACAAGAGGAACTTGTAAAAACAGAGACTTACATCCCACCCTATCGTTCGACCATCATACCCAGCACTCATAGCTATCCGAGGGTTGAAAGGATGAACATCTAAAACGTAAGGCTGCCAAAAATTGAGTAACAAAGAAGTTAATTAACGACAATTAAGAAAATAAAATCTCAAATTAACAAAGATTCGTCATAAGAAACAAAATAAAATAACAACTGAACAATTGGATGCAGCAGAGAACATGTCCAGAATCCAGATCACCAAGCAAACTAAGATACTGTGAAGAATATGCAGAACAATTAAGTTTGTGCAAACACATATTCTGCAATCTGCATATACAAGGAACTATTGAGGGCCACAAGAAGAGGTAAAGACAAGATTTAAAAAGAGCATTAAAAACTATTCACATCCAAAATTCATAAAAGGTTGATTGTCTGTAGATATACATCCATAAGCATGGATCAGCCATTTCTCTACATTAACTGGACCAGGCAGATACACAACAAGCAAACGATAGGAACTTGGGATTTTTCAAGCCATACACCTCATCTTAAGATGGCTAAGCCAAGTCATCATACACAGAGTAAACACAAGCTCTGATTGATCTTATTTTTTAATTTTCACACTTTAAGAACCTAATCTAGAGATGCATGTCGCAAGAAACTTTAAAAACCATTTCCTCAAAGAAAGTGACGGTGGGAAGAACCTTTTCATCCAAACTAAAGCATAAAAGACAGTGTCGCAACAATTTATTTAACAGAATCAGGATTCTATAATATATGGAATGTATAGAATAAAGACACTAAATTGTCATTGCATACAAAAGAAGAGCATGGAGAAATAGAAAGAAATAATATAAGGGTGCATTAACAAATTAGAGGCCAATCCATATTGCAACAGTAAAATTTACCCACTGCAGCTGCTAGGACAAAGCGCTTATCAAGACTCCACACAATCATATTAACACCGCGAGGAGTTGGAAGAATTCTCTGGCACGGTCCCCCCCCCCCAGAAAAGGTTGTGGAGGAGGTGGAACTTTCAGATGATAAGACATTATCCAACGTACAGATTTTCCCTGTGACAACAAAAAGCAAAGACAAAAACAAAAAAATCTTTGCATGAAATGCATTAACTTCAGGCTTAGCAATTCAAATAGAGAGCAGAAGGTACAAATAATTCTTCAATGGAAACATTTATAATGCCTCCCCCAAACTGCACACCAAAAACCATTGTGGGAAACTAATTCAAAGGAACTTACATGCGATCTCCGTGATATAGATCTCCATATGATTGCATTGCCATCATGTGAGCAGGTAACTATTTTCTCATGACAGAACCTAAGAAAAAAAAAAAAATTAAGCGATAAGGGCGCAGTAAATTGCCAAGTACATACAGGGCAGATTGTTCATTCTACTCACCTTAAAATCAAACTAACTCTAGATATGGACCATTGACAATAAATGACTGAAAGTGGAAACGAATCTATTGAGAGACCACTATCCTCCTTCAAAGTGTCAGACATTGAAGATCTGGGAGCCACAGCACAGCCACTACAGATGAAAGCAGGCAGTTTGTGTCAGACAGTTCAAAATAAACTAATTTACTAACAAGGAACAACTAACCTGAATTGAACACAATTGACATCATTCTCATGGCCAGATAATACATCCATCTCATGTATAGGTTGCTCTGACACATCTGTGTTAGATTTACAGGCATTCCAAACCTGGAAGTATTTTCTTCTCCGTAAACACATCAAACCAAGCATATAGTAACACCAACAAAGATAGTAACGACAAATAAACCGAAGAAGTTATTTCAAGAGCAAAAGTGTTAAAACATACTCTAGCATAAGTATCAGAGCTTCTAGTGACAAAAACAGTTCCATTGGCATTGTAAGCACAACACAATATCTGATTGCTCTGTGGACCATTACTTGAGGAAGGTCCATTACTAGAAGCACGCTCTTCCCTGCAAAAAACTTCCCATTTACTAAGCCTGTAATCACCAATACAGTACCAATGTCTTAATAAAATAATAAAAGGCAACCATCTAACCAGTAAGAGCATCTGAAGGCTTTGGCACAATAAATTCATGGACTACATTGGGAACATCTAGCATCCCAAATTCGACAAGTTCCATCATCTGATGACCTACAAATAGGCATATTGGCAGATTATCTAACAATGCCAAGTCAGATAAATAAACACGTGGCTCCAGCCAGGAGGCAATAGAATAAAACATCTCCATATCAGAACATCTCATTGAAGAACTTCAGAAAAATCACAGAAGCGACCCTAGCCAAGACAAATGCAATTTTTTACATGAAACTCAAAACGATAACAGAGGATCAACCGAGTGTTTGAACATTTTTCAATAACAATCAATATCTCTAGAAAGGGGGCTCACGATAAAAGGTGATGCACAGAGCCCAGCCTGGGACTAAATGCAATGGCAGTAACAGCTCCAGTGTGGCCCTGCAAGACTGAAATGGGCACCCCATCTGGCAAGCGCCACTGCGTTATACCAAAAGGAACTAATTAGTTATCAGAGAGTATGAAACTTGGAAAACTTAAAGATGAGGTAGAGAAGAGAACTCTTACCACTCGAATGACAAAATCATTGGAAGCGGATGCCACTAAAGCATTGTTTGAACTTACAGCCAAGTCAGTAATGTCACCCTTTAGTACATACAAACAGACGAGTAAATTAAAATAAATAGGACAAAGATATTTTTAAAAGCATCTCAGGCCCTCACAAGCACCATATATTACGTATGCAATCGATACTCACTTCGGGTCCTCTGCAGCTGGCCAGGCAAAATGCAGTCTCCATTGACCAAATCTTGACAAGACGATCATCTGAACCAGTAATAACATACCTCCCTGAGGGATCAAATATTGCTAGGGATACAGGCAATAGTTCTACTTGTTAATAGCCAACATATCAATGAAACACATACAAGCAAGGAAATGGAAACTATAAAAAGGAAAAAAAATCAGTAAATTTTACCATAATTTAATTATTAATTGCAAGTTAAGAAAAGATATATAACAATTTACAAAATTTTTGGTTGGTAAAACAAGATGATGCAGACAATAATATTTTCAAAGAAAAAATTGTGAACCTTTTTAAATGAGACTGCTGAACAAATTTTTCTATCTAAGAGAACCATCATAATGATGGCTCTCATTTGCTCTCCAAGAAAACAACTAGGGAGAGGACTACAAACGCAATGGGTAATTACTGCAACCGTATCCTAGATTTCATCCCGTAAAAAACACTTAATAAGCAGGCATCGTCAACTAAAAATAGAAAGGAGAAATCCCATTAAGGCAAGATGTCAGTGCGCAAGTTCAAAGCAACTAATACTTACCACAATGGACAGCAGGGCGGTGTCCCCTTAACTTCTTTGTATTTTGCATCTTTTGCACCATTGTCAATGGCTTAGCAATGGCATAACAAGCATAGCAAATGGATGGAGCATGATGGTGCTTTGCAGAACCTCCTCCAATTTCCCTTAAACTCAGCCCATGCACCTGATCAATCTGCATGTGAGGCCAACGCAGGTTCGTTGGCAGGGGCTTAGCTTGCTTATGCATACTCCTCTCACCTGCATAATACGAGGCAACATCAAGGAAAAGCAAAGAAAATAGGGTAAATCCTAATCAAGAGTCACAACACAAAGATTTTGGAAATCTAAGTCCTAACTCATAATTTATGCCAAATAACCAACCTTAGAAAGCACATGACGAAAGGGACCTAATAGAAGGAACCATACAGAAAAGAAGATACATTATAATTTCAGATAGCAAAAATATAAAGAAGGCCAAACCTACGATAAGAAGAAATTGCTTTTGATTAGAAATCTGGCCCCAAAACTACTTGTAAAGTACCATTAAGGAAGAAAGAATACTTAAAAGAAGAGTTAGTTATCTATATCGAAAGCATACTCGGCTGAAGTATCTATCATCTAAGAATGGATGTTCAACCGAAAAAATTGTTATTTTAATTGGCAAATGAAAGCCATGTCTGCCTAGGAATTGCGAAGTAGATTAATTGGCCTCACGAAAGCCATTCCACAGTAAAGGACGTGGCAAGTAATTAAAAAACAAAAAAAAGCAATTTCCCCAGACATGACATTAAAAAGTCATAGCCCAGTTATATTCTAACCAAAGGAGAGTCTTGTAACTTTGAATAAATTGGCTGCTCTCGTGTCCTGAGCCTACATCTTCGTTGCAAACTTTAAGATCTTCACCACTGCACAAAAGCATGGTCCATTCGAAAGACCAGACTAGTATAATTATTTACTGAAAGGCGTTAAGATCAAGGATGAAAAAGTGGGAAAGGCTAATAGAAAGAAAGACAACTGAAATGCAACCAAAATTTCAAGCATGAACCAATATTTCATGGGGACACACATTGAATTCAATTGAGAAACCATAACATTAGAGGAAGAGTATTTTTTTTTTACTAACATTTTCCTGAAAAATTTGTCTTAGGAAAGAGTAAAGCATTGCAAGGATCACATACAATCAAGAAGCGAAAAAGAACCAGATCCCAGTATTGTGGGAACATGAGCTGCATTTAGGGTATTCCCTCCAGCCTCGCCAAGCATAGAATCTGTGTTCAGCAGCAATTGTTTCAGAAGCTTTACCAAATGATCCTTCTCAATATGACGATACCTGATAGTTATGTAAACGACATCAGTTACTTCATTACCGCATTGGAGATAAATAAAATAGAAAAGATCCCAACAAAGTGTAAGAAACAACGTCGAAAAAAAAAAAAAAGAGAGAGGGAGAAAGAGAACAGATCCTCCCAGTTGAGCCAAAAGGACCTTAATCTAAACTTGCCCTTAAAACATGCAGCCACCATTTAAATATCTTATTAGTCTGATTCAGAGTAATACTGATCTGATTTTTCAAATTTTATTTGTTTACTTAATGGAGATTGAGAATACTCACAAATTAACAGAGATGAACTGCAACAGAAAAATTACAACGGTTTGAGTTATCAGATGTACTTTAGGAAGGAATTTCAAATTAATAATTAAATTTCCAAATTATGCAAGAAGCAAAGAGCATTGGACGGCATTACTTTAAAGAAAAAGATTATGGAAAGAGCTATTGGCCAGCTTATCTTCTTAATAGGTTAGAACCGCTTTTTTCCCCTTTTGCAGATAGGTTAGAAATAAATTTTATGCTGCAATGATGTTGCCATCATTCAACTTCAGGCAACAATTACTGAAACATAGATATGTGCCAGGAAATATTATATGGAAATACAAGTGGCCAGCATGACATGTAAATCCAATGGCATCAGAGGAACACAAATAGAAATGAAAATGAAGGACAGCCATTACCATAAAGTTTCTTCCCCCAGGTTATAAATAATATCACCAAAGATGGAAAATAAAGATTTCAAGTAAAATGAACCTTATTTTACCTTTCTGCCAATTTATCATAACTTAAAGGAAGAGAGACACCATCATCATTATCATTCCAGCTATGTGCACCACTTCTTGAAAACCAAGCATGATATCTTCTTGGTAGAAGCTCATGTTCTAAAACTTCATCCCGGAATTGTCTAGAAGTCCTATGGAATGGCCCAGAAGATAGAAAACGCAGAATCAAAAAGTAAACTTCTCCACGGTCTACATCTAAATTTTTCTCATCAACACGAACTCTCCCTTGTTGTTCAAAATGAGCCTTCTCCATCACCGTCTTTGAAAAAGCCAACGGTGCCTTGTTAATGGAAGAAGCACCACCAGAAGATGCACGATTCCAGATATCCATGTTTTCGTTGGAATCGCTGCTAAAAAATTTGTGGACAATGACTAACGTGGTGTTTGAAGAGAAATCCTACTTGTCTTGAAACCTTCCATTTGTCAATTGTTAGATCTTTCCCCTGGATCAAAGCAAGTAGAATGAACTTCCCCTATTCTGGTAATGATTTAATAAGTTACGCAGAAGGGATAATTCTTTTTTTTTTTTTTAATTCATCGGAGACGCATGGGCCTTTGGGCTACACAATGGAGGGTAGCTCTCTCCATTCCATAGTGACCAAAGAAATTTGGAGTCATTAAAACTCGAACCTTATTTTTCTGAAAAAGCTAATTGGATACACAACCGTGGTAAGCTTGCTTGTATAGAAAGGATAATTCTTTGGGGGCAATATTAGGTGCTCCAGAAGCTCCGGATGCTGGTCTCCCTCCTTCCTCCACTTTGATAAGGAATGTGGATAGATCACCTTCCAAAGGGAATCAGGTCCAGCAAGCATTGGTGGAGTCTTAAGAATCTCAGGGCATTTTATTTTTTTTGTTCTACATCTTAATTTGGGTGCCAGAAGAGTAGCAGATTTACTTGCGAGTTCTGAAACCTTTTAACCTTCTTGAAGCAGACAAGATTGCCTTGTCACAGAAGTCATTGCAAAATCAGACTTGGACATGAAAAGACTCTTTCTTGCTTAACCACGGGAATAGCAGAACATGGAAGCTGAACTCTCTCTTTAATGAGTTCAGCAATCTGTGTGCTTAGTTTGCTAATATTTCTTCCATCCACGCTCCCCATGAAAGCAATGAAGTTTGTGAAAGTTTAGCACAGGAGTTGAAAGGGTAGATGGTTTTGCGTTATGGCTTTATTTTCTCTAATATTGTCAATCCCTGCTCAATCATTTGCTGTTCGGTTTCTTTATTGCTAATTTGTTCTCCTAGAGTCTTGGCATGGGCCTTTTCTTTTTTCAGTTCTTGATTCTGATACGTTTACCTGATTTCCTATCTTTGCTGCTGGAGAGAGGCATCCTTTGCTATTTGATTCTGCTCTAGTTTCGGGTTTTTCCCGTGCGACTCTTGAATAAGCCCTTGTTGCATGTGCTTGGGTTTGCTTGGTGTGACCAGTCAAGAATTTTTCCAGATGGTTTTTGCCTTGGTTTAGGTAGGTGTTGGTTGAAACCAGTCTTGTTGTGCCTGGTGGTAGTGTGGGCATGACTCTTTGAAGCACGAAACATTGATCACGTGGCTTTGGCAGCTAAGAGCTTGTTTTTTACCAACTAAAAATATACATCCTCTGCCTATCGAGTGTTTCGAAAAGGTCATATCATTGATGATTCCATCATACATGATTGAGTTCCAAAAACTTCTAGATAAATCCTTTTCCTTCTTTAAGTTTTTTGTTCTTGCTTGCCGGTCGTTTCATTTCCATCAGCTTGTCTTAGCTGAGATTAAGCATCTATGTATCTGGTGATCTTTATGTAGGACAGTAGGAGCATTGCACCTGTCTTGGCATTTGAATTGAACCTTAATTTGCACCATTTTTTTTTTTTTTTTGAAGCTTGTTCAGAAATATTCATCAAATCTACTGAAAACTTCCTGGTCTGAATCGATTTCTCCATTTGGTCAAATGTATGTCACTGCAACGGTGCTTTTATCATTTGCTGATTTTGTGTTGTTCTCCATTGCCCTAACTGGTGGGTGGTTTTGATCTGCTTTGCCATATGTTGCTGCTTTAATTTGTTGTACTTCGTTCGTCTGGGATCTCTCTGTCAGGTTCGCTAGCTAGTCGTCTTTTGTGTTTCTACTGTTTAAGTTTCTCTATGCATACGTTGGCTTAACCCCATTATTGGGTAGAATTCAGGTCATTCCGTCAATTTGGGACTACAACAGCGTATACATTCGCATATCTTCGTTTGGGACCTCCAATTGCTATTTGAAGGCACCACCCATTACTGGGTCTTTTCTCCTCAAGCTGTTATTTAAGGCACCACAGGCTCTGGATCCCCTCTTCTTGTAGGCTATTTGAAGGCTCTATCAGTTTGGCCGCAACCAAATTGTTATTTATAGGCACGCACTATCAGTAGAGAATTTTTCGTTAGTTCATGTTTTTAAGCAACTATACAATCTCTTTTGAGGCCAACACCTGCAAATTAAGGATTTAATCTCTTAAAGACTCTATAAGCTAGGTCTTCTCAGTGTTCTTAGGCTTTTTTGAACACTGATGGTGGGTTTATTCATTGCAAGACTCTATAAGCTACACCTTCACAGTGTTCTTATGCTCTGTTGAAACACTGAAAGTAGTTTTTGAATGTCATATGCTGCTCAACCGCACTTTTTATCCAGTCATCGGTAATCTCACTTCTATTAATAATATCAAGGAAAAGATCTGTTTAATTTGTAAACAATCTAAGTTGAGCTTTTTAAATTGGCTCACTTCTGTTAACCATCACAGTGGTTTTTGAGTTTCATTGTTACGATCACTGAATAAAGGCATAAAATTAGTCAATTGTATAATACAAATCTATGATTCCTAGTAGGCATACCCAAGTACCCAACAGATTTTGCAAAAAAAAAATAATATATATATATATATATATTTCTGCCTCCCACTCTCAAAACATGACCAGTGGCAAACATATTGCAGAATGAAAATGCAAAAGAAATTTAGGAATGGGTAAATTATTCATAGGTGTTTGACAAATCAAACTTTAAGAAACACATTCCAAATGCAGAAACAAATATCATTATAAACATCAATTCCTTCAATTCCCAAACATTCAGTTTGAATTCACATAATGAAACTGCTTGTCATAAGCGTTTGAACTAAAATTGTATTGCAAATTTGGCATTTGTCTCGTGGTACCAAACAGCAAAAGTTGTTATCACATATGGTTACAGAAGCACTAATTAAGGTCAACTACTAAGAAATGTCGAGAAATTCACTCAGCATAACTACCTATTCTTAATACTTGAATATTTTGCTCAGGATAATGAGAAACATACAAAAGAAGTTTACCTTCCATATTTGAGCAAGGAACAAAGGAGATATCAAGTAAGTTTTGATTTCTTCAATTTAACTTGAGGCTTCTCGAGGACTTCGCCAGCATCTTCTGAAGAGCTCTCAGCTAGTTCATCAGGAACATCATTAGGAACGTTATGTTTGGTGATGAATTCCTGCAAAATGCTCAAGCTTTCCTCTTTCACGGAAACCAATTCCTCAGAGACTGTATCACCCTTGCATGAATTGACAGCATACGTTTCCAACGCAAGTTTGAACGTTGTTTTAACACGAAGCCCTTGATTGATGGTGTCACTTGCTTGTTCTGCCATTGTCTCCTTTGCAAACTCTGCATTTTAACCACTTAGTTCAACATTAGATTTTTATCAGCAGTAACATATATATATATATATATATAATAACCCTATACTTTTGAGTTTCTGCGTCAACTTGAATTAATAAAAGCCTATAGTATAATTCATCGTAGCAATAATATTTGAACAGAGAAATCAGTCTCCAAAAAAGACGTAGAGAACCATATAATCTGATTTAAGCCTTCAAAAAATGGATCATTAAGCATTTCAATCATGCATTGGAAAAAAAAAAGAAAAAAGAAAAAGGATAATAATGATATTTTTGACAATGACAAAAACACCAGATTCCGCATCATACAGAACCACGAGGTCATCAATCTGTATAACATGTTTTAAAAAATTACCCATAGCACTACAATTTAATACACGTAAAGTTCAGATAAAAATTCAGAAAAGAAGAGGGGGAAAATTAATTAGCTGAAGTAGTAGTACAAATACTAGAAGGAAGCTAAGGAGTTGAAGAACTCTTTATCGGAACTTAAACTCGAAGAAAAATCAGAGTTAAAAGCCCGGCTACTTGGCATTAAACACAAAACAAAACCTTAAAATCCAAGAATAATAATTAGAAGTAGCAGCAGGAGGAGGAACTACTGACCTTGAACTTGACCATGAGCTAGTTAGATAGCACAAGCGACGAGGAGGGGACAGTACAGGAGGCGGCAGATGAGATTACCAGAAAGGGGGACCGGGCTGGACTGGAAGAGGTTTTCCCAAAGATAATTATAATTACAATTTTGCCCCTAGCATCCTTAAAAATTTTAAAATTTCCCCTGACTTTATTGTAATCTTGGCCATTGATTTTACGCCTTGCTTTCCGTGTTTTACAGGTTGGTAGTCACTCTGCACTTCTGCACTGCGCTCGCTTCGATTCACCAACGGTTTGGTTATCTTCTTCCTCCATTTCTTCAACTATCCGTGTTTCCAAAAGCGGCGTCGTTCTTTATTTATTTCGGGTACTCCTCTACTTCTTCCTCAACTGCCTCATACCGTTGATTGATTTGGCAATATTTCTTCTTTTTTAGCTCCCATAATATAATATAGCAAAATTATTGCCTTGTTTCCTCCAGCTTCGAATTCGATAATGCAATTTGCAAGTTTGATTGTTGAGATTGATATAATGGACTAATATTAAATCAGATGCTGCTGAAAAAATTGTCCTTTTTTGTTTTTCTTATTCTGATTTGATAAATTTTGAGAAAGTTGTCGTATCTGTATATATGAATTTTCAATTGTAGATATTCATTCAACATTGATCGAAGCTTCCATCCTTCTTACTTTGTTCCAGCAACATTTCTGCTAAAATTCTAATCTTGTTGAAGCCCTACCTAAGTCAGCTGGAACTGGTCTATTCATTAAAGGTTCTGTTTTTATGTTGCTAAGACTGATTGATAATACCTGTTCTTGGTTCACACTTTCAGGTAATTGGTAATTACAAAATGATACGGCGCTGCTTACCCTCCGATTGGAATTCAAGTTTTAATGGCCAACTCTACTCCAGCACAAAGCTAATCCCCGTCAATCAGAGACAAGGAGGAGAGGGACAACAATGTAGCAGGGAGCAAGTGTGCCTCCCGGGTGGTAGCTCACTGCCCTTCTCTCGTACCTGTTGCTTTTTTCATGATCATAGTGTCAGTCATACTCACAGTCAAAATCCATTTCTTTGGTCATACTCATCTGCACCAAGAATAATTTTACAAGAAAAATTGCCACTAGTTCTAAACTTAACAACTAGTAATAAATCCAAAACCTCTCTGCTGCCCAATTTTACTTTACAAGGAAAAGTTGCAGAGCTAAGTATTAGGAGGTTTTCTAGCTCCAACAATGATGATGCAGATTCCGATGCTGAAAATGAGGAGAATGACGAGAGTGAGAACTGTGAAAGCGACAACAAAAGTGCAAGTGTCAAGTCAACTGCAGATCCTGCAGAGGTTCATAAGGTATGCAAGGTGATTGATGAATTGTTTGCATTGGACCACAACATGGAGGCAGTTCTTGATGAATGTGGGATCAATTTATCACATGACCTGGTCATAGAGGTGTTGGAAAGATTTCGTCATGCTAGAAAACCAGCTTTCCGATTCTTCTGTTGGGCAGCGGAGAGGCCAGGTTTTGACCATGATTCAAGGACTTACCATTCGATGATGAGTATACTTGCTAAGACTAGACAGTTTGAGACTATGATGTCAATGCTTGAAGAAATGGGTGAAAAAAGGCTTTTGACGTTGGACACATTTTCCATTGCAATGAGAGCTTTTGCTGCTGCAAAGGAGAGGAAAAAGGCTGTTGGTATATTTGAGTTAATGAAGAAGCACAAATATAAAGTGGGTGTTGATACCATTAATTCTCTGCTTGATGGTCTTGGGAGGGCCAAGCTTGGAAAAGAAGCTCAGGCACTATTTGGGAAATTGGAAGGTAGGTTTACGCCAAATTTGAGAACATATACCATATTGCTTAATGGATGGTGCAGGGTGAAGAATTTGATGGAGGCAGGGAGGATTTGGAATGAGATGCTTGATAAAGGGTTTAAGCCTGATATTGTCGCCCATAATACCATGCTTGAAGGGTTGTTAAAGAGTAAGAAGAGGTCTGATGCAATCAAGTTCTTTGAGGTCATGAAAGCCAAGGGCCCTTCACCTGATGTTCGGAGCTATACAATTTTGATCCGGGATCTATGCAAGCAAACTAAGATGAAAGAGGCAGTTGAATACTTTTATGAGATGGTTGATTCTGGTTGCCATCCTGATGCTGCAGTTTACACCTGTTTGATGACAGGGTATGGTAATCAGAAGAGGATGGACATGGTTTATGAATTGTTGAAGGAGATGAAAGAAAAGGGCTCTCCACCTGATGGCAAAACTTATAACGCCCTTATCAAGTTGATGACCAGCCAGAGAATGCCAGATGATGCAGTGAGGGTGTACAAGAAGATGATTCAAAATGGAATTGAACCTTCAATCCATTCTTACAATATGATTATGAAATCTTACTTCCAAATAAGAAACTATGAAATGGGTCATGCAGTTTGGGATGAGATGAGTAAAAAGGCTTTTGCCCCGATGATAACTCCTATACTGTTCTCATTGGAGGGCTTATAAGTCAGGGTAGATCTGAAGAGGCATGCAAATATTTGGAGGACATGATAGAAAAGGGAATGAAAGCTCCTCAACTGGACTACAACAAATTTGCAGCTGATTTCTCCCGAGCTGGGAAGCCTGATATACTTGAGGAGTTAGCTCAAAAGATGAAGTTCTCTGGCAAGTTCGAAGTCTCTAGTGTCTTTGCCAGGTGGGCTGAGATGATGAAGAAGAGAGTTAAGAGGAGATCCTGGTAATAGAAAGTGTACTCAACTTGTCCATGACTAACGTTACTCTTTTTATGAGATGGCAGATGGATGATGGTTAGCGAATCTCAGTTCTTCCTGTTCTTGACTGATGAATATTTGTTGGTGATTGCAACTCGTCAACCCTTGGCTAGGCAATGGGAGATCCGTGCTGGTTTGTATTGTATATTTTTGTAGTCATTAAGCCTCACATTTCTTGTTTTAAATATTTATTTTAGTTCTTTTTTATGGGATATATTACTCGTCTTTAATGCTGTATAAATTGGTCCAGTTTTTATTGGTACCGAACTTTCCTTCTCTATGATACCCTCTTACCGGAAAGGTTTCTCTATGATGTTTCTTCTATTAAGCATTTGACCTCTTCTTTCATGTAACAAATAAAACTATTATGTTTCTCTGCCAATTTCCAGTGTTCTTGCTGAGGTTTGCATTGATTGAATTAAAGGTAATACATTTAGAGTGAACTTCCTGGGTCACTTTTGAAAGAAAGTGAAGGCTGCATTGTTGAATTTATGGTTGAGGTGGGTATTTATGGATGTTTAGTGAAATCCTCGTGAATATCTGAACCATGTACCATTGTGCTTCAGAAGTTTGTTTTCAAGATTGAGGCTGCAGTATAATCACATATGAATCATATGATCTAAAATTTCTGATGCAATTAATTGAATTGTTTCAGATGACTGGTAGTGGAAGGTCGTACTGCTATGATGTTTTAACTTCAAGTTCCAATTTTTGGCACTGTCCCGCTAGCATTGGAGTCCAAGGTCTTTGAGATTATTCTATCGTACTCGTTATGACATTTGATTCACCAGAGGTAAAATTTACTGGCTACATGGGTCGAACCTCTTTTCAACTTTAAAATCATTTGAGAACTGGTACTTGAACGAAAAAAGTTAGAGTTGACCTCTTATAACTTTAGCTTATTTGAAATTAGATCCTTTTGTTAGATTTTGTAGGGTTTCATCCATTAATTAGTGGTTAAAAAAATCACCAATTGTCCTTCTACTATTGAAATTTGGTCAAATAGTAATTCTATTTTTTTTCTTACAACATGGATTAGTTTGTTGATCTGACAGTTCAGTGGAATTTAATTTCAGGCTTAACAGCTTAACGAAGGCAGTGGCTGTTACTTTTCTACTAACCTTGGTTTTAAGCAGGTCTAATTTGCTCCAGAACTGCTTCAATACTGGAGTTGGGCGTTTGGTGTTGAATGCAAATTCCTTCACCTGCTTGTTTTGATATTATAATTATTCGTTTTGGTTGCTAACCATCAAGTATTAGATCTGATAAATTATTGCTGTGGTTCTTACGAAGGAAGCAGTGGGATAAATTTGAACTGGTGTGCTTGTGCAGCAACTGCTGGTTATTGGTTTTGGGTGCCCTAATTATTATCAGTTGTACTTTTAAATGGAGGGCCTCATTTTCTGAATTATGCTTGATTACTTCAGCGAAGTATGCTCAGTGGCTTGTCTGGATGAGATTTTTTGGATCGAGTCCTCTCTGCAGCATTGAGATGTTCAGTGGCGAGTTGGACATATTTAGTCGCTGCTCCTGCATAGGTGCTTCCTGATGCTAAACTCGGATCATGATCAACTGGTCTACTCTGTTTTGTTATGGGCTTGACAACATTTCATTTGAACCGCACTGTTTTCTGATATGATTTAAGGGGCAACTTTGTTTGATTGAGTGCCTTCATCTAAGATTGTTGACTCCAATGTCTGATGTGATCCGAAGCCAGTGTTTTGACGATTTTATTCCGGGGCTCCTTTAGCCTTGCCTCCCATGCTTTTTCTTTGGAGGTTTAAGTTTAGTTAGTTATTTAGACTCTTCATTCTACTAATCTAATGTTATTCTCGTTGCTCTTCCTTATCATCACTCAGACTTCTGGGCTTTCTCTTAACAATATGGGACTCTGATTTGCCCTGAGGAACAGAACTTCCCTGAAAAGCTTCGTCTAACATTGTCGCAAGAGAAGGCCCATATGAATCATTTGATGGAAGTCATGCGCACTAGGTATGCCTGAGTTTCTCAAAATGCAAGGACCTCAAGTGTGATTCCTGTGCTCGAATCCGGATGTTTGAAGGGGATTTTGTTTTCAATGCTCCTTTTATTTTTGTTGCTCTTGGTCTTTCTTTGCTTTTGTGATTCTGTTTTCTGTGAACATCACTTCTTTCTTTTTTCTGCTGTTGTCCTATGATTAGTTGGTCTGTATGAGTTCCTTATACTACCATTATTTTGATCGACCTTTTCATTCATCTTCCATTTGTTTAAAAGATTGTCACTGGGGCGTCTTTGCATGGTTTTCTTTCAATCTTTAGGTCTGAGATGCCAAGGCAAAAAGCCATAATAAAACCAGAGATGACAATATTTATTTGACGTAATAAAGTTTGATACTGTATTTTAATTCAAATTTCAAAGAGCATGACATTACATAGAGTTGCTCTTATTTTAACATACATTCAGGACAAGGGAAAAAAAGCTACACGTTCAACGTACTTCGCTCTACTGTACAAAATTTCATCATCTGGATGTAATTCACGTTAACCCAGGAGTTTACATGAACTGATTTCATATTGGTACTCAAGTAATCATTTGTCTTCGACAATTCTAGGAATGGGATTTGTCATGTCATGTCAGGTTCATTCTCCCTAGAAATGGAAGACATCAAGGTAAGGCCCTGAACCATCTAAACAACGGCTAAATTCCCGAAATTAAGTAATTACCCTATTGTAACGGGCCTCGATATCATATTATCAATGTAACACTGTGAACAGGGGACAGGCTAAAGTATGAAGGTATACGACAAAACAAAACATACTCAGGGCAATCCCATTCCCTTTGTTTCATGCAGGAGACATTTGCTCCCCTTTAAAGTTTCAGGTCTACACTTTCTAATCCAAGCTCTCTCGGTTAGTGTCCCAAATAAAAAACTGCGACATCAACAATAGAATTAAAAAAAAAAAAAAATGCTAGAAAGACTCTTTTAACACTATTTCCTAAACATTTGTTCAATAAAAGTATACACATCAAACTTTTTTTTTAACTATTTTTATAAAGTCATTTATTACAATCAATTTCATATTATCTAAAAGACTAAAATAGTTATCTTTTTATTTGTTTAACATTAAAATTATCGAAAAACTATTGAGTTGAAACTAAAATTTATCTTTATACAAAAGAATTAAAAAAATGGGATTTTAGTCTTTTAAATAATATAAGATTGGTTGTAATTTAAAAACTTTCTGAAAACATAGAATATTAATTATCTTTTAATTGGGTTTTTTTTTTTTTTTCGCTGGGATGTTGTAGGTAGTTGAGAAAGTTTGACATGAATACTTTTATTGTGCAAGTGTCTGAGAAAGTGTGTCAAACAGAGCGTTGTTAGCATACTACATTTAGTATCATCACAATAACATAATTATAATTCGCTATTTGAAAGCCTGTGCAACAAATTTTCTGATGATTAAGCTTTGGAAAAGAAAATGAATTTTCTGATATTAATTAGGAGTGTTTTAACCAGAGGATATATGGGAATAGAAGGGGAACATAACAATGAGAGACAAATATTAACCTCCTATTCTGAAGACTATTTACATCCTGAAATCAATGCTCAGACTCAACCACTTGAAAAAACACCATAGATAAGCTTTTTTGTAGACAAGCAAACACCAAACAAAATTGGGTAAAACTTTGAAAGAAAAAAAAAAGGTAACATCTGAACCTCCAATCAGGAGAAGTGTATGCCAGCCCTATTGAACTGAGCGAGTAAGTGTAAGAACTCCTCTTGCGAGAGTTTTGATGATCTCTTCTCATAATAATCTCTCTCTTTCAAAACAGCTAAAACCTTTTGCTTGAATTCAGAGGCCTCACCATCTGCATCACCATCCTCTACCTCCATTTCGTCATCTATTCCATCATCCATGTCCATCCTTTGATCCTCAGAATCTCCCAGTCCCGAAATATCCATCTCAACATCAGTACTCCCCGAGGAACCATTTTGCGATTGCTGTAGCGCCTGAAGGGTCTTGTAGTTCTTTTCGAGCATGGAGAGCACATTTTTTATCCTGAAAATAGAACCAAGTGTCTTGTTCTTTCGAATGAAACAAATCCTTATGAATCCATCCCATTCCTTAGGATTCACTTGAGGACGTGGTTTCCTAGGCTCAATTCGAACAACTGAGGAATCCACCTTGGGTGGAGGCCTGAAATTGTTCTTCCCAACTTTGAGAAGATGGGAGACTCTAGCATAGAGTTGGGTATTAACAGAAAGACGACAGTATAAAGTATCACCTGGCTTAGCAACAAGTCTCATAGCAAATTCTCTCTGAAACATAATTATGGCACACCTGAAGGATGTTGGGTGATTCAATAATTTGAATGTGAGGGGTGAAGAGATCTGATAAGGGATATTTGCCACACATATATCAAAATAAGGAAGGTCAGTCTTGAGCACATCACCCTGGATCACCTGTCAGAATTCAAGAGATTGTAAAGATATACAATTTTTCAGTTTTTCAAACAAAACCCAACGGATTTTCAATAGTAATAATGATACCTTTAAGCGATTAGAGAAAGGGGTGCCTTGAAAGCGGCGTTGAAGCTCAAGAACCATACGAGGGTCTAGCTCAATAGCAACAACCATTTTGCCAGCTTCGAGAAGTTTCTTGGTGAGATTTCCAGTACCGGGACCAATCTCAAGAACAACGTCGGTGCTCTTGATGCCTGATTTTTGGACTATGGAGTCCACAAGTAAAGGGTTCTTGAGGATATGCTGTCCTTTGGATTTGTGGAAGGATATGCCTCCTTGGTAGTGATTTGACGAAGGCGCCCCCCGTGATGATGCCTTCTCTTTTCTTATCTTGCCGCCTGCCATTGCTGCTGGTTGTGGCAGCAAAGAGAAGCTACACTATAGAAAGGGCAGGGGGCAGGGCCGAGCTTTAGGGTTTTACGCTTGATAATAATTTCTGTTTGGCTATAAAAGAGCCAAAACTTTTTTTGACCTTCTTTTTTTGGTAAAGACAAGTTCAACCCCTCAACTTATGATAAGTCTATCAATTTCATCCCTAAACTAGAAAATTTTTGTCAGGAAAAGAGAGGTTATACCGAGGAAGGGAAGCAAAAAGAAGAGAAATTAGTTCAATGTATTTTGTTTTCAAATTTTTTTTTGTTGGGATTTTTCTTTTATGTTGTGTCAATCTTTATGATTGATATGATTGTTCCTATTTTCTTATTGTTTATCTCATGTGATTATAATTTGACATTGAAATTTGATTTCTTGGCATCATTACACATTTTATATATGAAAAATGTAACTTTATTAGGTTAAGATTAACCACGAGATTTTTACTTTAGATCACGTTTGTTTTTCCCTTGGCCGTAGTATTGCTTCTCTCTCTTCAAGGCAGCAACAAAATCTTTCCTTCTCATAATGAAAAAAAAAAAAAAAGACTGAATGACCAATTCCCTCCTCGAATGTGCAACCAACCGGTTTTGAAATTAACTTTTTTATTTAAAAAAAAAAAAAAAAAAAAACCTCCTGCGTCCAAGTAACATCTTAGAACCCGAAACTTGGTGTTTCAGAATCTTCAACATAAAGACAAATCTAGCTGAGGTGATACAAATCGAACTAAGGTGATTCTTTTGGACCCTTCACCAGAAAAAGAATTCCAGATGAAGTCCCTTCAAGTTGTTCTCAAACACATTCAGTGTTTAACCGAGCAACTAGTTTGGAATCGACCCAGTTAACTGTTATTCTGGCGTCAAATCTTCCTTGCAAATGCCAAAAACAAAAACTAAGATTGAAATATCATTTTCATTTCTATCTTTTTCTTCTTTGGAATGCAATGGCATTGAAGCTAAGGTGGCCTATACATTATGGGAAACTCTCAACACATCCATTTGCCCTCCCATTCTGTCAAAACTTGATTGCAACAGCTATTTTCATCGGGCATTCTAGCATCCTAATGTTTGTAGTATTAATTTTACAAAAAATTGGATATATGAGGAATGAAAGATTAAAAAAAATCTAAAACAAAAGAGAAAAATAGTTGGACTTCCTACAACTTTAACAATTTCCCTGTAAACCATTCAGAGAGGCGCTTCATCTTGTACGATAGTTCAGCGCTTAACACAAAATACGCTTGGGCATTTTCCATCATCACATTCATGTCATGCTTCACTGCTTTCAAGCTCCGATAATAGTTGTTTTCTAATCTCGACTGGATAATTTCAGGACACAGTGGTACTGGAAATCTGCAAAATTCCCACAGAGCCAAAGATCAACTGAAGAATCTCTTCTACATCCACACCAACAAATGCAGCTCTAAATAGCAAATCATATTGACAAGGTGAATATGGCACTACACTATATATAAATGCCTGAATAAACTGCATATCCTTTCTAAAGGGATGTAGTACTGCATTTGAACAATTCACCAATTGTAAGGTTAATTAGAATCTTTACGTTGCATCATGGCACATAAAAGCACATACTAACTTCATAATCTGTCGTTTCCAGGAGTTGATTAACTACCAGTAGATAGTCAGAAAGAGACATTTCTGCAGAATAATATCTAATTATACTTCATCTTTTTCAATAATTGTGAATCCAAGCTGGTTTCTTTGTAATACATCATGACAGGAAAAAAAAATTGATTGCGAAATAAATAGTGCCATGACTCTCCTAGGCCAGAGGGGTAACAGTAACACAGATAACCAAAGAAAAGGAGAACCGGGAAAGGAGGCTTCATAAAACAAATACCTGTGAAAGAAATCCAGCTTACGAGAAGCCTCATTCAATTTTTGAATTCCATAAGAATCCTGCAAGATGAAGAGTAGAATCATCAAAACCATGAGAAAACACTTTCCATGTTCAAAAATTCAGATAGAACGAATTTTCATATGAGAACTTCTCCAACCTGATTTTTTTCTGCCGAAAGCTCTAATTTAGTGAAATAAGATAGCAGTTTATCTCTTATATTAAAATCTATATAGGGGTGCTCCCATGGAATGCCAAGATCACGCAATTCCCAAGGACTGTGTTTGTGTAAAGTTGGCTCCGACGTGTATATAATTTCATATCTCTCCCAAGGGCTATCCGGGAAGTCAACAGATTTTGCCTGCATAGAAACAATATTCCCTTCCCACCATTCGCCGCCTTCCCCATTCTCATTCCTCCACCACACCTCACATCTATCCCCACTAGTCCAATCTCTCTTGATGGAAGCATCATACCGCGTTTTTTCAACAACAAAATCAGGAAAATTAATCAGTTCAGGCAGGGTCAGCTTGAATGCTTTGCCAAAAGCAACAGATGAAGGATCTACAAATCTAAGTGTGATTTTACAGCAGCTATCCCCCGAACCAGGAACTATGGCATAAACAAGGGTTTCTACCTTGCAAATTTCCACTGCACTTAGGTTTCCCTTAATTGAATTCCAAGGACCTTTTTCTCGTGGATTATATAAATCAATAAACTCTTTGTGGCCCTGAGAATAACAAAAGCATTGATAAATCATCAAAATTGAAATTACTTATGAGCAAAGCACAAGACTCAAGATTCAAAGGTACAAAGGCCATAAATCAAGAAAATAGAGAGAATACCTGTCTCAAATAAACAACTTCATCGTCTAACTGGGGGATATAACGGTAACCATCCTCATGCTTTGACAAGATTAACCATGATAATTTTCTTACCGGTTGATTTGATTCTCTTCTAATAAATATAGCAGCATTATCAGAATACCTTCCTCTCCTGTTTTTAGCCGACCTTGATTTGACTGCCATTTTTGAACTTGACACCCAATCTTCAGATAGGACCTCATTACCTGCAGCATTCTTTGACGTCCCAAATAATCCATAGCCCATTTTCACTGTAAGGTTATGATTTTGAGCACTTGGCTCTCTCTGGGTTGCCTTCATCTTCATGGATCTTGTTCTACGTATTGCATCACCATTTTCAGCTTCAGAGAGATCAATTCCAGAACCACAATAGTCATTTGCTGGTAAGGAATTTTCTTCTATAACACCATCAAAGCCTTCTAAATCAGATCTAGTTTTGTGTGTCTTTTCCCTTTTGTGTTCACCATACAGAGAAATTGATCTGCCCAGACCTTCTTCACCCCTATCTGGTACTCCCAATAATTTATCCTGTCCCAGATAAGAGGGAGTTTCAGACATTACATCATCTCCATTGCTAGTTAAGTCACCAACTGTTCTCAAATATTTCAATTTAGAGGAACTACGTGAGTCCTTTAAATTTGCTTTTGTTCTTATTTTTAACCTTGTTATCTTTGGTGGAGGATACTCTTTCAATTCCTGAGAATGGTCACTTTTATCTACTGGATCACAACAACTGCGTTTTTCAGATCCAGACCAATCTTTGTCTCCCTCGTTACAAGTTTCATTGCTTGAAGCTGTGTAAGCACCAGGAGTATCAACTCTAGTCTGATATTGAGACAGCCCAAAGCCAGACACATTTGAAGAAGATGCCCCTAAATTGTCAGAGCTTATCTTGATCCTATTTTCTTCAATAGGTCCAGAAAGATTCACAAAATCAGCATGATTTTCACCATTGGGTCTCCTCTCTTCTGGAGAGACAAGCTTCTTGGAGTCACGTAATGAAAACTTCAAGACAATTTTTTTCCTATTTCCTATAACTGATTGAGATTCCGGGAGTTCAGGAGGCTTGGTCATATGCTCAACCAAAACAAGTTTTTCTTCTTTTGTACTTTCCTCTTGTTCATTATGCAAGTATTCGTCTCCGTTGCTGTTTTGAACATTCAAATCTTGAAGCCCTGACTCACTGTTGGATGTATCGTCTTCTGAGTCATCTCCATCATCTTCATCTGTAGATGTTCCAGTAATTTTGGAGAGCATATTTCGAGCATTGCGGGCAGCAACACGCTGAGGTCTTGATGACTTTGCTTTGGAAGACTTCCTCTTAGAGACTTTCTGAACACCTTTCAATTTCTTACCTCCATTACTTCCAGATATTGACCCATCACGCTCATCCATGTTTCTTTTCTTCAAACGCCTCTCAGAAGATGCCATTAGTTCAGCCTGAAAACCAATAACTTCAGTTTCTTGTATTTATAGAGAAACAAGAATAGATAGATATAGATAAAGCACTACTTACTTCAGTCTTGTGTTTTCTCCTTCTTGACCTGCGAATGCTATCCTTTTTACTATGTTCAGCATCAGTGTCCTCTGTACTACAATCAGGATCACTGCGAGAGCTGCAACACAAACTACCCTGCTCCCCCTCACTGCTGCATTCCTCCGCAACATTATACTCAGAGTCAGTGTTGTCACTTATGACTTCATTTTCTGGTTCCCAGTAAGTCGCATCTATGAATTCTGGTAGGGGCTCAAACATTCTATCCAAATCTTCCAATAATGGCATTTGATAATCCTGGCCAAAACCAATATCCGGACCAACAGCAAATTTTATAGATGAAGGACGCCACTCAACTCCTAGTGCACCAAGTCGACGTTGCTGGAACATGGTCTGATAAGGTTCTGGGTATGGAATCATACCTGGAGTTTCCAATAACGATAACATTAGGGGATTTGTTGTCTCAGAATAACATTTCAAACAATCACCATACGTGAAGGAGCCAAAAACATACTTGAGTCACACAGAGGATCTTCGATGTTCCTTCGATGTGGAGCGAGTTGTGTCTCCTGCACCAGAAACGATCTCATACTAGTAAGTTATTTAGCATTGAGAGGAGTCAAAGAATAGCAAGATCTTTCACTACAAGTCTGCCATTACAGCTGACAAGCGTCAAAGATATCAGATACAAATAAGCTCAGCGCTTCAAATTGTCAAAGTCAACAAAATTAATTTTCCAATATTATTAATCTGTGCCAACATGATAAACTATCAGAAATAAATCCCCTAGACTGGGAAAAAAGTCACTACTTCAATTTTGATGACTTAAAATCTAGCAGGTTGTGTTGGGTTGCACATACTAAGCATTATCCACTTCCAGTAGCATGCTTTTCCAATTGTCCAAAGTTAAAAATTCTTCACCAAGAAAGTAACGATCAGCAGAAACTAACCTGATCAAGAACGTTTCCTGCAGCATCACGGATAAGGGGTCGATAATCCCCAAGGAAGAACTGCATGAGAGATATAATATAACCAAAACAACCATCCTAAGAAAACAGCAGAATGCTTATTTAACTAACAGGAAACAGAACTCCGGCTCACCCAGGGAAGCAGGAAATAGGTGAGAAGAACTGCACATTTAAGATTTTGTGTACCTGGTCATATTTGGCATCCTTTTGAGACTCACCCTGGCCTGTGTTTAGCAAGTGTATTTGACCAACATCATCAGAAAGCACAACTGACGTCCCATCCCTGTGACAAAAAGAAAACATCTCTAATCACCAATGAAAAAAAACCACAAACCAAACACCATGTGCGATGAATTCTCAAGATTGGGCCAAAATTTCTCTTTTTTTTAAAAAAAAAAAGCCTACATGACAAGAATATCACAGCATTGCTATATCTCATATCCACGGCAAAAGCAACAACTGGAAGTACTGAATGATATAAAATTACCCAGCCCATGAGAACCACATGGGGGAATGAAGAACACAGTCCAAAGAGCATATCATTCAGACTAATGCTCATATGATACATCCCACTGTATAAATAATCAAATATAAATAGAAAGATCAGATGACATTCAACCAGACATATTTGAAATCCAATCATCACCTTCAAGAGTAATTTCCAAATAAGTGTGACAAGTGGTCAAGTTTAGGCATAGCCTAACAAGTCAAAACCCACTCACTTCCTCAGGTACTTATTACCATAATCTGAAACATATTAGCTGAAGGACAAAGTTGTCTAATTAAACAAAGAAAAGTAAAATTTGATTATAAAATATGTTATGGTTCACTTACGGAGAAAACTTCCCATCAACCAACTTGACACGGCCAATTTCATATATGCGAATTGGAATGCCTTCCCATATCTATCATATAACATGCCGAATTACGTAAAAAAAATAAACAATGGTGGAACAATATCAGTGATTCAACATGAGGAACTTGTAGAACCAGAGACTTACATCCCACACTATCGTTCGACCATCATACCCAGCACTCATAGCTATCCGAGGGTTGAAAGGATGAACATCTAAAACATAAGACTGCCAAAAATTGAGTGACAAATAAGTTAATTAATGACAATTAAGAAAATAAAATCTCAAATTAACAAAGATTCGTCATAAGAAAAAAAAAATAACAACTAAACGATCGGATGGAGCAGAGAACATGCCCAGATCACCAAGCAAACTAAGATACTGTGAAGAATATGCAGAACAATTAAGTTTGTGCCATTCTGTGAAATTCAGCCAAAATACATGGAACAAAGAGTTGAAGCCAGCAAACAACACTGTAAGATTTTGTTGAGAAGATACTAGAAGTAATTAAGATTGGATGAGATGTCAATAGGTTTCCTCCCAACGTCGAAGATTTCGTAGATTGACCATATTAAAGTTAAAAGCAATAAGTCAAAAGCAAAATAAAACATATAGAAGGATCGATTACGTCAGATAAGAAGGAAAGAAACAACCCATAATGATTCAATTATTCCAATAGAGGTCAAAATAAGCACGTTAAGTGTGTCAATGGCCTGTCATTCCATGATTTTAGAAACCACTTACAGACTCAGTGTGGCCAGTCAAAGAATGCACTAAGCTACTATCAGCAGCATTCCAAACACATATTCTGCAATCTGCATATACAAGGAACCATTGAGAGCCACAAGAAGAGGTAAAGACGATTTAAAAAGAACATTAAAAACTATTCACATCCAAAATTCATAAAAGGTTGATTGTCTGTAGATATACATCCATAAGCATGGATCAGCCATTTATCTACATTAACTGGACCAGGCAGATACACAACAAGCAAACGATAGGAAATTGGGACTTTTTTAGCCATACACCTCATCTTAAGATGGCTAAGCCAAGTCATCATACACAGAGTAAACACAAGCTCTGATTGATCTTATTTTTTAATTTTCACACTTTAAGAACCTAATCTAGAGATGCACGTTGAAAGAAACTTTAAAAACCATGTCCTCAAAGAAAGTGACGGAAAGAAGAACCTTTTCATCCAAACTAAAGCATAAAAGACAGTGACGCAAGAATTTATTTAGCACAATCAGGATTCTATGATATATGGAATGTATAGAATAAAGACACTAAATTTTCATTGCATACAAAAGAAGAGCATAGAGAAATAAAAAGAAATAATATAAAGGTGCATTAACAAATTAGAGGCCAATCCATATTGCAACAGTAAAATTTACCCATTACAGCTGCTAAGACAAAGCGCTTATCAAGACTCCACACAATCATATTAACACCGCGAGGAGTTGGAAGAATTCTCTGGCGCGGTCCCCCCGAAGAGGTTGTGGAGGTAGTGGAGGAGGTGGAACTTTCAGATGATAAGACATTGTCCAACGTACAGATTTTCCCTGAGACAACAAAACGCACAGACAAAAATTAAAGCATCTTTGCATGAAATGCATTAACTCCAGGTTTAGCAATTCAAATAGAGAGCAGAAGGTACAACTAATTCTTCAAAGGTTCATAGAAATGGAAACATTTATAATGCCTCCTCCAAACTGCACACCAAAAACCATAGTGGGAAACTAATTCAAACGAACTCACATGCGATCTCCGTGATATAGGTCTCCATATGATTGCACTGCCATCACGGGAACAGGTAACTATTTTGTCATGACAGAACCTAAGAATAAAAAAAAATTAAGCAATAAGGGCGCAGTAAATTTGCTAAGTAAATACAGGGCAGATTGTTCATTCTACTCGCCTTAAAATCAAACTAACTACAGATATGGACCATTGACAATAAATAACTGAAAGTGGAAAGGAATAAATAGACAGACCAGGAAGTTTTAAATTTTGGAACACTATCCTCCTTCAAAGTGTCAGACATTGAAGATCTGGGAGCCACAGCACAGCCACTACAGATGAAAGAAGGCAGTTTGTGTCAGACAGCTCAAAATAAACTAATTTACTAACAAGGAACAACTAACCTGAATTGAACATAATTGACATCATTCTCATGGCCAGATAATACATCCATCTCATGTATAGGTTGCTCTGACTCATCTGTGTTAGATTTACAGGCATTCCAAACCTGGAAGTATTTTCTTCTCCGTAAACACATCAAACCAAACATATAGTAACACCAACAAAGATAGTAACGACAAATAAACCAAAGAAGTTATTTCAAGAGCAAAAAGTGTTCAAACATACCCTAGCGTAAGTATCAGAGCTTCCAGTGACAAAAACAGTTCCATTGGCATTGTATGCACAACACAATATCTGATTGCTCTGTGGACCATTACTTGAGGAAGGTCCATTACTAGAAGCACCACTGCTCTTCCCTGCAAAAACTTCTCATTTACTAAGCCTGTAATCACCAATACAGTACAAATGTCTTAATAAAATAATAAAAGGCAACCATCTAACCAGTAAGAGCATCTGAAGGCTTTGGCACATAAATTCGTGGACTACATTGGGAATATCTAGCATCCCAAATTCGACAAGTTCCATCATCTGATGACCTACAAATAGGCATATGGCAGATTAACTAACAATGCCAAGTCAGATAAATAAACATGTGGCTCCAGCCAGGAGGCAATAGAATAAAACATCTCCATATCAGAATATCTCATTGAAGAACTTCAGAAAAATCACAGTAGCGACCCTAGCCAAGACAAATGCAATTTTTTACATGAAACTCAAAACGATCACAGAGGATCAACCGAGTGTATGAACATTTTTCAATAACTATCAATATCTCTAGAAAAGGGGCTCACGATAAAAGGTGATACACAGAGCCCAGCCTGGGACTAAATGCAATGGCAGTAACAGCTCCAGTGTGGCCCTGCAAGACTGAAATGGGCATCCCATCTGGCAAGCGCCACTGCATTATACCAAAAGGAACTAATTAGTTATTAGGGAGTACGAAACTTGGAAAACTTAAAGATGAAGTAGAGAAGAGAACTCTTACCACTCGAATGACAAAATCATTGGAAGCGGATGCCACTAAAGCATTGTTTGAACTTACAGCCAAGTCAGTAATGTCACCCTTTAGTACATACAAACAGAAGAGTAAATTAAAATAAATAGGACAAAGATATTTTTAAAAGCATTTCAGGCCCTCACAAGCACCATATATTACGTATGCAATCGATGCTCACTTCGTGTCCTCTGCAGCTGGCCAGGCAAAATGCAGTCTCCATTGACCAAATCTTGACAAGACGATCATCCGAACCAGTAATAACATACCTCCCTGAGCGATCAAATATTGCTAGGAATACAGGCAATAGTTATACTTGTTAATAGCCAACATATCAATGAAACGCATATAAGCAGGGAAATGGAAACTATAGAACGAAAAAAAAATTCAGTAAATTTCAGCATAACTTAATTATTAATTGCAAGTTAAGAAAAGATATATAACCATTTACAAAAATTTTTGGTTGGTAAAACAAGGTGATGCAGACAATAATATGTTCAAAGAAAAAATTGTGAACCTTTTTAAATGAGACTGCTGAACAAATTTTTCTATCTAAGAGAACCATCATAATGATGGATCTCATTGCTCTACAAGAAAACAACTAGGGAGAGGACTACAAACGCAATGGGTAATTACCGCGACCATATCCTAGATATCATCCCATAAAAAACGCTTAACAAGTAGGTATTGTCTGCTAAAAATAGAAAGGAGAAATCCCATTAAGGCAAGATGTCAGTGCGCGAGTTCAAAGCAAGTAATACTTACCACAATAGACAGCAGTGCGGTGTCCCCTTAACTTCTTTGTATTTTGCATCTTCTGCACCATCGTCAATGGCTTAGCAATGGCATAACAAGCATAGCGAATGGATGGAGCACGATGGTGCTTTGCAAAACCTCCTCCAATTTCCCTTAAACTCAGCCCATGCACCTGATCAATCTGCATGTGAGGCCAACGCAGGTTCGTTGGCAGGGGCTTAGCTTGCTTATGCATACTCCTCTCACCTGAATAATACGAAGCAACATCAAGGAAAAGCAAAGAAAATAGGGTAAATCCTAATCAAGAGTCACAATACAGAGATTTTGGAAATCCAAGTCCTAACTCATAATTTATACCAAATAACCAACCTTAGAAAGCACATGATGAAAGGGACCTAATAGAAGGAACCATACAGAAAAGAAGATCTATGATAATTTCAGATAGCGAAAATATAAATAAGGCCAAACCTACAATAAGAAGAAATTGCTTTTGATTAGAAATCTGGCTCCTAAACTACTTGTAAAGTACCATTAAGGAAGAAAGAATATTTAAAAGTGGAGTTAGTTATCTACATCGAAAGCATACTCTGCCAAGTATCTATTATCTAACCAAAAAAATTGTTATTTTAATTAGCAAATGAAAGCTATGTCTGCCTAGGAATTGCGAAGTAGATTAATTGGCCTCACAAAAGCCATGCCACGGTAAAAGACATGGCAAGTAATTAAAAAAAAAAAAGCAATTTCCCAAGACATGACATTAAAAAGTCATAGCCCAGTTATATTCTAACCAAAGGAGAGTCTTGTAACTTTGAATAAATTGGCTGCTCTCATTTCCTGAGCCTACATCTTCGTTGCAAACTTTAAGACCTTGACCATTGCACAAAAGCATGTTCCATTCAAAAGACCAGAGTAGTATAATTATTTACTGAAAGGCGTTAAGATCAAGGATGAAAAAGTGGGAAAGGCTAATAGAAAGAAACACAACTGAAATGCAACCAAAATTTCAAGTATGAACCAATATTTTCATAGGGACACATGTTGAATTCAATTGAGAAATGATCACATTAGAGGAACAGTATTTTTTTTTTTTTTTCCTGACATTTGCCTGAAAAACTTTATCTTAGGAAAGAGTAAAGCATTGCAAGGATCACATACAATCAAGAAGCGAAAAAGAACCAGATCCCAGTATTGTAGGAACATGAGCTGCATTTAGGCTATTCCCTCCAGCCTCGCCAAGCATAGAGTCTGTGTTCAGCAGCAATTGTTTCAGAAGCTTTACCAAATGATCCTTCTCAATATGACGATACCTGATAGTTATGTAAATGACATCAGTTACTTCATTACCGCATTGGAGATAAATAAAATAGAAAAGATCCCAATAAAGTGTAAGAAACAACGTCAGAAAAAAAAGAGGGGGGGGAGGAAGAGAACAGATCCTCCCAGTTGAGCAAAAAGGACCTTAATCTAAACTTGCCCTTAAAGGATGCAGCCACCATTTAAATATCTTATTAGTCTGATTCAGAGTAATACTGATCTGATTTTTCAGATTCTTAATGGAGATTGAGAATACTCACAAATTAACAGAGAGGAACTGCAACAGAAAAATTACAACGGGTTGAGTTATCAGATGTACTTTAGGAAGGAATTTCAAATTAATAATTAAATTTCCAAATTATGCAAGAAGCAAAGAGCATTGGATGGCATTACTTTAAAGAAAAAGATTAGGGAAAGAGCTGTTGGCCAGCTTATCTTCTTAATAGGTTAGAACCGTTTTTTTTCCTTTTCCAGATAGGTTAGAAATAAATTTTATGCTGCAATGATGTTGCCATCATTCAACTTCAGGCAACAATTACTAAACATATATATATGCCAGGAAATATTATATGGAAATACAAGTGGCCAGCATGACATGTAAATCCAATGGCATCAGAGGAACACAAATAGAAATGAAAATGAAGGACAGCCATTACCATAAAGTTTCTTCCCCCAGGTTATAAATAACATCACCAAAGATGGAAAATAAAGATTTCAAGTAAAATGAACCTTATTTTACCTTTCTGCCAATTTATCATAACTTAAAGGAAGAGAGACACCATCATCGCTATCATTCCTGCTATGTGCACCACTTCTTGAAAACCAAGCATGATATCTTCTTGGTAGAAGCTCATGTTCTAAAACTTCATCCCGGAATTGTCTAGAAGTCCTATGGAATGGCCCAGAAGATAGAAAATGCATAATCAAGAAGTAAACTTCTCTATGGTCCACATCTAAATTTTTCTCATCAACACGAACTCTCCCTTGTTGTTCAAAATGAGCCTTCTCCATCACCGTATTTGAAAAATCCAACGGTGCCTTGTTAATGGAAGAAGCACCACCAGAAGATGCACGATTCCATATATCCATATTTTAGGTACAACCTGAGAAACAAGGAAGCACTTGTTCATTTATTTTTCATACATGTAGACAAAATGATTGAAAACATACCAACAGTCTGCGGCAAGATACTGCTGATGAATAAAAGATTAGATTCAACAGGAAACTCCTAAAACAAACATGTGCTCTACGACAAGTGAGATTTGTAACACCTTGTTCCCAGCTCCTAGCCCAAAGGCACTCCCTAGTCCATGTCAAACCAGCCAGGATATGCATGGTTATTTCTCTTGACTTCTACAAGCAACGTAGAATTGCTCACTCCAGGGAATGAGATCCTGGGCTCTTCTTGGGAGCTGTACATTGACCTTCTCCATTTTATCCTTTGCCTGTGCAAGCAAGCATGGATAACTGCATGCTATTGTAAATCTAATCTCGAAATAAAGTCAGGAACACATTCAAGATATGACGGTGTCATTATCCTAATTGGATAGTTGTTCAAACCATACTAGAGATCTACGATTAAACCTCATTCAACAACGACTCAGGCTCAGGGTAATGAAAGGGTGAGGATTACCTCCCATTTAGTAAGGCAACAATTGATAGAAAATAATACATATGGCACAGTGTACGTCAATGAATAAAAAACATATAAAGATGGAATCCTACAGACAAAGAAACTTTAAGTCCATCAAAAAGAACCCAGAGGCATAAAAAAGCATGTCGTATAGTTTCCATAAAATATTGAAGCCCGACCTCTCATTAATACCTCTTAAATAATTGCAATGCATATGTATATCTCAAGCATTGTTGTTGCAAATGCCTTCCAACTGGTAAAAATTGTCTGGCATTATAATTCAAAATGGGCTTAACGTGTCCCGCACGTCTAAAATTGCAGTTGCACAAGACAATTGAGAATCTACGTTTCAAGATGCTAAGAAGGCTAAGACCCCTTTAGCCAACATGTTTTAAGATCCAACACAAATCCAAATTTAAAAGATTCAAGGCTACAAATCTATTCGATGGCTCCATTCTAAGTGCTACATTATATGATGCATCCTGACAATGTAGTGGCTCACAACCCATTTACTATCAATTACAAGGAACGCAGCCCTGTCTGATAAATATAGACCCATGTGAAAAGCTGACTTTGATATTTACGACTTGAGATATAGGGAAAAAGAGAAGGGAAGGATGTAGGGAAAAATTTTGTTACTATGAGGGGGTTGGACAAAGCCCATGTCATAGCAGCAATCTTTTCAATATTCTTCATTTAACAGAACATTTTGGTCATCTATTCCCATGAAATACTAGGATTACAAGTACCAGCGTAATTTGGTGTTTTTTATCTCATTGTTCCTGATTTTTTCATCTACTTCTGGTTTCATATTCAAAAGATAATCTGAGATTTACCAAAGCAATAATCAGTTGTAGAAACCCAAATTGTGTAAATAATTAAGTTTATGACACTGCTGTGAATTCCCACAATCTAAAACAAGCATTTTTAGAAATCAGCAAGCATAAGGTTTCACAGCAAGACAAAAAGGGACCACAATAGGCATTGCCATTGCGAACAAATACCTATAAAATTAGAATATCCTTACAACACAATTAACACAACAAGCACTGTAACCCACTAACACGCTACAAGCAGTATAGCCCACTAACACGCCACAATGAAGCACAGGAAATGAATGGTTTTTATAAATTACATCGTATATGGTACATCATTTCTCCTCCCTATCTGCATTTCAGTTACCATATCGGATCACTTCTACCAACCAAAGATCATTAAACAAGCTATAACTCAAGAATGTCAAAATTACCAAGAAAAGAAAAGGCAAAGATGCAATGGAAACAATTTCCAGTACCATAATAGCCAAAGGAACTGCCTCATTAATTACGTCAATGCCTAGTAAATTTTGATATTTAGGAGTCTGTTTGCTGACTAACAAACCCCTTTCAAACTCTACCACTACAGCAATAGCAACAATTAAAAATACATTCCAATTGAAAATATATACTACTAGGATTACATTTAAAAAAAAAAAATCAGGTTGATGAATTAATTACCTTCAATTGTCGAAGATTAAGAGGAGTTTGTTGTCGCTTCCTCCCTCCAGTTCATCAGCAAACACCCAGTTATCAACCTACTGCTAATTTTGAAGGAATTCCATAACTTAAGAACAAAAAATTAATAATAACAGTTAAGAGACCAAAGCAATTACTGCTGTCCTCGTAGGAAGGTAGACGAAATTAAAAGCTGAAATTACTCAACTAATTACGAAAAAAAAACATTAAAATGAAACTACTAAGGATCTAACCTAATCGACGAGACATGCAAAAAGCAGCAGAGCATAAGACCAAAAAAATATATTCAAAGTTGTTAAAGCAAACGAAGCCAAACAAGATCTTTCTTTGTTTACCTTATACAGAGTCAGTTTAACATACTAATTAGTATGTAGTGTATTTCACTGATTGTAATTTACAAGAAACACTGACGAGTTGCAGAAATTAGTTTGCAATTTGAAATTTGGTTATTGCTCTGTAGAGAAAATGAAAAAATGAAATTGAAATGGAGTGATTTAAAAAGGGAGGTTTCCATTTTTAGAGAGAGAGAGGTGATTAAAAGAACATTTTTTGGAGATTAATTAATGACTAAAATCTTATACTTACGTGAAATAAGAAGGCGATAATTATTATTTTTATTACTATTAATTAAAAATCTTTTTATTTGGCCGTTAGACGTGCGGGACGCCGTACTAGTGCAATAACTATTATACCCACGGGCCATGATGCCTTCATTGGGTAAAGCTATGCCTAATGTGTCCGGGTTATTATTGTCTTTTAGGTGCACTTCCGTTTTATGTTTTAGTTCTGTTATGGCTTTTTTTATTTTTTATTTTTTTTGCGGAGCAAAATGTTTTTTATTTCTTTTAACCGACTAAACTGTATTCTTCATGTACAAACGTTGCTGGCAAGGATGTTGACATAACATTTTTTTTCTGTCGCTACGAAAGAACAGAACGTGTTTCTTCCCATATTAGGTCATGCTCCAAATTTCCATTTACAGAGACTCCGAATTAAATTTTCCTTCCATCCAGATTTTAACTTTTTAATTTATTTTTTCTCTAGATAGGATACTTTTTAATCTATTTTTCTAAAATAAGATTTAAAATATCTTATTTATAAAAAAATATATAGTTTTATCATGTAACCATTCATGTCATATTTTTAATTAAGAATTACAATACTAATATTTAATATAATAATTTTAAAAAATAGAAATATGAAAAAAAAAACGATTAACTTACGCTTGCAGCACTGTATTTAAGGAAATATTAATTTCACAAAATTAAGCAGCCCATTACACGTACGGCAATTCCTGCATGATCAAAGACATGATTTGCAAATGCCTAAAACCCTAAACTTTCTAATGTTATGCGAAAGTTAATTTGAGCGGCCCACTTTCTAATGTTATAAATTATTGGATTTCAGCAGCCAACGCCATTGTACATTTGGTGTTCAAAACACCTGAAGATAAGCTGGCAGCCCAGGTTTCTGAAGAAAGCATATCAGAAGCTTTAAAAAGTTCCATCTGATGCCCTGTTATTATAAATATGAGCTTAGAGCCCGTTGACACGGGCTTCGTTCAAGAATGCAATGCCTCGAACAACAAAAGCAAGCTGGATGAATGTAATTATTCAATGCAAATGCAGCAAAAACTATTTCTTCCTGAACTTAATTGTATACGTTACAAATCCTAGAGTTAGAATGCACCAAAACAAACATGTAAAACCGGCTTCTCCGTCAGATAACAAACCAAGGCCCACTGAGTTGAAAGATAGCATGTCGATATCTCAAGAAGAAGATGGATCTCCAACAAGAGAAGCAAAGTTAACCAGATGTTTACCCGGCCAAATGTCGCCCTTTTTTGGATGACTTATAATGCAAGATAAATAGATAACCAATTCGAACCCTCTACAAGTGCCGCAACCAATTGTTTGATAAGGGACCCATGTCAGGATAACTGAAAAGCCTAAGCACAGGTGGTTGTCACTGTCCTCTATTCAGCAGTGATGCAAGCGTTCAGCCATACAGGCAAGACATGTTTTTTGAAAATGCGAACATAGACAGAGAGAGCAGAACTAATAAAAACCCAAAGCTTCAAAAAGATTCCTCTGAGGTTCATAAAGAGCTCCATTTGCAGGAGAGGGCTAAAAGCATGTAAGTAGAGTCAGTTTTCGAGTATTATTTCTAAAACATGTAGTGTTTGCGTCGAGGGATGAAGAGGTAGGAATTAATCCACTTTTCTCCCATGTAATGATTAATCCAGTGCTATTTCTGCAGGCAATTAGTCCGCTCTTGGAGTTGCAAGGAGTTACTCGGTCAGACGAAGACAAAAGTAAAAAACCTCGCAGCATGATGGTTAACAATGTCTTACATATGTAGCACGGAAGAAAGTCACAACATTGGCGCCCAGAGAAACTCAGTTGCACCTGCAAATACATTGGTTTTGAAATTCAAAACAGTTCTCAACGTGAAAACTGGTAAATCAGATTGAGCTCTTATATCTACAATAATGGCTGAAGAGTTCTTCTCAGAGAAGGAAGATCCTATCTACATATGTAAGAGAGGGTTGTTTAGTTTAGAAGGTTCACTGATAAGTCTTCTCTTTGGAAAAACGAAAGAGACTTGTTTTTTTATTATAAAGAGAGGATAACTTAATTTTTTAGGGAAAAAAATAAAACTGACATGTCATTTTAGACAAAAATAAAATAAAACCCATATCATTAGTATTTAATTGAAATTGCTCCTACGTGACACATAATATTTTATTAAAGGAAATAAAACTACACTATTACAAAAAATAAGATTAAAAAAAAAAAACTCTTTTAACTTCTGTCTTTTACTTTATCCCCATCAAAAAATATATATACATATCCATGTCAAATTCATCACTCATTTTTTTTTTCCTTTTACCCCTTTTTTCCCATGATCTGTAGCATTGTTCGAAATTTAGAGTATTGCTAAGTGGACTGCCAATTTAAGCTGTGTATCAAAAATATTAGTCAAGGGTATTTATTGTGTTCTTGGCAATAAAACAATGTGAAAGGAAAACGAGGTTTTACAGCTAAAACCATTTATTGTCCGTGATGCAATTATCACCAAAATGCTGAAATTGGAAGAACTAAATACTACACCTTGCATTTATGTATATCCTTAACCAATGGAATCGGTGATCTCTTGCATCTCTTTCACAAACTTATCTGCGTTTTTCTTTTCAATCAGGACCCAAAAAATAAGAATATTTAATAAACTCGTAATGCACATGACGAAAACAAACTTCGATTCATTAATCATGTTAGCAAATAAAAATCGACGTGCCAATGCAATATTCTGTCTTTTCTTTTCTTTCAACTAATTTTTCAATCTATACCATTAAAAATAGAACTAGTAATTCAAAGACGTGAAATTTAATTCAATTATAAATGAAGCAAGAAATGACAAACTTCTCAGAGTAAATTAAAAGAGAACGAATCCAAACAATTATTTTCATGAAGGAAAAACCATTTCAGTAATTTGTACCAAACCGCATGAGGCATCAATGGATTGCATATCAGCACAGATTTTGGGTGGAGATTCCTCTAGACATCCCCATAAATGACTTTATTTGTTCACTGACTAATATAAATACCCATCTGGAGCATCCGTGAGAAGTAACAGATAACGCTGTAACACCCGCAAGACGTTTGACTGTTCAACCTATAACCTTATACCCCAAAGTGCTAAGCTTGGAAGAATTGGTTCTATTATATGCATTTATCCAAAACTGATCACAATTCACCAAATCAAACAGACCGTTAATCGTTTTAAATCTGTTATCCATTCACTTCCTTCTCAAAAATAATAATTATAGTAACAATCGTACTATTAACAGTAATAAGAACATTGAGACTCGTCAAGTAAGCATATGAAGCAGGATTGTTCAGATACAGTATCATGCGAGCTTTAACTTCTCTGACTCTAATAGCTGAACAGTACAGTCTACAACACTAAAAGTAACAGTAAAAATCCAACTAAATTTGGAAGTTAGCTCAATAACAGTTTCAGTAAGATATGACTAATAACACTTCCTGGTGTAACGCTTTGGTTGCTGCTAAATCCAGACAACTATATTCATAGCGAAAAAACACCACAGCAACCCACATCAGGCATCGATAAATCGAATATCAAAGGTGTTGGGATGTATCTGCCAGACATTTAAGGCTGCATATTCCTCTAAACATTCTTTCAACTGAGCTTCACTGTATCCCTGTTCACAAGCAAGCATCTCAAGCAATCAGATTTATTCAGAAATTTAGAAAAGAAAATATAATTTTTGGCTAGGGTAGAAGAAGAAAATATAACCAATAAAAAGAATATCCTAAATCCTAGTGCCAAATTGGCGCTCAAACAAGTTCATGATTTGTGATAACTAATTTTGTAAAATTTGATCTTGGTCTGCATTTGTGTTCTTCCACTGAATATTTCAAATACTGATGGATTTTCTCAAGACCATATGATCCAATTATTCAAATGGCATTGCACTGGGTGGTCACAATCCATTGATAGAACTATATACTGTTGACGAATAAGAAAACAATGCTCAGGAATTGAGACATGAATAAAGCCATTATTTCTTAAGTCAAACACTTCGAAGGGCATCATGTTATAGATTGTAGTTTCATGAAAAGCTCATCTCTAGGTAAAATGAAGCTGGAAAGCATCTTTGGATGGAGTTGCACTCCAGAGTTGAAGTTGGAAAACTTTAAGTGCCTATTAATTTTCTGAATCAAATGCTAAGCAGCTGACATGAGTTCGCAAGAGGAATTCCATCAAATAAGGTAAGGAAATCCAAAAGGAACTTGCCCGCTGATGATTTGCATGTCCCTTTTCCTCAAAGCACTAGATATTAACAATCAAATTCGATCAACAAAATCAACAAACCTTTCTAGAAATCCAGTTGAGTGCATGGGCATAGCTCACATCCATTTTATTGGCTCTGGCAGCTTCATCCCGCAAGATTGAATAGATGTCTGAGATGGCATCCAGACCAGATCTCTGACGGTCATCAGAATATAGAGAGAATTTTGACATCTGCATTAACCTTAGTGCCTCATCCACATCACTCTGAGCCACAGTTTCCGAAAATCGAAGTCTTGCTAAGGCCTGTAACCAAATGAAATCAATTTCACGTGTGTTGATACAACTCAAAAATCAAGATATATTTCACATGCCAACTGATTTATCCTATGGGTGGGATCAGGTTGGTCTAACTATCAACAGCTTAAAATCAGCTTTCAAGAGTACAGCTGAACAATTTTGAACCTGCACTTCCTAACCTGAAGTGCAAGCCAAACTGGACCTGGAAAATGCTGCCTTTATTGAAAAGGTAGAATCCAGGTCTATGATTTGTCAAGGTAACATCCCACCCTTCACCCAACCTAGACCAAATCCGTAGTGTCCCATTGCCCATTTTGATGCACTAAAACAACTATCTCTTATTAATAAGAGAACAATTGAAAATCAGGACTTACAGCTGATATGCGGAGTATGCTAAGCAGAGTTCTGACAGTAGTGTAGGAATGAGGAGTGTTTGATTTAGCTTCTTCTTGACGAATGCTTGAGTATGCAGTAGCAATGTATTCCTCCAGTTCCTTAGGCACATAAGGGGACAATCTTCTAGCAGCAGAAATATATGCACTGTGAAGCATTCAAAGATAAAGCAGTCAATTTTAAGGCATTGAAATGCTGGTCACCTAGAAACCAGTCAATTTTATTTTAGTCAGTTTTTTTTTTTTTTATCTAAATACTTTATAACATTTGGAATAAAGCAAAATCAATTGCTTAAACTTAGAGAAGGTATTTTTCAAATCCAAGGCCTCCCTTAACTATCATACAATATTTAGCAGAAATTAAAGGAATTTAAATGCAACCAATAAACACATGTAAAAAAGGAGCAGTAATCAAAGGAACATGAAGACACCAGACACAGGGCTGTATGTTTGAGCAACTTCAATATTGTGTGTGTTTGTGTCGGTATAGGTTACACTGCAACTTAATGATCCATGGTGACAAAATAAAAGCTAGTCAATCACGTGGAAAATCCTGAAGTGAGTCATCCATAAAACTTGGAACTAACAATTAAATCATTTATGCAACTGAGATATATACCGGAGAATAGATGGTTCAAGTGGAGTGAAACCAAGAGCAGGAGATTCTTTATTCTGGTGCACATAAACAATGTGCCTTGCCATTTCAAGGTCGCTGTCCATATCTGCTCGATCAAGGATCAACCAAAGAAGATCAAATCGTGATAGAAGAGCAGGAGGTAGATTGATATTTTCTGCTGGAGTTCTTCGTAGATCATATCTTCCCCTTCAACACAAATAACAGGACCACCAAACAAATTTAGACTAGTTAATTGTACATAGTAGCAAGGACTTTTTTTTTTTTAATCTTGTTTAAAGCAGGAAAAAAAGAGAGGAAAAACTGGCATGAACTGAGAGCAACAGATTTAGGTAAAAGTAGCATAAATAATATGGATTCCAGCACATGAAACAGCTCTAAGGACGTTAGGAAGGTTTGTACCAAGCAGGATTAGCAGCAGCAAGAACAGCAGTTCTCGCATTGAGTGATGTTGTAATCCCAGCCTTGGCAATGCTGACAGTTTGCTGCTCCATAACTTCATGAATTGCTGTACGATCTGATTCATCCATCTTGTCAAACTCGTCAATAGCACATATACCCATATCAGCCAGAACCTGAAAACGATTAAGCTTCTTATTTCAACCAAAGACATCTTCACAGCAATTAGAGTTAAGAGCTGAAGATTGTGCCAACACAATTAGCCAATGTAAGCTTAGCAGTTTGTAATTTATGCATGAATTGCATTAAATAGTAATGCTCTTTCCAATGCTATCTCTTCACATGTAACTAACCAATCAATGTCCTTTCTGAAAAAGTTAAATGCTACGCCATAGAAGTATAAAACTCACCAATGCTCCCCCTTCCAGGACCATCTCATTTGTAACTGGATCTTTCTGAACAGCAGCAGTTAGACCAACTCCACTGCTCCCTTTGCCAGTTGTGTACACTCCCCTGGGTGCTACATTTATTATATGCTTCAGAAGCTGACTTTTGGCAACACCAGGATCACCCATCAAACATAAATGTAAATCTCCTCTAATCTGCAATTCATTGAGTTCCTATAACTTTTAAGCTATCACAGAAAGCAAACAATCTAGAAAACACTAACTAGTCTTCTTGCATTTACAAAAATGTTCTGGACATGGCTCATGCAGAGAATAGAAATGAGAATATAACAAGCTAAGTGGTCTTCATGATGTTATAACTTGCCATAATGATAGGCAGAATACATCTGCCAACAAGCATAACGTAATCTCATATAAATGCAAGCATTTACCTTCATCCCATCCTTTAGCTTCCGATGAGGAGCACCCACGAGGAGAAGAAGTAAAGCCTTTTTAATATCTTCATGTCCATAGATTTCAGGTGCCAATGATTGTGCCAACTTATTGTAGATATCTCCATCCTCAGAGAGACGTGCAATCTGCTCTTCTTCATCTCCTCTGAGTTCATAACTGCATACAGAACAATTGGATCACATACTGAGCTATTCTTTGATCTCACTTCCCAGTTAACTTGCAGACGAAACAATAACAAGCCTTGCCAATGTAGCTTCATCCAAGATGGACATACCTCCTCCAATAGTAACATCAGTAAGGTGAAAATTCATTCCATGAAACCTATTAGATTCTAAACACCGTTTGTCTTCATAAGATTTTCCATAATTGCACGTTTGAATTGTTATTACATGGATTTATTTGGACAAAATGGACTTTCTTTCATCAGAGCCTCAAAACTGAGTAAGCAAAAACAAGAAAAAGAAACTCATCAGTTATCATATACCAGATTATGGAGTGATTATTTCATTTATTTTTTTATCCAACTCGAATTTTGAAGCACCTAATAAATAGACGCAGATAGAATGATAAGTTAGAAGAATTATACATTAATATAGGAAAAATCCCCAAAACACTGAAGCTTCCCTCACTAGCAAAGAAGGTAAAGGTAAAAGAGAACAATAGAAAAAATGTGATGCTCTTCCCTGACTTTATCACAGATAAAAAGTTCGGAACTACTTTTGCACCTACTATTTTCCTCCATCTTTTCCTATTAGTTTCATTGTTCTTATAGATAGACCTTCTATCAACCAGAAAGGTCACAATCTAAACCATCTACCACTAAAGAAAGTAATCTCCACGGAATAAAGGTGTAAGCTCAACACAATAAGCTTCTGTTCAAGGCTCAGTAAGTTATGGGGAAACAAAGAAATGCTGGCTCCATGTTGATAAAACTCAGTAAGCAAGAACTTCACATAATTCAAATAATTACAAGTGTTTTGTTATAACAAGATCAGAAAAGCGGCTTACTCTTCATATCTTTTCTTGAAATGAGTAACAGACATGGCCTCCAAATATGTGTCCGCAACTAAGCCAGCACGCATTGCTCTGAAACCAGTGTAAGGTATCGGAAGAAAGATCCCTGATAATTCAACGACATCACCTGGTGCTACCTGGCAATTTAAAAACCAGAGTAAAGTTAATTGTGCCAATAGCACATAAAACATACAAACTTTGAGAAACCAAGTGATGAAACTGTTTGCATGTTGCAATTAAAAGGACCAAACAAACATTACCTGCTTTAAGGATGCATGCAAGAAGCAATTTCACACAAAGTTTGATGGAGTAGCTATGTTGTACTTATAGAAACACTCTCCACTTAAGAACCCTAAAGCTATATTAAGTGATTCTTCATCAAGCAAGAAGTGTTTTTGGTCAAAAAATAAGCGTCCTTGGTAGATTTCTATGTTTTCCGCTTAGAGTCTTGAGTTATGGGTTAATTTGTAAGCAGGGGCAGAATTATAATTTCTGAAAGTTCTGCAAATCAGGGGTATTTTAATAATTTTCAGTATTACTTGAAGGCCTAGTCTTATTTAGGAATTTAGTGTCTTAGTCTTTAATAGACAATTCCTGTTTAGTTTATTTCCTAGTCAAGAAAGGATTAGTTATCCTAGTGTTTTACGGAGTGTTAATCTCTATAAAAAGGGATGCTTTGTTTTAATTTACGACAGAACTGAGTTGTGAAATAAATTGAGCATCAGAATTATTTTCAAAGCTTAGTGTCTAAGGTTTCTTTTCTTTCTTGTTTACTGTTCAAAGCTCTACTCTACATCTCTACCCTAATTTCACAAACAATAAACCCTAGCTCGCCTCAAATCCTTTGTAGAACAGAAATCTCAAATCTGTCCTACATCAAAGTTACTCGCTACCAATTTCATTAAACTATACCTTTTCGCTTAAGTGTGGTCATAACCCAAAAGCTTGCTACCATCGAGTAGAGATGGGAACTTAAAATATAAAATTAATGCACGGGAGTACAAAGCTACGGAGAGTGCTCTTCTATTATACCAAGAGATTCTGCCACTGTTCCCTCAACAAAATTCTTGAAGTTACCAACCTTTCTTGTGAGTTCTCCTCTGAAATGAACAGTCATCGATCGCGGAATGTGGCCTTTTGGAACATGTTCTGCTAACTCTTGAATTTTGGCCTGAAGACAACCATCTTTATGTTACAACCAAGTGGAATGGTTGAGCTTGCCACTAATATGTTGTTTATGGCTGAAAATTAAAATAGTTACCTCCTGAAACTTCAGAAACTTAGATGCTCTGAGTTGAAGAATAAGGTTCCCCTTCGTGTTGTTTGTTTTGCAGCGCGTAGTTGGGCACTCAAACAAGGGCATGAAGACTCGAGCAGTTACTTCCTGTCCAATGCACAAGAGGACAAATGAGTCAACAGAACAGAACAAAAGAAAGAGCAAAAGAAATTTCAAAAACATAATATTATCAAAATGAAACAAATAATAGAACAAAACAGCAAACACTACCATCACCGGTCAATATTGGAGAGAAAGATTTCTTGTCAACCAAATTAAACAAGACGTTCATTTACATCATGCTAAGAAGGTATTGGTGTAAAAGGAATACTTTGATAGCAGAGAAAGTCTCATTTACACAAAATAAGAAGACACAGTTGATAAATCAGACAAGACAGCTTTGCTCATTAATTACCTGGTAAATTTCAAAACCACATTCTTCACATGTATACACAGCTACCTGCATTAGTGGCTTAACATCTGAGCAACGGGTCACAATACCAGATATCTTCACAAGTTGGCCAATACATGAAGCCTTGACCTCTCTGATAGTAAATGGCCGCCCTTTTGAAGGTGCTCTAATATAAACTTCACTGAAAGAAGAAAAATACACAAAAAGAAACAGAATAAGTCAAGACAGCGCATTGCACTTAGAACTAGAAAACATGAGATGCGTAGACATATCATTCACCAGCCACAAGTAACCACACACACTACTATAGACCCCAATATTTGATGCAAGAATAGTTTTTATCAAGAACAGACTATCCTACGAAATTCTTCTACTCTAATCAATCAAGGAATGCTAAAATAAGCGCCATTTACAAGCACTTGACCACTTTAGGCCACGCACCCAGTTTACAGGAACTCAAGAGTTATTTAAAATTGCGATTCATCAAAATCAGTAATACTAAATTATTAATTGTGATTTGCAATATCAAATAGCTTAGAGTTTACAAACAAACATACTGAATGTCGATTTACATGGGACTGCCACACAGATGGGTCGCAGAGCCCCATTTTCAAAGGCATAGAAACACCACTAGACAGTAAAAAAGATTTAGAATCTAGTTCTAAGCTATAAAAAACCTTCTTTTTTTGTCGGAACAGATTCTATGCTTACGAACAGAAACAACTTCATATTTATCAATGTACGAAAAAACAAAGATATGCTGCTCAAATCAAAGACAAATCCAGAAATTAGCCGCAAAGTCAAACCCAAACATTTAATCACCAAACACCAGAACATAGAACAAATTCAAAAACTTCAAGAGGAAATGTCAGGATGAGGCTTACAAGTAACGCTTAATCTCTGAAGGCATCTTCTGATTCGCATCAGAACCTTCAACATTCTCGGTTGCATCCTCAGACCTCTGTGTCATTAAAATATCATGGTCATCATCCGGAAATGCCTCAGTCGGCTCCGGCAACACTTCATCGATAGCATCAGCAAAAATCCCAACATAACGACGCGTGTTCTCAGTAACTCGTCTAAGGAACTCCTCATCCAAGTCCTTGTACTGTGTGAAACAAGAAAATCAAAATAGAAAAAGATATTAGGGTTTTTATAATCTCAAAGTTCTAAAAACTAAATAGAAGTGGTTATAATAGGAATTTACATTAATTAGGTCTTCGAGATCGATCTGAACGGCGCGAATCTTATGATTTGCAACATCTTGCTGAAACAAAAAAAGGATTAGGGTTAATTCGGTAATATTTTTTATTAATTAAAAAATGAAGAGGAAGGGATAGAACAGGGAAAACTCACAATAATGTTCATGTATTTAGCTTCGCCATTTGCGTCGGCGAAGTTTGAAAGGAAATCCTTGGCGAGACCTGAAAGGACCAAAATGAACAATACAGAAACAAGTAAGAAATAAGAAGAAGATGATGAAGAAGAAAGCAGAGGAAATTTTGTTACTTCTCTCTGCTTCGAAGTGGACGGGTTTCATTGTTCGACGGCAGAGAAGGCACGGAAACGAGACAGACGAAGAGGAGAGGCAGCGATAGAGGATTTGAGTAGATGGGTGGGAGAGAGGGGTTTTGGCGGGAAATAATGAGAGGGAAGGGAGGCTTTTGGCGGGAACATGTGGATGAAAATGCAGTGTAGTATAATAATGGTACGAGCGGGGTCAAGTGCGCTCATCATCCAATGTCCCAACTTGATGGTTAAGTGAATAACTTTTTGGGACCCACTTAATGTTTTTTAAAAAAAATGTGGCTGCTGGGATTCGAGCCCAGGTCTCTACGGCCACAACGTAGAATTCTTACCACTAAACTACAGCCACTTAGATGGGGGAGTTCACTTATATAAATGTTTTACCTCTGCAAATGAAACTTAATCACTACATAGCAAAGGTGGAAAAGGCCAAAACCAGCCAAATAATTGTATTTCCTATGCTTGATGATCAAAAAAAGAAAATTTGTAATTCCTATGCTTACTCCAGATGGGGAGTCTTATTTTTGTGTGTTAAGGGTGGGTGAGCTAAAAAGGTAAAACTGTTCTTTTTTAGGCTTAGATGAAACAATAACTAAATCAAACTTTAATGCCTTAGCAAATTAGCATTCATAACGAAGATTTCTCTTTGCATGTAATTTTTATTAGACGAGTGAGACCCAAAGCCACTTCAATAGTTCAAACTATATTGTTGATTTTAATTTGATAACAAATAACATGCTGATTGAATTGCACTGAAATCACAATACCATTCCGTTATATTTTTTTATTTCAATTAATGGACTTGATATTTCTGTCTTTTAAATGTTTTCTGTTTTTATTCAAGTTTCACTATAGTTTTTTACAGTCTTAGTCCACGTTTTGATATCTAATTTAAAACAATCCTCTGTTTTTTATTTAATACTGACAAATTCCAGTCTAGCCTATGATTTTCTAATTCTAATACGAGTATTTAAAATTATAAAAAAAAATACAAAATCTATTTTTTATTCACAAAACTTCTTATTTGTCTAGCACAGGAGATATTGTTTTTCAAACTTTATGTTATTTTTCATTTAAATAAATTTAACATTAATCAGTTTCTTTATAAGGTATTTTCATCTGCTATCCTTTCAACCCCCTTTTCACTAATCACCTCATTTATTTGGTATAAAAGTTCATTGAAACAAAATTATTATATTGTTATTAATATCCTATTTTCTTGGATAACGTTGGTATAAAAAAATATTGGATAAGATGGGACGCATGGACAAAGTTGATTGATGCAATACAACCTGCTGTACTGATATGATAATAGATAGATTGAGCTTGGTGTAAAGACTGTAAACACGTCTTGACTGTCACACTCTGATGCTTGACAAATTGGGTAGCAAAAACATACATAACAAAATGAATTGTCTTTATGAATCACTAGTATAAGAACTCTTACCAGGTAAACTGTGTGTTAGTGAGCACACTTGTAGGAGAAATGATTAATCAACAAGTAGACAAGAAAAGCGGTTCTGTTTGATTTGCAAGCATGAAAACCATTTATTCCCTACGAAAAAAATGGAAATAATGGCAAGGTGATTTATACAGGTTGTACAGGCTAAATGATCCCCCATGGACAGCAACAGTCCTTACTCATCATATCATATCTTTCTGAATTGTGCAAGGCAACAATGTAGACCATAAGGGCAAAATTGCAGAAATCAGATCATGACCCATCAAAGATACACCTTCAACAGTGAGATCATGGAAGTTCGCAGGGCAATTATCAGGAACCAAGAAACATCTACCATCCTATTGATATCATCTTACCACTCGAGGATGGATGTGAAGATTCAGAAATACACTTGAAAGTTCCTGGTGACTCAAGACACACTTAACCACTGATTTGACCTCAATCTAATTATGGAGAAATTGGATTCTGTTCCTTCTCTTTTGCCAACTTCGCTTGAATTAGTTTATCCAAGATAGGAGGCTCTAAAGGAATTGGATCAAGACAACGTTCTGAAGCACCAACTATCACCTGCTCCATCAAAAAATCATTGCATGACATTTATTGCTAAAATGTTTCAAAGTTAACCACAGACATAACAAGCTCTGAACTCGAGAATAACAAGTAAAGGAAAGGAATCAAACCCCATTCATCTTTCCAATATATACATACAACAATTTCTGTATAAAAGACACAGGAAAAAACAACCAACAAATATGAACTCCAATAGACGATTTCCAGGATTAAGCTTCAAATTCTAGAGTCAAGTTATTCCGGTATTTACCTCATCAAGCAAAAAGTCAACAGCAGCTTCGTCTTCAACAATTTCCTTTAGAGATGCCCTTAGGAACTGAATATCCAACTGAATTTGCTGAAATCCACTCCGGTTGAAAGTCTGGAGTCGAACAAATTCTTGCAAACTTTTAAGACAGAGTTTTACGACAGTAGTTACAACAGATTCCTGCAAATTGCAAGCAGAACCGGACCGTGTTATGTCACAGTCCATACCCATAATCCCAACCCCCCCCCCTCCCCCTCTCCCCCACCCCACACACACACACCAAAAAAAAAAAAAAAAAACCACCCAATAAAGTTGAGCAAGTATAGTATTATACCTGTGTATATTCAGTTTTTGTAAAAATTTCAACTTTTTGCTTGAACAATTTCGCCAGGTGTGTTTCAAGAAGTTGACTCCTGGCCCTATGGGTATTTGACCGGCTCATTTTGTCATCTCGTAATGGATTGCTGCGAGAGGAACCAGTGCTTCCATTGCTTTCAGAGCGACGATGCTTGCGTAGAACTCCATGAGGTAAGATCTGCTTTGCCTCTGTTCCTACTGCTTCCAACTAGCGAAGACAAAATAAAAGTAAGTCTCTTTATCTCCATTTTCCCAATAAATTGGTGTGCGTCCACACACCACAAATCTACAAGTCACCACAGTTGCAATATGTAGGAATGTCTAATTAAATAAATCTGGCCTTGTAATATATCCCCCAAATGTCACCCAATACAATAACCCAGAAAATCAATGAAGCAACAAACCTCTTGATGGAATAAATCAACAAACATATGAACTTCTCTTGGCTCCTTGTGCTGTGAAAAAGTAATATTAGAGTCAGATATCAAACAAATCTGCATCAAAACATTCTTCTACTCTCATGTATTATACTGACCTTGACCCAGTTTGGAGCTGTAAACCTCTTCCTCAGGAGAACTGATATTTTTTGAGTTCTCATATTTACATACTGAATAAAGAAACAAACACAATTTGTTATTTGGAACGGATAGTAAAAGTAATGTGGGTTAATGACAAATATTACCCAAATTCAGCAGACTCAATCTGAGAGCAAATGATATCATAATAGCAAATTTGTCAATGAGCGTCTATGTCCCCCATGCCCAGGGGTCAATTGCCTATTTCTTTTGTATGGGGTGTTTTGTAAAGTGGGGAAAATTAAGCAGACTCGATCTGAGAGAGCAAATGATATCATAATAGCAAATTTGTCAATGAGTGTCTATGTCCCCCATGCCCAGGGGTCAATTGCCTATTTCTTTTGTAGGTGGTGTTTAGTAAAGTGGGGAAAATTAAGCAGATTCAATCTGAGAGAGGAAATGATATCATAATAGCAAATTTGTCAATGAGTGTCTATGTCCCCCATGTCCAGGGGTCAATTGCCTATTTCTTTTGCAGGGGGTGTTTTGTAAAGTGGGGAAAATAGAGGAACAAAGCAATTTTTCCATATTCGAAAGGAATGGGGGTTTTATTTTTGGGAGATTATGGCCCCGCTTGGATCCTGCTTTTCCCATGCATAATCGTGCAAAATTCAAAATCTGAAAGATTTGATGCCTGATGCTAATATGGGACCAGTTGTGAGCGAGGGGAAAGTTTTCAGCTATCCTCCAACAGAGGAGGTTTTGGGAGTGGGTAGTGGGGAGTATAGCTAGGGAGAGTGTATAAATTTATAGGAATTATTAAAGCAATGAAGCAGTGATCGTGCCATGAGCAAAAAAAAAAAATTCACCACACCACCATGAAAATTTTTTGAACAATCACATAAAATAGACATTTAGACATTGCTTGAAGAATTAAAAGCTCTGAATAAAGACTTTAGTTCTTACATGCTGTAGAAACACTTCACCAGCTGAATGAAAGGTTCGACAAATTTCACCAGGAACAAATGCTGGCCCATTCTCATAAGCACGACCACCACCACCAGAGAAATAAGCAGCTATTTCCTGGTAATTAGAGCATATAACGTTAAGGTAAACCCCAGAGAATATAGAATGCTAAATCATGATATTAACCCTTAAAATGAAGATGAAATAAAACTGTTGAGTGACTCCTTGCCTCAGTAATTCTAGGGATGGCAGTTTGTTCAATAAAAACAGACAGTTGAGCCAGCACCAGGACAAGACCAGGAACCTTTTTCTCAACCTGCATACTCTCTGTGGAATTTTCATCTTGACTGGCAGATTTATTTTTCCCTGAAAGCAAGAGGAACTGATCATGAAGTGCCCTGAAGAAACTTTGAAATCCTTCTTGAACCCAATCAACAATCAAGTCACTCAGTTGAAGCCCTCCTAGGTTCTCCTCAAGAAGTTGGCGGAAGTCCTGGAATGCATGAGTCAAGGGATCCAAAAAAGCTAGGTGAGGATGTGTGCTTGTACTTGGCAATTAATGTGCTTGACAGTGACATACAAGGATCGAGGAAACGCACCCACACATACACAAACCATTAGAGGAAAAAATAGAATGCAAAGTAAGGCTACAATATCACAGCCATCTATCTGTTTAAAAAAACACCGAATAGCAAACACGGAGATAGTGACAGAGATGGAGTCTAGTTAAATTTTCAAGAAAAATAATAGAAATTTCAGCAGGATTTGTAAATATAAATAGCTTCAGGACAGACGAAAAGTAAGATTTCAATCATTCCGGGGTGTACTATTGTCTTTATTGCGTTTTATATATTACCAATAATATGTTCATGCTCCCTTGAAGCACTGCGCTTTTGCCTGCATCCAGGAAAACTACCAAAGGATGTTCTTCCACTTCCTCCTTTGGTTTGATATGTGCATTGGTTAGGGAATCTGCCAGTTCAAATGAAATTCAAGTAAGACTATTAAGGCTATCTAAAAATCAATAAAAATTACGAATTTTCCTGAGCTTTTAGGTCAACAAATTTATGTCCATTGTAAAGCCATTGAGTGATGCAGAGTTGCAAACTAATGACTTCACACCACTCCAAGATCCTTCATAACCCACAATCATTTCTCAAATGACATACAATTGTACCAAAACACAAAAGCACCTATCCAACCAAGTTTCCTTTTGTTCATAGTTGATAACCACAGAAGTTAAACTTTATTGAAACCATAACAATACCTGAGATATCATGCAGAAGGTGAGAAAACACGCTTTTTATATATTGTTTGACAGCAAGCCGAGAAGCCTGCGACAATGTAGGATTTGATTAGTTACAAAATTCCATTTTCAAGCTAGCAAATTTTTTTTTCTATCATTCCACGTGCGAGAGAAGGAAAATGCAGGTAGGGCTTATTATTGAATCTAAGTGCAACCGAAACCAAAGGACAACCTTCAAAGAATAATCAGGAAGAAGAGCCTCATTCAACACTTTATCCATCAGTAGCACATCTTTCCATATAATTCCTGTATTGGTCAAGCATTTCAAAAAATCAGATGCAAAGCTTCCAAGCGAGAAAGAATCAGCACACGATATTTAATTAATCAAAAGTAACTCGAGGGAATTCAGAGTAAGGACAGTTAGGAACAAAGAATGTTAAACTGATTAGATGGATGATAAAAACATTAAAGAAATCAAGCATTTTTTTCACCAACTATAATACTTCTACAACAACACGTAGGTGAACTACATGAAATTTATAGAATAAGAGGTATTTTCCGGTCTCGTAGCATCCAACATAAAAGGTTTGATGCAGGACCTTGGAGGGCTGTTCTGGATCCGACTTCGGAGGCTGTATTGGGTTGTATTAAAGTGCATTTCTGCAGGGAATTGTAAAACTATTAGAGTCACACTCCTAGTGTTTCTAGGAGTGGTGCCTAGAGGATAGAAAAATATAAGCTTTACACCTAGGGTTCTTCGGAGTCACACCTAAGGGTGATTTGAGTCACACAACCAAAAGGCTACCTACTTATTTATAGAGTTTTAGCAGTCCAAATCCAATAAGGACTTATATTCCTAAATAAGAAAATACTGAGACAGTGGAAGAACCTAATAAAGCTAATTACTCCTCAAGACTAATAAAATATTAAATAGAAAATAAAACCTAGACTTGGACAAATTTCAGATTTCCAAAAATTACATAGATACCCTTGTCTACAAAAAGATATAGGTTTTGCTTCCTTTGTTGTCCACATCAAGGTTTCATTACATAGAAAAATAGCTTACTTTTTAAAAAACAAAAGGAAGAAGACAACTTGCTTTTGCAGTTATAGGATGAGTAAAAAAATTCAGTTTCCCGCTATCTTTAGGACAGTGAGAGACCATTTTATTTACAAAAATAAAGACACAAGTTTTGTTTCCTTTGCTGTCTGCATCAAGGTTTCATTACATAAGAAGATAGCTTAGTTTTTAAAAACCAAAAGGAAGAAGACAATTTGTATTTGCAGTTAAAAGATGAGTAAAGAACTTCAGTATCCCACTATCTTTAGGACAGTGAAGAGACCATTTTATTGACCAAAATAAAGACAAGAAAAGCAAATTACAAGACTGGCTAAAGCAACTTCAAAGGGCACTCAGAAAACCAAGCAGCACAATAAGGAAAGGAAATCCTGAAGAAGTGCCTCACAATTGCAGAGCACTAGGAATTGACACAACTAAAAAACATAAGTCCACATGGCATCCATCTGGCAGACAAGGAAGTTTTGATGTTGCGGTTTTCTCCTAACAGAACACCTGATGTGGCCCCTAAAGAAAAATGCTGAATTTTGTTGCATTCATGTCATAATTACAACAAATGATGCTGGAGAAAAATGCAATCCTAGTATACAAACTTTCTTAATTTTTAAATCAAGTAATCAAACTTTTATTTTTCAATGTGTATTTCAACACTCCATAGGTGATCAATCAAGAATTTTTTATCATTTATTTTCAATGAAGATTTTCAACTCTCAATTTTCAATTGGCAATGAAGAATTTGAACTCTCAATTCGGTTTCAATGAAATACAGAATTCCATCCTTTTTTTTTTTTTTTTTCAATATTCATCCCTAGTTTTGGAAATGTCATGTCATCACTTAAGGACCAAATTATTTTATTTTCAACAAACAAAAATTGGGAGTTGAGATACATTACTGAAAAAAAGTAACAAATGAAATACTTGGTTGAAAAAATCAAGTCCATGTACTTGGAGTTCATTTTTCTGGAGAATGATGCATGCCACAGGGAACTGATGGATAAACCATTAAGAATTCTTTTAAAAATCAAATCTTGACTAGTCAGCAAACATCGCCCTTTAGTTGTGTTATATAGGAAAGCTGTGTTCTAACCTTGCAAGAGGGGGTGCCAAAGAACAAAATAGTTCAAGCATGGTTACTGTTTAAGCAAAAAAAAAAAACTTCTATTACACATATTTTTAAAGCTACCTTAAAAAAGAACATGACGAAGAAAAAAACTTCAATGACACATGCTTCTAAAGCACCCTAAACAAAGGACATAAACAAGAAAAGAACCCTCTAACTCGAGCATAAAGAGGCCCCAAACGAATGCTAATGTGCAAATTGTACAGAGAAGTGACATGGTAGATGAGTGAAAAATAAGCAAGGAAAATTTGAAGCAAAAAGGTAGACAATTCAGAGTAAATTTTGTATTCCAAAACATCGCTGTCAAGAAAAGCACTGTTGAGAGATTCATAATACTTACGAAGAACACCCAGAAAACTAGCAACGGGAATCCACTTCTTTATGTAATCTGCAGTGATATCAAAGTGCCTAAAAAAATAGCCAATCACATTACATGAGGAATCTAGTGTGCTTTAAATTCATGCTGTCCAAAAATTGAGAAAAAAAAATATAAGCTGTTGTAACCAATTCAATGCCCTTACTTGGCAATCAAGTCTTGAGAAAGTTTAATCAATTGCTTTTCTGAGTCGGGAAATATTACTTGGTAAGCTTGAACAGCTTCAGCAAACTCACAAATTAAAGCCTAAGTTCAGGATAAGTTTATGTTAGTATGAGAAACAATTGCCAACAGATATAAAGCTGGTAAATGTCGCACTTACATCATGTGCAGAACCAGAAACTGACTCGGTATTATTTCCTTGTTCAGAAGGGTTATTAGATTCCACCAAAACATCGGCCATCTCTTCATGCTTAAGCTGAAGGCCTTCAAGAGATTGCTCCAACTTTTCAAATAGTTTTGCTTTTAAGTTGTCCACCTGCTAAGACAGAGGACCATTTGTCACCATATGTACATATGTCTCTTCAATAAATATATAATAAGTAATACGCAATACACATGCCAGGTCAAATAAGTAAAATTTAGCATCTATTTAAAAGTACTAAATATAGCCTACAATTCATAATTGAAAAAGGAAAAATATAAAAAAGAACTGCAGCACCATTAACATGCTGGCCAACCAACAAACAATCTGAAGTGATACATTGAGTGCTATACAAACCGGAAAATTCAACTGCTTAAGAAGTACTGCAGCCTCAGCCCTTGCTTGTATGGATTCAGAATCCGAGAAAAGCTTTCCCTGAAAAGCAGATAACAACATGAATTCCACATCAGAAAAAACATAACTTTAATGGCACATATCAATATAAAGCAAGCCTCAGGATTCAGGTTTCATTATTTCAGAAAATCTTTAACCTTAAATTAAGAATCCTAAGGACTATACCCAAAGATATAAGAAGTCTTAGAGATTTATGACATCGTGCACTTTTGTCAGAGGCTTACACTGGAGATTCCAAACCTCATAGCCTCATGTCAAGAAATCTCAATTTATTACAATCCTAATGCTATTCATGTTGTATGGTTTGATATCTGGCATCCAAGCACAGAGCACCAACCAAACATAAGGAGCGTCAACTGAATTCAAATATTTTCACCAGGAGGAATTCAGTAATCAAGAAAAAGTAACAACGGGCCAAGGTATATGCCCTGTGCCCCAGAGCATGAAAAAGAACAGTTCTTCCAATCCAATAAAACTAAAAGGTAAGTTAAACCAACCCCCCACCCAAAAAACAAAAAAAGAATAATTTGTGCAAGTAAACAGCAGTAATTTATGAAAAGCATGGATATTCACATCAACATGAATTCAAATTTCCAATTGCAATCTAAATGGCCAAACAAAAGTGTTGGAACAATAAGAGAGGAAGTAAACATCCGTGGCTCTTCCATCCGTATGTTTAAATGGGAAAGAGGAATATACCTGCAAATTTTTTATAATTGTAGCTATAGCTTCTTCGGATGCTCGCTTACAATCCTGGAATGATGAGTCCCCGTATGCCTGGTGCCAAATAAATAAACATAAATTCGAAGTAAAAATATGCCACAAAAGCAAAAAGAAAATGCCAGGAAAAACAAGAAAAAATAAAAGCTTGACCCCACCATCAAAGGACATGGTTTAAAAGGACTAACCTTGAAAATTGGCATTGCTCCAATGTAGAACCTGACTGCATCAGCATATGCCTCTGATTTAATACACTTCCCAAGTCTAGCAGGTAGATCATATATGAACTGCTCTATTCCAGAGAGGAAGAAATTCGTATGACTCATATATTGCCAAAAACTGATACTTAATATGTAGAATAAGCAGGCTCTATTTTGATCCATTAGAAACTTGACTAAAATTAACAAACTAAGAAAAGCTTGAACTACAACCAAAGTTACTTGCAAGCATGAGGTCATCATACATACATATATATATATATATATGAACCATGCAAGAAACAATGGTTTTTGAGTACCTGAACTTTTCGAAGAAGGTTGCGTGTGCGATGCAATTTCTCTATATGTTCTCTCTTTTCAAAAAGAGAAGTGTTCACACCATCACTTCTTGATTGCACCGACATTATCTGCAATGATTGTTACAGCCTGTGATTCTTCACAGTTCTCTTGCTAAAGCACCGAAGTGTACGTGTATGCAATTCAAAGTACTTGTTTAAACAAGAACAAATATGAGAAATTTGGCACATGCCTTGTCAAGGAGCTGCTCCATATTTACTTCCATACCTACAATATTACTTTTCATCCTGTAAGAAGAAAGGAAAAAAAAATCAAAATCAAAATTGCACTAGTAACACATGTAAGGATTAAAAAGAATTGCTAGCAAAGTGAAATTATGAATGGAAAGAGGCACCTTTTAATCGTGTCAGTGGCACTAATAAACTTGTTGTAATTTTCATAAACTAGCATTTGCAAATCAGTGTCTAGATTTTTTATCTCAGCTGCCATTTCAACATGCCTCTGCAAAAGCCCTTCCAAATTTGATTTTTGCACCTGAATTCGAGTTATAAATATATTAATTTATCAGAATAAGTAACAAAAAGATTGATTTAAATTTAAAATAAATCCAATAAAAGCAGGCGTACCAGGAGATTCATGTACTGATCGGCATCAAAGGAGGCGGAGTTAATTGCATCTAAGGATGCAAATTTGAAAGAATTGCTAGCATTAGAAACGGAAGGATCTGGAGAATAGAAGCTTGATAACAGATCTCTCATTCTCTTTGCCTTATCATCCAACGGCATATCGTCTTCCCCCATTGCGTAAATGATTGCTTCCTTTCAATTTCACAGATTCGATTGTTAAAGTTTGCTTTTAGAAATCAATCGATTCTGGATCCAAGAAACTGGCAATGGCTTTGGGGTTTAATAAATCGGTTGAATAGTTACAGTGAAAACAAAGTTTCACCTCTTAACTAACTTTACCATGAACGACTATCAGGTCCATGACCGCACGTGCAAGGTCTGCGGAGCGGCAGCACCAGTCTGCAAGCTCATTCCATTGAGGCCCCAAAACCATGGACTTCAAGCCCAGAATCATTACACCCGGAGTAGACACAAAAGAATTTTGTCCAGTTTACTATGAAAATTAATTTTGTTTGAGATGCTGATGAGCAAGGTCTACGGAGAGGCAGCACCAGTCTGCAAGCTCGTTCCATTAAGGCCCAAAACCATGGACTTCAAGCCCGGAGTCATATGCACCCGGAGAATACGCAAAAGAATTTTCTAAGTATGCTAATAAAAATACAATCTAGCTTAAAAAATAATTTTAAAATTGTTTGAGATTAGGAAATATTTTTAAATTTTTATTAAACATTAAAAAGAAAAAATATTTAGTGAGATCTCTAAAAAAATCATATACATTTATCTACTCATTCTTGGTGCTCGATATTCAAAATATTTACAAAATCGAATATATAACATGTAAGTAAAGTTTAAGTAGGTTAATTTTAAAAACCATACATACAAATATTTTAAAAATCATACTAAGAACGAGCACAAAAATGTATATGATTTTTTAAATCTCCGAAAATAATTTGGGATCATTTCAAATTGTTTTCTATTTTTAAAAATTCTATAAATATTTAATAATTAAAAAATAATAATTATTTATCTCAAAAACATTTAAAATTATTTTGAAAGTACATTGAATTTTTATTAACCTATGAGAAAATTTGTATCTTAAGATACCAAAATTTCAATTTTTTAAAGAGATTTTTGGTCAATAAGTGAAGAATTAACGTTGTACTACCAAAAACGACTAAGTTGTAAATAAAAAATTTAAAGTAGAGGACGTAATTATAGGTTTTTCAAATTTGACAAAAGCACTTTTCCTGTTCATTCACTCTCCCCATCTGCTTTTTTTTTTTTTTTTTTTGCTTACAAGCTGTTGGAGAATTTTTAAATTTTGGTCCCTGTTTTGTAATTTTTTTATTTTAGTCCTTAAAAATTTATTATATTTGATTTTTGTCCTCATAATAAATATTAAAATTTTATTATATTTGATTTTTATCCCAATAATAAATATTTTTTTCCTAGCTTTTAGTAAAAATTTATGTTCTTTTTTTGTTCTATTTTGTGATATATTTTTATTTTAGTTATTAAAGTTTTATCATGTTTATTTTTTATACATACTATACTAAAACTAAACAAAGTTTACTATCCTAAACTTTTTTTTGTACTATTCGCTCTCTTCTTTTTACCCTCACAATGTACCATTCACTCTCGGGTGTGCTTTTCTTTTTTTCACTCTTAGTTGTTGTTTTTTCTTTTTTTCTCGGGCTTTTTTTTTTTTGTAATTTTCAAAATATTTTATTTTGATCATTGAAATTTTAAAATAAAAATTTTAATCCCTAGCTCATATGGTACATGCCTTTTCTTTTTCTCTTTGGTTTTTTTCTTTGATTTTTTCCATCAATTTATGTTCTTTTTTTATTTAATTGGGTGTTAAAATTTTAAAAATAAATCATTACTATTTTTCCTCAAAAATTGACGATTATATAATATATATAGATTAACCGTATGTACTTTAAAAAAATAATCCTCTCATCAATATTAAAAAAGAATAAAATTTTATTTTTTCATTGGTTAAATTTTTTTGCAAGTCTATACATTAATTATAAATTTATTTTTTGGATATATTCATATAAAACAATATATTTTTAAAGTATTTTTTTAGATCCTAATTAATATTTCAGACTTAAATTATATATTGCATGTTTTTATTTAGGAATCCCTAAATAAAGAAAAATAAATCATGTGTTTTTAAGCATAAATTTTATATAAAAAAACACACACACACACAAAAAATACTAATAATTAAATAAAAAATTAATGAAAAATTATAAAATTTTAAAATGATTTTGTTCTATCTACCCGTATCGCTGCATGGATACTTTTAAAAATTAATCTTCTCATCAGCATTAAATAAGAATTTTTTTTTTCACTTTTTGGTTTTTATAAAAGTCTCGTTTGTTAATTATAACCTTAATTTTTGGAAACAATATCATGAAAATATATATTTTAAAATTTTTTTTAATTCTTGATTAATATTTTAGTTAAAACCAATTTCATAAAGAATAATGATTTATGTTTTTTTAAGCAAAAAAAAATTATAAAAAACATTAGAAAAAATTAATTAAATAAGAAATTATAATTAAAAATTTTTTAAATTTTAAAATGATTTTGTTCTACCAAACCCGCAACGTAATGCCAACAACCGACTAGTAAGAATCTAAAAGTTGAGCACCGAAACATAAAAACAAATAAATAAATAAATAAAGTTTGGATATCAAAATTGTAGTTTTCTCGTATTATTTCACATAGAAGGTTTATATATGTATATATATAGAAGTCGGTTTCTCAAAGTCAAGTATTGGATCACTATAAATTTTGTTGTATTAATGTCGAAAGTCATGTTAATAGAAAACAACAATAATAGTAGCTAGGCAAAAATATTTGATTGGAAGTTTTTTCTACAAAAAAAAATAATAAAAAAATAAGTCATCTGTGAGATTAATAGAATTAGGGGTAAACCCCAAGTTTGCTCTAAATATATGATCCTAATGTGGACTTGTTTCTAAACCTCTTGGCTATATCAATTAACCCCAAATGCATGACCCTTGTTGTTGGTTATCTCCCAAACCTTTTGATTGTATTACTTTTACCTCAAATATTTTTTATTGAAAGAAAATTTATGCCAACTTGCATTCTCTCGTTTATGATAGTTAATAGACACGTCAAGTTCGTATGTGATTTTGCATATGCATGTTATCTCCTTCTATTTAGATCGAATAGAAGTCTTAGTTTGATATTGAAAATAAATTACTCCATAAATTGGACAACCAATAACATTCTCGCTCGAATTATATGGGCCAAATTAGTCTTTGTTTGTGCTTTTTCTCCAAAATTGCAAAAAAATTATACCTTAGATACTTAAATGACACCATTAACGCTACCTTCATTCTAAAGTAACCTAACTTAGTAAGTAGTTGATTAGGTGCAGAGACCTAAAATATCCCACCAAACCTCACTCTTTTAACCGGAAAATAATAAAAATAAAATTAATATTACGATCACCTTATTTTCTTATAATCATGTCACGATACTAGGAGTAGCCCATGATCAACGTGAGAATTGAGGAAATCGTGAGGCCCGCCTCGACCTAAGAAAGCCTCGGATACTTATCTAAAATCCTTAAATCATTATCACTTCAAATATCATTTCGATTAACATTATCACAACTTAATAATCATTACTTACAATTTCAATAGAATTTATAATTCAATATTATCCTTGCATTTCTCAAATCAATATTCATAATTAGTCTCTAGCACAATATTTACAAACTATAACTATAGAGCTTCTAAGAATAAAACAAATTAAAACATAAGTTCTAGGAAATTATAAAAAAATAGACAAGTCGCACGGTCAATGTGCCGACTTCAAACAAGCGACTAAAAGGAAACAAAAGGACAATTCCTTAATATCTTGCAAAACCGAAATAACGAGGGGTAAGCAATCAACGGTTCAATGAGTAGACATTATACAACATATTATAAGAGGGAAACAAACTAAAGATGATAGTTTAAAATTCAATTCAACATGTTATGCTACTTTCTTCAAAACACATGCATATCACAAAATCAAATCGTATGTCATACTCAAATGGTTCAAAACCATTTCATATCAAATCGACGAGTTGTACACACACACACACACATATATACATATATCGTATTTATATTAAAACGTATATCTAGGTTTTTATACACTTATAGGGTAAATAACGTATAATTGAATGCGAATTATTAAATCAAATCGTATTATCATTGAATGTGATAATGTTAACCGAAATATCATTTCGGTTAACATTATCACAACTTAATAATCATTACTTACAATTTCAATGGAATTTATAATTCAATATTATTCTTGTATTTCTCAAATCAATATTCATAATTAATCTCTAACACAACACCCACAAACTATAACTATAGATTCTAAAAATACAAATTAAAACATAAGTTCTAAGAAATTATAAGAAAATAGACAAGTCGCACAATCAATGTGCCAACTTCGAACAAGCAGCTAAAAGGAAGCAAAAGGACAATTCTTTAATATCCTACAAAATTGAAATAACGAGGGGTGAGCAATCAACGATTTAGTGAATAAACATTATACAACATATTACGAGAGAAAAACGGACTAAGGACGATAATTTAAAATTCAATTCAACATGCCATGCTACTTTCTTCAAAAAGCATGCATATCGCAAAACCAGATCGTATGTCATATCAAATGGTTCAAAATCATTTCACATCAAATCGACAAGTTGCACGCACACACATACACATATATACATATATCGTATTTATATCAAAGTGCATATTTAGGTTTTTATACACCCGTAGGGTAAATAATGTATCATTGAATGCGAACACCCAAAGGTCACGCCTTCCGTGACTAGATTTTCATATGTTGTCCGACACATTGGCTAGCACTACACCTCTCCCGTTAGTCGAAGCCTCGTGTAATTTAGCTCAAAGGTTATGCCCTCTCGTAGCTAAGTTCACGGGGTCTCGAAAGCATTTTTAAAAACCATATAAATTATACTTATTTAAAATAAGCATTTCAACCGCAATGCATGCTCATTTGTTTGTTATATCAAATAAGCATTCACAAAAAATATACGGATAATCAAAATAACAATTTAAAATATATTTGTATTTAGATTCAAAATCGCATATCAAATCAGTCACATTTGCTCAACGCACATATTCATATCAAATCATTTTTTATACGAAATCATTTCAAATAATCACGGAGTCCGTTCTGTCTAAGTCCTAATTGAATGCATTTAAATCATACTTAAATCAATGTTACATGTCGAAATTATCAAAGAAATTCAAAAGCATAATAGGTTATAAAATATCCACTCACAATACAATTCAAAGAATCGAACGGAATCAAGGTTATTGAAGTGGAGTTGCCCTCTCCGAATAATCTAATAACACACAAGATGGTGAACTAACCATCAATATTCATATCAAAGAATAATTCAAAACAAATGAATTATTCTATAAATAAAAACACAAGATCATCTAATAAAATGAAATTGACCAAAAGGACTCGAGCCGATAACCCTAACTAGATTCCATAATCTCTCAAACAATTCTAACAATTGCTTAATCATATATCGTCATCAACTCTTAATCCAACGATCAATCTCCAATTCAAACCTCAAACAATCAACTTTCAATTAAGTAATCAATTCCATCTTAATTCATCCAATACTCATTCTAGTTACCTTTAATTGCATTTATATAGCGTAATTCCTCATTTTTCCCAAGTCTTTTTCGAGTTCAAAACCTAATTTTTTAATTTTTCACTATTCATCATCTTCGACCTTTTTAATTACTCAAATTCACTTAATTCCACTTCAATTTAACTCCATAATTCACTTACCTAAGACAATTAAATGCCTAGAATTACTTAATCAAACTTTTTTCTCAAATGGATCTTAAAAGCCCCAACCTTAATCTAACCAATTCTTCAAGCAATTAACAACCCAAAGCAATTGCATTTGAATATCATCATTAACCACATATAAACTTCATAATTCAATAATAAATTGGTAAAAAATCTTACCTTTGACACTTTGCTCTATAATCCTCAATTTTTTCCTAGTTTTCCAAGCTTTCCAAGCTCTAATCTATCTAAGCTCTACTTAAATCTACTCATTTATGGTCTTCCTAAGCTAATCTAATAAAGAATTAGCTTAGGAGTTGAAGAGAGATTTGGGAAAAAATTTTTAGAGAGAGTGGCTTGAGAGAGAAAAGGAAAAAAGAGAAAGAAATTTGTAGAAAAGCGACAATCGCTTCCCCTTTTATATCAACAACCCCCACGACCCCCTCCCCTTATTTGGATTGAATTATTACAAATTGCTCCATTGTGCTTGGTTGTATTTTTTATTGTTAAATTTTATTTTTTTGTCTTGTTTTCTTTTTGGTTTAAGTCATAGGTTAGATACAAATGGGTTTTGGATTCTTTTGGATTGGAGTTTTTATATAAGCTAACTAGGTGGATGGATGTAGGCATGTTTTGGCATTATAATTGTGTTTTTTGTCAAATTGGAATTTATTTCAAAGGTAAAGTGAAAGAGCTAACAAACATGTACATTAACTACCACAAACAAATAATACAAATTGCAGTATTTTGTCTCGTGATAAAAATAATTAGGATAAAATTGATGTAGTAAAAAGGTTTGAAATCCAATCAATAATAAGGTAATAATACATCTAAGATAAAATTAATACAACAATAAGGTTTGAGGCTCATTTGATAGAGAATCATAAGTTTGGAATAAATTTGAGGTTTTTCCATAACATAAGTATAGCAATAGTGTAATTAACCATTTTTAGCGCAAGTCATTCATGTAACCTAAAGGTAAAGTATTATGATTTTTATTTAGGTAGCTAAGTCAAAACCCAATAAATAATAAAATAGAATCCAGGGATAAAGGATGACTACCTTTCTTCGTGTAGCCCAAATTCCATTAAACCTTTCATTAGAAAGATTAAAATCATCATGATAAGAGCATGCATTTGAATCCGTTGGTTCATAGTATGTTTGGTTCCAAGCGAATCAATTTGCAACCTTAAGAGATTGGCTTGGTGGTGATCGAGGTTTTTTTTTTTTTCCCTCAAACCTTGAAACCAACACTTAAGAGAATTTATTTTCTTACATGTATAAAGATAACGCGAAGGATGTGCCATTAAAATTGTCTGAATAAAAATCTTAATCTCAATTGAAGTGTAAGTTAGTATGAGGATATTTTTTATTGTTAAGGGAAAAAAAGTCTCTCTCTTTTTTTTTTTTTTTTTAAACATTAGACAGGATCATACAGTTCATAATCGTTAGGTAAAGGAGCAAAAAAATCTCACCACGACGAATTAAACTGATTGCCAATATAGCTACTCTTACCTCTTACTGTAACGAGTCATTTTTTTAGTTCAAATACTCTAATAGAAAGATGATAACCCCATACAAGTGCCAAAAAAAAAAAAAAAAAACAATGTCATCATACCATAGTTCTATTGGTTAAAAAAACAAGAAGTCATACAGCCACTATAACATTGGAATTTTTCCTCCTTTGCCAGCCGTTCAGATTCATGACTGAAGACTAACAAATCCCAAAAGCACAAGGGAAAAGGAAGTTTCGTTTTCACAACTTGACTCGATAAGATAAGAATGATTACGCAATAAATCCAAGCACTTCAAATCTTGTCCTTTTTTAGCGCTATCCGTACACTGCCGTAAAGCAAAATAAAAATAAATTTGTTATCAAATAATAAATATAAATACGAATATTTAAATTTTTTTATATCTATATTATTTTAATATTATGTAATTTATCATTCCATATAAAAAATTAAAAAAATAATATAATTGATTTAACAATTTATATAATTTTGATTGTTTATAATCTTTTCTAATTCTGTTTTTAATTTTAAAATTTATAAATAAGTTTAATGTTAATAAATAGGTTTGATTGTTTATTAGTTTGAATAGAAATATATTGTAAAAATTAAAAAAATTATTTGAAAATTTTTTTATTTGTATTTATTTTATTTTATATTGAAATAATTTTTTTATCATTTTTTCTTTAATTTTATTATTATTATCATTTTTTTTATAACAAATTTCTTATAATTTCCATTTGAATTTTGAAAATGATTAATGTCTGTCCCCATTCATTGATTCAAGTTTTGTATGGAAAATAATCTCTCAAATTAATAATAATGGATTAACTACTTATACAGATAATCGTACAGCTATTATGAAATTGCATTTTTCCCTCCTTTTCCCAACTCGTCACGACACATGAATTAAAGTATACCAAATCTCAAAAGCTCAATGGAAGGAAGCTTCGTTCTTATGGAGTAAATTATCAATTTGTCCTTTGATTTGCAAAATAAATTATATAATTTTTTATTTTAAAAATTAGTTAATTAATCATTGACTATTATTGATTATAACTAATTTAATATTATTTTATTTCAAAAACTATTTTTTTCTTATCAATATTTTCTTATCATTTATTTATCTATTAAAAATACAAAATTTATTGAAAAGATAAAAAAGTTTAAATTAGAAATAGATTGAAGAATATAAAACTAATTAATTAATTATTAAAACTTAAAAGAATAATTTTCCTTTTAAAAAACTACAGAGACTAATTTATAATTTACTTCGTTTTTCACAAGTTGACTCGGTAAAAGAAGAATAATTATAGTATATTCCTTCAAGAAAATAAAAAATACTACAAAAAAAGAAAAAACAATGGTTGGAGTGACAAGCACAGCTGGCGTCATTCTGCACGCCAGCAATTACACCGACGCCACTCTTAACGCTTTTGCAGGCTTTTGCAACCTATAGCGGCAATTGCTAAGGGGGAAAAAAAAAAAAAAGGCCATTTAATAGCCCCACTATTTGTAATTTTAAAATTAAAATATTTGTCCACGCCAGCTAAATCCAGCCCCACTTTTTTCTATAAAATCCACAACCGACGGCCTGCCTGGTCTTCTTTCCTTTCTCCTGTAGTTGGTACTCCTATGTTAGCGTCTCTGTTCTCCCAAATTAACTCTCTCTTCCTCTCTGCGTTTCTTTAGCGTTTCGTCAGCTAAGTATTGCTCTTACAGTCTCTCTTTATTTCCGTGTCTTTAGATCTAGAGTTTCGGATCTGAGTTTTGTTGATTTATTCTTCTTTCTACTCTCTTTAAAACTGTGTCTCTTCGATATGGTGATCGAATATTAGGGTTTTGTAAGAAGTACCGATGTTTTTAGAATTTCTATGAGTTACGATATCCTCATGCGTCGAATTCGAATTCTCCACTCTTTCTCGGTTGTCTTTCTCTACTGGTTTTATGTGTTCTCATGAATTAAATATCTCCGTTAATCCTATTGTTTTCTAGATCTCGATCCCTATTTTGTTCCTAATCTAATTGTAATCAAATTGAAGCATAGGTAGGCTTCGAATTTATTTGCTTAACTAGTGATTTTGTTAGCGAAGAATCTAGAAGTTGCAAAAGAAAAAAAATGTCCGCACGGCAAGCAGCGAGCTCAGGATCGGACAGCGATCCGCGAAATGCGAATGTCGATGAGAGAAAAAGGAAGAGGATGATATCCAACAGGGAATCCGCGAGGCGGTCGAGGATGAGGAAGCAGAAACAAATGGAAGATTTGGTCAATGAAGTGAGCAAACTGCAGAACGAGAACAATCACTTGATGCAGGGTATCGATGTTGCCCAACAACGCTACATGGAGATAGAATCAGCCAACAATGTGTTGAGGGCTCAGGCTGTGGAATTGACTGAGAGGCTGCGGTCGTTGAACTCTGTGCTGCAGATTGTGGAGGATGTTAGTGGACTCGCCATGGAGATACCAGAAATACCTGATCCTTTGTTGAAGCCGTGGCTACTCCCGTGTTCAGTACAGCCTGTTATGGCATCTGCTGATATGTTTCAGTATTAATGATTGTGAGTCTGTTCAGTGTTGTTTATTGTCGGGGTTTATTTTTTGTTAACCTTGGTCTTTATATTAGCCTTTTGGTATGGTTTGGCCTATTGCGTTAGGCCATAGGTGGATGCTGGTATGGTGGTGTGTGTTTGACGGGTGTGTGAGCTGGTCGAAGTTGTAATGTTATGTGTCCTGTTTGAAATCCTATCATCGTTTATAATGTAGTCAATTTCCAATTTGTGGCATTATCTTTACTGTTTAATATTTCTGTGAAATTTAATTTTAGTGTGATTGCATTATATTTCCATGGTATATTTATGTTTGGTTTCTGTGCATTAAATCGGGAAGTGGATTTGATGTTTAAATGGAAGTGAACGAGTATGGTCTTCAGCACTTTTGTGCTATAGATTGTACTCTCTTGCGCTTGAGTGCCACCCGCATAAAGGAGTTGGGGCTCATTTCTGTAGATGATGAATTATTATAAGTTTGTCATTGGTTGCATTATAGTTGAAGTAATTTGAGTAGTTGACGCTTGCTTCCTCAGCATGAGCCAATTTAGCAATAGCTGTTTATGTTATTTTAGCTTTTTCTCATTTGTGTATGGAAGCTTTCACCTAGTTTCCGAGTGATGTTGGTTTGGCTTGGAATGGAACGTATAGAAGTTGGAAGTTGAAGGAGCGTAGCAGGAGCTTATAGCTTACTGTACTGGATAGGTTGGTTAGCCTTGTTTCTCGCAGTAGGTTCTCTTCTTGTTGCGGTTTATGGTTTAATTTGGAAGTTGAAGGCGAGTGGAAATCATTGGATTCTCGAGATATTTCAGGCTAGGATGGTTGACGTGTGGTGTTTACCCACCTCATGAATCCTGGGAAACAAGGCAGCTATCATTGCTATTTTCTATGTTAGGTGTTAGGGGTGGGTAGAATCGGATGGGTTTCCAATACTGAAGCTTCCGGGAAGCTTAACAGCACTCCAAATCATGAAGCAAGCATTCGAGTTCAATCAGAAATTCAGCATGCAAATCCTCTTTGACTGGTACGTGAGCAGCCATGATTCTTGCTGTAGGGCATCTAGAACGTTCTCGTTACCAATTCAATGACATTTTTATGTTGTGGTTCTTATCTCTTCTAAACTTTTGCCTTGTGTGGCAAACTCGTCGTTACAATTGAAATATCTAAGCTCAAATGGAAATTTAATCGGCGAGACCCGATACTATTTAGTATATTCGTTTTTTTTCTCAGCCGAGATCCAACCCTTCATACTAATTACTAAATCCTACTGCATCCTTTCTAGGGTTTAAATCTGAACTGTCCTAAATCCCAACCTCCATTCTAAATCCTAAATCTTAACGTTTTGACTATCTTCTTGGGAACAGAAGTTAGTTCAGTTTCATTAACAAGGATAATGGGATAAGATTACACCATTCCCCTCTTCTCCATTTTTTTTTCAAGACAGGATAACGATCTTTTACTAGTGGTCATTTATCTTTGACTTTCTTCTATCTTGGTTAGCCTGATTGCGCTCAAGCATCTTGACCAGACTTGGTCTAACGTTTTGGTAGGTCAGCGAAAAAAATAAGGTAGTTCTATCCTATATCTTACAGTAACTGAAAAAACAATAGAGGCTGTTGCTTGAGGAGAAATATTTTGAAGATGACCCAATCATAGAAAAAAAAACGATAACTGTATAGTACTGGTAAATTTTTCCTGTTTAAAATGGCTAACGGTATAGTTAATTGTCATCAGACTTCACCTATAAGTTTAAAAAATATCGACCTTTTTAGACTTCTTTTAGAAAAAGTAATACAAAATGGTAGAAATTAAGTAGAAACATAACACTAATAATTAATCACCAAATTCATCTTTCACGAAGGTATGGTATAAGTATGTGCTAATTAATAGAACATCACGATAGCCACCATACAACATCTCCAGCGTTACACAAACCAGTAAGGATACAAATAAAATATCTAAAGTTTGACTATTAAAAGAGGTGCATAAAGTAAAAACCATTTCAATCCTCATAAGTTCGACACTCATCTGTCTCTGGGTTGTCCTTGCAATAATCCTCCAAAGGGTCAGACCCTTTCTTCTTGTCCTTGGCATGGCTAGCAGCCGCACTCAACTCCTCCACTTCGTCCCATGCTGCTGCGCATTCTCCACTTGCTGCATTATCGGAGCACTTCTCCTCTGCATCTTTTATGCTCTTTTGCACTTTCTCTGATATACTATCAGGAGCTGCTCTCACGGGTCGGATTTGCATGCGTCCGGACCCCAATTGGTAAGTCCTCCCCCATGGTTGGTTTAACTTGACAAGGGGTTTAGCTTTTGGTGTGTCAGTTGCCTTAGCTAAGACTCTAGGGGTTGAGAGGTTGAGAACGGCTATCGTTGCCATTCTACTTTCGGTAGAGTTTGTTGCTGTGGTATGGTATGGTATGGTAGAGATAAAATTGATGATGTCGAGGGAGGGTGATAATGAGGTGCAATATAATTGGAAAATGAAACCATTATCGAACACAGATTTCTTATCGGGTGACAGCCAATTGCATGCTTCCACGTTAGAATGGGGTTCGAGATATTTTAAAGAAATATCACTTGTAGTTTGTCCTGACTTTTACTGCACATAGAATAGAAATACACACCAGGACGACCGGATTTTTATCCTCCTATGTTTTTAGGAGATCATACATTAAATCTCATTGTTAATTTTGAAGTCCATGAATTGGGTTGGATGAAAAAAATTAATTATATTGTAGTAATCTTTGTCGTGCTTAAAATTATGTTAATTTATTTATTTTTTAATAATTTAAATTGAATATCATAAAATGTGTAACAAAACAAAATAAAAATAATCACAATTCAACTTTTATTGACACGGAAAATGAAATTTCTTAAATATCTTGGAAAGAAGTATGTGTTTATTAGGTTTATTGGCATAATTTACTCATAAACTGTTAGAGTTGTGATGAAATAAATTCTATATCATTGATTTTGACTGACTGAATCTCAAATTATTAATTTTTAAATAAAATTTATCATTTTAAATTATGTTTAGTTAACTGAAATGTTTAAAATATTTTTTTAAGTATTTTATTTTTTAAATTAAAATTAATTAAAAATAATAATAATTAAGTTTAAAAAAGGTCATTTTGTTGTTTACTTGAATTTGACTTTTTTTGTTAGATAAACAGTGATATATAATGGATTCATGTAATAAAAAAAATGGTCTTTTTAGAATTAAAACCAATTTAAAAAAATTAATAGAAACTTAAATGATTTTATTATTTATGAATTTATTTTTTTATTTTTTAAATTAATTTTAATTCTATAAAAAACTAAAATACTTAAAACAATAACGCTTTAATCATCCTAATTAACGATCAATACATTCATTATTAGAATAAAAAATTATTAAATTTGATAAAAAAATTAATAATTTGAAATCCAAATTCCAATTAGACTAAATTAATAATACAAGTTTTATTTCATCACAATTTCAATAGGTTAAGGATAAATCATGTCATTAAATCATATCTAAATAATAGTGATATATATGTTACAAAAAAAAAACTAAATTTAAGGAGCCTGGTCTTGTCGTGTGTGCAAAAGTGCAAGAAATATGGATGTTAACATCGAATAAATTTTCCGCAAAAAAATAAAAATTGCTCTGTTGCAAGAGCGTTAATTAAGATGGTCAGTAGAAAACTCACAAAGATTTTATGATTTCTCATACCGAAAAATATCAGGATTTACTGATGTAGGAGTTGGAACTTGGACCGGAGTAAAAATATTTTATTTGGAATGGAATCTTCTAGTGGAGAAGGAAAAGTTCATGCTAGAATCTCGATATTTAGAGCCTTTTCTGTGGCTTAAAAGTACCGAACCCACTTACAAAATATCAGCCGTGCCCCGGCCTGTTTCTATCACTACTTCTATCATGAATCCATTCAAAGCGTGAATCGAAAGTCCTTCCAACAAAACGTAAAAAATAATTATTTTTTTAGCCAAGGAAATGCTAAACTATCAACCACAAAACGTGTATAAAAAAAAATCACAGAGAAAAAAACGTGCTTTCCATGTAAAATGCTAAGTACGTCAGATAAAATAATACGGGATCAATTCAGAAACCGGACCCCCCTCCTTTGCCAAAATGATATTTTACATCGTTATTAAAATCATTTCATTTTTTATGTCGAAACTTTGAAGAATTCCGCCTCCAATAGAATTTACGGAGAAGGAACATTTCTGACCCTGATAACTAATACCTTATCATCAGTGCTGAATATTTCCTCATTGACACGAGGAAAGATAATAAATTCATTTCATGCTGGACATGGGAAAAATGGGAGATGGACCATAGGACAAAAGGGGACGTGGGTTTCCTTTTTAGGCTATTTGAAAATCTGGGCCTGGAAGGAAATTAAACGTATGGCCGATGAAGCAGAGATGATTGGGTAATAATTCATTGCTTAACGGGAACAAATTATTTTTTAAATGGAAAGGGTTTCATCGGCTAGACAACGTTAAGAATAAATTCTTCGTACAAGTCATTTGTATCTGAATTGATGGATGTATCGGATTTGTTTTTCCTCTTTTGGTCTTCCTAGGATTCGATAACAAAGAGAGCATGCTAAGCTTCCAAAAATAATCACAAATTTATTGAAAGTAAATCATAACTTTCTCCCACTTAGGACCTTATTTTTAACAAATAAATAATTTAATTCCTCTAATTTAAAAAATCATATTCATTTTTTTTTCCTTCCATATCTGTTACTAATTAGTCATCAATTTTTATATTTTTTTTCATTAAAATGCTCAGTTTTGATATTTTTTATGTTGATATTTATAGTATTTATTTATTTTTATGTCAGTTTTTAAATTAGTCCGTATTAAATTTATTATTTTTTAATTTAAACTAATATCAAAATACGTTTAATTTTTGATTAACTATGTATTTTTTATTAGATTAAATCAACTTTAGTATGATTAATTACTACAATAAAAAATAGTCAAAAAATTAATTATTTATTTTTTAAACTAAAAGGAATAAGTCACCTGTTTCTTAAAGATCCAGAGACTAAAGTTATAATTTGCTCCAACTGAAAAACAGCGTTAACATAAGTTATCTGGAGTAGGATGGTAAAGATCTCTCTCTATCTCTCTCTTTTTTCCACGAGTCGTATCAGAAAAGGAAAGAAAAGAGTATCGTTTGGGCAACAGTTAGCTCACGATGTCAACATATTTCGGTGGGAGCATCAACCGCGACTGAGAAATGCTGATTGACGTGTTTCTCCTTTCCAATCCAAATTGCTTTCAAACCCAATCAGGACGGGCCTAAGGCTTGTGTGGCCCAGCCTGAATAGCAGGTTTTTTTTTTATGAGATCATCAACTGAAGTCGCGCGCACCGAATGGCGATCCATCTCCAAGTGGTAGATTCTTTTGTAGCGCAGGCGGTAAATTCTGATTGGATAATTTGGGTACAGGTTACAACACCATCAGTTCCAACTTTAAAGTAGTAGCAAGTAGAAAAAGGCAAATGATGCGGCTTCACCAAGTCTATCATCGCCTCACTCTCCTTTCTTTCTCCCCATTATCTCCTCCACCACCTCTCTTTACGCCATCTCTAAGCCGATTCACGTCCGTTCGTACTCCTGCCCACCTGAGAACTCATCACTCTAAAAGGTTCAAGTCAATTTCTACTATGACATCTAGGCTCGCTAATCTTGTGCCTCTGAACTCGATTGCAACCGAAAATGTTGGCGGTCGCACCAATGGCTCTATTTCTTCCACATACACTGAAGATGAAGGTGCTTATTCATACTCACTTCGCCTTTTCTTTTCCTTTTCCAATTTGAGATTATTATTGCTAATCGTATCAGCTGACTAGATTCTTTGGAAAAACACAAGGCGAAAGAAATTGGTTAGGGTTGCTTGATTGAGAACTGGTAGAGTTAATTAAATAAGTTGAATATATCAAGCAATTTGATTGTTTTTCCTAAATTTTGGATTTGTTTTTAAAATGTCAAATTAAAATTTTGGAATTGTCGTGATGGCGCAGTTAGGGTGACTAGTCAAAGCAAATAGATTGTTCTATCCTTGCTTCTTCTTCTTCTTCTTTTTCACTTCACAACCACTGACACACACATATATATTTGCTTTTGATAAATGGTATTACGTGCGTAGGGACTAATGATTATGAGCCTAACTGGTATAATTATTTATTTATTTATTATTATTATTTTTTTGTGAAATGTAGAAGCATTGGCAGGGAATTATAGGCTTCCTCCACCGGAGATAAAAGATATTGTTGATGCTCCGCCTCTCCCTGCTTTATCATTTTCACCACATAGGGATAAAATACTATTTCTCAAGCGGAGATCCTTACCTCCACTGGCAGAACTAGCAAGGCCAGAGGAGAAGCTGGCTGGTATGCGTATTGATGGGAAATGCAACACTAGGAGCCGGATGTCATTCTACACCGGTATTGGCATTCATCAGTTAATGCCTGATGGTACATTGGGGCCTGAAAAAGAGGTACATGGATATCCAGATGGTGCTAAGATAAATTTTGTTACCTGGTCTCTTGATGGAAGGCATTTGGCCTTCAGCATCCGAATGGATGAGGAGGACAATAGCAGCAGTAAACTTAGAGTATGGGTTGCAAATGTTGAAACAGGGCAAGCTCAACCTTTGTTTCAGCCACCAGATGTTTACCTAAATGCTGTTTTTGATAATTTTGTATGGGTGGATAACTCTTCTCTATTGGTTTGTACCATTCCATCATCTCGTGGACATCCACCGAAGAAACCATTGGTGCCTTCTGGTCCAAAGATTCAATCTAATGAGCAGAAAAATGTCGTTCAAGTTAGAACCTTTCAAGACTTATTGAAGGATGAGTATGATGAAGATTTGTTTGACTACTATGCGACCTCACAACTTGTATTGGCTTCTTTGGATGGGACAGCGAAGGAAATTGGACTTCCAGCTGTATATACATCAATTGATCCTTCCCCCGACCAGAAGTACCTTTTAGCTAGTTCTATTCACAGGCCATACTCTTTTATTGTACCTTGTGGAAGATTTCCCAAAAAGGTAGAAGTATGGACAACTGATGGGAAGTTTGTGAGGGAACTCTGTGATTTGCCTCTAGCTGAGGACATTCCCATTGCATTCAATAGCGTGCGCAAAGGGATGCGCTCTATCAATTGGAGGGCAGACAAGCCTTCAACACTCTACTGGTATATAAATGAAAATTCCTTTTTTTCACCGTGCATGTGTTGGAGTTGGCAGGGTTAGATGATAGCTGCATGACCCTAGTTTCTTAACAGTATAAATGAACAGTTTTGGCATCATGCAGTGGCATGTGGAGCTGCATGTACTTTTTTTTTTTTTTGTTGACTCTTGTTGATGTTATAGGGCAGAGACACAAGATGGGGGTGATGCAAAAGTTGAAGTTTCTCCAAGAGATATAGTTTATACACAGCCAGCTGACCCGTTGGAAGGTGAACAGCCAGAAATCTTGCACAAACTTGATCTTCGCTATGGGTATGATATGATCTTCATGCTGATTTCTTTATATGCAAAATTAGTCTGGGATAACTTTGAAACTTTTGGATCTTTCTTCTATATTTTTTGACATGATGCTCTCATACTTTGTAAAAAGAGCTTCACTCACTGACATTAAAAAAATTCTATAACCAACCACAGGATTCCCAAAGATAGGTCTAACACTAGCCATATTTGGACTAACAATCACTTCTGTCAATATACATGCTTTTTCATCTTGCGTCAAGCTCTAATTACATGCCCAAGTCACTGAAAAGAGATGCATGATGGCGTGCATGCAGGAATGCTTGTACATGTTCAATTAGCTCTCAGGCACCTATCTTATCCCTAACGTTCCAAATCTTTGTAATATATCTAGAATACTTGCATCAGCTGCCTAGGAGGGTTATTTGAAGAAATGATTGTGACATATCGTTAAAAATGGATTGCAACAAATTGTAAGCTTATGGGTTGGCATAGGTTTATTTTGGAAGAGTAATGCAACAGATGCTAAGACTCTTTTACTAAAGTCTCTTACAAAATGAGGCATTCTTTCACATTGGTGATCTTTGCTATATCAATGGCACATGATTTATCACTCAGGGGAGATTTAAAATTTATTATGATTTGCCGTTCCCCTATATGACTATTTAGTAGGAAATTTTAACTAGAGTCTAAGTTTCTCTAGCATTATTCTTTTGGAAAACATGCTGAAAGAATAAACCTAGGTTTTTGTTTTAATTTTTGTTTTCTTTCACCTCCACAGGGGGATTTCTTGGTGTGATGATTCACTAGCCCTAGTTTATGAATCATGGTACAAGACAAGGCGAACAAGAACCTGGGTGATATCTCCTGGTTCCAAAGATGTGAGTCCAAGGATACTATTTGATCGGTCATCAGAAGATGTGTACTCCGATCCTGGCTCACCCATGTTGAGGAGGACTTCTGCTGGAACTTATGTGATTGCAAAGATAAAGAAGGAAAATGACGAACGCACTTATGTTTTACTGAATGGAAGTGGTGCTACGCCTGAAGGGAACATCCCTTTCCTTGATCTGTTTGACATGTGAGTATTTTGGAAGAGAACCTTTCGACACATGTTCCTCACCTGTTCCCCAATTCTCATTGGTCTCATATTGACTAAATCAATTCTTTCAGAAATACAGGCAGCAAAGAACGTATCTGGGAGAGTGACAAGGAAAGGTATTATGAAACTGTTGTTGCTCTTATGTCGGATTATGAAGAAGGAGATTTACTCCTTGATCGGCTGAAAATATTGACCTCTAAGGAGTCAAAGACAGAAAATACGCAGTATTCCATCCAGAAATGGCCAGATAAGAAAGTATGTCAGGTTACAAATTTTCCACACCCATACCCACAGTTGGCATCATTGCAGAAAGAGATGATCAAGTACCAGAGAAAAGATGGGGTTCAGCTCACTGCAACATTGTACCTGCCACCAGGCTATGATCCGTCAAAAGATGGCCCTCTTCCATGTCTGGTCTGGTCTTACCCTGGAGAATTTAAAAGTAAAGATGCTGCAGGACAAGTTCGTGGTTCTCCTAATGAATTCGCTGGCATAGGTCCAACATCAGCTCTTCTTTGGTTGGCTAGGAGGCATGAATTCTTCCTTCTATTTCTTCTTACAATTTGTTTTTTCTTGTACTGTCTCCATTATCAGCTGATTTCTGCTGCACCTTTACCATGGCTTGTGTATGGTTTAAACATGCTGGACCTCATTACAATAACTTCACATCTTGCAGGTTTGCTATTTTATCTGGACCAACAATCCCTATTATTGGAGAGGGTGATGAGGAGGCAAATGACAGGTAACTTGCTATAAATCTTACAGAATTCTGTTGTTCTGCTGGTTCACATGAATGTGATTACGTGGGTTTTCTTCATGGACTCATTTAATTATTGTCATGAGTTGCTAATTATTCACATAATTCAAATTCTTACAGTAAGTGGCAAACAAGGATTTTTTTTCATGAAATTGGAGTTACAACTTTCAAGTGAAAGAAATAATTTGTTATATGTCAATCTTGGTTCCATGGATATCAACATGTATCAAATGGTTCAAGAAAAAAGACTAAGATTGCATTAGTATGATGTCTTTTCTTTTAACTCTTAGAAGTTTCTGCAAAATCCATAATGTTAAAGAAGGGGTTAACTCTTCAGTTACTCTCTGTTATTTAGAGCATCTTTTAGGTTTCTTCTTAGGTAAGAGGAAGTATCATAAATGAACTGTGCTGTAGAGTCCCTAAAGTTTTAATTCAAACTAAATGTGTTGAATAGATATGTGGAGCAACTGGTTGCAAGTGCAGAGGCGGCTGTTGAGGAAGTTATCCGGCGTGGAGTAAGCTTCTTCACTTGTCCATATATGACTATTATTTTCGTGGCACTGGATGTGTCTGTGACGGTTGTTTTGGTGCTGCTCCTTCTAAGGTTGCTCATCCCAGCAAAATTGCTGTTGGAGGACATTCCTATGGTGCATTCATGACCGCAAACCTCCTGGCACATGCCCCCCATCTTTTCTGTTGTGGAGTTGCTCGCTCTGGAGCTTACAACAGAACACTTACACCTTTTGGTTTTCAGGTAACAGAATTGTGGAACGGATGGGTATTTCCTTTTTTTCCCCTGTTATGTACTCGTAGTTGAACACCATTGTTTCTTATTTCTCCCCTTGATCACTATTTCTGTCATAGTTTTGGATGATTTTTTTATGTCTTTCACCTTATTGATATAGAACGAGGACAGAACTCTTTGGGAGGCCACTGCTATCTATGTTGAAATGAGTCCTTTCATGTCAGCAAATAAAATTAAAAAGCCAATACTGCTTATCCATGGAGAAGAAGACAATAATTCAGGAACGCTAACCATGCAGGTATTTATGAAAAAGTTTCAGTGTTCAAACCTACTGTGCCAAAATTACCTACACATAATCATACTATCTGTCAGTAGAAATAATTCTATCCTTTTTATTCTTAGTAGATGATACTGTCATTTTAACTGTTGATTGCTTGGTTTAGTGGTTGTTGCCAGCTTCAGTTTGTTCCCAACTCATTTATTTGCTGCTTATCTTGCATTTTCACATGATGCAGTCAGATCGTTTCTTTAATGCCCTGAAAGGTCATGGCGCCCTTTGCCGCCTGGTCATTCTACCCTTTGAGAGCCATGGGTATGCTGCACGAGAGAGCATCATGCATGTTCTGTGGGAAACTGATAGATGGCTTCAGAAACATTGTGTGCTAAACTCTTCTGATGCAAGTGCAGAACTTGATGCCTGTAAGGACAATGTGAGCAAAGGAGTTACAGACTCTGATAACCAAGCAGTTGTTGCCAGTGGAGGAGGTGGGCCAGAGCTGGCAGACTCTGAGCATGACGGGTTCTACTCGTTGCCAAGGTCATTATTGTGGTAATTTCTTCATCCCTTGTCTTCAATAATATCTTTCTTGACAAAATATTCAGTCTGCTCGTCTATGATTTATTTGTTATGAAATTAACCAAGTGAAAACTGTGTACAGTCTAATTATGCTGAAACTTGAAATCATACCAGTGTGTTTAGACATACATTAGAATCCTCAAGCACACTACTGTTGTGTAGATTGCCAGTGTCAATACATATTTGTTTTGTAGGAACCCTTTTTTTCGGTTGGATGTTAAAAGTATTGTTGTGGCCCTCCATTTCAACCTCTTCATCTTATTCATTCTGTTCCCATCAATTGGTTTAGTTACGGTGAATGTTTTCTGACAAGCATCTCATCTGGGCATAAATTTCATGTATGAATGACCAGTAGTTTATTTTGCTCTGTCCCGTATGTTCTTATGTATTTCAATTGTTAACCTCGAACTGTGATCAATGTCTATTTAGATTCAAATCTAGTGTGTGGCTGCCGGGAGTTGTCATTGAGCAGCATCAACGGTCTATGCATGGATGCAAAAAGCAGCGCAGATGCATGTCCCCACCAAGTACAAAATGTACAATTTTTACCGACCGTATATCATTGCTTATGAAATGTATCATCAACAATTGAGTGTCACGTGTTACGTAACTTATAAAGCACTACCCTTGTCAAGTTTGATGTAGTCGCCACCCAGATCAGTGTGATAATGGTGCTCCATCCATTGCATGGTTTCATGCCCGTTGACAAGATCTTGTTCAATCCCTGACCCTCACGGAATTCTTGTAATTACTTATTTCCCTTTACCTACGATTACGTAGTGCATTGACCGATCAGTTTGCTCTGAGCTGATTGTTTTTGCACTTCGCAGACGTTTCGGTGCTATATACTAGGAATATTTTAGTGTGGAACTGAAATTAACATAGGCTTTTTCATTCTAAAACCGTATGTTACTCATGGCTCGTCCCAGCAGCAAGGTGTCTATCGATGCTCATCTTACTGTGCTTTTTCTCCGATCCAAATTGATGTTGCATTTTTTATGCATGCTTAAACCATACAAAAATCCAAAGTGAATTGAGGAATTAAAGAATAGTCTTCAATCGGATAACTTTTTAAATAAATTAAATCTTTGACAGACCCCGGGGTAATAACTTAAATTGAGATTTCCTGACGCTGTAGATTCTAAATATTGCCTTCAGCTTATAAATACCAGCATATTAAGGCCCCCAAAAAGGAGAAGAAAAGGAGGAAGATGGTAAAGCTAAAGAATCCGAAGGATGGTCCAAATGATCACTCCAGGGAAGTTGTATGCAATCAAATGACATAGTAATCCAGTTCGAGCTTAACTTTTTGGGGCCCATTTCTCTTTGTCATGGGTAGCAGCTACATAATGCTGATGAACAGACCCTAGTACCTCGAACTGGTATACCGTGACTTTTTCAATTCAGGGTTGGTGGAATAATTCTTAATAACAACCATAAGTAATGAAAAGCTAAGGTCAACGAACATTATTAGGTAGTTTGTACACGTTCTATTTTTCAACCATCACCGCGAATGTAAAGCTTTACAAACTTCGCCTTTTTCCTTCAGAACTGACACTAGATACTTGTATCCAATGAAGCTGCTTCTCGTCCCCTATTCACCCATACAATTGATTAAGCCTTTCTTAATTTAGGCAGACGAAATTGGAGACCTTTGCTCAGCCTAACGCATATGATTGCACCTAATCGACTAATTGCTGGATCAGACCAGCATCACTCAAATTGAATCAAGGCTTAATTTCATTATGGAACCATAATTTTGATAAATTACTCATTGCAAGCCAAATCCCGTATGGAACTCAAGCAACTGCCAATATATCATTCAGCCTGTTCGTTGAGACCTGAGGCTTTCTGTGAGGTCCGAGAAAAGAATTTCGGGATCAGTCCCGAACTAAGAAAAGATTGCCATGTGTGATAACTACATGTTCCTAAAACTGAGCTTCTACGTGTCTTTCAAAGTCACTATTTGGATATAAATTGAATCGATAAACAAAAGCCTTATTGATAATGAATGGTGAAACAACGGCTGCTTTTAAGAGGGTACATAAAGAATGCAAGACAAATAGTTTGAAACAGATTTGCTCAACTGGAAATTGATCCATCATGAAACCAATCCGTCCAAGATTAGCATCATCTACCGTCCCCTTTGTCCACTACTCTTTTCTAACCAATCATTCCTCATTATATATATAGATGATTTGCAGGACTGTGTTTCGAGGAGAATAGAGAAGAAAGCAAAGCTATGCTCACATTTGTTTTTAAACAATGACCGGTAATTCAATAAATTTTTCATCCAACCGTCAATAACTCTCTCACTCCAATCAAATGGATTTAGGGACCTGTCCCGAACTTTTTTATTCTGGACCATACGAGGACCCAAGACCTAATAATACTGCAGTTAAAAGAGAAAGAAAAAAAAAAAAAAAAAAGAAACCTGCAGGCAGCATAACCAGCCCATCAAGCTTCCTTGCATTTCTGTTTCATGATCTAGCAGTGCAAAAATGGCACAGCCAAAAAAAAAAAATCCCTAATATCTCAAGTAACAAAATCACAAGAGACATTATGAGACAGGATATAGCACATGACAGTAAAAGCCATTAAATTTCATACATTTATGAAAACGATTCTGTGCTGCACATCTCAGACAAGAAATTTATTATTCAAAGTCAGAAGGCTAGGTACCGCAACTTAAGATTCAGAAATGGGGGACAAAAAAGAAAAAACCAGAATACTTCTGAAGCTGTCCATAACACCATGGCAGAGGCATAAACCTTATTTATTCTTCCACAACAACACTGATCTCACCTTTTTCCAGCAAGTCATAAAATGATCTCACTTTCCTCTGCTCATTCCAGTGATGCATTTTCCAAAGACTACCGGCAGCCAAGCCAAGTGCAATCCCAATACAAATCTCCCGGACAACGCTTGGTCCTTTCAAGGTCACGTGAGCAACCCTACCGCCAGCCATTTCACTTTGATGGTAATCTGCATGCAACATTTTCTTTCATTTTAGCACCCACAAAAGGATTCATGAAAACCATAAACATGTACAATTGCAATAAGTTAATCAGTTGGAAAAAAAAAAGCCTCTCAACAGATGCATATCTATTAGCATAGACTAAAACTACTCCACTGCCCTTCACAGAGGAATAAGTATAATTGGCTACTTACTACTTAAGACAACATATGATGTTGAACTCTCCTTTCAGGAATAAACAAAATATAAGAAAAAAAGGGAGCAAAACAAGGTAAAACAGAAATAAGTCATGCAACTTGTAAACTGGTACTAATTTAAACAATTCAAGCAAGCAACAGATATCTACCTTACAATAGATATAAGGGCAAGAGAGGAAGTAAGAGAACAAACGGGATCAATTCAAATTACGCTGCAAAATTTGATGCAGACACTTAGGTAAATGCTATGACTATAACTATAAAACATCCAGCCTGTGAACATTTACGACAGACAAAGCTGAATCAGTAAGCACGCAACCTTTATGATGTTATAATTCTTTGTCTCATGTTTGGTTTTAATTCATAATCCAATTGCTCATTTTTCGTTTGATCCATCAGTTAACAAGTTAGAAACTTAGCATCAGACGTTGCCTTTGACATAATCTCGTATAAGTTGCACAGAAACTTATACAGTTCTAACTGGACTAAAATGGGAGCATTTCAAATTGCAGACAAATTTACACAAAAGGAAAACCACAAATTTTCAAACACCCGGCATTTAATTCGCTTTTGATTTCTATTAGACATCAAATGTTTTTCAAAAGTGAAAAAAAAAAAACTTAATCTCTTTCTTTCGTTTCCAAAGCGTATTCACACACATCTATTCTTTTTGCATTATCATAATCAAAGTCAAGATTAAATAATTAATATTTATACACTCAAATAAATGAATTGATGCATAGAATGATAAGAATCTACAATCAACATCCCAATTGCAAAAGCTGTACCCTCGGCTTTTTTTTTTTATATATTTTAATCTTTTGCATGTGCAGGATTGAATTAGAAGTTTCTTTTTTCTTACGTTTTGCAAATGCAGGATTGAATTAAACGAAGCAGATTTAGCAGATACGGCAATTTCTTCCAGTGACGTGAATTTGCAGTATTGAAACTTGAACAATAGTAAGAAATCAAGTGAAATTAAAAGGATAGATCGAGCCCTAAATAAAATTATGTAGTAACTTACAAAGAAAAAGAGTTTGATCCAAGATAGATCGAGAGAGAGGGGGGATTGGGGGAGAGGGAGAGTTAGGGTTTGCTGACCTGACCTGAACTGAACTTAAATGCACTACGCCGAGAAGCTGATTACGGAAGTTCGAGAGAGATGAGAGGCGCTGCCACCCTATTTACCTTTTGTGAGTCTTTGACGTCGAGGGCGTTTGCTTGTGAGGCTATTTATGTTCGGAACCCGGGCTAGGAATAGCGTTAATTGGAAATACCACATGGGCCCATTTGGGAACTCCAATTGGGCCTTTAGCCCGTTACTGGTTGATAGCTTTAAAATGATTTGAGAATGGAAATGGATCAACATTTTTTGTCCAAGTGCAATGCACTGATAATCTAATATCAAAGGGTGTCAACAAAAATGAGTAAATTATAAATTAATCCCTCTGCTTTCAAAAAAAAAAATTATTTAGTTTCTATCGGTTCAAAATTTATTATTTATTTTTTTAATCAGTATTAAACTTATTTAATTTAATATTATTTTTATTTTATAAAATTTTTTATTCTTTCATAAATCTTTTCATATCTTTTCACATTTTTTTCCTTTATCTATTTCTTGAAATCAATTAAAAAGGAGCAGAAAGACTAAATTATAAATATTATAAATAGATTTTAAAATATTGAGATTAAATTATTAGTTTTTGAAACGAAATAAACTAATTAATTTGTTTCTAAAAATAAGAAAGACTAAGTTATAAGTTACTCCACCAAATACCATGAATCCTGAATTCTATTCTTTTTTTTACTTTTCCGTCCAATGAATCCTCCTTCGGTATGAGTGTTAAATTAATTTCTTCACATAAACATTTTCTTTCCTTTTATTGTTCAGTGACCAAATTTTAAATTACAATTGACTATTTTTAACACTCCATCTATCCTTTTACATAAATATTATGAATTCACCCTATTTGATAATTTTAGACTTTTAATATTAAATTATTTAATTTTAATTTTAAATTATAAATTTTTGGATAAATATGATCCAAATTAATCTTTATAAGTAACTGTGATTTTATAATTTGAATTTTATTTTTTCAAAAATTAATAATTTAGACTTAAAATTACGGAGTTGGATAGTAAAGATTGAAATTGTTAAATTAGCATGTAACGATGTCAAAAATTGGCATTAAACCGGAGTTATAATGTCAATCAAATAGTAATAAAAATGTAACACTACAATAAAAAGGTAAGATCTAAGTGGCAATGACATAACCAGTAACCGAGCCATTCCCTACACAACAGCATAAAAAAGCAGAGAAGAATTCTCCAGACCGGCTAAAATCGACAAATTCCAACAACGTTAATGTTCTTACTCCAAATCTCGATTGAATAGAATAACAACTAATTCTCAACAAAAGCCCAACCACCATCCTATTCTAATCTCTCCTCTACCCATTGCCCATTTCTAACTTCTATATCGCCACTCGCGAGGAAAAAAAAAAGAAGCCCACAAGAACCACTCTGCTCTTCAACAATGGCCTTTTCAATATGCTCTACAAAGACCATCCTCTTTCTCTTCCTCATATCAGCGGTTCCTATCGCCTTTATTATCTCTATGGAGTTAGCCAAGCCTCTAACCCACGTGTACCACTACCACAGCTCCGGATTCTTTCGTGAGTGCGCCAAGTGGGACGATCTCAACCGTCGATTCCTGGTCTCCTTCATGGACGGTGGCATCGGCGAGATTGCTGTCGAAGATCAGTCATCGTCATCGGAAGAGACTATTTTAAAGGAAGTTACGGTGGTTAAAGACGCTGACTTGACCGGAAACTCTTCTCTTGGCATCGTCGTTGACCGGCCGAGGAATCGGCTTCTAGTGGCGATTAGTGATATAATGGGAAACAAATACAACGCACTCGCTGCTTATGATTTGTCCACGTGGGATCGTTTGTTTCTTACCAAACTTACTGGACCAGGTACGCTGATGTCGTTACTCTCCTATTTTTATTTTCTTCTCCCAGTGCCCTTCCCTTTGTTTCGTCAGTCGTTGTTTGTTAACAATTGCACGCGTTCCTATTCTTCTAAAATTTATTAAATCAAGTCCCTCTACTAATTTAAGTATTAGTTGAGATCCTCTACATCAATAACTTGTTTAATATCAACCTTCTTTTTGTAACGTTGTTATTGGAAAACTGTAACTGCACTAAACACGTGACAAGTCCCATTAATTGGGTTTACCTTTATTTTTCAAAGAATTATCATGCTTTATTTTTTCATTGATTTTCTGTATCATCATTTTTATCTATTTTTAAAAGAAATACTATTTATAATTGTAAATTCTTTAGAAATGATTTTTAATTAGAGTTATTATAGTAAAATATTATATTTTTTACATCGCGCTACGTCACGGATTGGATAAAATATATAAAATCATATAGAAAAATTATTTCAGTTTAAAAATATATTTTATGATAAAAAATAATTATAATTTTTAAATGAAAAAAATTTATATTTAACTATTTTTTATTCGTGTTTTTAAATTTTAGAAATAAATAATAAAGCAAATAAATTATTGATTTTTTTAAAATTTTAACACCTAATTAATTGTTAGTTTTTTAAAATTTTAATACCTAATATTATTTAGAAATTAAAATTAAAAAAAACTCAATGTTTAGGGAAAAAAAAAAAGAGGCCAACCGTTTACTTGTTCATGTCAATAGTAAACGGACGGAAATTAAAAAAAAAAAGAAGGCAAGCCGTTTACCATTCAAATGAACAATAAACGGGTAAAAAAAAAAAGAGGGGAAAGGCCAGCGAGTGCTGGCAAAAAAAAAAAATGAAAACTTAAAAAACAAAAAAAGCTAAAGTAATATAGCAATGAACAATAATTAACATTGTTCATTGCTACAGTGAAAATGGTTTTTCTTTAGTATATAATATTAGATTTTTTATCCTGCGCTATGCTTTGGGGTTGGATAAAATATATAAAATCGTTTAGAAAAATTATTTCAATTTAATAATCTATTTTATGGTAAAAAATAATTATAATTTTTTAATTAAAAATTTTGTATTTAACTATATAGTTTTTTTAATTTTAAAAATAAATAATAAAGGAGATAAATTGTTGGTTTTTTTAAAATTTTAACATCCAATTAATTGTTGGGTCTTTTAAAATTTTAACACCAAATACTATTAAGAAACAGAAATTAAAAAAAATTCAATGTTCAAAAAAAAAAAAAAAAGGATGCAAGCTGTTTACTGTTCATGTGAATAATAAATAGACGGAAATTTTTTAAAAAATTCAATGTTTACAAAAAAAATCATTTACTGTTCAAATAAACAGTAAACGAAGGGGGAGGGCAGCGGATCTAGCAAAAAACGATTAATGAAAATTATAAAAAAAACAAAACACTGTAGCAATAAACAGTGATTGATACTGTTTATTGTTGAAGTAAAAAACATTTTGCTTTAGTATATAGGATAATATACTTTTGATATTTTGATCTGAGATAAATAAAAATAAAAATAAGAATAATTTTTGAAATACAGGAAGCATTATTTGCGTTTTAGAGAATTTGACTAGAGGATCGTACATGACACGTGTAGCTTTTGTATTTAAAAATATTAACCCTGCTCGTTCCCCGTATATAGCAGTACCTGACACGTGTAACAGTTCGTTTTGTCTAATGTTAAGATAGCGTGTTTACGAGGGGATGTCAAGGCAATTTCGAAATTAAATAGAAAATATAATAAGGTTGCTTCTTTTAAGAAGGAGCATTGTACTGAGTCACATTTAATTGGTATAAAGTGACAAATATTTGGTGGAGTACGTCATAATTTAATTACTTAATACAAGTATGCAAATATGTATTACCATTAGACGGATGGTTCAGGACTTTTTTTCAAGAAGAAAAACACGTGTCATTGTGTTGCTCCAACTTTGACCTAACTTGTTGAATTAGAACGTTGAGGAAGGCAATCACTAGATGAACGGTACCAGATGCAGTCTTTTGTCATACATAGAAATTTTGGTCAAGTTGGGGTGGTCATGATTTTGATCTTTTAAGGAGCAGAGAAAACAAGACCGTACGAAGTAGCGACTTTTTCAATTGATAGTATTAGTACTTGCTTAATAAATTATGGTGGGGAACCATGACGCTGCTTATTCACCCAAGACAATTTCACCCCGCTAGCAAGAGCATGCCATCGAGACCCCAGAAAAGGCTCTCTCAGTACTTTTACCATGCGGTTGGGGTTCCATCATTCAATATAAAAATAGCACATGACCGCTGACACTCCTTTTAAGAGTGTCAGTGGTCATAAAACATAGTTTCAAAAAAAATAAAAAAAGAAAAAAAACCCCTCAAATTTAGCCACTAATCTATGTACCCAGGATCGGTTCAGTCCCAAACATATAAATTTTATCAATTGGATATCAAATGTCTCAAAAAGTTCTCAATCAAGTGTTTTTTTCTCCTCCAAAGTTCATCTTTTTTTTTAATCAATTTTTGTTGAAATCAAAATTGTTTTAGTGCATAAAATATGCACAGATTAAAATGAAAACGTTAATATTTATAAGCTTTTTCATCAATTTTTTTTTCAAATTGACGTCATATTTTTGTGAATAAAATGTGCACGTTAGACTTTGGATGTTAAAAAAAAATTGATTAGAGGACCCAATTGGAAATTTAGAAAATAATTTGGGACTTAATTAGTAAAATTATGGTATAAGTTTGGGATACAATCGATAATGTGTATATAGATTTAGGATGAAATTGAGGTTTCTGAAAAAAATGGTCATGAACCTTAATTAATTAATCATGAATCAATATCATCCGAAGCAGGCAGTGCTTTGAAGGGCAGTGGCACCCCTAAAGTTTTGTTTCAATTTTATCCTTAGATTTTTCAGTTTTTTTTATAATAGGCAAGCATTTGGCACCCCAAAAATATCGTATTTTCTTTCCAGTCTTTCTAAATTTAAGTTCATTTTAAATTCATCCTACTAGTTTTTTATTTTGGAACCCCCACTCATGACATTTCCGTCCTTGGGTATAGTTAGTTAATAAAATGTATATCCTCCAAGTGGTCAAACGCACCTTATGACATCTGGCGTCTAGATTTCTTATGATTTGACATTCTAAAGGTGACTTCAAGCATGCTTTATGCAGTTTGTAGTTGATTCTGCCTAATTCGTTGTGTTTAATTTTGTAGATAATGAGAAATCCTTCGCCGATGATGTAGCAGTTGATGCAGAAGGTAATGCGTATGTTACTGATGCCAAAGCCAATAAAATTTGGAAGGTCGGGACGGATGGGAAGTTCCTATCCTTCATCAGAAACCCACTCTTCATTGCGAAAGAGTGGTACAAAAACTTGGTTGGGCTAAATGGAATTGTTTACCACCCAGATGGATTCTTGATTGTCATCCATACTTTTAGTGGCAATTTATATAAGATTGACCTAGCCAAGGAAGATCATGAAGTCAAATTAATCAAAGTACATGGAGGCTCACTTGCATTTGGAGATGGCCTAGAACTTCTGTCTCCCACTAAACTTGTAGTTGCAGGAAACCCTTCTGGGAGATTAGTGGAGAGCTCTGATGGGTGGGAGACGGCTTCTGTTGTGGCAAAGTTTAAAGGGCCTGCACATAGGTTGGCAACAGCAGCAACTGTGAAGGATGGGAGGGTTTATATTAACCACTTGCTTGGTATGGGATACCCTAAAAAGAAGCATGCTCTTGTTGAGGCTGTTTTTTCTACTTGAGAGAAAAAAACAATTTGAGTTTCATGCAGCAAAACTGACTCCTTGCGGGTTTTGGATTTGTAATGTTGTATCGCCAGAGACTACGGAGCATTTCAGTTCACGAGTGAAGCATTTTGTTCTCTATGCCTGGCCTCGCAACTTCCCTAGGAAAATCTTCGGTACAAGCTGTTGGTTAATTAATAATCAGGATTACTTTTGATCTTCTTCTTCTTTTTTCTTTTAATCGTGGAGTACTTTATATCTTGAGTGACTGGATTTTTATTTGTAACAAGCAGATCGGAGCTTAATACCCTTATGATAAGAGATTATTTTGATAGCAAAGATGATGGATTAGTAGTAGGATATAGCAAACCCATAGTCACTAGGCCCAGTGCCAATCTGTCAAAGGCCCATTGATTGATAGATGGATTAGGCTATTTTTTAAAAAAGAATAAAACGGATGTCAACCCCAATTATGTATTTATCATGGACCCAAAAAAGGAAAAGAGGCGAGTCCTGGATGGCACTGGCAGATCTCTGTGTCAGAAAGAGGAACTCGAACACGTCCAATTATATCGACAGATCCACCATCTCTGCCAAAGTTGGGCTGCAGATATGTTATGATTCAAGCCCATCTCTCAGCGGTTGCAGGGAGCAGGGACAGGGTCACAGGGGTCCCTTGATTGTAGGAATGGCCCCAGTGCCTTTCTTAATTTTTTTGCATCCGCCTCACTTTATTCTATCTTATATTATTTTATATCAAATTTTAAATTATTATAAAAAAATAATAATTTATATAAAAAATACAATTAAGAAAGATAATAATTTAACATCACATTTTTCTATAAATTTACAATATGACTCATAATATATTAAATTATTTTTAATTAAATAAATAATATAATTAATTAAATTGATAAAGTATTATAAATATAATTAAAAAACATAAATTCTTACATACCTTTATTGTTTAGAGATTATCAAAATTTATTCATTATAACGATGATTAACTTAGTATAATTATAATTTCTAAAGTAAAAGAAGAAGTGTGACGGAACGGGACAGGATGGATAAATACCATCCCTGCCCATTCTTAATGCAGGGTGGGGCATTCCGTCACGTTTTTCAATCAATTCGGGAAAGTCCTATATTGATCGAGACGACGAGGAGTGAGGCTCTGTTGGGACAGAGTAAATGACCATCTCTGCTTGATTGTTGTTAATCACTCATTTGAAGGGGGGGTCCCTTGATGTAGGGTGGGGTGTCCCGCCACGTTTCTCAGTCAATTTATTAAATTCCTACATTGATCGAGATGGAGAGGATCGGGGCTCCGTTGGGATATGATAAATTACCATCCTTACTTGATTGTGTGTTGGGGGGGGGGGGGGGGGCGGTTTGGCGCGGGCTGATTCCTGCATCAATACTGGCAGTCCGTGAATATCTACTTCGAAGCCTGGATAAGGTTGGTCCAATGGTCCCTCGAATTAAACTACAGAAAGTTACAGATCCAGCTGACTAGAATGTGACAACTTTGTTTATAATGCAAACTACCCCCATGTGGGGAGCGAGATAAATGGATTTTAATTCATGACCACAGACCACTATGCTTTTATTATCCTGTACAACGTATGACAATTATTTTATTATTCCCATAATGTTCCACGTGGTTGCCCTATCCAGCAATGCCTCCCCACCGTCCTCCTTGCATTTCCTGGTTACCGATGGTATTTAGATGGAGGACTAATCTACCCTTGACGGATGGTTCTCGCTTGCATCTCTTGTTAATGAAGCGAAGGCAACTAATCTAATAACATGGTGAAGTTGCTCAAACCAAAAACAGTCAGAGAAGCTGTCATAAAATATTCTTGTTTCTTAATTAAGTTATTCTCTTAACAGAAGAACAAAGGGGAGTAATAAATTAAGGAAAAAAATCAATACCAAATATGAAGTTTTTTTTTTTTTTTCCTTGATGAAAGGTTAAAGGTTAGTCTATCGACCAAAAAGTGCAATTAAAAATTTAATACAGTTGTGATGATTGAGCTGTTTAAACTTGTGATTTTTGTTTCTCTTCTTCTAATTTCTAAGCCTCTTGGATTTTTTTTTTTGGAAAAGGAAAGAGAGTTCAAGTTTACAGTAAATACTTTAATGAGGCCTTTTTGGTAAATAACCTCTACACCCTTTCCCATCACCTGAAGAATAGCCAGAAAGCTACCCCCACAACACAGCATATGGCATGTCGACTTTGTGTCTGTTTCTCTATTTTCTTTTCCTTTTTTTCCCCACTCCCATCTACCTCACAAAACAAAATTTCAACAAGACTTTTGACACATTTTTGAAGGAAACTGTCATTTTTTCACACATACAACAGAGAAACTAATTTTCACAAATGGACAGGCAGAGAAGTTTCTCCTTTAAATCCACAAGATTCTTGGTATTTTCTTTCACAATTTCTTCTTCTTTATTCTTTCTCACATTTTTTACCATCTGGGTGTTCAAATCTAAACCTTCTATTCTCCAAGAAACAAGCTTTGAGTCCAAACAAACCTCCCTTGCTTTGAGTTTAAAGCCTCTTAATGTACAGACCTTCAATGGTTTGACTAGAAATTCCTCATCAACTGGCTTGGAAAGTTCAATTTTTATAGATACCCATTTTAGAGGACCTGAAAATACTTCTGGATTTGCTAGCATTTCAGTTATTAAAAGAAAGGACAACGAATCTGAAACTAGTGGGAAAGACAGAGATGGTGTGAATGGTAATTTTACTACGGTACAAGAGATCAGTGCACCTGTATCAGAGACTTCAAGTTTTGAAGAGAAGAAGAGTGGAGCAATTTCATTGGAGAAAACTGAAGTTCAAAGTAGTGAGAAGATTGCAGAGGAGACTAGACAAGCTACTTCACAGGAAAAAACTGAAACTCCAATCAAAGAGGGGATTGAAAAGAAGAAAAAAGGACCAACTACAGTGACAAATATGAAGGCTTCAAGGAATGAGAGAATTAAGGCTTCAAGGAATGAGAGAATTAAAGAAAATAATATGAGAGAATGTGATATTACAAAAGGGAGGTGGGTCTATGATGCGAGCTACCCTCTCTACAGTTCATGTCCTTCAATAGACGAAGGCTTTGATTGTGTTGGCAATGGGAGATTGGATAAAGATTACATGAAGTGGAGATGGCAACCTCAAGACTGCAACATTCCAAGGTGCATCAATTACATCTTAACAGTCTTTCTTTCCTTTTCTTTTGAAAAACTAGGTACTTTATGATTTAATTGAGAGTACAGTTGGTGGAAAAGACAGAAACACGCAATGTTGAAAATTCTGTTCTTTTTGGATGGGTTGTTGATCCATTCCACAGATTCAATGCGACAAAAATGCTGGATTTGATTAGAGGGAAGAGGCTAGTTTTTGTTGGCGATTCAATTAACAGGAATCAATGGGAATCCATGCTGTGTATGTTAATGGAAGGAGTTAAAGATCCTAAGAAGGTGTATGAGACCCATGGTAGGAAAATCACCAAGGAGAAAGGGAATTATAGCTTCAAATTTGTGGTAAGATCTGATTTTGCAATCCTAACAAGTTACTTTATGTGTCATGTTGGATTTGTAGCTGATTTTTGAGGATGGTTTTGCAGGACTATAAATGTACAGTTGAATACCATGTGACGCATTTCTTGGTTCATGAAAGTAAAGCAAAAGTAGGATCCCGGAGAGTGCAGACATTACGAATTGATGCCATTGATCATGGCACATCAAGATGGAGAGGAGCTGACGTTTTGATTTTCAACACTGCACATTGGTGGTCTCATTTCAAAACAAAAGCTGGGTCTGTATTATTGACTTATTTAGCTTCAGAACCTAGGCTAATTCCTAGATTTTATGGGAATTGTAATTCATTCAGTTTCAGTTTTCAACACAACAATGACTACAGCTGGAAGTTTTGTTAAGATTTGGTTTCATTAAGAAAGCCGTCCCTCCAAAATTCTTTGTATATTAATGTCGCATGCTCACCTACATGATCACCAGCTCCAAAATGGTGCAATGTAACTTTGGAAAGACCATCTATGGTTAAAATATCACTGCTTTTTTGTGTCTATACTATGTCGTTTTAACATCTGCTGCCCTTGACAGGATCAACTATTACCAGGAAGGGAACCAAGTTCATCCCCAGCTTGATGTGTCTACAGCTTTCAGAAGAGCTTTGTTGACTTGGGCATCGTGGGTTGATAGGCACGTTAATCCGAGAAAGACTGAAGTTTTCTTTCGAAGTTCGGCGCCTTCTCATTTCAGGTTTGTTTGGTGATATTATGAATCATGATCAATGCTTTAAGCTCCACGTATCAAATTGTTCAGTGGTTTATGACGATACAGGGGCGGACAATGGAATTCGGGTGGGCATTGTAAGGAAGCTACTCATCCCCTCAATGAAACTTCAAGTATTAGCTATTCTGAGAAGGATTCCATTGTAGAAGATATTATCAAGCGCATGAAAACTCCTGTAACTTTCTTGAATATAACTAGTTTCTCTGGATTTAGGATAGATGGTCATCCATCTATATATGGCAAAAGACCTAGTAAGCGCTCAAGCATTCAAGATTGCAGCCATTGGTGTCTTCCTGGTGTTCCCGATACATGGAATGAATTTTTGTATTTTCACCTGCTGTCTAAGCAAGGCGGTACATTTCAGTAAAAGTGATTTATACTTCTTAGCTTGTACGTTCTTTTAATTATTTCTGCCTCTTAATCTTGCAGGTAGGCATGTAGCGTCTCAGAGAAAGAGGGGAAACGTGTGTGCGTTTCTTTTTCCTTCTCTTTTTGTCAAGGAGACTGTTTACTTTAGATTCAATTTAACGGAACATAAAGAAATTCATCATTCTGAACCAGATTAAGCACCTAGTTTTCCAACCACCGAGGCTGACACACACACACACGGGGTTTCAAGGATGATGCGGATTGAACGAGACGCAAACCCACCTTAGCTACAAAATATGCACATAGATGCCTCAAAGCTTAAGGTTAAACAATTGCTTACCCACCTCAAAAGAAAGCAACAAAGAAAGTAGGAAAAGAGGAATGTCTTATTACCATGACAATTTTACATGGAACAACAGCATATTTCATCCTATACTGTTTGTCTTCTACAGGAAACTGCAAGATCAGTTTCAAACTCAATTTCAATAATAAAGTTTGACCTTATTGCTAGCCTGTCTTAATGAGACAGCCAAATTCACAGCAAGCGCACTTGCGCATATGTACAAGTAAATGCTGGCATAACTTAGTATAGGTTTCTTATATTCATTCTTTGTGACGAGGAACTGGTAAAATACACTTAGAATTACCGAAACATGCTCCATAACATCAAGCCATGCCAATAATCCATCAATGAGATTGGTGTTTCTTTGCTCGGCCTTGGGAGACTGTGGAATCATCTCTTTTGGAACCCTCGGGTTTTCGAGCCCATGCAGGTGCCTGGTCTGGCCCATAACGATAATCATAGAATAGCTCCTCACTAGCTTCTATATGCTCCTTTGCAAAGATGCCTACTCGATGATCTCCTGCTACCAGCATTACCTGAATAATCCAACATATTAGTTCGATCAATGTCGAGGAATAAAAAACTAACATGGTAATCACCGAAACTTGAATACCTTAGCATAGCAATTAGGATTTGATGAATGGTTTGCAAATTTCAGCTTATCCCCCTTCCGGTAAGCATCAAGGACGAACTGATAAAAAAAAAACAAAAAGAAATAGCAAGCCACATTAATCTATGAGGAGAACGACCACAAAAACAGACTAAGAAAATCACATTGAAGAGGATAGCGTTCCACATTAATCAATCAAGGCGGCCATAAAAAAAATAGACCCTGCAAATTGCATTTAACTTCCGAAACTCTAAACCAATTTAGTCTTCCATTTCAGATGTCATCACTCCAACGCTCAGTTGACAAAAGAGCAGCCATTTTGAACATGAGGTGAATTTAATCTCAAAGGATGGCATTATTATTATGTTCTTACACCTGGGATATCTATTTTGTAACCAGCAACTATCACTTGCCTGATCATTTAAGTCAAAAAGGAATGATGAATTGGCACGATCATAAATCTTCCCACGCTTATCTGCTTCTCGATGAGAGATTAATTCACCAGTATATTCTCCAAGATAATCATTCTTGTTGACGGGGTTCTGAAATCACATCATCAAATTTATTGCACAGAACTAGTACATGAGTACTGAAGGGCGTGACAGCAGACGCAGGCAGTAATACCTTTAAAAAGGCTCCCCATCCAGCAACATCAGACTTTGCCAAGAGGATCTGAAGAATGAAATATATAGTACGTATGGGAAAACAAAAAGTTTCTTTCAGAATATATCAATAACTTTAGTACGATAACAGTAAGTTTTTCCGAATCACCAACCCTCTGCTGCTGCCTTAGAAGAAGCCTCATGTTTCCACATTGGCCATCTCCTCGTTTTGGAGGCTCTCCTAAAGAACCATCTCCGCAACTGCATAGAAACAAAACAGTTTTGAAAAATGCACAAATTAAAGAAACTGGCAGCTAATGAGATGAAAAGTCAGCAATCCTGGCCATGGATAGATACCCAGCATTTATTAACTCAAATCAGAGATCAAATTGTAAAGCCTACCAGTTCATGGATTGAATAGTTCAATTAATCAGATCCATGACTCTGAAAGAGAGTACACGCTAACTCAGAAAAACAGATGGTTTCCATGGCTGCCATAAATCAGTCAAACAACTTGTGCTTTACCTTTTTTTTTTTTTTTTTGATAAACAAAATCTCCCAGCTGTCACTAGTATTATACAAGTCACCAGAGTGCTCCAAAACTGAAGCCTTTGAAACAAAGAACTAGACTGATGCATAGTTCAGGTGTTTGTCTGTCAGGCTCCAGTTTGGAATACCAAACACTACTTGAGTCCAAGAACTCCAAATTCTCATGACTAGATAAAATAAGATCAATGTCTGAGACAACTAATCTTCACTTGTGAACCAACATTTTCAGCAGTAAGCTTTTAACCGACGACTTACCCAACCCCTGCCCAACCAACTAATCATTTGAGACAAAGAATATTCCGGTCATCTTAGGGTGACACTTGCCAAATGCTTCAAGTAGTTTCATACCAGCTGTTCAGAACAGCATGTAAACATTCCTATAGTTTGAAAGGCATGCGCTGGTCAGGCCAGAAAAAAAGAAGAAGAAAAGAAAAAAAGAGCATTTCATCCAACTTTGTTCTGGAGGCAACATGGACTTCAATCTACCGCTTCTGATGGATAGTAAGGTCTTATAGTCTGGTGTGTGTGCATAAACGGTCATTCTTAAAAAAAAAATTGAGGATACAAACATTGGGTTCATGCCAAAAGGTGATGTATGGGTACGAGAAACTTGACAATATGATGCCTATAATGTTTAGCAGATGCACACTCATATAAGAATGGAAAGACAATAAAGGTATGAATATTTCCATGTGAAACAATGCTTATCAAGTATAAGCATATAAAATTCTTTACCTAACCCAGCAATTCCTACAAACATCTGGGTCACATTCACGTCCAGCAGCAAAGCATGGGCATTGTCGACTTCTGCATTGGCTCTTTGCACAGTGGCATCCTCTGAAGCGGTTTTTGCAACTTTTCGAGCACCTGAAGAAATTAAAGCAGACTGGTGATAAACTTGGTCCTGATTCAAATGCTACTCATAAAGATGCTGCATGGTACAAGTGCACAAGAAACTATCCTACATGATATATATGTTGCATGAACTTCTGTAGTCAGTAGTCACCTTATGGAAAGATACTTCAACATACCCGCAATATTTCTCACAGCAAGTTCCATTATGCAGACAAGGGCACTGCTTTCCACACATTGACTCGCATCCACAAGGTGTATATTGCTTACATGACTGATTTTTTCCATCGGCAATTCTTTTCCAAAACGATGGATGACCAGCAGACTTCCAAGAATATTTAAGTTTACGTGCCCTCCCCTCCTACGAAGTAAACGCGATCTTGTAGGCATATCTTGCTCCTACAGGAAACAGAAGGTAAGAAAAAGATGGCTTTATAATGCAGAACCAGCTTGTCGGGATGAAAAGGCAGAACCCTACAGGAAAATAAAATGGATAGTGATAGATCCCCATGGAACTGGAAAGAAAGATGAGAGAGAGAGAGAGAGAGAGAAGGATGGAAAGCAGTAAACTATAACAATATATTCAAAAGCAACTACAGAATAAAGTTGGAAGTCAATATTAGAATTCTGACAAATACATGAACATGATTCTCTTCCACCCTTTTGTCAATGGAAGCATACCTTTTCCAGAAAAATCACTGACATGTCTATATGCCAAATATATGGAATACAATCACCAACAAAGACATAAAACTTGAGATAGTTGAGGCAGATGGTGTCCTTTAAAAAAGCAAACTTAAGAACACAGCAGTATAATCCTTCCTGAAATATCATAAATCATAATGCATACCGCAAAATCCATATCGCTCTTTCCACTGTCTTCTAAAAAAGATCTTGGTGCTACAGATCTATGGGGCATTATAGCTCCACTTTCACGCATGTAAATGGACACCTCTATACAAGTCTTTAAGCCTGAAAGCAAGTTCCTTGCAATAAGACAACTGCAAAGCACAAATCATACTTTGAGTGCAACAATAAACACATAAAAGTTTTGTTCTGTATGAAGAAAGTGAAGTTACATTTAAATTCATCATATCCAGTAAGTTAATTAAAAGAGGGATAAAAATCGCTGCTCTTTTCCAACTAACATAATCACATTATACAACACTTGGTTAATAACATGAATTTATAGGATACATCCAGAATCCTAATAACTGAACATGGATTGCAAGTTTGCACTCCTGCCTATTAAATTTTTTTCAAACAGTCGTTTGACACCTGCCAATGAGAAAGGCATCTCGAGACATATAGCATCGGTATCTGCATGCATGTCTGAACTGTATTTAAATAGGTAAACCAACATACCTGTTTTTCCCAAATATCTCCACTCCCTTCAGATATAGTTCTTTCTCAATAGGTTTCCACTCAGACTTTCTTAAAACCCCTTCCACTTGTCTTTCTACTGAGGATAATTGTTTTGGTTCAGGCACTTCAAAGACATCCTTTTCTCCCTCCCCAGTGTTCTCCTCAGTACCAGAACAAACAATATCAAAGGAATCACTGATCGTCTTTTCTGTGGTCGTCTGAAGTTCAATATCAGTTGCTTTTTTAGCAGTAGAACCACAATCAGGACTTGATAGACCTTCAGCAGCTACACCCAAATGCAATAATCTTTTCTGTTTCCTACTAAAATCCTGTATATCATCAGGAGACTTTGGCGAGTCATCTGATGCTATACCTGTGCACTGTGACGCTTTGCGCTTTCGCATGTATTCTTGGTTATGTATTACCATAGCAGACGTATCCAAATTCAGAGCTCCAGGAGCAGGTTCCATGTTACAAATAGCTTCCGAAACAACATTAATCTCTTTCTCTGAAATACATCTTTCATCTATCATGAGGTCTACACCACTTGGCCCTTCAGCATCCGAGGCTACTGCAGTCTTTGTTTCCTCTGCTGAAGTTGCAGTTTTTGTCCTGTGCAAGGGACTATTGACAGAACCTTCTGGCAAGTCTTTGACAACTCTTAGCTGAAAGGTATTTACATTAATATCGGGCTCACAATTTTCTGAGCAGAATGCAAGGAATCCAGATGAAAAACTATTAACAGCATATGCAACGGAAAATATATATTTAAGAAGTCATTGGCAAACATATGATCCGGCAAGTCACTGGGGAGTGAGTGAATGCGAGCAATGACAGTAGTAAATAAGAGAGAGTGCACACAGACACAAAATGCACACACAACCCATGAAGAATATTAAGCACATAAAACTGAATATAGTACCACTTTCCTGCAGGAGCAGCACAGACACAACAAACACAGTTATTTGGAATAATAGAGTGACTTTGAGTGACTTGTTTACATGAGCAGTGCTGACAGCACAATTAGTTACCAGCTCCATATATGTAAATAACACCATCTCATATTTAAGGAATCAAAAAAAAAAAATTAAAAGAAAAAGAAAAGGAAAGCATAGGATCATATACCAAGCCACATAAAGTTCACCTCTCCTATTGCCTGTTATCTGCAGTCTATCATAATTTTTGGTACATATAAGACCTCATCTGGCCTACTATTCTTAACATTTCGAGGTCTAATCAGTTAAACACAGATCTTGTTGACAAGAAAAGCAACAAACTGTTTATGCAGATCAAAGAAAAATTGAAGAGAAACTTTGCACCAAAAAAACTCAGAAAAAAGTACACACCCGGAGGCTACATTGATCACTGCAAGGTTTCCTGTCATCTTCATATTCAGACCAATATGACTGCTTTTCACTCTGCCAAGCAAAGCCTACTATTAGATATAAGAACACCTTACATTAAAATATATATTTTATACACACACAGAGCATGCGTATATAATGGAGGTTTCTACTCACAGGATTGATCAAAGTTTGAGAACAGCCATGGAGGCGGCAGTCAAAAAGCTGTTCAATAGATGCAAGATAAAAAGCATCAAGGTTGAAGTAATTGAAGGATCACTTCAGAAAAAATTCACCTCATGATTAAGGCCAGAAATGAGTACCAAGCAACGGCGACAGAATAGGTTATCAAAAGAATCTAAAGCAGCACTAAGGCTCTTTTGTAGAGATATTCCTCTCTCAGATACTGAATCACTAGAATCTTTGACATTTTGGTCATCGCCATATTTTTCCACAAGCGTCCTACAACGCTCCTGCAATGTTAAAATCAGTGAGTAAATTAAGCCACGGAAAACCATTTTCAACAAAACCAAAGCAATAGAAGCAAGGTATGCTGGAAGCAGTTCAAAACACAAAACTGTTTAATATAAGTTCCTTCATGCTACCTGGATTTCTGAAGTGCTAACACCAATAAACTGGCTAACAAGATTCAGCACTTCTTCAGCTAATCCATGTTCTTGAAAGACCATCCTGCCAAATTTGCAAGGCACGGTGTGAAGTAACTTGGACTGGTGGTGAGTAATTGGTCATGAATTACAATCTGGGGTGTCATCAAGACCAGGCAGATAGCATATTTTATGGTTTGTTCCTCTGGTTTAAGCACCAAAAGCAACAAGTTTTTAATTCTGATCTTCATTTCAGTTCTTGACATATTCTCTTGTGTGAAAGTTAATAACATTTTGTTCAACAGCAAAGCTTTTGGCTAGGTTGCTAGTTTAACTGAAAAAAATGGTAGAGTGCAACACAGTTCATTATTAAGAATGCAATCATGCTATCCGAAATTTTAACTGGCGGATATTGAATTAAAAAAATATGTACCAAAATAAAATCAATCTGATTACCACAAAATGCGATCTTCAGCCTCAGAAAAATCATGTTTCTCTTCCTCTGGTTCTATGTCTTCTTCGCTGTCACTACAAATCAGAGCTTCACTGCCATGTTGATCATAGTATATGCGTCTCCTGCCAACCACTGACTGGTCTTCAGCCATCCTCTGATTCCTGTGCTGCATAATTGCATACTTGAGATACAACAGCAAAAACAAAATCTGCATATATACAAGTAAATGAGAGAGCCAACATAAATTATCAAATCAGTTGCATTATTTTCCCAACATGTGGCAGGTTAAATTTCTCCAATATCACACATGAATTATTGATATCAAAAGAAGATCACTCAATAGGTAAATGCAATGACATACTGTTTGTTTGCTTATTTATTTATCACTAGGTAAAATATGTCAGAGTTAAGCATGTACTATCTGACATACTTGTCCAAAAATATCCAGGTAGTATACGGAGGTATCTTCTCCACAAACGGAAGCTTGGTACTTGCTGAGACTACTACTTCATGACCATTGATTAGATCTTTATCGCCAGATCCTTGAGCTAATCCATCATACTTACAAAGAGGAGTTCCGATTCTTAAAGAAATCATTTTAGCAATTCCATTCTGACCCATAAATGTTTTCGAAGTTGCTAATCTTAGCTGAGAAACATCAAATTCAAGTTTCCTTCTGTTTCTCTCAACTTTATCCTGTACAAAAATCAAAGATGAATTGCTTTGCCGTATATCATTATTGACCAAGTCATAAACAAACGAATGACAATCAGATCGCGAGCACTCTTGAATATGATAAAACTTCACTGACTTACTTTTATCGAAACAACCCTTTCTGCTTGAATTTGTTTTTTAAGCTGATTCATCTTGTATGTCAGGTTTCCAATACCATTATTTGACGGTTCTTCATGTGATTTCTGCCGAGACAGATCAGCAATTTATAAAAATAATATTAAAAAAAGATTAATTGAATGTATAATCAAGGAAGAAAATATCAGTGCATAAAAGCAAGCAATTATGCATAGTCTTCATTATATAATGGAATCAAAACCTGGAATTAATGAACTTTGTAGACATAATCAGCAGCGGCTAAACAGGGCACACATTCATAAAAAAATCTTAAGAGATTAACTGTACCAGATGCAATCAGATGCTTCAAAAAACTGATAATATTGATAAATTCAACTATTTTCATTTATTTTTTCTGCGCGAGAAGCGTGAATCATCATAGTTTTGTTTAATCAATAATGATCTTACACAAGGATCGGAGGCCCGAAAACAGTCTTATAGAGATGAAAGCAATGAATATCGAGAGGTCCAAAGAGAGGAAACTAACTCTGAATTTAGAGCCAAAGTCGCTTGATTTTGACACCATCGCCCTCTGCTCTGCGACTCTCCACCGAGAAAGCGAGTGGCAGAGGGAAGGGAAAAAAGAAGAAAAGAAAAAAGAAAAAAATCGGATGCGAATTGACACGTGTCATGTGGTGATGACGTGGCCTACTTTGTGATAATAATTGAAATCTTGCCCATTGACGAGATGCCATGCGTCGTTGAAACCCAATGGGCCATGTCCGTTTGGTTAGGAGGAAGTGTAGTCAGCCTTCAGCCTATGAAGCATTTTCAAGAAAAATGATTGAGTCTATAATTATGATTTTATATTATTTTTTAATATATTATTTAAGTAAAAACTTTTTAAACTTAAAATTTATATAGATTTAGCATAGGTTGTTTAATTATTTAATTAAAAAAATAATAAGATTTATCTCGTAATTATTTAATCATTAAGATTTTAATTTAAAAGAATAAATTATTGGATGAGGATAAACAATAATTTTATATTACTTTCTTTATAAGAATCAGCAGCAGATAATTTGATTCCTTTATTTATCATAAATCTAGTGATCTATGTGAAACAAAATAATTACCAACACTGAATTGAGGTTTGATTAGAGACATTTTGATTCTTTTGTTTCATTTTATAAAAAAGAAATAGTATAAACTCTATCAAGTAATAAGTTTAGATTAAACTGGTTAAAGGTTTTTTACGTTTGAATTTTATTTAGAGTGAAATCATTACATACTTGCTTCTAATCTAAACATGTCATATTCGAACAAATTCAAGTTATCAATAGGTGTTATTATTATATATAAAAAAAATTGACAATTATTATAAATTAACGTCAACTCAATTTAAGAATTTCTCGTATAATTATGTGAATTATCAAAACATATATATTCGTATTAATAATGACTTAAAATAAAAATTTAATGAAGTAAATTTTTATTTTTTCATATCTCCTTTTGGTTTTCGAGTCATTAATTTTGATACTCTCTTTTTAATAATTAAAAAAAAGTACTTCTAAGTTAAAATAAATTTTATTTTATTCAGTATATTAAATTAATGAAATAATTTATCTGAAAATAGAATTAGAATTTATTGATTTTTTGCTATTAGATGCCAACCTCTTAGGAACTTTTGGACAAAGGCCAAATTATAGCCCTTGAGCAATAGGATTCTATTTTATGAAAACTGAGGATTTGCAACTGATGAGATAATTTGGTTTTGGTTTTCATTCTCTGTGTAATCCACCCAGAGCAATTTTGCCTTACGTAAGGAATTCTAAAAAGACACAGCACGTTCCTTGGATTATATGGGGGCAGACAGAAACCTTGTAAATAAATCTTACAATGATTTCCATTTAAGAAATAGAAATCCATTTTATTCAGTTCAATAACATACCTGAAATTAATAACCTTCAGGCTTAGAGGCAAGTAGCTACTACAAGCAGTTTCAGAATTTATAATTTACAGACGACCTCCATCGTCTCTCTCTGGAAAACTTCCAAGCTGAAAGGGAATGCATTGGTGTTCCTTTCCACCCAACAATTAGGCCCTTGCCGTTCTTTTCTAGAGTACATGAACTGCCATAAGGAAATTGCTTTGGAATCAAGCTAGCTTGGTATAGAGATGACTCGCTAAATCCTACTTCCACCATGCTAAATCTTGAAAAGAATGCCCTCCATACATCTATTTTCACATTTCTAGTAATCCTGTCACTTCCCTCCATAGCTACAATATTTTCTATCCCATTAGAGAAGATTGCTTCAGTTTTCCTTCTATGCTCAGGGTTCTGCTCCAGGCAGGTCTCAAGGCAATCGTAATACGCCCCATAAAAGAACAGTGCTTCGATGAAACGGTTCACAAATATTGGTGAATTGTGATTGGCTTCAACTTCGCTGACGATCATTATTGAAGGATTAAGATTTTTAATCACTCCCATCAAATTTTCCAAGCAAGCTGGCCTTGAGAGCATTGTCCTGAGTATCATGTTAGAGACAACGACCACGGTTTCATCAGCTGCAGTTTCAAATAGTTCCTCCTTGATTTCAGACATGCACGATACCTGTATTGGCTTGAATGTGAATGGGAAGTTCATGGACTTGGCAAAGGTTTCTAACCTCTTGCCAGTCTCCTCTATCTTTTGTATGCCTCTCAAGCCAACAGCAGTTATCTTAAGACGGTCAAGCCGGCATTCTGTAAGAGCTTGCATCAAGGCTGTCCATTGAACTCCACTCCTGATTTCGAGGTCAATCAAATGGATCTTTCTTGCTGAACCAACATTTTCAATTATTGCTTGGATCGCTGTAAGTTGCATTACCTGATTAAAAGGAACCTTCTGGTGGATGCTAAGGAGAGCTATATGTGTACTTAACCCATGAGGAGTTTCACATTTTGGTTTTCCCTTCGTTTCCATCGGAGTCAATCTTCCTTTTGCCTCATCAACCCTCCTTCGAAGAGCTTCTGAGAAGTGGTACACAACCCTCTGAAGGGGATTGGATCTCTCGGATGCAACCCATTCACAACGGCTAAGCAATCTGCTTGCACGATCAAATTGTTGGTAGCCTACCTTCTCTGCTGTCGCTAGAAGAAGGTGAGTGAGTTCTACATCCCTTGTTTCTTCCTCGGACAGGCCTGAGAGTGCATAACCAAAAGGGTGCATGAGCATGGAGAAATCATCATATCTTTGATCAGAGAATTGTATGAACCTTGATCCAGCCACCCTTATGATCTCCTCAGTTGACAATTTCTTTCGACCGCCGGAGCAAGTTTCATTGCCGAGTTGGTTCACATTCAACTTCTTAATCCCACTTCCATAGTTGTTAAGGAGTTCTAGAGATGATGAAAGAGCAGGTGGATATTGCGTTTCTTTACCGTGTTTGACAATATTCTCAAGCTTTCTGATTTCCTGCATTGGTTGTGCTGGTTCTGGGAAGCAAGAACCAAGGAAATCATCCACTGGCAAATAATTTGACTTGGGTGGCGATTGTTGTTGTTTTGGCTTCTGCAGCTGATTTTTAAAGAAATTAACCCCCTTATTCTGTGTGTTATCCTGATAAGCACCACAATCAGAACATATAGGATAAACCTGCCTCAAATCTTCCATTGAAAACAAATGGTCTTGCTTTCCTTTGATCATCAATTCTGCTTTCTCATAATCTTCAATACGACTGTAACAACTCTGGATTCCGTTGAAGTCGAATGGATCGAAGGAGAACAAAGCATTTGCCATCTCAGAGTAGAAGCCAATCGGCAAATTCTCACTCAAGTGAGACGATATGGTTACCTGATCTAGTAATTAATGAAGCATAAACACGGTGCTGCTAAAATTGCTCGGACATCTTGATTCATTGCATATATTAATCAATATTGTGAAGTCCGAAGTATCTAATGCAAAAACATGTGTCAATGATTGGGACATCGATGGTGATTTTTTGAACACGGGCTGCTTATAGTAAAATAGAGAATAAGGTTATAAATTTTGAGATGTCGATATTGCTAAATCTAATGTAAAGAGCCAAGCGGATGACATTGGTGTATTTTTAAGAACTGGTCGATCCAAATATCCTAAGAAGTTCAGCCAAGCAAGATTGGACAATAATTGAAAGAATTAAACAAAGAAGAAGTATTTCTGCCTCGGGAACAATTCAAGATAAAATAACTATTTAATCGCAGGTTTACAGAGACAAATGAAAGAGTTATCAATAAAGTACAAAGTGCTGCAATCAGAAATTGACTTCGTGGCCAATATGTTTTTTGGGACACAGGTACCCTTGCCAGCTGCCAGACTGAATATAACAATAGTTGGTAATTCATCCATAAAGTATGCAACTAAACGAATAAAAGTAGTTGGTTAGATATGCTTTCATTGATGTCTATGATGTAATTACCTTGTAAGTCAATTAGTTTATACAGGAATCATGTAATCTGCAAGCTACTAATTTTGTTAACCAACCAATCAGTTCCAGCACCCCTCATGAGGTGGGTTTAGGTAGCAAGTACAAAACTTATCCAGTCTGAAAAGTTTCGGATTTGAGTCTGATCCAATATCGGCTATTTGAAAATAAAGCATATTCACATCCGATTAATCTTATTCGAAAATATATTTAAAATTTTTATTCTGAAATAAGTATAGTTGATCGAATGCTTCTAAATGTATAAGGATGTAAAAAGCGTAATGTTGTGGAGTGTATAATCAACCTATCTAGTAAGACTTGCTTTACATGGAGGGCAACCCTATGAAGTCCGAAAATACCCACACTCTGGATTCTAGAGTTTTTGACTTATACCATCCTACTAGTTCTCTTTCATCATTAATCAATTTTTTCAACCAATTCAATTCAATTACTTGTTTCTTGTTATGAAATAATGAATATTTATACAAATGTTCATATGCTTTCATATTCCTACTACTTATAATTCAATTGATTCAATAATTTATGTATTTTTAATGGTTTACGAGTCTCTTTCAATTTTCTTCCCGATCTTGAAACTTATAAATAGACTTGATTGTTTATTAGTTCGTGCGTAAGTATTTTATAAAAATTGAAAGAATTATTTAGAGTTGTTATCATTTGTATTCACTTTATTTTATAATCAATTTATTTTTTTATTATTTTTCTCTTCAATTCTATTGTTATTATCATTATTTTTATAATACATTATTAGTACGAAACTATAATCAACCAACATAATAGATCATGAGGTATATATTTACAAAAGACTCAATCATTTATTTTAATAATTGGATTTTCTCTCAACACAAATGCTCTACCAAAAGATCCGAATTATGTAGATCATTAAAAGATATGTATCTAATTTATCATTTATTTTAAATCCAATAATATGTAGAGTACACGTTTAAATTTTTTGAATGATTGAATATATAGAATTTAATGATCTAACGAATGTTATGTGAAATGGTTTAATTTTATTATTATATTTGTTCTTATTTTATAAAATTATTATTATATATTGCATTATATAATTTTTATCATCTCAAACCTCATAAACTTGATTTTATAGCCCTTTATATTTTAAATAAGAATTATTAATTATGAGTGCTCGATTCGAGAAAATATTCTTTACTTTTCATGCCTTGAATATGCGAAATGGATTTTACAAATATTTTGAATTGATTTCATGTTTCGAACAAAATAACGAGTTATTTATGAAATTAAAATCATGAATTTTGTCCAATTAGATCTATTTCATTCCCCGAAGTGAATGTGGCAATTTATAATAATTTTTTGCATGGACAAAGACATGGTTGTGACCATTAACATGGTTAAAATAATTATCATTATAATCATGATGATCATAATAATACACCTCACTTTCAAAAGTGGATAAATTATGAAAAAAAACATGTTAAATCACCATTTTGAAAATGAATGTCATAGATATGACATGAAAAGATATTGATCGCGTACACTGTCGTACACCAAATCACCTCATTGAGCTTTATCAAGTCTAGTTGGAAAAAAAGAGTATAAAATATTAAAGGCTAATTTTTATATATAAAAACAATGGTAATTGAAATTAATAACTTGTTAACTTTTTGATTTATAAATAAAATGTTTTACATTCTTATATATAGTTTATATTGCATAGAGATAGACATAAATTTATTTTGCTATATATTAATTTATGTTTATGAAGAATATATATTTTTTATTTTTTATTTATTTAATTTTTTTATACTATTTCTCATACTATCAATTTAATAGAAAGCTCAAGAAAATTGAATTTATCATTACTTGAATATACAAATTTTGAAAGATTTAGAAAAGAGAATATATGATTACTTGAAAAGATAAATTTTGAAGGCTCTCGAAGAGCGAATATATTATTACTTGAAGGGATAGATTTTGAAAGCTCTAAATGGAAAATATATTATTACTCGAAGGAAATTTTTTTATTATAAATAATGTATTATTCTCTCTAAAGTCCCATAGAAATTTATTGAGTTTTAAAGACATTCATCTAAATGAATATCATATCAAGACAACAAATATAAAAATATTGAATACTTATTTATTATAATTATTATATCGGATAGAAAATATGTATTGAAAAAATTACCTACTTTCTTTTTTATCTTTATTAAAAATATTTGAATGATTGAAACAAATGACATAGTAAACTTGAAGTTTATTGATTTGAATACTTTTATTATGTGACATAACCAGGTTAGGTTATCCCGAGTCTTTCATGATGCAAAAAATTATTAAAAATCAATATAAAAATCTATTAAAGAGCTAGAAGATTTTTCAATTTAATGAATTTTCATGTTCTGCTTATTCTCAAGATAAATTGATTATTAAGTTATCACCAAGTAAAATTAAGATTGAATTGTATTCAAAGTGATATATGTGGACCAATCCATCCACTATGTAGACCATTTAGATAGTTTATGATTTTAATAGATGCATCCATAAAATGATTACATTTATTTTTATTATTTACTCGAAACCTAGCATTTTCGAGGTTGTTAGCTCAAATAATTTGCCTTAATAATATTGGTAAATTTAATTCTCAAATATTAAAGGATTATTGATTGGATATTATAATAAAGGTTGAACATCACGTTGGTCATGTTCATGCTTATAAAGGTTTAGCAGAATCATTTATCAAAAAGCTCCGATTGATAGCTAAATCATTATGTACGAAAACAAAACTCTCTGTTTATATTTGGGGACATGCAATCTTATATGTAGTAATATTTATTTATATTAGATCCATAAGTTATTAAAAATTCTTCCCTTATTATGGTCATGAGCCAAATATTTCTCACCTAAAAATATTTAATTGTGCAAGTATATATCCTAGTGCTACTCCATAATGAACTAAAATAGACCCTTAAAGAAGATAAAAAATAAATATTGAATTTGAATTCTCTTCAATAATTAAATATCTTAAACCATAAATAAGAGATGTTTTTACGACTCAATTTATCGATTATTATTTTGATGAAATAGTTTTTTCAATATTTATCAAAAGGCTCCGATTGATAGCTAAATCATTATTTATGAAAACAAAACTCTCTATTTATATTTGGGGACATGCAATCTTTTATGTAGTAATATTTATTTATATTAGATCCATAAGTTATTAAAAATTCTTCCCGTATTATGGTAATGAGCCAAATATTTCTCACCTAAAAATTTTTAATTATGCGAGTATATATCCTAGTGCTACTCCATAATGAACTAAAATAGACCCTTAAAGAAGATAAAAAATAAATGTTGAATTTGAATTCTCTTCAATAATTAAATATCTTAAACCATAAATAAGAGATATTTTTACAGACTCAATTTACCGATTATTATTTTGATGAAATAGTTTTTTCAATATTAAGGAGAGAGAATAAGAAAAATAAGGAGTTGAAAATGTTAAAAATATTGAAAAAAGAGATTATATGGAGTGATCTATCTTTATATCATCTTGATCCTCATATAAAATCATATGAATTAGAAGTTCAAAAGATAATAATTCATTTTCAAGGTATTACAAACCGATTGCTAGATGCATTTTCGAATCCTAAAAAAATAATTAAAATGCATGTCCTCATTAAGAATGCTCCTATTAAAATTGATGTCCTAGAAGAACAATCTATTAATGTTATAGGAAATAAATCTAAAGCACGTTTGAAGTGTGAAAGACCAATCAATTTTAAAGACAAAAATCCTCAAAAGAAAAATACAAGATGAAAATATAAAAGATGCAAATATTCACAAAATAATCTAAGATATTTTTTATAATAAGCTTCTAGAAGAAGTCCAAATGCTTGAGAAAAATCAAGAGATTTTGTTAAATTATATCAATATAGAGAGAAAATAGGAAAAAAAAAACATTTATGGATAATTTTTTACATATAATGTTGCAATTGATATTTTAAACGAAAATAAGGATCTTGAGCCTAAAACTATGAAAGAATTTCGACATAGAAATGATTGGCTTGAATGAAAAGTGCAATCTAAACAAAATTATATTATCTTACAAACGAGCAATTTTTAAAACTATAATCAAAATATTTGAAGATGTTAAGCCGATGGGATACAAATGAATATTTATGCAAAAATAAAATAACAAAAATAAGATTGTGAGATACAAAGGAAGACTTATAATACAAGAATTTTTACAAGAACTCGATGTTGATCTGTGAGGGGACATATTTTCTTATAATGGTTGCATTTATATTTTGCTATCTCCTTAGCTTGGCAAAATTTATGAAAAATTTCACATATATGCATTTAATAGATGTGATCACAACTTATTTATTCAATTGAAAATGATATTTATATGAAAGTCCTAAAAGGATTTACGATGCCCGAAATATGTAATACATATTTTCAGAAAATACATTCAATTAAATTATAAAGATTATTATAGTATTTATTTTTTAAAAAAATTTAATTTATGCTATACTTTTTATATTTATTTTTTTATTTTTCAATATATGTTTTTATTGCTAATCCGTGTGCATGTGATATGATCAGCTTAATGAATATTTATTGAAAAAATATTATAAAAATAACCCTATTTTTTCATGTATTTTTATTAAAAAAAATTGAAAAGGGGTTTGTGATAATTGATGTATATGTTGATGATTTAAATATTACTGAAACTCCCGAAGAGAATTCAAGTGCCATAAGTTATCTAAAAAGAGAAGTTGATATGAAATAACTTGAAAATTTTTTTTTATCTCGATCCGCATTTCGAGCACTTAAAGATTGAGATTTTGATTAATCAATCAATTTATATAGAAAAAGTTTTATAATAATTCTAGATAAAGCTCCTTCATTGACTAACCCAATGGTAGTTCGTTCACTTGATATCTAAAAAAATCTTTTTTCAATCTCGAAAAGATAATAAAAAAACTATTTGGTCTTGAAGCACCGTATCTTAGTGTCATTGGTGCATTGATATATCTTTCTAATAATACTCGACCCAATATAGGTTTTTCTATAAATTTATTAGCAAGATATAGTTCTGCTCCAATACGGAGATATTGAAATGGAATTAAACATTTTCAACATTATCTCTAGAAAAAACTTGATATGGTATTTATTTTACTTAAATAAGTCAAAATCGAGTTTAATTGGTTATGTAGATGCAAGTTCTTTATCTAATCCATACAAAACTCGATCACAAATGGTTTACGTATTTACACATGGTGATACGAGTTATATCATGACGTTCTACGAAGCAAATCAGAATCGCTACATATTGAAATCGAGCATAAATACCAATTCATGAAGCAAGTCGAGAATGTGTTTGGTTAAGATCAATGATCTATCATATCCGAAAGACATGTGATTTATTTATCGGTAAAGAAGTTTTAACAATATTATATAAAGATAATGTTGCTTGCATAATTCAATTAAATGAAGAATATATCAAAATAACAATTTGACAAACTTATTCGCTAAGGCATTACCTACCATAGTTTTTGAGAAAATGGTTCACAGGATCGCTCGAGATGCATCATCTTAAAGATCTTAAATGATATTTTCAACGGGAGGAGCCTAACATAGAGATTAATGTGTACAAAAAATTTTGTACCTTTTTTTCTTTATCAAAATTTTTTCTTGTTGGGTTTTTTCCTAATAAGGTTTTAACGAGGCATGTTCCTTATACAAATAAATATTTAAGGGGGAATGTTATGAGATAATAAATATTTATATGAATGTTCATATAGTTTTCATATTTTCGCTACTCATAATTCTTTATATGATTCAATTCACCATTCAATATGAGAAATTGAAAGAGTGATGCAATTGGTTCAATAATTTATGTATTTTTAATGATTCATAGTCTCTTTTAATTCTCTTCCTAATCTTGAAACCTATATATAGACTTGATTGTTCATTAGTCTATGTACAAGTATTTTTGTAGAGATTGATAGAATTATTTGGAGTTGTTATTTCTTGTATTCACTTCATTATATAGTAAATTCATTTTTCTTTTCAATTCTACTATTGATATCACTTTTTTTTATAACATTTCTTTATTTTTGTTGTGTTATTCTTGATTTTAAGAACTATATAGGAGGTTTTGAAATTTTGAAGTTTTTCTTTTGTTATGTGAATGTTGAGTTTTATTAGTTGAAAACCAAAATAATAAGAAATATAAGAGCCAAACAAATATTAGACATGAAGAATGTGATATTAGGTTTTTTTTTAGGCCGAAGAGGAAAATGCTGAATTTCGTTTCTTTTGTTATTTTAAAATAATTATAGATTTTTCTTGTCTTAATTCGGGAAAGAATGGATGAGGGATTTTTGTTCTTTTTTTTTTTTTTTTTTTTAACTTTATTTAGGTCAATTGACTTGCCAGATAGCTTTTTTTTAAGATACGTGTTGTTATCTTACTAGATCACATACAAAAAATGTTATTACCAACAAGAAAACTGGAATCTATTGCTGACAAAAAAAAAAGCCTGGGACCCAAATCTGAAAAATCAAAGGTTGAATACTTATCTTTGTTTCACCAAAAGTTCAACATACTGTAGAACTAACGAAAAGCAACGGTGGAGATGGAAAAGCAAGGCCAAGCAGAAGTGGATTGAACGGCAGAGACGAAATAGGAAGCGAGCACAGTGCAGCTGAGTCACAATTCACAGTGACAATGAGTCTAGAGATACAGTATTTGAACAGTAATACTTCATTTCTTTTAGTTTTTTTAGTAATTAGTCTTTTCATTATAGATTGGAGTTTGGTTGAAGTTGTGTGGAGCATGAAAATGTTTTTTTATTTAATTCTTAACGTCATTTTTTTACCAAAGAGTTCGTGCCCGATGATTTTAGTTAATTAAGCTTTTATCTAATACATATTATTAGACTGAGTTTCAATTTTCCAGGCATCCAGAGGACTAGTCGCTAGTCAAGTTAAAAGATTCAAAATCCGGATGCTCTTGCACTATCAAAAAAAAGTCCAGCTGTGCAAATGCATTTCTCATAACGGAGAATGGAAGGAAGGGCTTCTTAAAACAAGTGGCCAATTAGGTGGGTCTATATATGTATGTTTCGCCATCATGACTTTCTGTCGAGCTACCTTCGGCCCGCAGCAAGTGGTAACCCCGTATTAAAAAGTCACAATCCAAAGATTATTAAATATTTTGCTAAAATGTGATCATTGAGAATATAATATTTATATTTGATTGCAATTAAAAAAAAAATTGATGATGAATATTTTATTGTATTTGGTTGTTGAAAAAATCATGAAGAATTTGAAAAAATTTATTATTTTATTTTTGAGACTTAAAATATCTATTTTGTTAAAATGATAATTTTTTTCTAAATAATTATACATATATATAACCAATTTGTCAAGATGATATTTTTTTCTAAATAATTATGCACATAAACACATATATAATATATTAATTATATTTAAAACTAATTTCTCAATATGATATATTTTTTTAAATAATTATGTATATAAAAACAGATATGATACAATAATTACATTTAAAACCATGTGTTAAAATATTAGGATAATTGTGTTATTGTTGATAAAAGTAAGAGCATTTTAGTTCAATTAAAATAAAAATTAATAGCATTAAATTTCAAAAGAATTTTTTCTCGTCAAGAAATGTGATTCCATTCATTTAAAAAATAAAAATGTACATAAACAAATTAATCTAACAGTTATATATCCAATTAATTTTTCTAATATTGTAAAATTCGATTTCTAACCGATCCATATTTCTTTAATAATTATATAATGGAAGTGCGTAGATTATTCCTTGTTATGTAGATTAAAAAAAATGATATCTTAAAACCTATCAAAATTTCTTGACAAACCAAACATAAATATTTTTTACATCTAAGAGTATTTGGTAAGCAAAATCTAAAATATTCATGTACGTAACAAACACTCCATGCCAATACTAAATAAGAGAAATCCAGATGTGTTGACTAATTTTAAAGCTTTCTTTTCCGTCGAGCTGGAATGTAAATTTACAGTTAAAAGTGAATGCTCTTAATTACAATTTTTGGTACAATATGACAACAACTTATTAAAAAAAGAAAAAAAGAATGCAATTAAGATATAATACGTAGAGCAATTGCCCTGCAGAATGAAAAACAAGAATATGCTATTAAAAAGAAAAAAGTAAAAAAAAAAAAAAAAAACTTAACAAAAAGCTGGAGGATGGGTATCAAGGGTACGTAGGAGAGAAGAAGTCAAGTTCAGACCTTGTTTAATTCATCCTCGTAGGTTTCAGTAGAATGCCTTCTTACCGTCTTACAAAGCAAAATCACCCCAAACCATATAAGACCCTTCACAAGTCTTGCCACTCCAATGGTTACTGTCAGGTAATACAGCCACCAACCAACCAAGTCAGCCATTCCCAAATCCATCATCAGCTCTATCTTTGCCTCTGCCACAAAAACCAGAGACTCAACTTCATCCCTTAACCTCCACCACCACAAAGTGCCATAACTCAAAGCTATAGTCACCCTTTGTACCCACTTCTCATCTCTAGCGGCACCAAAAATTGTGTCATCAACCACTGGCTTAACAACAGTTCTGGACCAATGGATCATGGTCTCATGCAACCCTAAGAAAAATATAACTCTGCATAATAAACTTCTTTGAATATCAAAACCAGAACCATCAAACATGCCAGCAGCTATGCTCCCTTCAATGCCTAATCCAACACAAATCTGTAACGTACATAACACAATCCATGCAGTATACAATCCGGGTCGGTAAATTGCACCTGGTGACTCACTTAGAAGGGTAATTTTTCCTGTCAAGCCATGAATAAGAGTGACTACGCTAACAATTGAAACGAGAAAATACAAAATTGCTGGATTGATGGATAGGAATAAAGATAAGATGAAAGAAGAAGATGACGGTTGCTGTATAGGATCAGACGTGATGGTCAACAGATAGTTGTAAGTAGAGAGCCTGGCGAGGAGGAGAAACGAGAGAGGCAGCAAGAGACTGAGGAGGGTAATGGTCAAGATATGGAAGGGTTCCCTGAAGACGGCACAACCCAAGAGCTTTTTTGCCTTCTTTTGCCACCCCATGGTTTTGTCCTGAAGCAAATATGACTTGGTGACAAGCAATTGGATACATGACAAGAAACATAAAATGAGGTTATATTTATGCGACAGAACAACTAGAAGTACCAGAAAAGGAATATGATCATCGAAGTGGTTATCACGTCCATGGTTTAAATTAGGTTAGACAAGGCACAGTCTTAGTCCTTGCCTTCTTACGTTTTTGTTTATAGCCGAAATAATATCATGTATCCTTCATGGAAAACGCTGATAGTATGTCCCCTTCAGCGGTTGAGGCTATTTTTTTATTCTTTTCTTTTATTAGTTTGGTGGTTACCATTTTAAAATTCTTTCGATGCTAATTGTTTTTGGATAATTAGGTGGGTAGGATTTTTTTTATTATTATTATTGTGGTCGGAAGTACTGCTTTTTGCTGAGAATTCTTTTTACTAGCTAGGTAGAACCGTGAAACTATGGTGGATATAGTGAATGATTCTACGTAACTGTGGACGGATCAAGATTTCCAAATCCGTTTAGCCAGATCACATCATATATAGAGAAATTTTATAATACACGAGGAGTAAGTAGTGGTATATACGAGTAGTTACTTCTGGGTCCACTTTGAGGAGAGAGATAGACACATAAAAAGAGAAAGAGAAAAATAGGAGAGAGAAAATAAAAAAATTTGAGCGGACGTAAAAATCTTCTTATCACTTTTGGTAGGTATGAATGTAATTTTTCTCTTTTTTTATGTGTCTATCTCTCTCCTTAAAGTGGATCCAAGGAGTAACTACCGTACATGCCACTGAGCTTACTTCGTGTATTATAAAATTTTCCATCATATATAACCTACTCGCTTTATATTTTTCTTAATCACAAGTGATCGACACTACTGGAGTTACCAGGAATTTTGTTATGTTTATCTAAAAAATTTCATCTCTCTTTATTAAATTAGTTGCAATAAATACCAAGTATGTAAAAAACAACTTTTTGTTAGGAGGCATGCACTAACCCATAATTATATCAATTGCCTTATCTATCTAGTATTGAAGTCAACGCACGGATTAGTTTCCCTTGTTCTATATAGACTACGGACAAGTAGGGAGAAAAGTATTTCAAGCATTCTTCTATATGTATATTATGTCATATATATTTTGAGGGGAGGAGTATCATCGATGTTGTTGTTGATCATATAGTCATCGTTATATATATTTAGATTTCCTTCTATATATATAATTAGAGTTAGTAATTATTTCATTATTACATAAATAATTGATGCCCTATAATTTCTAACGACAATATATCGTGTGATGAACTTGGCAGATTCTGACCATTCCCCTTAACGTACTTGTCTCCATGACATCTACCAATAATCTTCCAATCATTTTCATCTCGGTTGGCTGGGGCCAAATTTTCTAGGGTCCAGCATTACCTTCCTATTAGACCCTGGTAGCGTGTATACGAGGGAGCTCGATAATTGGTACGTTAATGGACGGCCCCGATTGCTCGAGATTCAAGTCAATGCCACCGCTCAAACCCAATTGTGCATCTCGGGCTGACACCGCTTCTCTAAAATTTAGTTGTTATATTTAAACCGAGACTCCTTTTTATTTAATCTCATTTTGAACTTTAAGGTGTCTTTGTTACGTCAGACGGAACGAATCAGATTGGATTGGACTGGTTTAGATAATTAAATGTTCTTATTTGGTAGATTAAAAGGGATAAAGGTCGACAAAGTTTCTCGTAAAAATTCATTTTGGTGCTTGAAATTTTTTAACAATTTATTTTAGTTCCTGGTGAAAATTTTTGGTTCTTTAAGTTTTTAACATATGCAATTTAGTTCTTAAATTATAAATAAATTTACAATTAAACCCTATGTGAAATAATTCATTTGAATAAAAAAAGAAGAAGAATCAAACTTGGTCAAATTTTAGTGAACCAAATTAAAAAATAAATGAGTGATAAATAGATAAAAGATAGTATGTAAATCTATATATATATATTAAAACTAATAATTTTGTCCATGTATTGAATAAGGTTGTTCTACTTGTGCAATCTTAGTTTCTGAAAAACTTTGAAAATGACAGATTAATTTTTATTCTGTTCAAAATATACATCAAATACGGTACAATTTATTATATCATGTTAAAAATGTACACCAAACATTAATTACGCCATGTCAAATCCAATTATATCAAACACACAAAACGCATCCTTATAATTTCGTACTGATCAAATAAAAAATAAAATTGACTTTGACGTTTCTCAATTCTAGGGATGAAAGTCACTGTAATGCAGTTGATTTTTTAAACTCTTGATATTCAATGCTGAATTTGGATCCATACAATAGTTTCGCGAGTTCAAATATGAAAATAGGGAAATAAAAAGTATTGAATTTCTTAATCAATTTTTCATGCTTTAAAAATGTGCTTATTAAATACTTTATCCAAATTCTACTTTAATTTCAAGATGCCAGATCTCAACTTGATAGTTTTATCTTCCAAACTAATTACTTGATCATATGTCGCTAGTTTATTCGAACTTTAGGCTCTTCTTAATCCTGCCATGATTCCCATGAAAAAAACATATATTACTTGTTAACTCTTAAAAAAGACATATATTTTATATTGGATTTATAATATAAATATAAAATTAATCTCTAAGGGTGGTTCATTTGGGAAAAAAAAAAAAACCCCTCCATGATTCAAATCTCATTTCGAATAAATATATAAAAATCTCATTTTCTTATTCTTTGTCTGTGAGTTATCAAATAGATTCTGTTTCAACTTGCGGTCATGTCTTGCTAGCTACATGTCTATCATAATTGTAAATGTAACTTGCATCTGATAGATGTGAACCCGATCTTTATGAAGATGAATACTATATTATTCATATTTTAATTTTTGTTCCATTTAAAAAATAGTGAAAAACTCATAAAAAAAAATCTATAATTTGTTTTCTAAACTCAATACAAATTGGAGGTTTTCGATTTTCTATGTAAAGAAATATTATTTTTGAACCAAAAATTTATTTATCTTTTTTCTTACTCCAACTTTTTACAAAATTGAAATATTACTATGTTTCTGTAGAACGCTCTACTTTTGTTGAATTTATAGCCCCTTTACGTTAGTTTGAATATCACCATCAGTTTCAATAATTACCACTGTTTTTCAATTCTTTTTAAATGGGCCTATTGTTTTATTATCACTGTCAATTCAGGCCGTAGATTCATTTTAAATGGACCTACTTTTTTCTATCATTACTGCCTGTTCTGGTCACTCCAATGGGCTTGAGTTAATGGCTTGGATTATTATACATTAAAAAAAAAAAAAATGGGTCGGGGAACCTTACGAATAGAATACGGATTCGCGCATGCAGCCACTACTGTAAGTAGATTCTCACTAGATTTTATCCGTGTTGCATCACAGGGAGACGTAACATATAAAATTATTTGAAAAAATAATTTTAATTTAATAATACGTATTGGGTTATAAATCTATTTAAATATATTAAATTAAAAGTAAAATCAAAACTTTTTTTAAAAAAATTTTATATTTAACTAATTATTCGTTATGTTTTTCATAATTTTTTTGCTAAAAAAAAACAATTTATTTTTTTATGTTCGGACTCTTAACTAAGAACTTATAAAAAAAATTCAAAAATCCATAGATTCTTAACTAAAAATTTTTCTTTTTTTTTTTTTTGCAAAAAAATTTTAGTCTAATTATCTAAAAAGCACTTTAATCTTTAAATTAAATCCATATATATTGTAAACTATTTTTAAAAAAATGTAAGATATATATATATATATATATATATCATTAGTGATGAAATTATAATATCAATAAAGTTGTGGATCGAATAAAACTTGTTGAAAAAAATGAAGGACTATAAAAATAACATGAGCAAAAATTTAAACATAAAATGCTTGAAAAAAACCTCAAAATTACTGGAAAAAAAAACCCTCAAAATTACAAAAAAAAAAAAAAAACATTCAATGCACAATAAAAAGAGGATGAATAGTGTTGTGAATAAAAATGAATGCCTAAAAATATACTTAAAATAATAAAAATACCACTATATTAAAATTATAAAAATACCATCAAGTAGTGTTATGAGAGTGTATGAATAATATAAGAATAGTAAAAACTCCAACTCTTTTAAGATTTTTTTTTTTTTAAAAAAAAAAACCATTCAATACAGAGTAAAAAGAGGGTGAATAGTATTGTGAACAAAATGAATGCCTAAAAATATACTTAAAATAATGAAAATATCACTATATTAAAATCACAAAAATGCCATCAAGCAAATAGTATTATGTGAGTGTATAAATAGTATAAGAATAGTGAAAACCTCATCTCTTACAAGGTTCTTTATATATATATATAAAGTTGTAGATCGAAATAAATTTTTTTGAAAAAATGAGAGACTAAAAAATAATATGAGTAAAATTTTAAGCATAAAATACTTGAAAACAACCTCAAAAATACTAAAAAAATTCAATGCACAATAAAAAGAGGATGAATAGTCTTGCGAACAAAATAAATATTTAAAAAATACTTAAAATAACAAAAATGTTATTATCTTAAAATCATAAAAATGTCACCGTGAGCCTGTCAATAATATAAAAATAGTTAACAAATATCTTTTTACAGGGTTCTTTATATTATTACATTTTTTTAGCATTTTACTAATAAATTCTGGTTGATTCGTTGATTGTGATATATCGTATAACCATTCTTATAATATGTGTCGTCCTACGTCGTCAAAACGTTACTCGATTTAAGAATTCATCATCGACAAGACTACTTGACTAATGAGTAAAGGCTTTATAACTCGATAAAATTCAAACGATTAGTATTAACAAGTAACCCAAACATAATTTCCCAAAAAAAAAAAAAAAAAACACGTGTTTAGTGAAGGATTGGCTAAATAGAGTGTCCGTCACGTTATTGTAATACTGATTACGTATACATTGATAACTCAAATCATTTGTATAAAAAAATCTCAAATTTACGAGTGAATGTCAGAAGTCCTTACACATGAGTGAAAAAACCAACCTACATTTCACTTTATGCATAATGATCATTTTTTTTAACTATGAAAGGTTAAGTTAAACACATTTATGTACTCTAAATTAGTCATCAAATAATTCTCCAAACATTAAAAAAAAAAAAAAACTTATTTTACAGATACATGCTAAAAAATCATTAGTTGACAGGCTACATCAATCATATCAGTCCGTGGTATCAGAGACCATCAAATTGTTAATAATTATTTAAGGATCATGATCTCATCAGCTTGGATTTTCTCATTGATCAAAACTAATAACTTGATGATTCGAAAACTCAGTGTTACAACGACTGGGAACTATAGTTATTAATAGCATAATAGTATTAGTTATTTCCATGTTTTTAGAGAGGAAGGGGGAGGTTTCACATTTGTTCATTTTTAGTGAGCAAACAAATCTCACATTGTTTTTTTTTTTTAAAGACTTTTTTTCATATATTAAAAAAAAAATCCAAAACTCCTTTTTTTTTTTTTTTTTCACTAAAATCGAAGAGAGCGGTTTTCGATTATCAGAAAAAAAAAGATGATAGAAAATAATTTTTACATTTTATGTTCTCTCTTAACCCTTGACATGTTAGGTACAATACGTTTAGAAATTCTAAAGTATTGTTTTTTCAATATTTTCTCAAAAATGATTTTTATTTTTTTGAAATAACAGTTTAATCAATAGAGAGATTAGGACAGATTTTATATAATGACTGAGCTTTATAAATAATCCCTTTAATTTTATCTGTTTAGAAAACAACAAACACACTTTTAAAAGATACATGTTCCATGAAATCACATAAAGTTAAATGCCTTTTGGGCATAGTGGATAGGGTAATAGCTAAAAGCTCAGGCAATTGGACTTCATGGCCGACTAAGCTCACCCATGCCGTAGTATAGCAAAGCCCAGTACTATAAGACAATTTTATTTGTTTAAATGTATCATTAGCATTGATTTTTAATTACGGATGGTTACCACAAAATAAAGATGTTCTCTTTGTTTCTTCGTTGCATTCCATTGGCTTACTCATCCACCTGCCTCAAAAGTGCTCCTCCTTTTTTATTAGTTTAGATCTTCCGGGCAATGGATTGGTTGGTTAGCTGGCGGGCGGCAGCCGTGCTATGCATTGATGCTTCCAATTTTAAAATTATTAATTAGTGAGATATAAAAAAATCAATAAAAGAAAAGAAAAGGAACAAAACATTAATTATGTCGTTATCTTTATCTCAGTGGTTCAAGTTTCTACTTCAGCCGAACCCAGTGAAATGGGAACAAATGTTAATGACCGACTATTTGTGCTTGCTTTTATCTGAACTCGTTTCAGTTCCCGGCCCACATGGATAGGCGAGTGTAATGTCATGCACCGTTCTTAATTGGCCTTTAACAACCAACTTTTGCAGAGCAGTTCGATCTATCTTTCTAAAGATTGCCCATCACCTCATCTCATAGGTTATCACGAACAGAGCATAGGGCAGCTCTGTTTGGGCAAAATTAGGAAAACCTTTCTTAATTTAACTTATCCTATGGTTGTATGATCTCACCACATTTACTTTTATGGTTCCTCCGAAAGGTTGCTTGTTTGTAACATGTGCAATGGCATTGTCACCTCACCAAATCCTGTAGTAACCAAATGCATTGCATCTTTTTATGTTTGGAAGTATTCCTAAATCTGTTTGCACCCACAATGGGGAGAAAAAAATAAAAAGAAGAAGAAGAGACAGGGAGAAGAAGAAGCAAGTTTCTTACATGGCATGCTGACCATAATAATAATTTCCACATGGCAACTCCAGAATGTGTAAGGACATAGAGCAGGCCCCCCTCTTCTTCGAGCCAATCAAGTGGAGGGAGGAATGGGGCCAGCAAGTTTTTCCCATATGAAACAAATATCTCGACATTTATGTGCAACTGTGTGGGTGGGTTTATTTTATTGCAAGGTGGGGATGGTGCTGATATATACATAATTGTTCATTGCTTTAATATATTAAATGTGTGAAAGAAAAAATGAGAGAAAGCAACTTGATGTTCTTGTCATCTATTGCCTAACACCCTCTTTCCTTTCTGTTTCTCTCTCTTAATCAATTGGATTGGAGTATGACCTTGATCCTCTTCTTTCCTCATTCACTTACTCCCCCAAGTTAATATTCAGAGCACTTCTGTGTTTCATCAAGGCTTTTTTTGGCATAAGTTAGTAAGAAACATCATAGCAGCAAAAGGTGTGTCATGGACAGTTATCTCTCTACAAAATTGGACTCTAATGTTTCAGAAACTCAGACATCCAAAAGAAGGTGGGTTGGTGCTGTTTTCTCTTGCTTTTGTTTTCTTTCATTTGGAAAAGCTAGTTGATTGACAGGCTTGTTTCTGCCAAGGTTATGTTTTATGTGCCCAAATTTATTTGAAATCATTGAGTTTACTTTGCAGGAAGGTAGTTGAGAAGACTGTTGTTAGAGTGAGGATTGGAGAAAATGCTGGGAAATTAAAGAATGAAGGGCCACCTTCTGATTTCTGGTCTTGGAGGAAATATGGGCAAAAACCTATTAAAGGATCTCCTTATCCAAGGTTTACCGTCTTCTTTCATTTTTGGATCATGTCTCATTTCCCTTCACTGTGTAAATTAACTCATTATTTCGTGCTTCTTTTCTACTGTTAATTTAATAGCTTACATTTTGGAGTTAAAAAGTGATTTTTTCCCCTCAATCCCTTGAATTTTACCAACATGTTCCAAACGACTGCTTTTTTGTTCCATCATTGTTTCTCCATGATTGTTTTTCCTACACAAAACAAGAGCACTTGTCACTGGTTTTCATGCTTCTCTCTACATGCAGGGGCTATTACAGATGCAGTACGTCAAAGGGCTGTTCAGCCAAAAAACAAGTGGAGAGGTGCAGGACAGATGCTTCAGTACTCATCATTACTTATACCTCGAATCACAACCATCCAGGTCCTGATCTCCATGACTCCAACCTAAACCAGCAACCAAAAGATCCCGAAACCCCACCGACTGATCATGTAGATCATCCCATAACTCTCAAACAAGAAAAACCAGAGGAAGAAACAGAAGAAAGACATAACCATCCCATTATGCCAAGCACCAATGAAGATGTCGGCGAAGGTCACAATTTTCACTACTTACAATCCCCAATAAGAATCTCTCAAGATATCATGATTAGCCAAGAAGATCCTTTCACTGAGAACTCAGAGAAAAGTCATGACACCTTGGGTATTGTCTTGGATGAAGAACCCCTCAGTTGCTCCAGACCGATGACATTTTCAGCACCCAAATCAGAAGAGAATAATGACTTCTTTGACGAACTAGAAGAGCTACCCACATCTTCATCTTTCACTAGCTTCATGAGGGGCAATTTTTTCGATGAAAGGATTCCTGTTGTCCCTTCTTGATTCTAGTGTTTTTTTTTTTTTTTTTTGGCCTTTTGGGGTTTTCTGCCTTGAAAAATGTACTTAAAATGTTCATGTATAATTTAGGGCACTACTAGTAGTAGTTATTACTTGTAGTTTTTCTTTTTTATTTTCACCAAATGAGTAAAGTAGTACTACTAAAGTTGCAACACTAACAAAAGGTAGTGGAGAGATGTATCATCTTTTATTAGGTTTGTTGAGATTGAGACTGAATGGTCTTGACAGATGAGAAACCCACATTTTTCGAAGTGAAAGAGAGGAGAGAGTTGTGTGTATATTTTTGTGTTTTAAATTAAAAGAAGGCACGAGTTTCACGAGTGAGTGCTTAAAGATCCTCTATGAGATAAGGCTCTCTATCTTTTAATTTACTTTTTGGTGAGTGGTAGATTTGGTGGAAGAGATGTTTGGCCTTTTTGGAAATACCTTATTGTTCAGCTTGAACGAGGAATACTAGAGCACCACTCCGGTTAAAAGTTAATGCTGCTTTATGTTTTCGGGTGTGTTAGCATTTGCAGATTCTGGCCAGCCCAACAGTCAACAGATGCATTTCTTTTGCTGGGAAAAGGATTCGCATAAGCCTCCAAAAATGCCTAAATTTGTCAAATATACCATGCCTCATTACCTCAAAGGGACGTAATGTGCCACAATAATTGACTTGGAAAATTTCTAATTGCATTGCCAGACAATCTGCCGTACCAATACATGAACTGATAGAAAATTGTAAAAAAAGGATTAAAAAAACAACCTGAAATGTCAGAGCACAGCATCATCCAGACTCGTTTTCCATTTTTTGTTGGATCAGGGGAGAGGGGACCAGGGTAGGAGGGCTTTACCTTGCCACTAAGCTGTATCAATTTCCTTGTATACAAGGCAAGTGTATAAACACGATCGATAGTATTAGATTAATCTACAGTTTTCATTTCATTTTTTATGGTGTTGATTTTATTACAATTGGAGTCAAAATGCAACAATTTTTGTTGTCTCTAAATTGAAGGTTTCAGTTGAAACACAGGCCGTAATTTAAATTAAACTAACATTACCATTGAGATTATCGAACTCGAGATAGACTACAAAATAAGTTTGTCCACCTTACAAAATACTATTAGCGGCCAGTAGAGGCAAGAAAATAAATATTCAAACATGCCCCAATGTATATCCCTGGAACACAAGGGAAACAATGAAACCATAAACATAGTAACAGAGACTGAAAATTTTTTATCATTTAAAGGCTATCTTAAACTTACCACTCTCTATCTCAGAACGATTGCATTCTTTGACTTTTCGTACAAATTTAAAAAATTATTAATTATTATGTTATACAAATATTTTTTTGTTTATATTTTTTAAAATATTCTTTTTAAAAATTATTTGTCATTAAAATAAACTTTAATTAAAAATGTCATTAAAAAAATCCGACATTTGAAGTTTTAATCAGACATATATTTTAATATAAATATAAATAGAAAAATAAACAAAAAGACATTTAGACCAATTGAGACCCACAAGAATGGTTTAGTAAATAACCAACTTGATGCATTTGCTGGGACATTAGTTGTGCCTCGCTGCTGAAGAACAAGAACTACTTCACATCCAAGAGTGGTCCTTGGAACCATGAGGGAGGTTTTAATGGTAAAGTTGGTCTGAACTCAGTTGTAAGCTCTCTAGAGAAACCGGCACCATCCATGTTCCAATAGCAATTATGCTGAATAAAAATGAACACAAAAGCCGAGCAGTATCCGTTCAAACTCTTTCTCAGGCTTCAGTTCAACTAAAACTCGCCCAGAAAGTAACAGATTATGAGAGCGAGCGAAAGACTGTGGAGACAAGGCCCTGCCTGAACTAACGGCAAAACATGTTCTATAAAACCCTGGTGCACAGATATCAATACTCTTGATCATTAAAACAAACTAAGAGACCTATTTTGATCATTCTCATTCAACTCTATAATTATTAAAAGTAACAACCTAGAATTTTACATGCGAGATGGGTCATTGTTGATCTGCTGCAGCTGTCAGCGGCTGGAGAGCCTTGAGAGGGTTCAAGATAACACCATCAATAAGCCCGTAGTCCTTGGCTTCTTTTGCGCTCATGAAGTAATCACGATCTGTATCCTGATTGATCTTATCAAGACTTTGACCAGTGTGGTAGGCCAGATACCCATTTAGGTTTGCCTTGTGATGCAACATTTCGTTTGCCTGAAAATTATGCCAGTATTAAGAGATGTTCAAACCAAAGACAAAGGTTTCAATTATATGATAAAGTGCACCGGGAACCAATAGTTCTCCCATAACACACGAGAATTTTCAAAACCTATTTCATGTCTGGACACAGGAATGGCTAGAAATCAGATGCGCTAGGATATATCTGTTAACAATGCTTCACAACTATAAGTTTCAGAGAAAAGGATGCATACCTGGATATCTATGTCAGATTGCCCCCCTTGAGCTCCACCAAGAGGCTGATGGATCATTATCCTTGAATTCGGCAAGCTGTATCTTTTTCCTTCAGTCACATAGGAAAGAGAAACATATTCAGTAAAGTTTGAGGCAGCAACTACGGGTTTGAACTTTAAATCAACAAGTCAACAGAACATTTTACCTTTGGTCCCAGCACTGAGCAGAAAAGCCCCCATACTACGTAACCAAAAAGGGAGAACAAAAGACAGATACTTTAGTAATGGAAAATATCCAATGCCAAGTGAAAATTAAATGGTATTCTTAAGGGAGAATTTATTCCCTTTCCCACTATTTTAGAAACTTTAAATCTTAGAATAACATTTTCACACCTAATACAGAATGTTAGTGGTTCTATAAGCACTCTGTTAATTGCCTGGAAAAAGATCAGGTGTAGAGTTTTGTGTACTGAATCCTCAGCCTGGAAGAGGAAGTATGGCATTAGTTTTGACAACTATCTTTTGAACTGTCCTGGATCTGACTTTGGAGGCTGTTTAGGGCTGTATTAAAGTGGATTTCTACTGAGAATTGTAGAACTATTTGAGTCACTCTAATAGGGTTTCTAGGAGTCACACACAGAGGATAGAAAAACCTAAGCTTCACACCTAGGGTTCTTAGGAGTTATAAGAGAGATTGAGTCACACAATCCAAAGCAAATTGCTGGAACTTTATTCATAAACTGTCATTTATTTATTAAAAGACTAAATGCTTATTTATAGATTTTTAGACATTGATTCCTAAACCTCCAACATAACTATCCTATTTTAGAATAGGAAAACTATAACTATTCCTATTTAAGAATAGGAAAACCTAATAACTTTAAGATTAATAAAATAAATTACTAAACAGAAATAAAGCCTAGACCTAGACAATTTCCAGATTTTCCAGCAAACCTGGAAACATACAAAAATACCCTTGCGTTCTAAAATTTAAATAAAACACACAAATCTTTTGTTGTCTGCATCACTTTAACTCCAAAGATATACAGGATAATCATCCAAAAGGCAAATGCAAGCAGCCACATACAAGACATAACAGACAGGATACCACACCAAATTGCATACGGGCAAGCAATAGAACATATACCTTAAGGAATATTGGCTTTGAATCTTGTCCTGCAAAAAGGCGGGTTCTCAGATCCTAGATAAATCTCATTTTCTACAATGTTAATGACAGTCAGTTTAAGTGCGGCCTAATGCTAAGCTGAACTCACCTAGTAATTTTCCTTACCAAGGATCTATCATAAGAACATTGAGGTTACATGATCAAACTGCTATTAGCTCAAGATTTAGACACCAAATCATTAAGTTATTCCCATGGTAAAATTACAGCAAAAACAGCTCAACCCATGCATCTACTGAGAAGGTACACATATGATTCTCTAGTCATCAATAAACATTCCATACAATTCCCAGAAACATATTTCTCCCTCGCTAACACTTAGGCAAGACCAACAATCTACATCACATAGAATCCATTATTTACAAAACTAATGCTGCTTCAGTCATGGAAGAACAAGGTTAGAATAGTGGGATCTGATCTATGACAGAAAAGTTACTGTTTCATAATTCAATTAAGTTTCTTTAAAAAATCCTAGTTCTGCAAACAATTGATGAATAAAAGGAGCAATAAATCAGTCTATAATGATCCATTCAGCAACTAAGGTATAAGTAACAGGAAAAATACAGTAAAAACCAGCAATTCATTTAGCTGTTAAGGTATAAATGACATGAAAGAAAATAGGAAACTAGTAAATCTTGTACCTAGCTGCCAGTCCAACACAGACAGTGGAGACATCAGGTCGGATATGCCTCATTGTGTCAAATATTGCCATGCCTGAGTAAAAAGAATTACACAAAAACACAAGGGGGAGAGAGAGAGTCTAAGCCTCCAAACAAGTAAAAACATCATTGCTTCACATGCCCAGGTAACTGGAAAAAGGTCAAAAATGAAAGAAGACTTCAATCTGAAAAATTACCAGCTGTAACTGATCCTCCAGGAGAATTCACATACATAACAATATCCTGCTTGGTAGAAAAAGCATACCCTAATTAGTAAACTGCTTGCCCCATTTCTTCAGATAATAAGAACAGTGTTAAAACAGGTTCATGTGGTTTTGTAATGGTTCGTGTGCATGTGCAGGTGTTGTAGTTATGAAGCTTGACTAAAACCAGTTAACAATGGTGGAATAGAATCATAAACTTTAATGCTGTTAGAGGGCTCAGAAGCAAATACAAATTGAAATGAAGTTGAAAATGATAGATAAGATACCAACCAGCCACAATGAACAGTCACCAAACTCACCTTGTTAGGATCAACAGCATCGAGATAAAGAAGTTGAGCAACGATAATGTTTGCCATATCATCATCAACAGCTCCCCCACAGCGTATAATTCTCTAAGAATTCAAACAACAGCAAAATCAAATGTTATATAAAAACAGGCGAGCATTCCTGGTAAACAAGCAAAAGAAAGATGATTAACCTATTCACTTACATATTGAAAAAGTTGACTGATAACACTCTGGAATCGTTCATGCACCATCGGAGGTGGTCCTTGTGCTTGAGCATTGGCATAGGCAGGGAAGTAGGGTGAAGAAGGGATTTGCACATCATCCCTACAAAACCAGTCCACATTTTTTCTCTTCATTTACTAGCACAAGCAAAATGAAAACAGCACTTCTCTCAGGTGTAAGTGAAAAAGACATAAATACTCTCATAAAACCCATCCTACCTTATAGACCAGATCCCTTGTCGCGAACTACTCTCGGGTACCCAAAACTCACCAGAGTAAACAGACTTCACTGAAGATGTCTGGATAGTCTTTCTATCACTAATTAACTTTCTCAATTTCCTGCAACACATGTAGAGGAGAAGGATATTTGAATTACTCAACTAATTATGGCATAGATGAAACATTTATCAAATAAAAGAGGCGAAACTGTTCTAGTATCCTTGTTTAATAATAACAATTATCAGTGCTAAAAAAAACCGAAAAACCAATCCAAACAATTATAAAGAAAATATTGTTTGTGTGCCGCGAAGGGCCTACACCTTGAAAATGGAAGGGCAGAGCTCAAATCCAACCTTAACCTCAAAAACCCTCTGCTTCCTTACCAATTTTAAAAACTTCGCTTAGCAAATCGAAAAATATATATATAAATAAATAATCCAAAACTTTGATTTTTTATTTATTTAGTACTCTTCAGCGAATCCAATAATACTGACAATAACGGTAAAACCATCGAGTAATCAGCAAACATCCCAGTCTCGATTTTCTTTAAATGTTGCTTTCCATGGAAAAAAAACATCACAGATAAATTAGAAATAAAAAAAAGGGGGAAGGAGTGACCTGGAACGGAGAGGGTGGAAAGCGAAAGAGAGCTTGTGGGTATCGGGAGCGGAGCCGACTGAAGGGTTCGGATAGAAGGGAAGAGAGCTGAATCTGAGTGACGAGGCCGATGTGGAGACGCATGAGTGTGCCATTTCTAAGATTGATTTTTAGCTTGTATAAAGTGTTTTGAATTATCTAGTATTAGCGCCTTATCCTATTAAATTTTAGGGCTAGAGGAGGACGAAACTGCCGTGGGTATTGATAGTGTGTTCGAGAGAGCTAAGGAAGATGTTAACGCCTACAGCAGTGACTTACTAACTGAATATCTTCCTTTTGGGTCTTTCTTTGACCCGCTTACCAAACGGGTGGTTTGGTCTCTCTCTCTCTCTCTCTCTCTGGCCCTTTCTTTTCTTTTCATGTTCCTTCTTACTTTAAGGCCCTTAAAGCAATAAAGCCCAACCCCTTTCTTTTTCTTTGCGATCCAATTGTGGATTTTATTTCTTCCAAAATAACTGTTTGGTGTTTGGCAATTGTTGGCGAGTTCCTTTCACATAAAAAATGTTCAGATTTTTCTTGCTGGTATCTGTAGTTACTAGCTCGTGAGAATATTTTTTTTAATCAATTTTCCAAGTTTTTTTTTTTTTTTTTTTTTCATTAGTAAGCTCAATAGAAATTACACAAAGTAGCAAATTTTAAATTACACAATAAAAATTAAGAAATATTCCTTTCTTATTATATTATTATGAAAAAAATGAAACAACAGAGACTGGAACCTAGTAACGTTATAGAAATTGTGCAGAATTTATGCTGGGAGAGGAAATTTACTCCTACCGAGAGGAGCAAGAGCAAAAGCAAAGGGATGAGTTTTTAGTAAATTAGAAAATGAATTAAGTAATAATGGAAAGTGTTTTTATTAAAATAGAAAATGAATAAAGCAATAATGGAAAGTGGGCATCTAAATTGGAACTAATAAAAAACAAATTAGAAGGCTCATCGAGAGAGTACTATCTTTATTTCATGATTGTATTGGAAGAGGACTGTCACCAAGTCACCATCGAATGGCCATGGAACACCCGTTTCATTTACCATAACGAATATTTCTTTACGAAATATTACTTGCACTCAAGTAGTGGAATTCTTCATAAAAAAAGAGAGAAAAAAATACAAGAATTTATCATTAACATCGTTTTCTTAATATTGAAGGCTCTCAGTAAACATCATTTCCATTCAATTAAAGACAATTTTCCATTAATCAATCATTATGCAATAATTTTTTTTTTTAATTTTTTTTTTGGGTGAATATCCTTAAGCTATAGATGACAGCAAATGAACCATCCATATATGTGTAATCCCTCTATACTGAATCAAAAATGCCCCTTTGCTAGCCTAGCCTAATAGTTACATGATATATTAACACAACAGTGCAGATCTTTAAGCATCAGAGCAGTTAGTTTCAGGCTGACTCTGTTGCTGAATTGCCTTGTAGCACTGCAGACTGCAAAGCGGAAGCTTTGACTTAGAATCTCGATACTTGTATGGGTTAGTGCAGGACGGGCCTGCGCACTTCTCTCTTGGAGGAGGATAGCTGCATATTCGGAAAGAAAATTGAAACCATCATTAGTAAACAATAGTTGACATCAGTTTGGGATAGTAATTTGGTGTTTTAGCGTGAGTTTTAAAATATGAAGAAAACAAAACCTGCAGGGTTTAGAGTCGAATATACTAGGAAGACCCATGTCCTTGGGAAATGTCACAACCGTCCCTGTAGGACCCATGACCCATCTGATGGTGCTTGATGCAAGCATCTGGGCGGTAGTAGCCTTCTCCTGAGCATGAAAATGTGAGAAATTTGAACGCAGCTTTATATCAAGACAAAGAAGGAAGTTTATCAGACAATTGCTAATACCTGTGCCAACTCTTCCTGACGCTTCTTTATTTTCTCTTCTCGCTTTTTTCGGCTTGAATCTTGACCCAGAATTTTTCTTATAGCCTCAGCCTAGAAAATCAAAACCAAGAAAAAAGAAGGAAGGCAAATGCTTGTTTAACCTCTGTGGATCTCTCATATGCATATGGAATACAACTGTATGCACACGAAAACAAACCTCAGATTCCCTAGCTGCCTTCTCAACTTGCAATCTTCGTCTCTGAGCAGCCTCAGCTTTCTTTAATTGCTGCTCAACCTCTGTAAGTTTCTCCTTTTGCTCTGGAATGAAAAAAAGAAAAGAAAAAAGAAGCAATTACAAGGGGAAAGACTACAATTAATAATGAAACTAGAGTTCTCAGGGAAATAAAAACATATGGAAGTGATTGATTCTCACTTTTTGATGGTGCAGGTGGCAATCCATCTGGAAACTCAATTAAGTTAGCATCATGAACAGAAGAGCCATCTTTGCTAGATTGAAGAGCCCGTTGACGCTTAGTTAAAGTCATCTCCCTCTTACCATCTGTCAATGACTCTACAGATTCCTTTTTCTGCTTCTTCTTACTACCTATGAACTCACCATCAGATAATGGTTCTTCTCCCTCGTAATCTTCATCCTCTGGTGCTCGGTCTGACCTGGATATTTTCTTCCCATCTTTAACCAGCCTTAGAGCACCATTGCTTTCCAGGGTTGAAAGTTTTCGTTGTTTCTTACTTGATTCATCATCGTCATTTTCATCATCTTCCTTATGTCTTGATGAGACTTTTAACTTGAGTTTCTCTAAGTACCGGATCTCATCATCCTCATCATCCTCACCAAATTCCCCATCCAGAACACGCCTCTTGGGGGCACGCTTGCTCTTACGAACTGCTTCAGACTTATCTCCTGGTTTCCCAGCAGTATTTTTGCTTGAAGTCTTCCCCATTAAATCCTCTTTCCCGAGACTAAAACCTCCTCTAGAGAATTCCTTCCAAGGGACTCCTTGCAAACCAGGCCTCTTACCTAAAACAAAATGTTCATCCTCTAAATTCCCCTGCGATAAAACAATTTAAAATGATGGGATTACACAGGATTCTGACATTACTCAATAATGAGAGCACTTATTAGGCGAGATACTGAGATAATACACATTAATGCGGTAGATATTCTTCCACAAAAGTAAAGGCATAAAAGATGCCAAATAAATCCACAAAAACAAATTTATGTGCGCAAGCCAAAAATTGGTGTCAACAACTTATCCAAAGAATGCAAGTAATAATCAAGAATTGGTCAAATTACCAAGCGAGTAGTTCTATAAATTAATGTGAATTCTATGTGGAAGTTCTTGAAGTTATATACCTTCAAAAAACAGTATACACCTTCCGGCACACTATTACAAGATAGGTAATTCTTACTTTAAGTTAGAAATAAATATATAAACTTAATTTAGTACAACAGACACATATACAAACCTTCAAGGAGGTGTTTGCTTTCCCATGAGTAATTAAACAAAAATAGTTGCAGTTTAAATTGGTATTTAGACAGTGTACGCACAAAAGCAAATGCAATGCATGAATATGTATGCAAGAATCGAGGTTGCCATATTTCATGCAGGTTGCCATATTTCATGCAGGTTGCCATATTTCACACAGTCAAGATAGCGAGACTACCTGAAGACTAACTGTCTGCCTTGAGCTGGAGGTGTCTGAGAGTCGTGAATTCTTTGTAGAAGAAACGCCATTAGTTGTTGAGTTGGCATTAATTGTGTGTGCCACACCACCAACCTTAAGCTTGACCTTTTTAACCTTGCTTTCATTTCCTAAAACATCTAAACTCACTGCTGACTGCTCTGAACTCCAACTTTCACCATTCCTTCCACCGTAAATATTCGCAGCTCTAGACTCCACATCCATGCATTCCTTCAGCTTGCTTGTGCTTCTCCAATTTGCAGGGGCAAGAACACCTTTACTAGAACGTTTGTTGTGAATCATACTTCTCCCTGAGTTACTGCCATAAAATGCATTTTCACTTTCAGCCCCAGTAGTAGCTGAAGAAACCCTGGCCACAGATCGATTAAGATTGAATTCTTTCCTCCTAGAATTATCAGCATTCTCATCACTGGAAGCCTTGCTCATGTCATCAGAAGGTGGTGATATTGATAATGATGAATGATCATGATTGTCTGTAAATGCCTGTGAATCCTTAGGTCGGCGAGAAATTTGGGTCCGCTTCTTTCTTACAGTGCTTCCTATGGTATCAAACCGAGCAAGACCCAACTCTTCCATATGGTGAAAAACTACTCACTCTTTTGTTGATTCAAGTCAGATAACGAGATAGCACAAAGTCATAATAAACACCTATTCCAAAGATGGCTTCCGTTGACCCTACATCAAAAACATACAAAAGCCTAAACAATTTTATTGGATAAACCCTAAAAAAGAACTAACATGTATATTACTTTCTCATTGCATTAGAACAACCATGAGAATGGGAAACTGATGCGAGAGGGAATAGAAGTATAAAGCATTCAAGGCACAGCATCCAGAGAAGTCATTACAAAAGGAAAGATACAAATAATACATCACGGACATAAAACCAACTAAAGTAAGTGGATTTCAAAGATAGAACACAAAAACCACCCCCATTACAAACAATGACAGTCTGGTGACATCAAGCTCAACAATACAAATAGCAAAGAACCCAAAACCCAGGAAAACAAAACCTCAGAAGATAAGCAAACGCAAGCCAAAGCACCAAATAACTCAATAATATAAACTCAAATAGGAAAATTGTGCAAAATTTAACCAAACAAGAAACCAAACCTCCGAAAAATTGAAAACTTGAACAAATTGGTTTGACATCAAACCAAACAAAATGACCCATCAATAAAATCAGTTGACAAACCACAGCAGCCACTGAGCACATATCAATCAAAGCAAACACCCAGTTGTAACCAAACAGAACCCCAAATAACAACACTCAACTCAATTCCCATGAATCCTAACCAGAGACTAGAAAAACATTAATAAAACACAAATCAATCGATCAAAACAAAAGCCAAGAAAAAATCTGCAGCAAAACACACAATACAAGCATGCATTGATCGATCATCAGAAACAAATAAAACCCAAAAAAGAGAGCAAAAAAAAAACCTTACCGGAGAAAAAAGGAGGGACAGAGAGAAAAAGGAAAAGAGAAGAGAAGACAGGAATAAAAAGAGAGAGAAGAGAGGAAGAGAAATAAAAGAGGTAGAAAGATTTGGTGGTGTTTGGTTAAGGTTATAATAAGTTTAGAGAGAAAAAGAAAGTTAGGGTTAGAGAAGGAAGGATGAGAGGGGTAAAGGATTAGAGAAGGACTAGTAGTAGTAATAATCTCCTTCTTGTTCTCCATTTTTTGGCTATTGCCACGCCCCTCACTCCCACCCACACGCACACACTCTGTTTTTTTTTTTTTTGGGGTCTCTTTTTGTTTGGGGTGATTTTAGCCTAAGTCCTCTTTGGTTGTTGTTGTTGTTGTTGTTGACTCGGTTGATCCAACTCAGTGAGGCATGCACATTTCTCTTTCTTCTCTCTCTCTCTCTCTCGGGTCTTTCCTTTTATTTCCCTCCTCCTCTACACTCGGACGCGGTTATTCCACTGCAAGTTTAAGCGCAGGTTAAGGGCCCTGCGCACCCGCACGCTTCCGTTTGTGTGGAGCTTTTGTTTTGTTCGCGTGCACGTTTTTGTCACGTGGCTGATATTAATGATACTTTTTTTTCTTTTTTTCTGTTTCACAAATTTCAGAATGAAATGGAAAACAATTCCGTTTTATTTATTTAGTTAAGGTTTACAGATTTTCAGAAGTTTTCAAAATTGACTTTTATATTATCCCTCTACAATTTGCCGTTCAAATCCAGTTTGAGAGGCTTCCATTGACAGATTTGGAAGTTGAGCTACGATCATGTTTGAGCGTGGGTTTGAGATCAGATCCAATATGCTCGAGTGTCGAGCCTCAACCGTGTCTGGGGTGCTGTGGGTCCGACTTAAGACCTAGTTCATGGGTCGAAGTTGAAGCTAGCTCTGAGAGTAAATTATAAATTAATCCCTCTAGTTTTTTTTAAAAAATAAATAAATCTTTTTAAACAATTAATTAGTTTTTTATGTTTTAATTTTCTCAATAATTTAATTAATTAATTAATTTTTTTTTTTGAAGCGAGAAAAAGAAAGTGAGTGAAAAATAAATAAAGTATAAAAAAAGCAATATAGGAAAAAATCATTAATAAAAAACTCGATGAAATGACTAAGTTATTGATGAAATTTAAAATATAAAAAATTAAATGAATATTTTTTAAAATGAAATGAGATAATTAATTTATTTTTGAAAACGAGAGAGACTAATTTATAATTTACTTCTAGTTATGGCAATAAAGTGAAAATAATCAAAACAACTTTGTATTTTATTTTGTAATAGACCGAATTTGTTTGATGTATTAAATTATTGATTCTATACTTAAAAATGTGTTGCTTTGGTGAATTTTTTTTTCTCAGAAAGATGTATTTGTTGTTGAGGTTATTACATATTTGATGTGAGAATATATATTTTTTTATTTGAATGTCTTGATTTTTATTTTTTGTCATTTGGATGTGCTAAGTTTTAATTTTTTTCTAATCAACTGTTTTTGTTAAATTTTGTAAAATACATGCTGACATAATTGTTAAATTAACATATACTAACATGTATCGCACATGCATGAGCATTTTACTTTATTTTTAATCAAGTGTTTGTATTATTTTAATTTTCTATCCGAGTATTTATGTTTTTATTTATTTTTTTGTTTGAATGTTTGTGCTTTTAAAAATTTGTCAATAAGTGCTATTAATTTTGAAATCTAACAATTATCCACTTTACAATTTTACGTGGACCATTTATTAACCAAGTTAACTAAAATAAAAATAACAAAACAGTTGAAAAAATATTAAAATTAAAATAATAATATAATAAAAAAAATTTGCGTTGGCCACAATTCATTTAAATTGAATAGATTGTTTTTATTGTTTGTTGTTTTAATTGTTAATTTTATCCAAGTTGGTCAAAATAAGATGAACATAACATTGCAAAGTAGTATTCATTGAACATCGAAATTAATAGCACTTGTCGATAAATTTTTTAAAATATAAACACTCAAATAGAAAAAAATAAATATATGTACACTTAAATTAAAAAAAATACATACACACACTCCATTAGAAATAAAGTAAATTGTTTAGATACACATGACTTTATCAATATTTTGATGTATTAATTTAATAGCCATGTTAGAATGTATTCCATAAAATGAAATAATTGATTAGAAAAAATCTGAAAGTCTGCACACTCGAATAACAGAAATAAAAAATTTCCGTACTCAATATGTAATAATCTCTGCATGTTTTTCCCAACTATCGCGTGATTATAAAGATGCCAAAACAAAATTCATCTTCAACTACATCCCTATCCATTGAACATTACGTCATTACCTGATTAACTTCCACCATCCTAATCAGGATAGTTCGGTTACGCAAAAAGTCAAGACCTTCTCTTATTGCGAGCAAATTTTCGATCACTGACTACTCGTAGTCAAGGCATCTAATTATGTTTGGCAAACAAAAAACCAAGTTTTTTTTTTAAAAAAAACAAAAAATTAGTTCATTTAAAATCAATTTTTTATTCGTGTTTTTACCTTTCTTAACTTTTTATATATATTTTTTAGATTTAGTCAATTACATAATTTTCAGTTATTACTCTTTTTTTTAAAAATACAATTCTCATAATTTTAATGTAAAGTTTTGTACATATGTTTTAAAAAGTTATAATTTATTTTTTAATTTTTTTTTAAAGTCAAAAACTATATTTATTTATTTTTTAAACATTAAAAATATAAATAATTAAAAAAAAGAGAAAATAATCTATAGTGATTTCAAATTTTCTAAATAGCTTCACATAAATTTTTTCGAATGATTTTCATCGTGAAACTATTTATGTAGTTGTTATTTTTTTTTTTAAAGATAAATGATAAAAAAATTCAAAATTCAAAAACTGATTTTAAATAAACTAAAATTAGGAGAGGTTTAGTCCTTTTTTAGCATTATATGTTATCGTTAGACATCTTTTCTTTTGCTCATGTTAACATTCAAACAAAGGATAAGATTTCTAAGGCCAGCATCTGGAATTGGTAATAGAATTTTCTTCTGGTCCCGGCCCTCCAGGGCAGAAAAACCAAGCCATCTAACTAGTTTAAGGGAAATCCTCACCAAAAATAATAATAAATAAATAAAAATCAAGTCTTTAATTGCCATGATTGACAGGTGAGATTGGAAAGCAAAATATTGGGACGAATAGTGTTCGATTTTAATGAAAAATCATACTGAATCAAATCCAAATTATCAAAAAATTTCAGTCTTGAATTAAAATTTGGTTTTTGATTCAGTTTTTCAAATTTTTAATTAAGTTGAAACCAATAACCGAGGCATACAAGTTGTAACATTATGATTTTGAAAATAATAATATAATATTTATACAATAGAAGTGTATATGATTTTTTTTATGTCTCCATTTCTCTATTCGAAATAAACTTATAAAGTAATTATTATACATATCACTAATTATTTTTCGAGTATTATAAAATTTCTCTCGAGCTTTATTCATCAACAAAATTTCCAACGTGATAATTATTGATCAAAGTAAACTTTGTTATTAATAATAAAAGAAACATAGTTGGATTTATTCATAACCAAAATACGGTAAACTATCCCAGTCTCAAAGAATAAAAAGTAATTAAACTAAATTCTTAAAAAGGAAAAATATTCAAGTTATAACCTAAATTCAATTGGCAGAACCGCCAAAATACTTTATAATTACTTATAAAGTAATTATTTTACATATTTCATGTAATGTTGGTGAACAACTCAATTTATATATATTTTTAATTTTTTTATTTGACGAGTATAAATATATTTTAAGAAAAAATCACAAGTAAGAATCACCAATAACTATATGTTTAATTTTTTTTTAAAAAAAAAACTTAGTAAGGCAAATAGAACTTAACGTTGCTTGTTTTTAGGCTTTTATAATCAATACTATATTAATAATTATAAAATAATCCTTTACTTAATTTTATCTATTTTTACAATTTAAAGACTTAAAAATAACATATGGTTACTTTTTTATAAATAAAAATTATAATTTAAGGACATAAATATATACAATGATTAATTTAATAAAGATTGTCTATCGCATAAAAAGAAAAAGACAAAAGCAAAAATTAGAAAGAAAAAAGAAGAAGAGTGAGACGGGCTTAGCATGCAATGCTGGGCCAAGCGATGCAGGCCTGCCTGTAACGGGAAAAAAAAAAAAAGGAGAGAGAGAGAGAGAGCAGCAAATGATGTGCCTGCTTGATATAGCAAACGATGCGTGTTTAATTCGCTTTCTTTCTCAATTTTTCGGCGACCAAAATCTGGAAATTGTTAGCAAGAATCTAGATATTGTCACTAAAAACTCGAGGGGCCACTGTTTTGGCTACTGACCTTAATTTGTACCCTTGTGTACCTAATCTTGCAATAGTTTTCCTCTTAATTATTGTCCATCAACAAAAGAAAGTCCTTAATTGTGTTTAGTGATGCTTTTAAACGATCAAGGAACACAGTTAGTGTTGAAAAATTTAGCTGCCCCAAAACAAACACAATCAAAAACCGAGTGAAAAATGAAATTGTCAATAAGAAAATAATTCTTTTTTTGGATTGCCAAAAGATTAATTAAAAACGGAAGTTGAAGATATCAGTAAGAAGGATGAAATAAGTTTAGGCATAAGATCACTGTGAAATTAATGCATGCTTTCTCACGATAATAGCCAATATCGATCTCACTAGAAACATGTATGAAAGGACAAAAACAAACGATTCTCCTTCCCATATGATAACAAGGGATTACTAAATTATTGTAACTCCTGGGAGCAATGTAGAAATGGATATGCTCATGCTACTCAGCGTATCCAAACGGTCATTAATCTCCTCCAAAGGCGAAGCAATTCCACCTTGCTCAATAAAGGCATCCTTGCATGTTTCAGCATATCCTATGACGGCACTAAGCAATTGAACCAGACTGTCCATGTCGTGAGAGGACATTGCTGTGAAAGCTTGATCAAGGTCTGTGATTCCACTGTCATATACGTCTAAGCAAACGCTAAGGCAGTCCTTAACCACACCGTCTGTATAAGGATCCTTAATTAGTTTCGTGGCCATGGCCATGGCTTGCTCATAACCTTCGTGGAGAGTTTGTATCCCCATTTTAAGGAATGAAAGGGCATCAATTGCACCGGTTAGGGAAGGACCAAAGATGGCAAGACATTCTGCTTGGTGACCGGTCTCGCCACATATTTTCGTCAGCTCAGCATTGTTGAATTGTGATGGCAATACAGACGGGGAATCAGGTGGTGATGGGTGAGACACTGGAGACTGTGATGGGGAGGAAACTGGCGGTAGAGAAGAAACCGGAGATGGCAACGGGGAGAAAAATGGCGATACTGGAGAAGAAACCGGCGACGACAATGTTGATTGAATGAACTCTGAAGATGTCTTAGACAAGGCCGGTCCTAGGGGAGCAGGACTAGCATGATCGCTGCTGACATTGCGAGGTACGCAAATGGCCTTAGAAAAGAATGAGAGAAGAGAAGAGGAGATAAGGAGGACGAGGATGGATTTGTTGAGCTCCATTATCTTCTCATGAAGGACAGGAGAAATGGAGAGACAAAACTAATGAGGAGTGACTGGGGCAATGGGAAATATCAAGTATTTATGGAATCTCTAGAGGGAGGGATTGACTTCTGTACTCCTCCCTCACAAAAACATGAGACCTATGAATTAGGAGTACAACTCCTGGCATATCCAATAATTTCGCCTCCAGAGAAGAGTGAATGGGCGGTTAATCCAAGACAATAGGATTACCAGGCAGATTATGTCAATTCTCAGTCTGGGCAGTCAGTTTTGCATTTATGGACTGGAAGTCATCACATCAAGGATGTCCAGGTTGGTTCCGAGGAATAGTTTCATAAACAGAGGAGCATCAAGAATGACAGCATAGCTCTATCCTTTATTTTTCCTTATTTAACCTAGCCTCTAACTGATGTCTCGTTCTTCCTTGCTGTATTCCAAGGCAAGCCAGAAATTTGCGTTCTAATAGATGTCCCGTTCTTCCTTGCTGTATCCAGGGAATATTAGTCAGAAATTGGCGTTTCAGTTTCTTTGCCACAACCAACTTCATAAACGTTGCAGCTATCATCTACATGGTTTCCGGTTAGATTTTACACAACAAGACAGTGATATCTGGTGGCTTAATTTTTAGAGAAACGATTTGTTAACATTAACCATGTAATGAAGTACACATCAAGAGTAACTTTGATTTGTTTGACATTTTTTATATGCACATTTCACCAAATCTTTCTTATCTTTTCCTTGTTCGGTAAATATTTTTAAGGTCCAGGAATTTAACGACTTGAATATGCAGGGAAGCAGATGGCCTCAACAAAGGGAGAAAGAAGAAAATGAGAGAGAGCCAAAAAGTAACAACTTGATCGGTAGGCTAGAAACGAAAAAATAAGAGTAATCTACTACCTACATCCCAGATTGGTAATGCAATGGTATGAATTTTTTTCTTTTTTAACATATTAATGGCTCTTAGCTAATTGAATTAATAGCAATGACTCCGAAAGCAATGTCCATAATATTCTTAGGTGATTATGGAATTGAGGTATTATAAATGATCTCAGAACACACAACGTACTGTTTTGCATTTTTTTTCTCTTAGTACTATGTGTTGGTTCATCATAAACATTTTAGTAACATAAAATTGATAATGGTTTTCAATTTGGATCAACCATTACGTTCAATTTTTTTTTTTTTTTAAATTATGAATTCGAGAAAGCATTGTCAAAGGCAACAAATTGTTGCTTGTGTCCAGGAAATTAGAAGCTTCATTAAAGAGAGCTAAATAATTTATTTTAAGTTGGACTCTCAAAGACAATGCATTAGGGTGCAGGTATCAATATGAAGGATGAAATTTATGCATATATATATATATATATAGTGGGGAGAGAGAGAGAGAGCAATGGCATATAAATTTTCATTCAAAGAGGATATATTTTGAAACACTGAATTCTGAAGACGAACAAATGTTAATGTCTCCTAGATCCTGTCACAAATGTTTTGTACGGAGGAATCTAAGAAACACTAACATTTGTGACAGGATTCCTTGCCATAACATGGGATTACTCAATTATTTTAACTACTGGGAGCAATATGGTCATGTCCACGGCGATGCTAGCCAGCTTATCCAATTTCAGATCAACTGCCTTCAATGGCGATTCTTTACCTTGCTCAAGAAAGGCGTCCTGACATATTTCAGGATAGGATGCTACGGCACCAAGCATTCGAGTCAGTCTGTCCATGTCGTGAGAGGAAATTGCAGTCAGAGCATCATGGAGGTCAGAGATTGCAGCGTCATAAGACTCTACGCATATGTCAAAAGAATCCCTAATCATGGCTGATAGAGAGGTATCCTGACTTAGTTTCGTGGCCGTGGCTCTGGCTTCCTCAAGATCTTTGTGAAGAGCTTGTATCCCCATTTTAATGACTGAAATGGGATCAGTTGCGCCAGTTTGATAAGGAGCAATGGTGGCAAGACACTCGGCTTGGAATCTAGTCACGCCGCATATTTTCGACAAAACAGCATGGTTAACGGATGGTGAATATGGCAATGTGGGTGGTGCATTTGTTGGAGAATCAGGTGGCGATGGAACTGGCTGTGTGGAAGAAACCTGAGATGGCAATGGGGAGGATTCTGTCTCTTGGGAAGAAAACGGCGATGGCAATGGGGATTCAATAGTGTTGAAGATGCGAAAGACAAGGCCGATCCTAGGCAGTCAGGACTATCATTAATTATTGCTGGCATTGCGAGGGACGCAAATTGCCTCGGAAAAGAATGAGAGAAGAGAAGAGGAGATAAGGAGGAGGAAGATGGACTTGTTGCGTTCCATTATCTTCTCTTGGATGAGAGGAGAAATGGAGAGACAATTATGAGGACAGCTTATTGAGGCAGTGAGACAGATTTTTTAAGTATATTTATCGGATTTTGGGAGAAATTTTATAATACATAAGAAGTAACCAGGACAATAGTTACTCTTTGGACCCATTTTGAGGAGAGAGATAGACACACAAATAGAGAGAGAAATAGGAGAGAGAAAATAAAAAAATTTGAGCAGACGTGAAATCTTCTTATCACTTTTAGTGAGTATAGATATAATTTCTCTCTTTTTATGTGTCTATCTCTCCCTCAAAGTGGATTCAAGAAATAACTACCGTACATACCACTAGTTACTCTAGTTACTCCTTGTGTATTATAAAATTTTCTGGATCTTTGGAGTGGTGAATGGGTTACCCAAAAAAATAGGAATACCATGCAAATTTTGCCAATGCTCTAAGTATGGTGGGCAGTCTGCTTTGCTATTTTTCACATATATGAATTCAAAAGTCATGACACCAAGGATTTCCAACTTGTGTTTTTTTTCCCGGAATAGTTACATCAAGTGAAGAGCATCTAGGATGACAGCAGATTTTTTCCTTATTTTTTTCTTGCCTCTAAATTATGATGTCTTGTTTCTTCCTAGTTGCTGTGCCCAGGCAACCCAGAAATTGGCTTTCCATATTTTTTTTTTTTTTTTTTGGGCAATGGTCAAATTCATAAACGTTGTGGCTATCCCCATTTGGTTTGTGGTTAGATACCGATATCTGGTGGCTAAAATTTTTAGAGAGTTAATTTGTTAACATGAACGGTGTCATGAAATACATCGATCACCAGGATGTTTCTTTGATTCGTTGGAAATACTTTATGAAATGATCTTTTCGCCAAATCTAATTTTCTTTTCTTTTCGGCTGTCTCAGTCAATATTTGGAGAGGGAAGCACTCAAGCAAGGGGCCATCTGGTTATAAGGAATAAGTGGTGGACTGGTGGGAATGCCCTTAATTTCTGTAATTGAATGGGAATGAACTAATCTGAAGGAATAGGATTAACGAAAACAACGTGGGGAAGGCAGGTTTAAGGGGAATGGATTTGTGTGAATAAAAAAAAAAAAATCTCTACTTTGATGTGTGTGATTCCTTCATGCTCATCATTGCAGTTTTTGGGCCATTTCATCTATAGCTTCTGCAAAAAAAAAATTTCTAATCCTTAATTAAACCATAATCACATTCATAAAAAATAAAAATAAAAGGCCAAACCGCCTCCTTTCTGACTAAATTAAGAGCAATGAATCCAAAAGCTTCTTGGGTGGGAATGGAATTCAGGTGTCAGCAATGCATGCTATGATCAGAAGTCAGAACAGACAATCTACATTTTTCATTTCTGGATTTGAGTTGCAGCATAATTGTACTACATTCTTTGTGCCTTCATTCTGGATTTCAGTAAGTCGCTTGTTGAATTGCTTCCTAGAAATGGATCTCTTTCTGTTTTGTGTTGGAAGATAGTATAAGAATTCAGGATGGCTAGGATTGTTTTGTTGCATTCTTGATAAACCACCCTTTTGTAGCTATCTAATTGGATCACTAAGTAGAATAATATAGATCATTACATTTGCTAGTAAGTTGTATCTTGATCTTTTATTTTCTTTCCCTGCTTCAGTTTTCGGTATGAATGATGAAATTCATGCATAAGACTAGTAAAGAATATAGAGCAACGGATATTATTTTCAGTGAAAGAGGATTATTACTTGAAACGCTGAAGGAATGTCATTGCTTCCTTGCGATACTAATCTAAAATACTCCTCCACACAGAATGATATATAAATTAAACGCAAAAACAAATACTTGATTTAATTCCAGTGGAGAGATGCAGAAATTGCCAAGTTGATGCTAGCCAACTTAGTCAGCTGGTCATCCATCTCCTTCATTGGCGAAGCGAGATCTGGTTGCTCAGCAAAGGCTTCCTCACATGTGTCAGGATATGTTATGGTGGCACTAAGCATTGTACTCAGTTTGCCGATGTCGTGAGAGGAAATTGCAAGCAAAGCATCATTGAGGTCAGAAATTGCGTTATCAAAAGAATCCAAGCATGTGTCCAGGGAGTCCTTAACCACGGCTGATGAAGAGGGATCCTCGTTTAGTTTTGTGGCAACGGCAATGGCTTCCTCAATTTTTTTGTGGAGAGCTTGCATTCCAATTTTAAGGATTGAAATGGGATCAGTTTCGCCGGTTAGGAAAGGAGAAATGGCGGCAATACATTTTGCTGGGTAATCGGTCATGCCACATATTTTCGTCAGTGCAGCATTTTTGAATGGTGACCGCAATATCGATGGTGACTGTGTTTGAGAATCAGGTGGTGAATCAAGTGGTAATGGGGAGGAAGCCGATGGGGAAGGGGAGGAAGCGGAAGCTGGCGGGGGCAATGGGGCTTGAGTAGTGGGTGCTGAAGATGAGAGAGACAAGGCCGGTCCTAGGGAAAAGTCACGCTCTGTAGCATCAGGATTAGCACGACCATTGCTGACGTTGCGAGGGACACAAATGGCCTCAGCAAAGAATGATAGAAGAGAAGAGAAGACAAGGAGGAGAAAGACGGACTTGTTAAGCTCCATTATCTTCTCTAGGATAAGAGTAGAAATGGAGAGACGTAAAGAGGGCAGATTCAGGCAACGGGAGAGGTAAGTGAATATTTATGGGGCCTTTAGAGGGGTCAATGGGTTATCCATGAAAATAGGATTACCATGCAAAATTTGCCAATGCTCTCAGTTTGGTGTAACTATTTTTGCATTTATTAGTAGTAAGTTATAGCATCAAAGGTACCAAACTTGGTTTTTCCCGGAATAGGTTGACAAAGATGTAGACCGTCAAGGGTAGAGCTTTATCCATCCTTTTCCTTCTCTCTCTCTCTCTCTCTCCCCCTTTTCCCCTCTAAGTGACGTCTTCTTCTTTCTTGCCATATCCAGGCTACTTAGAAATTAGAATTCCTATTTCTTTTCCATAACCAAATGCAAAAATTTGCAGCTATCATCCACTTGGTTTTTGTGGATTTCAGACAGCAAGACACTGATCTGTCAAAAATTTGCTTGACACTATGATATATGCGTATTTCACCCCCACCACCACCCCCTTCTTTTTCAAGGAAGCAAGGGGCTTCAACAAAGAGCTTGTTCTCCGCCTGGCCTCGACAAAGAGCGAGGATAGGAAATGAGAGCCAAAAGATGAACCGAGTCAGCTTGCAAAACAAAAAAAAACAAAAAAAAACCTGGCATAGAAATCATTATACTTGACCTTGGATGGAATGTATGATGCATCTAGCAAGAAGTTATAAAACACAACTTTTACAATTTGCCAAATGAAGATTCTAAGTAAATCATGCAGCACCCATGAGAATGTGAATTTAGGACTACAAATACAAGGGTTGCTTGTTATGGTAATGGATCATCTGAAAACTTTGTCTAACGAATTATAATTATAATTATAACTATAACATATACTAAAAAGAAATAAGGTTTTACTGTAACTAAGCTACTGCTACAGTAACCAAAACGAGGTTATTTTGTATCTTTTTAGACTCAAAACGACGCCATCTTTCCAAAAAAATAAGTGATTTGATCATTTTATCAGGATTTTATACTTTGGTCCTCGAAGTTATTATTTTATATAAAAAAGTTTTTAATTTTAATTAATATTACCAAAAGGTCCCTATAATATTTTTTTCAGGCTGGGTTTTTTTCATTAATTATTATTTTATCAAAAGAACTTTTTTCCCATCATCAATGGTTACTTTTTCTATTTTTAGAAATATTCATGAACTAAAATTAAATATTCTTCTAATATAAATGGATTAAACACCTCCTTGTAATTGGATTTTTTAAAAATAAATAATTAATTGCATATATTTTTTATCTATCAAAATAAAAAATATTCCTAAGAAATATTTAAATTCAATTTTATATATATATATATATTAAATTAAATAATTTTTTTTACAATGAGTGTTAATTAATTTTTATTTTACATTTACATTTTGAAATTATTTAAAATATTAAAACATGGATATGATAAACATACCCGCGCGTTGAGCTAGTTTGGAACTAAATTCTTCAAGGTGCTGGGTTCCAACTATTGTGCGATGTGATGGTGAGGAAAGCAAAACACCCTTTTGAATATGTAACTGAAATCTAAATACAAACTAGGACTTCAGCATAGACAGTTAAATTGCTATTAGAATTCTGTTATTAGAAGCTCAGATAAAAGAGTACCAACAAGAATTCAAGCCCTCCAAGCAAATAGATTTTCTGATAGGAAAATATTGTATGGTGATTGGAGTAGGCCACTCTGCTGGTCAGCTTCAATTTGAAGATGTAACTACTGAAATCTACCTGCAAGTTATTTTTTATTTTTTTTTCAGAGGAGGTTTCATTTATGGAGAAACTGAATCCTACATGCAACTTTAAATTTTCCAATATAAAATGTCAAGCCAAAAGAAAAAAAAAAAGACAAATGAAAGAAGAAAAGAAGAATTAATTAAACCTAGTCACTGCATTTTATCAAAACTAATTAATTAATCTTGCAAGGATAAAAAGTAATTTAGTTCTTCGACTAGCATTAACCACCTCAATTTAGTAGTTTGTTTCCAAAAATGCCTTTTTACCCATCAAATTTTCCCATCTTATCTAGTTCTCTTTTGTTTTTTCCATATCTTGAAGCAAAAAACAATAAATTGGAAAATAAAATGAAATTTAACAAAAGGACCAAGTCATAAATAGATTTAAAAAACATAGTAATTAAATATATAGTTTTTGAAAACCACAAGGACTAACTAGCTAGGAGCAAGCCATAGTTAACTCATAAAAGAAAGGGTGAAGATTAAATAAAAAACCTTGACGGCCATCCAAGATAACAAGCTACGAGGCATATATACAAATTTCATAAGCCATGTAGAGAATGGCCAACCTGCTTTCGGGAGAACTTAACAGCGGTCCTCCACAAGGCAACAGAAAAAGCAGCCACTCCCCAACTCCACCAATCACAACTAAAATATCTATATTCCAAAAAGAAATCCTACAAAATATTTTCCCATTTTGATTTTTTCAATTCCTCGCATTGTTGTGTTGGGCCATCAAAAGAAAACTTCAAACTAAGTAAAGGCTCCAAGTTAACTAACTTTTAGGTATTCATCGTCCTTCATGAAGATCTTCAGAGAAAACTGCTGTCCGAGAGATGTTGTCGTTATCAAAGGCACTTAGGCCAGAGTATGGACCAGATGAGAACATTGAAGATGTCCCATCAGATTCAAAGGTAGTAGATGACTGTCTCAGGTTGGCCCGGGCATTGGAGCTTACAATGGAATCTTGATACTCAGTCACACGCTGCACCATTTTAAGTGACTGTACCACTTCACCCATAGTCGGTCGCTGGCTTGCCTCGGGGGCCACACAAGCTGCTGCAATTGTGCAAACTCGTACAAAATCATCCTTCGGATATTTCCCTCCAAGCCTTGGATCAGCAAGCTCTTCTAACCGATCCTTGTCTCTCAGAATGGGCCTGGCCTGAAAGCAATAAAACAGAATTTGTTAAACTGTCAAGAATTTTAATAAGAATTGTCAGATATGAAACCAGAAATAACAATGATGGGTTGAAATGGTCAGTATCCTACGAACCCAAGTGACAAGGTTCTCTTGGCCGGATGGCTGTGACATATCAACAGGCTTCCTTCCAGTCAGCAACTCAAGGAGGACAACTCCATAGCTATAAACATCACTTTTTACTAGTAGATGTCCGGTCATAGCATACTCAGGGGCTACATACCTATAAATCAACACCATTTCATCTCAATGCCAATCAAATTGGGAAACGATACAATGAAACAGAGAGAAAAACTTGGACAAACCCAAATGTTCCCATGACACGAGTAGACAGATAATTTGCTCTGCCTTCAGGCGCCTGTTTGGCAAGTCCAAAATCAGCAACTTTAGCATGAAAATTGTTCTCAAGCAATATATTGGATGCCTTGAAATCTCTGTGGATTACACAGGGTTGTGAGTCCTCATGTAGGTATGCAAGTCCTCTTGCAGCATCAAGTGCAATCTTCATTCTGGTATCCCAATCCAGAGGACAGTTTACACCCAAAGGACCTAAGGCGTGCATATTTGGAGCAGCATTAATATTTTGAAAAATATAATGCAATAATCATGTAGCAAGGATTCAGGTACGATACATATGTGTATACCAGTCCAACTCGTTATATTATCAGAAATCAGAAGCAAACACAGTAGAACAATCATTAACTGTTAATGTTATACCTGTTATCCACTTGATATTCAACAAGCCCATAAATTTATTCCAATTTGAATAAACAGACCCTACTAAAGAAAGTCAAGATTGTAGATGGACAATGTCAATTTCTTAGCAGCATAGCTGATGTGGCCAATGTTAGGGTCCAAAAAAGAAAGGTCTATTGATGGTTAACATTCAAAAGAAAAAAGAACCAGATGAGGTAATAATTCGGAGTCTATTAAATTTCATATCTTGCATGCACTCATGCTGTGAAGTCATTTTACATCCAACGGTAGAAAGAGAACAGGCCGGGTGCAAAATTTTACTGACTTGGTCTTGATGTTTGTTCTCACACCGGTGTTAAGCCAGGTTGGCACCAATACGATTCAGCTAAAGAACCAAACGTGTTTAGAATAGGTAATGAATAATTCTTAATTTTTCTTTAATATATAATATTCCATCTTCATGCAACTGAAATTAGAAAGAAAATATCATATCAAGCATTAAAATGCTGGGAAGATCTGAAATTGGAAAGAAATATTAAATTACCATGGAGCCAGGCCTCTAAGCTTCCATTTGGAACAAGCTCATAGCACAGTAGGTTTTGTGAAGAGTCGCGATTACTATAGTAGCCCACTAGTTTGACAAGATTACGGTGGTGCAGCCTGCTAAGCATCTCAACCTCCACCAAAAATTCTTTATCCCCTTGTTGCCCTCCATTAGTAAGCCTCTTAATTGCTACAGATGTCCCATCACTTAAGACACCTTTGAAAACTCTACCAAATCCACCCTCTCCAAGTATGCTTGCAGGTTCAAAGTTGTTTGTTGCTTCTTTAAGTTCCTCGTAGGCTATAAACCGAGTACTTGAAGGATGTGGAAGAGACCCTGCTGCTGAAACTGGATCTACGGACCTTGGCTTTACTGATTTGGGAAGGGGAAAAAAACATAAACTGAAATCAATAAGAAAGATACATGAAAGAATAGATGAGCAAAGAACCATAAGAAAGCTTTTAACAAAAGTCAGATGCAAGCATTATCATAATGACTTAGAACAGTGTTCCCTACATTTTCTTGAATGCTTGTATGAAAAGCACAATAGATTGGTCCTGCTTCTTCAGTAAGGTAAAGTGTGTAAAGAAATTGATGGATAGCAGGACACTTCTCTTCTTGGCTTCCCCATCTTAGATAGCTCTCCAACTCTTTCTATATTACTTTATAAAGCAGCATGGAAGTTTGTCTAGTTATTTTTTTAACTTTACCGAACCAATCCATGTAATATGGGTGGAATGCACAAATTAACCTTAATGGCTTAAGGCTTATGACACAGAAAGAGCCCTTTGCAGGGAGGCATTTGACAGAATATCTGCATTCCTCATATAAAGATCAAATTGAGAGGGGAACTGTCACGATCAAGAGAAAATCTGAAAGGTCCCATGAGTGACCCGCTACTAGCAATGGTAATCAGGAATAATGACACAGATTCCAACAGGTGGACACTATACATTACTAATTTGGAAGATTCCTAACATATATTGGACAGACAGCAAATGTGTGGATCTTGATATTTAAGATACATACCAGTTTCTTTAGGAGATGCTTTAGGCTTCCCTTTGCGGAATGCGCACGAACAGATTATAAGCATAGATACAATGGAGATAATCACAATGGCAGCACCAATACCCAGAATAAGAATCCAATTTGTATGTTTGCCTTTCTTGGAAGAACCAACTGATGTCGAAGTTGAAGATTGATGAGCCGGTGCCTCCATAGGTGATGAAGCAACAATAGGAGCTGTATATAAGAGGTAAAGTGACTTCAATATACATACTGGAGAACTAAGATCTCTATGGTACTTACAGGCATACATTTTGGAACCTAAACAAAGATTTTACAAGATAAAAATATCAAACAGCAAACTAAAGGGCAACACAATCTACTCTCCTTTTTTCCCTTGCTTTCATAGGAAATCTAAGACAACCACAACTGAAGGCTAAAACTTAACTCTTCTTTCTTTACTTTATTCAATGACCTATTATTTACTACCACTATTATACCACTTGACAGTTAGTATTTTTCTTTCTTTTTGACAGGAAAGGCAGCAATTCACATCATATTACAACAAGCAGCAGATTTTTCCAAAGCCAGATTTGAAAGCAAAATTTGCATGAATTTGAACATATGCGCTGTCCTACTAGATTGAAAGTAGAAGGTGCCTACAACATACCATTAGCAGAACATATGCTAAAATTACACATTTTGAAACCCAGATGAAGATATTCCATGAGACAGAAATCACACAGCAAACTGAAGGTTGTAATAATTTTTTTTTTTAAAAAAAAAAAGCACCATCCATCAAAATCTGTCTCTGATTCTATCTCCTTTCATATGGAAATTTAAAATAGTCACAACTTATGGCTAAATTCTTTTGTTTTGTAATCGTTAGTTTGTTCAATTATCTGTTTATTTACCATCATTGCTATGAACACACCACTGTTAGCCTGTTTATCATTTTGGACAGGAAGGCTATGTTTACATCAAATTGCAACACACATGCAGCTTTTCTGAGTGTTTGATTTAACAATAAAACAGGCATAAATGTGAACCATGAGAATCAGGTGGTCTCTTCTTGCAATTTGGTAGGATTCTGATGGGCCATGTTCTTGTAAACTAGGTAATTTCCTCTTTCCCGATTTTATACAATCATCTCTTTTTTTTTCTTTGGTAACAAAAAGATTTTATCAAGAAGCATACAACTGACACATGAGCAAAAGTTGAATGCAGTCAAGAAAAGCTATATGTGATTGGCCAAGACCATGGCATGACATATAAAAATCACATTGGCATCCTTGAAACAAAAGAGGCTGTATCAAAATTTACCTGGCGAAGGTGCTGGAGGTTCAAACCAAGTAAGATTCAGGAGTCTATAATCACCCACAAGAGTGGAGTCAAAATGAACCTTACGCAAGGCAAGCGAAGAGTTTACTGCAGATGCATCACTGGCAGAGAAACTGATTCCAGTGTGAGGAGTGATATTCATTGAAATATTTAATCTCGATAAGCTTAGTACATAAAAGTTTATCAACTCAATTTGAGAAACTAGCAAGCCAAGCTGGGAAGCTAGTTCTTCTAGAAACATGTTCCAATTAGGATTTTGTGAGACATTCAAAAGGAGAAGATCAAGCTTTATCGGATACACACAGTGGCAACCATGACTCCCTCGTTTCAGCACCATATCTGGTTTACAGCAGTCTGCAGAATGAAAAATCAATTCTAATGTCAATGTCTATGGTCACCGCACAATCATATATTTCATTAGCAGGAATGAGTTTACCTATAAGTTATGCAAGCAATTCAGTGCATTATCAAGCCCTTGGTTAGACAGTGTATATAGGAAGTAAAACATTAGACACTTTTTCTTCAATGGTTAAATTGCTCTTCCAACAAATGAAGGATGAAAACAAAAGGAGAAAAAAAGAAAGGTATTTAACCACGGTCGACGTCTTACCAGAGACAGAAGGAGATAATGGGGGCTGAGCTAAACCAGTAGGATTTGTGCCATCACCAGACTGAGTAGGAGCCACATCTACCAATCCAACACTGGGAGGCACCAATGCATTCTTCTTCGTTGATGGTTTAGACAAGCGTGAACTAGTAGGGGGGTGACCAGAAGTTATCAATGGACCATAGTTAGGAGGTTGGGCTGGTGCTACCACAAATGCTGGTGCACCATGAGGCGAGAAATGTTTTTTCCATGGTTTATGTAACAACGGTAGATTGGCTGGGAGGGGTAGATCAGGAATGGCTGGTGCAGCCAAAGGCACTCTGGATGGAGATAAGGTTGGTCCTTCAAACAGATTATCAGCTAAATCGGCATCGGTGATGGAAATTACATAACATAAAATGACCAAAAGCTGCAGAAATAAATACCAGACTCTTCTCAATAATCCTGCAACACACATACAAAGTTCCAGACTAACACGATCAAGAAACTATCACAGGAAATCTGGCAACAGAGTAAATGCAATTTATCGTGCCTTGCAATTTCAATTGAATCCTAAGATCATATGCGTGTTTTTCTTTCCAATGACCTACAATCAACCCTGACAGTTAAATAATCAATCCCAAAGCTCTACTGTTACAGTCCAAATGCAACAAAAAAAAATGAAATAAAAAAGGAAAGAAATTAAAAAATTTAAATAGACCAAGACAACAAAAGCATCACCAGATTAAGCGTAACCCTAATGATAGAGATGAAATTAAGCATTAGAAACTTTCTGTTTATTTAAATTGCAAACTAAGACATCATAAAACATGATAACGACATCATAAAACACGATAACATATTGGGCTGATAATATCAGAATTTGGCTTAGCATCCAAAAACCCTAACGGAAAAAAACAATAAAAAATAAAAAATCTGCAGAGTATGCTAAGAAAACCACTGCAGTATTTCAGGTTTAGTAGCCCTAAAAAGATAATAACGTTCATAAAGTGCAATTTCTTTCCTCGTTTTTTCTTTTCATGAAGTGCAATTTCTTCCCTAAATTTGCTAATGCAGCAAAAGCCAAAAAGCAGCATTAGTGTTTAAGAATAGAAGGAAGTAAAAATTACCAGTGGCATTTGAAACTGCAAGCACCGACATCACCGACGCCGTTTATTGAGAGCACTCGTCCCGTCAGATCTGTGAGATTGCAAGCAAATCAACGGCGAGATCACACTCAAATTCAGCACAATAACCCAAAAGGACGGACGGAAAGCATATAACACTATAAGCAAAACTCATTTGGCAAAGACAGTGAAGGAGGATCCAAGGGTGGAGATAACATCATAAGAATTGGAACTCGGAGTTGATGACTCAGAGCAAAACCCTCCATTACTGAGTTAACTCGAAGAGGAGAGATGATTGAACTGGAGGCTTCAGAAGGAAGAGAAAAATGAGAGACGTTCTATGACTCTTTTTGGTGGAGCGATACCGATTTGTTTCTTTCACTCTGTGATCAGTAGTACAGTCCTGGAGAAGCGTTTGTTTTCGGAAATATTTCCTCTTATTTTAAGACTTTATTTTTGTTTATTTTTGCTTTTGCGTTTTTCCGTTGGGTGAGATAAAGGGCAGAAGGGCACGCACGGGCTTTTAAGAATGTCTAACGCGAGCCGCTGACGGAAAAGTACAAGCTAACGGTAAAAAAAGAAGAGGATTCGCTGTTCAGGTGTCTGCCACGCAAGAAGCGAGTAGATTGTCGGTGCATATTTGTTTTATGGGCTTGTTTGACTGGCAGCATGGCAAAATTTGTTGGAATTAACCTTTAGAAAATATAAAAAGACTGTACAAATGAGTTTTTTCTGTTTTAGGCTCTCCGAGTTCAATGTATTTTATGGTATTAATCATCTATGTGTTCATAGAATTATACCGTCCTATTACTGTGATTTATATAAAGAGCTTGAAATCTTTAGTTTAAGGTCAATTTATATCCATTAAAAATAATTGATCGGATGGTCAGTTTAAACAACTAGAAAATAAAAAAATATATATGTGTGTTTTGAAAGTATTGAGACTCAGGGACATAAATACTCTAAGTCCGCGCCACTTTTTTTTTTTTTTTTGTGCAAAAAAATTAAAGAAACAACATGCTAGGTTCTCTCAAAAAGGATACCAGCAAAATCTGCCTGCGACCGCAAATTCAAAACCGGAGAAAGCCGAGCTCCAACCTTTACTAATTTATCAACACTTAGGTTATGCTATCACAAAGCGTGAGAAATTGATAACACCAGATCATCATTAGAGAGGTCATGAATGTTATGAATAAGGACCACCGTTGCATTTTTCATTCATGCATCTAATGGCTTCTAGAGAATTAGACTATTTTCAAAGGGAAACGATGAAAATCTCACGGCAGTTCCTCTTAAATCAGATTATGAATCCAAAGACACCATCCACAGTGCTTCCCAAACTCCTCACGATCTAATTTCAACTATATTTAAATTTCTAACAAAATTTCTTGTTCGTAAGAGAAACTCAGCAAAACAAACTGTATTTCGGGAAGATTTTTTTTTTAGTAGGTTTCGAGACGAAGACAAAACCAGATCTATGTCCTGATTAATTCCGACTCCGATTACATGCATGTGAAAAATAGATAATATGTTTTTTTTCTTTTACCCAACCAAACCAAAGCAGGTTTGGAGCGAGTAACATCATCCTTGACTTAATTAATTCTGATATTGATTGCCTGTTTGGAAAAAATTATATTACCTTTTCCTTTTTTTTCCTTTTTTGGTTGATATAAAACATTTTACTCTCTCTTCTAATTATGCTTGTTAACCAAGTGAAATCTCAAAATTCAATTATCTATATTGCAATTATTTTAGAATAAATTACAACGATTCTCGGAGATATATATATAATTCAAAGTTTGAATATATTACAGATATCCTCTTTTATGGAGAAGGTATCCGAACTTTTAAAATAAAGATTTAAAAATAATAGGGTCATTTTGGATGAAAAAAAAGTTTTTTTTAGACATCTCAAACATAAAAGATTATTTATCAAATCTTCGAAAAACTTAAAGGTTATTTACTCATTATCTTACCATAATATTTTTTGTTTTAATAGTTCTTTTTCGAACCTTCCTTGTATTTGAATCCAACATGTTTATACATCTTTGCTAGACTAAAATCTCATTTGAATAAGGTCCATTTATAACAAATTTATTAGCATAAGTGCATTACACATATAACTCCAAACTTAAACCGTAAAACTTGATGTGTCCAAGATTAAAATAAAGAAACTAGTAATTTGATTCATTTTCCAAAACCGAAACGATGCAATGAACTTGGTTAAATATTGTCACTTATCGAAGAGCAAAATGGCACCGTCTTTTGTGGTGTAGAAAAAAATTTCTATAATGCATTTAATTTTTTTTTTCCCTTATGCATGGATGAGATTTTATATTTTTATTAACTATTTTGTTTTTAATTCAACGTTAAAAAAAACATAATAATTATCCTCCATAAGAAATAAGAAAACAAATTACTTATTAATTTAATTTATTAAAAAATAATAATAAATTCTCCTCTATGCCCTACCTCAATATTTGAACTTTTAATAGTAAATAAGAAAACAAATTTTCTTAACTTGACCCATCTTTGAAAATTCTTTATTAAGTAGTTGAATATTGGCATAGCTCAAATGAACATAATAATTAATGAAATTTCAAGCTGACCTCCTCTTATCAGTCCCAAAGCTACAAGATTGTTATACATGAAAATAATGGAATCCATTGCCTACTTATAAATTATTATTATGAAATCTATATTCTCTAGAGTGTACTGTATCATCGTTAATCTAATCATTTCTAAAACACCCTTCATCTCCAATTCTCCATGCAAGTTTTGCGACACCATCATCAATAAATTCTTCTTTTATCTACAAAAAAGTTGTATTTGTTATCCCTCAATTGTCATGGGATCTACAGTTTTAATGTAAAATCTAAATATCTACATAAAAAAACATTTTTTTTAAATCATATAGTTCTAGTCATTTTCAGTAACAAGAAAAAAAAAAAAAGAAGCTTGTATTGCATCATCTTGGTGATCAATTTATGGTTTTGCGTTGATGAGAGGAAGAAGAAAGTTTTTAACGGAGTGAGTTGACTCAATAGATTTAAGCAAAAAAAAAAAGTTGCTGAAAAAAATACGAGTTTTTGACGGTTGATTTTCTATTCAGTGATTTTTTAAATGAATCTGAGAAATTTGATTTAGGATTTGAGAGTTAATTTTTAGAGAGATAAAGAGTTAGAAGAGGATAAGATCATCAAAGAAATAAAAAGGGCATCTTCGGTATATAAAAACTACCCAACTAATCGACCAGCCAGTGGACTGACTTTATCATTTTCACACTAGAAGGGCCAAATTATAATTCAGTTAAAAAGCGGCTAAACTGTAATTTACTCATTGTTTGTGCTGTCCCTGTAGCTTTTAAATCCATACTAACTTGTAGGAAGCAGATGCTTCCTTTATACTGTTCCAACTTCCAAGGCTCTTACCTGCTAATTACAAACATTGACCGATTTCCCATATATATATATATATATATACTTGGTAACATTACGATCACAGACATTATTTTTAAAAATAAAAAAAATTTAGAGGTAAATTTAAAAATTAAAAATATTAAATGACATAATACTCATTGAAATAAAATATTTTTCTTCGTATTTCTCTAAAAAAACACTACTCTTATAAAATTATGATGATTTTTTTTTGACACCACTAATGTCATGTAGCATTACTTATATATATATATATATATATATATATATATGATTACTCAAACACCAAAATTATACAATATGCAAATAATTATAATAAATATTATGTCTATTTTTGAATAAAAAGAAATCAATTCTCAATCAACTGCAATTACTAGTAATCTCGAGAGTATTTAAACCTACTGGTCAGCAAAACTAGCCTTTGATAATGGCAGCGTAACGTTTAGGAACGCTCGGAAGTGAGGCTCGACGGTTCGGTCAATGGTAGATTTGCGTACATTGGTAGACTATATGACAAATGACAACACCAATCTAACAAATTAGGTACTAATTTTACCTTTTATCATGTCATATGCTGCGGATGCCCTCCGCGCCGCACTTGTCATTTTCTTTTTAACATTTTATCTAAAGATTTATCATCAACTGATAAAGTATTTGGTTTGTTTCGTACTGTATATACATAGAATTTTATTGTATTTAGGCTGACTTCAAATTCAAATGTAATTGGACCTCACTGATTAAAAAAAAAACTAGGTTTTATAGTGATGGCTTGCAGGTTTGGAAATGCTTGGAAGTGCAGCTCGACAGTTCGGTCAATGAAAGATTTGTATACATTCGTAAACTATATGGCAAATGACAACACCAACTCAATAAATTAAGGACTGGTCTTATCTTCTATCATGTTATATGCTAACTTGTCATTTTGTTTTCGTAACATTCTATTTAAAAAAATTTTCTCAAGTTAGAAGTTATTTGGTTTGTTTCATTCTCTTATATATATTTTACTATATTTAAACTTGTTTCAAATTTACATATAGAAACCTTCCTAAATTTCAATTGAATGAAATCTATATCTTTGAACCCCCCAAACAAAAAACAAAAAATAGTTTTCTCCTATCTTGGAGGACAACAAATTTATATACTAAATAATAGTCCTAATTACGACATAAACTTAGGACACATAGAATTGAAACTTCAACGTATTTGTTACTCAAACGGCTTTATTGAAGGAAAATCTCAATAATAATCTTTGTTTCCGAGTAAATATTTAAGAATATACACAATCTATACATCACTTAACCGAAAATAATAATCAATTGGTCTTTGGTTTTTTTGGGTTTTTTCTTTTTCATTTTGGCATGAATTTATTTATGTTCTTTTGTTATTTGGTGGCATGTGATGATAGCGGGCCAGTTCTCAGGGGCCTGCACAATCGCCCATGCATTACCAATAGATCATTTTGTCTGTCAAAGCGTTACTGGTATTATGGTTGAGATCATGTCACCTAACACCTAACTCTGCAAGCACCTACCATCTCCTCGTGCATTTTTTTTAACACCATCATTCTCCCCATTGCCCTCTAGTAGTTAAGTTTTATTGTTTTCACAACTAAAGAAAACAAGAGACAGGTTGCTCACTTGCCATTACCAAAAATCCAACATTTAAAACAACAAACGAACATACTGTTTGTTATGAGAGAAAAAAAAAAAAAAGATATAAAAATAATTAACGGGCTAAGATTATTCGATTCCCGTCTCGTGTTTAGATCCTGGCCCATGAGGAACAGCTTGCTTTAAACGTAAAAAAGACCTAGTTTGGGCTACCATGGACGAGCCCAATTTGTAAATAATCATGGGCTATAAGACCAAACTCAACCTAAACCAACCCGCCCAATACTCAATCTGTGTCCGTCCTCGAAGAATCAATTATCGAACCTATCCGCCGTCTCAGTCGAGAACCAGGACGTCACGCTTTCCTCTCTCTTTGGGGCAAAAAAAAAAGGGGGCAAATCCCAAAAGAACACACTCTCTCAGCGTTCAATTAGGGTTTTGCATGCAAATCTAGGGTTCACTGAAGCAGAAGCAGCAGCAATCATGTCGAAGCGAAAATTCGGATTCGAAGGGTTTGGCATAAACCGCCAAACCACATACAACTTCGAAAGATCCCAAGCTCCACAACGGCTCTATGTCCCTCCTTCCTCTCGCCAAAAACACGATAACTACGAAGATAACGACCTTGACAACATCGATTACGCCGATAATGAAATCGCCAAAGAGAGTACGGAAAATGATGGCTCAGCTGCTGAAAATGACGAGATTGACCCTCTGGATGCGTTCATGGAGGGAATACACGAGGAGATGAGGGCAGCTCCACCACCGAAGGCTAAGGAGAAGGCGGAGAGGTATAAGGATGATGATGAAGAGGATGATCCTATGGAGAGCTTTTTGAGGGCGAAGAAGGATTTAGGATTGACTCTGGCTCAGGATGCGCTTCATGCTGGTTATGATTCCGATGAGGAGGTCTATGCAACGGCAAAAGCTGTGGATGCAGGGATGTTGGAGTACGATTCAGATGATAATCCGGTTGTTGTTGATAAAAAGAAGATTGAGCCGATTCCAGCTCTTGATCATAGTTCTATTGACTATGAGCCGTTTAATAAGGATTTCTATGAGGAGAATCCGTCGATTTCTGGTAAAATTTTAATGAAAAATTGAGGTTGTTTTTGTTACTTTTTGCTCAAAGTACGTCAGGGAAACCTGATTTTATAATGTGAAATAAATCTAGAACTTTAGTAAAGTAGATATTTTATGTTTGGTTTTATGCAGGGATGAGCGAGCAGGATGTTGCGGAATACCGGAATAGTTTGGCTATCCGTGTTTCGGGTTTTGAAGTTCCAAGGCCGATTAAGACATTTGAAGATTGTGGTTTTTCTCCGGAACTGATGAATGCAATTGCGAAACAAGGGTATGAGAAGCCTACACCAATACAGTGCCAAGCTCTGCCAGTTGTGCTTTCGGGGAGAGATGTTATTGGTATGGCAAAGACAGGTTCAGGTAAGACTGCTGCTTTTGTACTTCCTATGATTGTTCATATCATGGATCAACCTGAACTCGAGAAAGAAGAGGGTCCGATAGGAGTGATATGTGCGCCTACTAGGGAATTGGCACATCAGATATATTTGGAGGCTAAAAAATTTTCTAAATCACATGGGATACGGGTGTCTGCTGTGTATGGTGGAATGTCCAAGCTTGATCAGTTCAAAGAACTCAAGGCAGGGTGCGAGATTGTTATTGCTACTCCTGGGAGATTAATAGACATGTTAAAGATGAAGGCATTAAATATGTTGAGAGCAACTTACTTGGTACTTGATGAGGCTGATCGGATGTTTGACCTTGGATTTGAGCCCCAAATAAGGTCTATTGTTGGTCAGATTAGACCAGATCGCCAGACTTTATTATTTTCAGCTACAATGCCTCGCAAAATTGAGAAGTTAGCTAGGGAGATCCTCACTGATCCCGTGAGAGTTACAGTGGGGGAGGTTGGAAGGGCCAATGAGGACATTACTCAGGTTGTCCAAGTTATTCCTTCTGATGCAGAGAAGTTGCCTTGGCTTCTTGAAAAGCTACCTGGAATGATTGATGAGGGTGATGTTTTGGTTTTTGCTTCGAAGAAGGCTACTGTGGATGAGATTGAATCACAATTGGCCCAGAAGGTGTTTAAAGTTGCAGCCCTTCACGGTGATAAAGACCAGGCATCTCGGATGGAAATTTTGCAAAAGTTTAAGTCTGGTGTTTATCACGTCCTTGTTGCGACTGATGTTGCTGCTCGTGGACTTGACATCAAGTCAATTAAGTCTGTGGTCAACTTTGATATTGCAAGAGAAATGGATGTGCATGTCCATCGCATTGGTAGGACCGGTCGAGCTGGTGACAAAGATGGGACTGCATACACTCTTATAACTCAGAAAGAGGCGCGGTTTGCTGGTGAATTGGTTAACAGTTTGATTGCTGCTGGTCAGAATGTCTCTGTGGAACTTATGGATCTTGCTATGAAGGTAAGTTTTGCATAAAATTTGCTTTTTCTTATTTGATGCTTTATAATACATTTCACACTTCTTAGATGCTTAGATTTGGTAGTTTGTTCATCAGTTCATGGAATCTAGCGTAGTTGGACTTTGAGATCTTAATTGTCCCATTACACTCTTTATGGTGGGCGATTAACCTTGCATAAGTTAGAAACTGGAAACAAGTTGAACAGCCAGTTTGTCCCACACATATAATTCTTTTGCTGCTAGAAAGTTATTGAAAACTGTAACAATGAACATGTGTTTCATATAATGTCTTATTGAAGTGATAGCCGATATTCCATTAACAGTTGAGTGAAGTGACTTTTTGTATGGATAAGACAATGAGGATGATCGACACAGAAATAGATGTCTTAGTCACAGTGCTTCCTTCCGTGCCTTGCAAATATAAGGGAAAAGAGAAATATTTTGGGTAATAATTGAAGAGTTAAAAAGGAGGAGAAAGAAGAGGAGGGAGGAGAGAAAATACTGTAGATTGAAATTTTAGAGTGGCTCCGTCTCATACTTTTCCTGTATTAGTTTCTTTATTCTTTTTGTATCTACATGCTAGCTCACAAGTTAATGAATGCACATGTAATGAGACTATTGAGTGACATTTTTCATGTAAATCATTAGGATGGGAGATTCAGGTCCAAACGTCATTCAAGAATATAAGGGAAAAGAGAAATATTTTAGGTAATAATTGGAGAGTTAAAAAGGAGGAGAAAGAAGAGGAGGGAGAAGAGAAAACACTGTAGATTGAAATTTTAGAGTGGCTCCGCCTCATACGTTTCCTGTATTAGTTTCTTTATTCTTTTTGTATCTACATGCTAGCACACAAGTTAATTGATGCACATGTAATGAGACAGTTGAGTGACATTTACCATGTAAATCATTAGGATGGGAGATTCAGGTCCAAACGTGATTCAAGAAAAGGAGGTAAGCTTTTTCTATCTTGCATATTGAAATGCTAGAGAGTTGGGAAAGGTCTGGGTGTGCTTGTAATTGGTTGCTTATTTGATAACTCTACATACTTGAGAGTTGGCATCATCTTCTAATTGATGATTTCATTCTCAAATATATTTTCAAGGCAATTTCTTGTTCCTTGAAAATGTGAAGACCTAACTGTCTTCATGAGAATTCATGAGGAAGCAGATGGTTTGAAGAAACACTAGTACTGTCACTTTATTAAAACAAATTTTATTACTAATCAAGGAAGTTATCTCTTGCTTGATTTGTAGAATCTTCTTGAAATGCTTAGATGAAGTTTAATGTTGTGTGCAGGTGGGAAAAAGGGTAAAGGGAGGGGTGGAGGTGGTCGAGGTGTACGTGGAGTCGATTTTGGTCTTGGTATTGGTTATAATCCAGAATCCAATAATAGTTCATCTCCTGATGCTACAAGTCGATCTGCTGCTGTTAATTCATTGAGGACTGGAGTAATGGCACAGTTCAAGAGCAGCTTTGTTGCAGCTTCATCAAACTCCCAAAGTCCAGGGTTGAATAATAGTTCAAGTGCTTCTGCTAACAAGAGACCAGCACTGCGAGGATTTGTCTCTGGTGGTTCAATTGGAGGAGAAATAAATAGACCTCAGACAACCAGTTCATTGCCTGGATTTGTCTCTGGTGGAGACGCAACAAGAACTCAGACAGTCAATCAGACCTCTGGAAGAAATACGAGTCAGAAGAATACAGAAGGGTACGTGTCTCAGCTGAACTTTTTATTATTTTCTTTGCTAATGTTTATGTTCAGTTAGAATGATTTCAAAGCTTTGGTACCTTTTTTATTTTGAGATAATTCCAATTTTAATGCTGACTAGGTCTATTTGTTGCCTCCTGACTTTGCAGTTCCAGAGATAGAGGGAGAGAGAGGCGGAGGCCCTCTGGTTGGGACCGTTAAACTTATGAAATAGCTATAGGACTCTTATGTGAATGAGGACGTCTCTCTTCTAGAAGACAAAACAAAATTGTTTGTGCGTTTATGCATTTAGAGAGTTCCCTATGCACTTGTTTTGTAGCTTGTTATGTATCATGCAATAATTTGTTTTATAAAAGTTATCTTTTCTACATATAATCGAATATGATTTGATTTCCCATCCTGCAGCTGTGTTCCATAGCATAAAATTTAGAATACTTTAGGCAGTAGTTTATTAATCACTAGCTATACTGTCTCACAGTGTTGTCAAATTTCTGATTTTGTTTTCATGCTCATTCGTGTTAGCTCTGAACGAAGATTTTAGCAGGTATAAAATCAGATCGAGTTATCAGTCTTCTCTCCTCCATTTCTCCCTCCTCCGGCATTGTTTTCTTCCCTAACCAATTGAGAATGGTGGATCTAATGGCGGGCTATCGATTGGTGGTGACAGATCGAAGCAATATCGGTCGAAGGATGACCGATTTGAGGGAGGAAATCGATGGATCTGTGGGTGATCGGGGTCAGCAGCCTCTTCTATGGGCTATTTGGCAGAATCTCCTTTTCTTTTTATTTTTTGGGTTTTGTTTTCTTGGGATTCGTATGCTGTAAATTTTTTTAGAGATATGACAAATAGTAAACTTTCTACATTTTGGATTAGTTTTTTTTTTTCTTTTTTTGGTAGGGTGATGAGTATTTGTGGTTAGATTGGTTTGTGATAGGTGAATAATGGAGGTTAGGTTGTTAAGCTAGTTTTTTTTTTTTTTTTTTTTTAATTTTTATTTTTAAGGTTAGAGTTTTTGGGGTAGAGGAATAATTATGGAGGCTTTTTTGTAAGGAAAGATGGGTGATGGAGGTCCTCTTAAAAAATGAAGTGAAGTGATGTTTATATAGGGATTTTTTAGAGTTTAGGATAAAATCAATTTAGGTCCTTCCTTGGTTTGTTTTTTTTTTCAATTTCAATGTATGTTTCATCATTTTTCTCCAATTAGCTCTTTAATTGAAATTGTTTAATCTTTATTTTATTTATTTATTCTAATTTCACACTTACAAATTCTCAATCAAGTTTTTTTTTATTTTTATCTCTTTCTAATTTCATCTCAATTTGAATGTTATTTAGTCCTCGTTTTTCATATCATTTTCAATTGGATCCCAAATCATTTTTTTTATTTTTTTATATAATTTTTTTTTATTTTTTTAAATTAAAAATGGGCGTAATTCTAAAAAATTAAAATCTTAGAAATTTATTAAAATGTCTAAACATCATGATAAAGATAAATTATGCAATATTTCTTCTTTTTTTAATTTTTTTTTTTAATTTTGTATGAAAATAAACAGAGGATAAAAAATGCATTATTACAAAAGAATTGAGTCCTTCCATTGCTCTTGATGGAGGCAGTCTTCTATCTTCTTGTTGCTTAGGTTAATTATGTTTTGGAGTGCAGCTTTTATTAGTCAGTTGGTTGGCTTTTCATGCCCAACACTACTCCTTTGATAAGGAAGGTTTGGGTGGGCGGCACAGTGAGATGATAAACCTCCGATCTGCGAAAGACGTTTGTATAAGCTGTTCCTTAGGATTAAGCATGTTTGTCAAATGGTCTATCTTTACTTATTTTGGGATGGTCAATCATCTGGAGAGCTGAATCATGCTGTGATTCTATTCGGCTGGCCTCCACGAGGAGACTGTCGTTGTCACATACCACAGCAAACTGGGGACCTTTGTTAGCAGGCATGAGTCTGGGATCAAGCTTCTATCATGTGATGCCTTTTTGCCATTTATGCGGTTGACTTGCAATGAAAAAAATTTTGCTGGTGTCCTTTGTTAATCTGGACCTAATTGTTGCCAATTTCAAAGTTATGGTCATGTACCGTCGAGTTAATTTCTGAAGTCCTGGAAGCAGTGCTGGTAGGAGTGCCTTGCAGGCCACTAATTTTACATATCAGTCTGGCAAGAGCGACTGCAGGAGTGTGTAGTGTCTTTATGATGGAATTCGGCTCATTCCAGTGTTAGGTGTTCGCACCTCCTGTTCCATCTGCAATTTTTATGATCCCCTTCAGGTTTTGCAGGAGCGTGTAGTGTCTTTATGATGCGCTTCAGTTCATTCCAGGGTTAGGTGTTCGCATCTCCTATTCCATCTGCAATTTTTATGATCCCCTTCAAGTTTTGTTTCCTTCCATGTTCTCGTGCGTGTTAGGTGTTCGCATCTCCTGCTCTATCTGCAATTTTTATGATCCCCTTCAGGTTTCGTTTGGTGTGCGTGCGTGCGTACGAACATTTCTTTGTGTGTTTCAAGCAAAAATGTATCTGGATGATGTAGGTTGAAGATGCATATCTGCACTCATTTGACTATGGTTAATTTAGATTGTAGGCATGGAAAAGCTATGTATTTTAATGTATTTCTTTCTTGACTATAGGTTGATAGATCATAGATACATTTCATGTGTATGGAAGCCAAGAGATGTCAATGATTAATTCTTAATTAAAAGACAGTGAGCAAACTATGCCTTTGGACATCGCACTACTTCCATATTTTGAGCAACTTCCCTTCTTTTGCTTGCAATTGGGCATATCTCCAGGCAAGGCTCCTTAAGAGTGCTGTCATCTTCAGGCAGTGAAGGAAGGACCCCAAATTTGAACTGTAACATTAGAATCACAACATAAATGGTTGTAGAAAATCATGTTTGCAGGTAAATAACCAACCACCATTTGGGCGAAGTTGTTGGGAAGCAGACAGAAACTATTGTAAGATACTGGTCTGTTAAAATGGACAAACTCGAGATTGGACGCAAATTGCACCCCATAAGTATCCAGTGAAGATTGTTTCATTGTTTCTGGAATTCGACTATAAAATTAGACGGCCAAGGAGCAATTTTCTGTTGCGTGCCTTGATGTTCTGTCTATCTAGACATAAAAGTTGACAAGTGCTTGAAGGAATCGGTTTCTATGATACCTGACAGCTATAATCTTTGAAATTTGGTTCCATCAGTAAGGGAATCCCCATGTAATCCTTGAAAAGAGTCTAAAAAACCAAATCACAAGAAGTAGAACCAACGAAGTAAGAAATAGTTGCAACATAAGTATAGGGAAAATGCATTAAACTGCCGAAAATTTTAAAAAATGGGACATATACCTGAGTCGGAAGCTTGCACGTATTGACACAAACTCCTACACATTTGCTTTCTTCTAAATACTTGCATCTTTCTACAAAAACCTGCATGAGCCGATAGCAGTCTCAGGATTGCCTATATTCATCGCGGAATTTCAGCATCACTTGAATACACAGTGGTTACTCATTACATGAATAAGATAGGCAATATGGGGTTACTTACCCCACTCTCCCACGAGGTTCCATCAGGAAGATCAACAGAATTAACCTTGCATACACCCATGAGCCACTGACAAGTGATTACAGTCACTCTTGCTTCAGAATTAGACAACAATTCAGCAATTTTATTTAACATTCAACTAGCATTGGAAGGAAAGTGAAACAAAACACATGAAAAGCAGAAATGGAAACAACTCCAACTCACCAACCATCAGAGCAGCTACTTTTCCTCCAGCTATAGGTGACACCAGCAATTTATACAGATGCAACAAAAATGGAGGAAACAACGACCTCAATATCCTAACCTGCCCTAGCCATTAGCCAATATCAATACTCAATCCTACTAGTATAGTCTGTTAAGAAAATTAGTAATAAATTAAAGAAAGACCAATAAACTTAAAAAAATAAAACAGACCGCTGCATCTTTAGTGTCAGAATTGGTCTTGCCGGTCAACATGAGACGATTTGCTACTTCAATCAACCCATCATATCCTGCCTTCTCTGAATCCCATCCAACTTCCTGTTATATCCCTTGAAAGATAATAACATCTACCAACAATTAACATAATGGAAAAGATAAATCCAAAACTACAACTTAATTAGTACTATCTACAGATTGAAAGAAACTGACCTTCACCATTTTGTTACGAAATAGAGTGAGAAACCAGTCATCATAGAATTGATACTTGTAGTCCGACCTTGGAGCGGTGTCTTCCGCTTTTACCTACAAATTTTTGTCAACGCGTTGGAAATTAACACTACCAGGCAAGATTTAACAAATAACTAACTGAAATTGATTTTGAAGAAGCGAACCGGCGATTCTGTGCTAAGAGAGGAGCATGAGACTTGAAAATTTGTGAAAACACCGCGTTTTGGAAGACAGTAGCGAGGGCGTGAAGGAAATGATGAGGTGGAGAGAGGACGAAGAAGAGCCACTGGCTTCATCGTAGTAGGAGTGTTACTTTTCACCACTGCCTCGTCATATCACACACGCTTTCGCTGTTAAACGAGAAAAATAACGGAAACTTTAAGCATAAAGCGGTGCGTTTTTTGTATTTTGAAAGACCCTAAACACGAAAACAAAACGCAGCGCATTTCTTGAAACGGAGCTATGGTATTGTGGAACTGAGTAGATGTCGAAAACGCCTAGTCGTCTGGTCTCGAGAGTATCATGGATGGCGAGGCAAATGTGCACGGCCATGAAATTATCATTTTCAACTTATAGTTGCGTTATCAGTTCAAAATGTTTATTTCTACTGCTGAAATCGATAAGCCTTTCGTCTTCAAATAAGATTCTTACTTTGGCCATGTTCTTTCTTATTTTTAATCACAAGAGTTGTTTGTGTTTACTTTGTTTTTTGGAATGAAGATAATGCAGTGGATGGAGAAGAAGGAAATGACCTTCGCACATGCTGATTGTCCGGTACGCCTAGATCTTATAGCAAAGGCCAAAGGGATAACTGCAGCTGAGAATTATTTTAGCGGCCTCTCTCGATCTGCACAAAAAAATCACTTGACCGATGGAGCGCTTATAAATTGTTAATACACAGAATGTACGCCTGACGAGGCATAGGCTCTTTCTGAAAAAATGGACAAAGTTTCTTTCCACTTCTTTGCCTTTTAACAGTCTCATGTCCCTGCATATCAAATTGAACCAACCTGAGAATGTGCCTGCCATAGTGCAAAAGATGATAAAGAAGGGCATATCCTTGGGTACCTTTACTTATAATACCTTGATGCAGAGCTATGGATGATTAAATGATTTTGAGGGAGTAAAGAGTTTTCTAGATGAGATGAAAAGGATTGATGAAGAAACGATACCTTGGAGTACTTACAGTAACCTTGCTGTAATCTATGTCAAGGCTGGGCTTTATAACAGTTGGATGGGATCTTGAACCTTACCATTTTCTGATTAGCCAATATGCCAATGCTTCTAATCTAGGTGAGGTCAATTGGGTGTGGAATTTCACGAAATCAAGGTTCCACAAAACACCGAATATTCGTTATCTTGTGTTGCTTCAAGCTCTTGCTAAATTAAAGGATGTTGAGGGTGTAATGAGGTGTTTTAAGGAGTGGGATTCGAGTTGCAGCAGTTATGATATGAGGTTAGCAAATGTTGCGATAAGAGCCTGCCTAGAGCATGACATGCATGAAGAAGCAGCGCCAATATTTAATGATGCTCTTAAGAGGTTCAAAGGACTGTCCTTTAAGGCTCGGGAGATGTTCATGGTTTTCTTATTGAAGAAGCGTCAGCTGGCTTATGTTTATATTTGATTTTGAATAAGAATCTTGGATTTTCTACGTGTTGTTATTGCAATTTGCAAATTCTAGTGTTTTTCAAGTTTGCATCACAAAGTTCATGGCAAAACAAACTTAAATCCCAACCATCAATCTCCCTCCTTTGCAAAATAGGGACAACAATAAAAAAGAGGATCTATTTAACTTGAAAAATCCAAACAATACTATGAAACTGAAGATGGAAATGAAAAAAAAAAAGAAAAAAAAAGAACTCATGTAAATAAATCTTAAATTATTCTATTGACAGTGCAATTGAACTATATTGAGTCACAAAATTATGAAACACATCCTATTAGGTCCCACTAATTCTATTTGTAATGAAACTATTTAACAGAGATGGAGATGGATGGAGGTACGATTTATCATTCATGCACCAATACCAAAAGTTCAAGGATCCAATTACAGTGATTTGAGCTAATAGGGTAAAATTGACCGAAGTATATTGGTTAGGGACGGAAAAAACCATTAATGATTAAACCTAAAAACCAAGGAGATCATTTTTTCTAGTGTCAGAAAGTGAGAAAAAAAAATAATAAGTAACCCCATTCTTTAGAGAGAGAGAGACAGAGACAGAACGCTTTAATTAAGATTGAATCTGAGTTAAGTATATGGCGAAGAATCTAAGTCGTCTGATCTGGACAGGATCATGGGTGCTGCGGCAGCTCTGCACGGCGGCAGAGGCGGTGCCTGTAGCGGTGGAAAAACGGAAGAGGCTGTATAAGAGGTTATCGGAACTGGGGGCAAGCGGAGGGAGCGTGTCAAAGACGTTAAATGAATTCATATTGGAGGGCGGTAAAACAACGAAAGTCAATCTCCTTGCTTGCATCAGAGAGCTCCGCAAGTACGGCAGGTCCGACTATGCCATTGAGGTCCGTCCGTCTCTGTTTCCTTTATCAAATTTCTTGAACCTTATTTGTTAATTTTTTAATATAAATTTAGACTAAGATTTGACTGTATTGCTATGCCAATGCCAGCCATTTATATCCCAAATTGGAAAAGGAAATCTACAGGACACAGCTTTGCTTGATATGAATGTTGGAAATGTCATTGAATTCAGAAGTAAATATGGCTATAGCCTGTAGCTATGGACGAATGAATATTTTGTTTCTAAAGACACCAATATTACTACGAGTCAAGTGCTTTGGTTGGGCAACCAAGATGGCTTGTTTCTTGTAATTAAGATTTGAAACAATTTACTGTCTATTTGTACTCCTCAAATTGCGCAAAAATGCTGCTTTGGCTATCTTCTTTTGGTTTCGTAGTTGTACTCTGCTTTTGCAAGCTATGTGTTTTCTTTGTTTCCTCTTTTCTTTTAGTTTTTTGGGATCGCTTTGATTTGTCATGTAGGTAATGGAGTGGATGCAGAAGAGGAAAATGATGTTTTCCCATGCTGATCATGCAGTTTACCTGGATCTTATAGCAAAAACCAAAGGGATTGCTGCAGCCGAGAATTATTTTGACAACCTCTCACCATCTTTGCAAAATCAATTTACTTATGGAGCGCTTCTGAACTGTTACTGCAAGGTACTTATGTCTGAGAAGGCACTGACTCTTTTTGAAAAAATGGACAAAATGAAGTTCCTTTCAACTTCTTTGCCTTTTAACAATCTCATGTCCCTAAATATGAGATTGGGCCAACCTGAGAAGGTGCCTGCCTTAGTACAAGAGATGAAGCAGAAATGCGTTTCTCCTTGTACCTTCACTTATAATATATGGATGCAGAGCTATGGATGTTTAGACGATTTTGAGGGAGTAGAAAGAGTTCTAAATGAGATGAAAATGGGTGATGAAGAGAACTTTTCTTGGACTACATACAGTAACCTCGCTACAATCTATGTAAAGGCTGGACTTTTTGAGAAAGCTGAATCAGCTCTTAAAGAGTTAGAGGAGCAGATAAAATGTGTACGTGATCATGATATTCAGATAAAACGCAGACAAGGTGATGACCGTGAAGCTTATCATTTTCTGATTACCCTTTATGCCGGCACTTCTAATCTAGGTGAGGTCATTCGCGTGTGGAATTCCCTGAAGTCAAACTTCCACAGAACAACCAATATTAGTTATCTTACCATGCTTCAGGCTCTTGCTAAATTAAAAGATGTTGATGGTCTACTGAAGTGTTTTAAGGAGTGGGAGTCCAGTTGCCACAGCTATGATATGAGGTTAGCAAATGTTGCTATAAGAGCCTGCCTAGAGCATGACATGTATGAAGAAGCAGCATTAATATTTGATGATGCTCTTAAGAGGACCAAAGGATTGTTCTTTAAGGCACGAGAGATGTTCATGGTTTTCTTCTTGAAGAACCATCGACTGGATTTGGCCCTGAAGCACTTGAAAGCTGCATTATCCGAAGTCAAGGATGAATGGCAACCAAAGCAGAATACAGTGAGTGCATTTTTTGATTATTTTGAAGATGAGAAAGATGTTAATGGTGCTGAGAGACTATGCAAGATTTTGAAGCAGATTAATCGTCTTGACTCTGATGTTTACAATTTGTTGCTCAAGACTTACATAGCTGCTGGCAGATTGGCTCCAGAGATGCGGCAGAGATTGGAAGAAGATGATATTGAAATAAACCCTGAGCTTGAGGACTTGCTTGAAAGGGTCTGCCCAAAATAGGTTTAGTTCGGAGCAGCCAATACCTTAAAAAAATGGCTGGAATTTAGCCAGATATGGAACATGGTAACAAAGTTTTTAGATTCTTCCAATGATTAACAAGTGAAATTGACATTGAAGGTAGATGTTGGGTGTGGTATGAGTTTGTCAAGAGTATTCTATCAAGTCTTTGTGAGCAGCAACTTATGAATTGAGATGTTCTCATGTTCTTTAGAACATTAAATGACGATAACCATCCACGCGTTTAAAGGATAATGTTATTCTCACTTCACAACTTGTTAATCCCACTCCATATTTTTATGGACTAGCAATGAAGTAACAAAAATAACTTTTCATAGCAACTAAAATTACATGACATGGTAGCATTTTATATATTATATAACGAACATAATTTGCTTATAAAATATCTTCCTACAATAAATATAGTAATCTACAATTAATAGTCATTTCCGCTATTCATTGCACTATAACTCAAAAGATTTCAAATCATAACTAAATAATTTATAGGACTTATAAAAACATATATAGACTAAATCTTATCACAAGAATCTCTCTTTCATATATATATATATATATATATATATATATATATATATATATATATGAAAGAGAGATTCTTGTGATAAGATATATATATATATATATATATATATATAATCTAAACATAAATATTTTTATATTGAAATATGTTATACACTGGCAATGAGGCTTTATCAATTATATTATATTTTGCATAGTATATATCACGAGACGTGGAAAATAATAAAAATTATAAGTTAACTATGTAGTTTTATTTTAAACACGTAAAGATTTTATTAAAATAAATATTAAACCTCGCCAATATTTTTAAGTTTTAATTTAATTTTCCACTGTTGTGTCTGAAATTTAGAGTTCTTTTCATTATTTGATATTAAGAAAAAATATATATATATTAAGATTGCTATAAAAAAATTATGAAGGACGGCTAATTTTGTCACAGTCATCAAAATATGGAGTGGGATTAACAACTAAAGGAGTGAAAATAGCATCGCCTGCATTTAAAATACTTGAAAAACTATGTCAGTTAAATCTGAACCATTGAATTCAAAACAATGTGTAGATTAATCTTAAAATCAAATAATTACCAATCACATATTTGATATTTGACTCGCTACCTATCATTCATGCATAAATAAAAATCCGAACTTTTAATTTGAATTTAATAGAGTGGATTTTACAAACATTATCTACCATATTCTCAAAGACAGCAAGCCGCCGAATGCAGAAAAATCAGTCTTATTGTCCCGAGTAAAATTGCATCTCATTCTTTATACATCGCAAAATTCATGTGTTATCCAGCGTGAGGAAAAAAAAAAAATCACTAGAATAGAACTGGCTCGCTATACATGCTAATTTGATCGCTCGAACCCTTCTTGGCAAATCCCTGTTTCATGGTGGTGCCTCTAGTGGGATGACTCATCCCTCAATGCACTACTGTGATTACTGTCCCTGTGCCAAGTTTGGCTGGTAAAATGCAATGTGGAATGTACGACTAAAGTAACATGGGAAAGCTCCGGATTAGTAGAACAGCTTTTAGACTTTCTGCTTCAAAGTCACATCGATGATCACTACACGAGATTTAGGTTGATAGTGTTCATCTGTATCCACCTCTTCAATTTCCTGGGAAACGTTTAAAACCACAATCAACATCAACCACAGACAAAACTCTTACAACTGAAGGCCTTGCAAGAAAATAAGCTAATGGGCAATCACCCAACAGATGGTTAGTCTGGGTTCTACAAGAGCATTTGGCCCCACAGTAATATCTTTAAAGTATTGGTTACTACAACTTAGTAGTGTTTCCTGGTATTTGTAGTATAATGCTTATTATATGAAATTGGAAAAAGCTAATACAACAATCCCCAAAACAAGTCAGGACAACCAAAAAGATATTAACGTCTGTTACCTGAACGGCATCTTCTCCCTTAATTACCCGTCCTAAAACTATAAGCTTTTCGCTGAGATCAGGGATTGGTGCAGTTGTAATAAAAAGTTGAAATCCTCGGTCATCTTGTTTTGTCTTAGAAGTTCCAAACATGAATGCCTCGTGTTTCAAACTGATCAAAGAATACCAGAATACACTTAGCACAAAAAGAATCATAAAACGCATACTATTGAATCATTAAAAGAAGAAAAAAACGAAAAAGAAAATAAAGCTCAAGCTAGTAACCTGGAATCAAGATGACCATAATGCTTCCCTTTCAAAGTCCAATCTTCAGTTGACCCAAGATGACCAGCATCCCCCGCTTGAATCACATAATGCTTTATTACACGATGAAAACGCATCCCCCTGAAGTGGCCCTTTTCACTGCACAACCAATTAAATCAGATTTTAATTAAGGACAAGCAAGGTCTGAAACAAGATTTGTGTTCCAAGATGTTGTTTATGAGCCAGTATTAGATAAATCAACTATAGAGAAAAAAGAAGAAGAAGATTTCTGATAGAAAATTAATTATCACAAGCAAGTTCTAATTTGAAAAAAAAAATGTACATGTTTAATAGTCCATAAACCCCGAAGTTGCATTATGGAGTTGGGAACATCAAACTTAAACTATATGCAACAAATCTCGACTAAATGGCTAATGGATGCATCAACTTCATAAATAACCATAAAACATTTAAACAATAATTAGTCCAATGAGACTATAGGCACATTATCGAGCATTCTCTAGCAGGGTTCCTTCCAAAGCTGTCCTAAATTTCCTATCACGAAGTCAAACCCTCCAAGCTGTCCTAAACCAATTTTCAAACCCTTCCCTCCCAAACCCCAAAACAAAGAACAAAGAGGGAAAATATTTTTTGACCATTGTAGTTCTCAACAGGAATAATAAGCATCATGATTGCCTATCTCTAGATAATAATGATAACAGACAGAATTCGTAAAATGAAATACCAAACGAGAGGTGGTGACCAGGCTGCAACTTGATATGATGGAACAGATACTCAAAACAAAGAAACCAAATCCATGCATCTGTGCTTCCATACGACAATAAGTGTTCAAGATGACACGAGAAAATATTAGTAAAAAAGAGATTTAGTCTTGTGCTTAGACTTTCCCAAGTACAAAGCTACAATTTCCCAAATCACATTCTAACTTACAAGTTGGATGCTAAACCCTTTAAATCACAGATGATTCCTTATAGGCTAATTCAAGTGTCAGTGCCATAAGTAAGATGCCTACTAATGAAACATTATGCACATATCCAACTAAAAAACCTTGAAACCATGCACACTTTACCAATTAGTCTCTCAATGGTATCTTAAACAATGGCAGATTTACAAATTATCTACGATATCAACAATAAGAAGAGCCATTCGTGAATCTAAAATCTACAAACTACAATAAGTGGTTATTCCAATGCTCACCACAAGTCAATGAACTTGGTCAACAACTTCAGGAGAGATATCCTTGAAAACTTCCACTGTTATAAAGCCTTTCGAAGTGTTCAAGATCTAACAATATTAAAAAGGAAGTACGGCAAAGTCAAAACATAAAACATGTCCATCTCCACCATAAGCATTGGCATGATCAAGGAAATGATGTTGCTACTCCATAATTGACAATAGCACTCCACTCAATAGTGCCATTATACGTTTAAAGTCTCCAACTAAGAACTAGGCCCTTACCAATCTAGGTTTTTTCTCAAAATGAATAGGTAAGTATCTATTTTACCGGTCTTTTGAAAACCACCACCACATTTATTTGATTTCTCTTTACCAGTTTACCAACATAACTCAGTGACAAGCATGTTAACCCAGAGCTGGCAAGAATAACAATTGACCTAACTCAAGATCCGAACTCGCGAAAAGAAAATAAAGCTATTTTGTGCATTATTTTAAAAAGCTATTTTAGATGCATTTCTTGTAGAGACTATATGTGCCTAATGTATGTAAACCCAGCTGCATGTTTTTTGTATTTTAGGCAAGGAGCTCATTACAATGCACTACATACCATCATCGAATGCTATGAAGAAAGCTCCAGCGTATTTTTTATTCAAACATCAGCTATACTGGATTATCTATCGACAAGCTTGGCAAAAGCTTTCGACAAAACAAGTAAATGATTTAAAAAATCGCTCAGCATACAGAAAGACATACTGCATATCCAGGGAGATCGTATTTCTTTGAATCAACAGAAGCATGACCACCCTAAAGCAGACAAAACCAGGCAAAATTAGTCTGGGAAATTAAAATCAAGCTCTGGCATAAAAATTCTAAAGGGTTTGGCAAACTTAGCCAACATTTGCATCATTGTTTTAACTATTTACAAATGATACTGTTGTAAGTACCAATCAAAAATCTGAAATTTAAAGGCCATTATACAATTATGACCCCACCAAAGTAAGGTTCTTAGGGGCAACTAAGACACAACCCTTCCACATTTTCACACGAAGTGACTGGCTGCTCCCAAGACTCAGGCTGACACCATTATAGCAGCAAACCCAACCATTTTAGCATACCACATGAACAGCCCCTCTATATTTCAAACTACTAAATAAAAATAGGTAATGAGAAAAATAAAGGCCATGATAACCATCAAACCCTCAAAGGAATTAATACATAAGGTTCTCTATAAGATGTACCTCAAAACCCGATTCAACATTTTCAGTCTGCATACTTGACCTAAACACAAGCAAGAAAGATACATGTTACTTTCCGTCCACTTAAGACCACTATCAAATACCTTCATTTCCATACAAATAGATCCAGGAAGGGCATATTTGTCAACATCTCGGATCATCATCACTGAAAATCCACCCTAAAAGAACTCCTACAGCACTTGTACATGCTCAGAATTCCTAAACCAAATAATTCTGTATTAATTTTCACTCTAATAATGCTTCTTGGAAAACGAGAATTCGCTCAATTTAGAATCCACATCAAGCATAATAGCAGCAGAAAGAAAAGGAGAACGCAGAATAATCTAACTTGACAATCAACACATCGTAAGCTTGCATTTCCACAATGAAAAATATTAAATCCAACGGGCGTACAAAAAAATACAGATCCAAATAAAAATCCAACTAGTTTGGCGCATCCAAACTATAAATTATTATGAAAAATTACAATACAAAGGATTAATCATCAAACTTAGAACTTGACAAACCTTAGCGACCAGTGTTTATACGTAGAATACAAGAAAATTACAGTCAAGATAAAAATGAAGCAGCATAAAAGAACAGTAGCGACGCTTATTCGACTCGGCGCTTTCTTCTTCTTGCTCTGTTGCAAGAGAGCTTGCGGCTTGATCCTTCCCATCTTCAACTACCTATACTCCAAATTGCCAAAAGTTGCATACAATTACTGAAAATCAGTAGTCTATCAAGATTCAACTCAAAACGCTCATTATTTAACTTGAATTTCAATATTGAAACAAATTTTATCGTAAATTAGTCAACGGTAACTAAGATCTGAAGAGATTCATACTAATAAATAAATAAATTGAATCGAACGAGAGAGAGAGAGTTGACGTACCTGTTCGAGAGGTGAAATCTCTGCTTTCAAATAGATATTCGATTTGATTTTAATTTGTTTCCTTTTCTTTAAAAGGAAAAGAGGTTTTTCGGCAAGCCCTGATTGGGCTGAAACAAAAGATGGGCCTGACTTAATTGTGCATGAGCCGGAAATGCTTATGCGATTCGTTTTGTTGGGTTCGGGAATTTGGTCATATAATTAGCCCTCTCATTCATGGGATAGGGATCTTTTGTAACTTTTGAAGTTCGCTAGGTTTTTGAAACTACTTTGTACCATAAATTTCTTCTTAGGTTCCTTTTGTCCAGTAGAAAACAATTTCTTAGAAAAATTAATTCTTGAAAAAGCTATTTTTTAAGAAATCAATTTTCAAAAAAATATTTTTTTACCTTTTAGCTATTATATGAAAAAATTGTTGAAAAATATATTTCAACGTTTGTTTGATACGAGAAAATTAAAATAAAAAAGTAGTATATGATTATTACATCAACGAGTTTTGAGAAAATTTCAAAAAGACATATTCACAATTTCATAATATAATATGCATTTAGAAAAATTTAATAAATTTTCATAAATACCGACTCTAAAATTTAAATTCAAAAATAAAATATACTTTTTTAACCATCAAACCAATTCTTCAAAATTACTTGGGATAAAATCAAGTCGATATTCACATTTAGTAAAAAAAAAATTCTAAGTAATCCTAGCATTGTTATTTTGGTAACTCAATTAAGAATTCTTTTTTTTTTTTTTTTTTTGAAAATTGAACTCATAATTTAGTCTAAAAAATAGTTTTACAAATTATTAATTATCATTTCTAGATAATTATTCATTTGGTTTCAAAAGATTAATGTTGAAATAATTTACAACTAATTATTAATTACAATTATCAATAAAATTTTACAATTGATTAAAATTATAAATTATTGATTTAGTTGCAAATGAATAATGTTGAGAAAATAATATATTTATTAATGAATTAATTAATTTTAAATTTTTCACAAATGATTGCAGTCTTGTAATAATCATTTCTAATCATCTAAGTATAGTTTAGGTGGTTTTTGTGATAATATTAAAAAATATAGATAAATTATTGAAATATTTATTATAAAAATAATTTTAAGATGTAAAAATGATTTTTAAGAATATTTAATGTATTTATAAATAAATAAAAATCAAATGTTAGTAGAAATAGAAAAAAATAATTAATAAGGAATAATTAAAAATTAATTTGATATGTTTTAAATAAAAAGAAGACAAAGAAAAAAATTGTTAAAATATATCAAGAGAGAGGTAAGTAACGCAAGAGTGAGAGTGTGAGACAACTCGTGAGAGAGAAGGAAAATGTGTTTCTCTTTTTTAACTCAAAAAACATTTTCTCAAAAATACTCTATGATTTTTTGTTGATTAGAAATCAATTTCCGTTGATTTTTTTCCTAAACACAAAACAAATACTAAAAAATGAGAAAAACAAATTCCTGAAACTTGTTTTTTTCCAAACAAACACAGCCGTAGTATGCTCTTTCTGTCTACTCTCTGAGTTTTCACTCTGCTTAAATTTCTAAAAGTTCTAGAAATATTTTCTAGAAATTGTGAACAAAGCTGTGTTAATGGTTAACTTACACATTCATGCTTGCCATATACTTTACCAAGGCTTTCAAATGGTCACCAAGATGTTTCCACTGATTACTATTTTTGTGGTTGCATGTTGCAACTACTTTTCTTTACATTGTACCTGCACCTGCACCTGCTTCCAAATTATTGATCCTGTAAATAGCATTAATCTGCAAATTTTGGTCATGTTTTAACACGTTCATGGGTCAGATCAAAAATGCCAATTGCGGTAACCGGCAAGCCTGATAAAAGTGAAGCGCGTATTATCGTACTGGGCGGTCGTTTTCCCCCTTTCAAGAATACATGCAACGAATAGAAACACAGGACTACAATGAAAAAGCCACGTCTCATTGCAGAAACTGCACTTGAATCATTAGTTCATTATAGGCTGCGGATCAATCGAAACAAAAAAACTCTTAAATTACCCAAATTTACAAACCAATCTTCCTTTCTCAGGTTACAAGATGCACCTCAAATGCTGGTTTTGCCGGGGTGAGTATTGTTGCTCCTCTCTTCCTTTTCCTTTTATCAACATTGATGAAAACAACGCCATGATGCCCGATATGTTACTCTAGTAAAATTCTCTATGCTACCTATAGTTAGCTAGAAGGCATTTTCTTTATAAATTAGAAAAACTGCCAGTCGCAAAATCTCACAAGAATCCCACATCTTCTTCTTGTTGTTCCAGGACTACAGTGGCAAGTGCAAGTCTATATGCTGAAGATCTCAAATTCCTAACAAGGACATATATTTCCTTCCTCCTTAGATTAACAGGCATCCCATTCCACTGCTCCTCCCTAAGGTGAGCGAGTAAAACTGCCTCACAAAAAGCCTCAGCCACTAGCTTCTTGCTGCAACCAGGGCACACACTATGGATTAACGATCTGCTGCATATTTTATTGCAAGAGAAGTGTAAATAGATGCACCATACAAGAGCTTATCGTACTAACCTTCCTCGAACAAATCCAGTTGTGACGAAACCAATTGGCCATCTGTGAGATTCCCTTACAACAGGGTCCTGCGGTATTTGGAGTTCCCACTTACCAGAAGATTCCTCTTTGAAATACAAACCTGCAGATGACTGGGCAATTTGGAGTCCACCTTCATTATTCTCTGATCTGCAACACATGTACAAAAGTAGTTGATAATATTAACTCACAAATCTGACGGACATTAAGAATTGCCAAACCAGGACTCATGTTATTTCTCAAGAATTATCATCCTTCTTAAACCATACTGGAGTCAACATGCTCCATTAGTTCGAGAGATACAAATGAATATTCCTGGAACTTTTGCAAATATCTTTCTATCATATTTGGCAATTATAAATCCACCATTTGTAAGTACACAGCTCAAAGAACGATGATGAAATCGCTGATGTCAAACTAAGTAATTATCATCAGTAGAAAAAAGAAAAGATAAGAAAAGTTCCGTTAGAATACCTGGAAATCCACAACGATAAATCACTGGGACCAGAAGCACAAACAACCGCTCCCTCTTCAATAAAACCTTCCTTGTATGCATGGAGAAGAACTCTAATGAAACACAATCTACGGTTAGAAGTGATTTGGGGACCACTATATTGACCTTTCCCTAGGATGTTTTCATCCTTCATAAGCTCCAATAGCCTCGTCTTCTTATTTGGAATGTGAGGAAATAAAAGCAAATGAGGAGCATGGATTTCGCTCAAGAAATCAATGAGTATACTGGATGTCCGTGCTACAAATCCATCAAATGAATTACCACGACCAGCTACTGCAGCTTTATCACAATCGCCATTTTCTAAGCTCATTAAAAAATTCCCATCAACCTTATCTTTTTGGCCAGAAATTTGAGTATCTTGAACCATAGCAAATCCTTTATCAAGAGCAAGACGGACACTATTCCACGCAGGTGGCATGGGTATTTTCAGAGGTCTTACAGAAGGAGGTAGTCGTTTCACTTTGTGGTCAAGGGCAGCACCTTCAGTCACCATAAAAGATGAATACGAATTACAATCAGGAAAATCAGAAGGAAATTGTGGCAGCCCAGCCTGCAAAAGGTAGAAAATTAGCACAGATTGTTTTGGAACCCCGTATGGAGAACTGTACAGTGTTCAACTATGCATACTTCACAAGCAATCCATTGCTTTTCTCTCAGACCTATTGCATGTGCTCCTTTGGAGACAAAAGGAATCCAGAAGACCCTGACCCAGCTTAAGGGAAGTATAACGGACCATCTGAAAGAAAAGGAAGTGATTATCAGATGCTAATAAGGTCTTATAACTGATTCACAGCAAAAAGCCATGATGGCATACATTTAGAGATTGCAAAGGTGAACAATGCAACGAGCCAAGTAAATCTTATATATTCAGATGTAATTTAAAGCAGAGTAGAGAATAATTTTTTCCTTTTTGTGAATAGAGAATAACTTCCAAATTGCTTTATCTAAAAGGCGGTGTAATTAATTTATCGTAAACCCCTTCCAATTAAAGCCTGCAGAAAATATCTGCTCTCCAGTTCGACCTCTCTTGTCTAAACTGAAACAAGATTTGGGCCAAAAACAAAAACACACTCGAACTACTTTGGCCTCAGGCTTCAGTTCAGGGGGCAAAGGCTTTGCCAACTGGGATGGGAGACAGCTCTTATAGATTCAAAATATAGATTAATAATGAAAAATACCCAAACAAATTGACCAAATAGGACAGCAAAACAGACTCAATGAAATCCGTTGTAATTAATGGTAAAATCAAGGGCAATTTTCTCTATGTCTGTACGAGTTTTTTTCAGTGCACAGCTTCAGGGGTTTTAAAATTGTTCCAAAATACAACCAGGGAGAGAAAAAAGGAAAAGGAAAAGTAATGAACAGGTTGGGCTCTCATTCCTAGGGGAAAAAAGGAATTCAATACCTTAATTCATAACTATGGCACAGCAACAACATCAGAATAACAAATTAAAAAAACAACTACCATGAAATGCTTTTCATCATCTTAAGCATTTTTTTCCAAAAGAAATTCTGCTTTATCCTTAAAAAGAAGTGAAAAACGAGTTCGGTGGAAGAATGGGTTTCACATATGAAGGAATTGGATAAGTGTTTCTTCTAGTCATGTGCAGGATGAGAGAAAAGTTGCTTACTGAAAGAAAAGGAAACATTGTGACAGTGAAGGCAGGTTCTGATCGTGCAATATGATACTTACTTACAGGCTTACAGCCAGAGCAATACTTAGCTCAAAAGTTATCCATTAGAAGACAGTACACATATTTGGGCAAAAAATAAGGTAAAAAGGTGGTGTATGAATATGTACAGCCTAGGTTACAACGCATAAACTGCTGAAATTAACTAAATTGGAGTTACGCCAAATGGAAGAATAAACCTCGAAAGAGGAATTACCCCATCAGTGAATCCATTCCATTGCTGTTTTTAAGAAGCAGAATAGGGCAAGATGTTGAACCCTGCACCTCAGTTGAAGTATCCGGTGTCCTTAATTTAGGATCATCAAGGCAGATAAAATCCAAACGCAAATGATGCTTTTCCCAGCAGAGAACATTCTCTTCCACTGGGGAAGTTACTCTGCAGCTTGCATCCCACAAATTCCTATTGTCAGATACACTGCTACTCCTTTCAGGTTCTGACCGTGATGACAGAGGATTTTTTTTATCTTTTCCCAAATTTATTGCAACATGCTCTTCTGCTTCTCCTTCATCTTCTGCAACATTATTGGGTGTACCGGTTGGGGTTAACTTGGGAATATCAGCAATCTTTACAGGAAATGAACGAGGATCCTTGACAACGAGAGATAAAACTGAACAAGGAGAAATGTTCTCGCTTTCAAATATAGACTTCTTCAACTCAGAGTCATGATCAACCTCTGAAACAGAGCATTTCTTCAATTGCCAAGAATTCTCTGAATTACTGCACACAGTAAGCACCTTTAGCCATTGTTAACTTCTTATCTTGATTAAAAATTATCTAACTGTAACTTTGAGTGGCTCACCAAGAAAAAGAATGTAATGTCTTTTGAAGAAGTTTTGATGCCTGTGATCCCATTACTTCTAATTTTGCAAGTTGACCCTCGAGTGACAAACAATTTATCAAAATGCCATTCTCATTCATCTGAAGAATTAAAAAATAATTAAGCAATTAGCATATTAGCAAATTAAGAGCTCATTAAAAATGTAATTTTTTACAGAACTTTAGATTCTCAATGCACTTGATGTGTAGAATAATAAGCTGCATTCCAGAGGAACATAATTTTCCAGTTTCCAATACAAAATAAAGAAAAGAAGCAAAAAACAAATGGATACAATTTTACCAAAGATCAGTGAGTTCAAAGGAAAAAAGTTCATAAAAACCTTGGTTTTGAGAGAGGGAGGTCAAGACACCAGATAGATATAGAATAGGATTAGCTAAAATGTAACTAAAACACACAACTTCCTTGTGAGAACAGAAGATAGATCATATACCTGTTTCTGACAGGTAAATTTTAGAGCATCATATCCCTCGCTAAAAGCTGAAGCATGTATCCACAACCAAAGCTGGCGATGGGAAGAACCAGCATCAGAGATTTGAGTTTCATTACATCCATCATAACCATGTTCATTGTCACCATATTCTCTATTACGAAGACAAGAAGGTCGCCACATATAGTTCACAGGAGCTATAGGCTGAGAAACAGGTTCTCCGGCATGATGCAGCTGAAAAAACAAAGAGTTAATATATCCAAATATTTAAGCTATCCTTGTTGCACGAAAAGGGGTATGCAATCGGCTAACCTACCATAGCAGTGCCATAGATAACACCAGAAAGAATAGGCTTGGCAATGTCATCAGATTGAGCTGAAGGAGAAGGCACTAGTACCATATTTAGAATTGAAATTAATGACTCCTGGAGATCACACACCACATCAACTCTATTTAGATTATGAATTCGACAAGGGCAGATAAAATGTGCCACGAAGTGTGATATAGACAATGCTTATTCTACGACATGTAATACGGAAAACCAATCAAAGTTCACAATAAAAATAATTTTCTAACTAGAAAGAAAAGTAATGCTTGCCTCTGGACCTTCCAACTGTATAGCAGTATAGTAGCTTCCATCATGCACAACCGCTCTGTCTCTGTACCACTTCAATAGAGCCCTAGACCCCCTTCCGCTGCATCACACAATATCCACTCACATTTATCAATAAATTAATTATTAATTAATCCCAAAAAAAAAATCAAAAGAATTAAGCTTTACTTACTAATTACCTGCCGTGCAAACCTAGAGGAAGGTGAAATCCCCAAAGCTTAGACATTGTAAAGCGTTTGGCATGCCAAACATGAGTTCTCAATCTTTTGGTGCCATCACCCGAAGTAGCAAAACCAATTTCTGGATTCTTTTTAAGTTCAATTCTCCTACGAACTCGGCGAGGGACTTTCTTTGGCTCTTTCTCGGAAGCCAAAGCCAGGTCATCGCTGGCCTTACCAAACAGTCCTAATTTACGCCTCTTTCGATGTCTTTTTTTTGCAGCTTGATTGTCGTAAGCAGTGGTTCTTCTTCTCTTGTTTCTTTGAGATCGGAAATTGTTGTTTACTCGGTTTGATACGATTGAGTGGAGACTCTCGAGTTCAGATGCTCGGGTTTCCGCGAACTTTTGAACATTGATTTTTCGAGGTGGAGCTGTTGATACTTTAGATTTTTTGCTTCCATCACCAGCCATTGCAGCCAGAATCTCGAAAGAAAAGCGAGTCTGTAGATTATCTTAGTGCTACTACAAATTATGTAAAATCGCTCCGCTCTAAAAGTTTGGATTGATTACAGTTTGCCTGTGGTTTCTAGGGTTGGTTGCTGGTGTTAGAACGCACGGCACCTAGACAAAAAGAGGGCCTGGCAGAAGAGGACTGAGGACCCATCGTTTGTGATGTGTTTAAATCTTAAACGCCACTGTTTATCTTTTTCTGTTTAAGCCTTAAACGCTGCCGCTTCTCCGAGTTGGGGCAATTACACTACTCAGTGCTCACTCTTTTAAATTCTACCTCCCAGTCCCGGATGTCGACAAATTAAATGGGACCAAATTGTATTTGTTTTTTAAATTCTCAAAAAAAATTGTATTTGTTTTAATTAGGACAGAAATCAACAAAATCTATTTACCAAAAAATAAAAAATACCCGTTTCAAGACCCTCAAAATTTAGAATTTATAAAGTGAATAACATTATTATTAGTATATTTTTATTTCATTTAGTTTTCTATCTTTCTTCTGTTTTTTTTCTCTCTCTTTCAAATTCTAATAATTTTTATTTTATTTATATCTGTTTGAGACAACTCTTTGTAATTTTTTTAATGTAAAATTTGTATTGGATTTCATTAAATACATACATGCATTATGGAAAAAAAATTTGTTTTTATCTAAATATCACTATGATTTTATAAAAATGTTTGTAAGATCTGGGGATAAAGTGATTTTGAGTACTTGAACTTGTTTCATTTTCGAAATTGAGTATCTAATTTTTAATTTTGTTTAAATGAGTGTTTGATCTTTTTTATTTCACATAATAAAGTGTTTAAATGAATTGTGAATTTATGTTGATCAAGCATTTAAGTATTCATTAAGTGATGATGTGGACATTGATACATAAAATAACTTTTAGGACTAAAGCCATCAATGAGATGTCACGTTATCAAGTGCATGGAATGGAAAATTTTCTCCAAATTTAACTTTTTTGCAAAAACTATAACTTTTAGGACTAAAGTCATCAATGAGATGTCAAGTTATCAAGTGCATGGAATGGAAAATTTTCTGCAAATTTAACTTTTTTGCAAAAACTATGTCCAGGAAAAAAATATTGAAAAGACAAATCTAACATTAAACATTCAAATAAATTTTCTTTTTTACACGTTCTTCGTTGCAATTGATTCTAATCTGGATTTTTATTTAAAATCTTAAAATAAAAGACTATTGTTAGGTGAAAGATGAGATTATACAAGAATATATCCATTTATAACAAAAGATAAGAAATTAAGTTAGATAACAAAAAAAAATAGATATTGATTTAACATATATTTCCTTTTTAATTTAAAGGCTATATTGAGTTTCAATGTACGTACATCTCTTAAAAAATAGATTAACTATTTTATACGGTTTCTGTACAACCAACAATTGATTAATTAGATCTATTTATTAATTTAGGTGTTAATTGAGTTTTTATATTGAACCAATTTGTTGGATATGGGCCTTTTGCCAAGGTGTCGCTAATAGCATTAAATAAATGGCACAAGTCATATGACTGCGTTGACTCCCTTAGTTATTTTTCTTATCGTTTTTTTATTATGTGAAAAAATTATTTAATTGAAAAAAAATAAAAATAAATAAAGATTCACCATCTTTTTTTATTACAAAAAAGCATTTATTGAAATTTTAAAAATCAATAAATGCTTTATGTAATAAAAATGAGATGAAAAAAATAACTAACAGTGACAACAAAATCGAAAGACATGCATTGCTAGATTAGGCAATTTATTCACCCACATTAAACAAAATGATTCGGTACATGAATCCAATTAACACTTGAGTTTATAAAGAAACTTGATTAATCAATTTCTTGTAGCATGGATACGGTATGGATCGTCAATCTTTTAAAAAACACATCAACATTTTCAAGTAACAGTCATCCACTTAAACCTTTTACCATGCAAAAAAAAGAGGCACTGATTTGAACAGAATTAAAATTGGAACACTCACTTGTAAGAATCAGATAAGTTCATACACCCAAAATTGTGTTATCCCTAAGGTTTATTCTCCTCGTGCAAATATTTTTGTAGACAGCACATACCACAACTAAAAATTTTAAACGCTTTTATCATTATCCATTTTTCTAACCAGGTCATAAAACTCAAACTCAAAATCAGCTGTCATATAGTGTTGTTAGTAGTAGTGCACTGTTACTTCAAACACCAAAAACAGGTTTATATTGCACAAGCTATCAAAAAGCCAAGTGTATGCACCTTCAATTAAAGAATACCCAAAAAAAAAAAAAAAGAAAAAGAAAAAACAAAGTGACAAACACATCATAAAGGTGATAATAAACCAACAATTGAGTTATAATAAAAAATCTAACGATGTGGTAGAAATCATTGTACAAACTAAGTAGTACAGTTCTCGATTGCAGTACACTCACAGATCCCCATTGCTATCCTATAGATTTTCCATGGGTTGAAAGGCCACATTTCTGGATCTAGCTGTTCTGTATCCCACAAAAACAGAGAGGCATATAGAGACAACTGAAAATAGAAGGGCAAAGGCACTGGCAACATCTCCTGAGCTGCCTGGTGTCGATGCCTTTAACATAGAATTGCCTGGAGAGATATCCAAGGGTATCCAATCACAGTTGACAGAATAGTGTCCAGATCCATGCCATGAATTCCCGTCAACTGGATACCAGAAGGCAACAGACATCTTGCTAGATCCACCAATTGTAAACTGAGCATCCTGCAGAAATTAGAGAAAACGGCTCATTTAGAACCTCTTGCTGCAAGGTAATACATTCAACTACAAACCTATGCAACAATCACGCAGGATAAGTTATCATATGTATCATTGATTCCTTTGCAATTCAAGTATTAATGCAGGCAGCAAAGCTCAATAACAAGCAAGTGAGAAGTTACTATCAAACGGCAGAAACCTCTCTAAGCACACATGTGATCTGTTTTTGAGATTCCTACCGAAGCCTAATGAATTTTTGGAGTCAAAATCATGACACGAACTCATTTAAAAACAAACTCCATGATATCTTGCCATATTGGCTATGAAATAGAATTAAGGTTATGCTACTAGCCTTGAAATTTACTATTCAGGACCATGATACTCTCTCTCTCTCTGTGTTCTATGAGAAGACATAATAACTCTCTTTAACAAAAAGCAAATGAGCAAAACATGGCACAAACGATATCAAAACATAGATTAAAACATTCACTAAAATTACATAAAGCAAACTACTACAAAATTTCTCATATTCCATCCCAAGGTTAACCAAATATCTGAATATCATGGATTGGCTTCTCACCTGTTGGAGACAATCCATGGTTCTTAAAGGCCTAGAGAATTCAAAAAATACGTTCCCTTCTGACTATCTGATGTATAAGGACTGTCTTCCTCTACAAAACCTGTGAGCAAAATATTAAAATCAAATTTCAAAGGAGAAAGATGTAGATATTGTCAAAAGCATACAAGAAAAATATAGATGTAAAGGCAGGTCATAATCCACAATTTGAGACTGAAAAAACAGGCATCACAAAAATGGTGATATGAAACCAAAGTGAACTTTCGTGTCTCAGAGTCAAGTTTCTGTGGGCAAAAATTCTTACAAAACAGATCAATCCAATTCTTTTCCATTTTTCAAGTGCCCTTTTCATGGCACAGCTTTTGATGCATGGCTCCTTAAGCACCATCATTAATCATACAAAATAGAAACTCCTGTGTGATTGGATATTCAAAACATGATTAATCTACCCTAAAGCAAATTTGTACAAGAAATGGTAATGCATGCCTATGGGCATGTTTTCTAGGGCGAGGTGCATAGACCATTTAGTTGATTGGGCTTCTTGTACGAGTAGCATTCTTTTTCTCGATTGTATGACAAGGCTGTTTAGATTTCTCAACATGTTAAAGCTATTGGTGTGTTTTATTTGGTGGCACCGCCATCCATAACAGTAGGAGATTTAAAATCAAACAAAGGAAAAAAAAAAAAGACAATCACCTGAGTGAACATTGAAGCTACTGTGCCACCATGCCCCTTTCCAGTTATTCTGGGCGCTAGAATCATTCCCTGAAAAAAAGATTTGGTTATTACTTGTTCACCATTAGAAGACTGACTTGAAATAAACAAACATACAAATTTAGAAATGGAAAAGCAAACTATGTTAAAATGGATTACAATCAACATCAAAAGTAGAACTCGGAAGTTCGGATTTGCGGTTAGCTAGAAATATCCTAAGAAAGAAATGATCCCATACAAATGAAGATATGCTTTTGAAAGCCTGAAAAAGGAGACATGATAAATTATTCCAAAGATTCATAACAAATCATCCACTACAATAGTTTGAGCTCTGAGGACCATTTCTAGTTGAACAAGATGAGCTAGACATTAAAATAGCAGATGCTACATTTCTCCTAGAAAGAAAAAAATAAAGGAAACTAATGAACCAGAAGTTTGAAACGCTAAGGATCAAATTGGTGTTACCAACAGATCATACATAGTGAGCAAGGCAGTTTTAGGAAGTAAAGGCTGTTTTTAGTGACTTCTTTTTTACAAAAGGTTGATCATAAATAATTTTGAGAGGTAAAGACTTCTGTAGAGTAACAGAAATGGTGTTACCATACATCTTAATCCTCAGGTGGTGCTTTCATAGTTATGTGATCACCACAAAACAAGTGCCAAACGAATGCAAATTATCTTCATACAGAACATTTAAGCCCCTGTCTGGTCAGGATCCACGGATGTGGTTTTGAGAAGTGAACAACTCTGATCATGCGTGTCAAATCATGTGAATAGAACATTACTACAGAAAATACACATCAGTGGGCAAAGCAAAAGCAAGTACAGTTCCCCTTCTGCACCTTTTTATTATTGGTTTCATTGGGACTAGTATTTCTAATTATTGACTTTTCTATCTGAAATGGTTTAAAATTTAACATCTCATTTGAGGCTAAGGTATTTCGTGGGTTGGAGAAGGAAGGTGTTTCTGGACAAGCTAAGTTAGAATATTATTTGGAAAGAATTTAATTAAGGCACAATTAATTATAACCATTATGAATTCTGGACATTGTAAAAACTAAGAAGAAACAACCAACCTGATTAAAAGGATAAGGCTCTTAAAGACAAGATGAGGACTGGAAAAACAAGTGTAAAGGAAATGAAAAAATAATTTCCATAAAATAAAGGCTCTCTGAACCAAAGTTTATATGGTTATTATTAGTGTTAGTAGTTAGAAAGGAAGGGAGAATTATTAGCTCTATTAGCATGGGGTGCATCTCAAGTTTGAACCTGGGACAATCTGTCTTAGAAAGGTACGGCCATTGGGCTACACCAATGGTTAGAGTAGCAAGGGTTTAGTAGAATAGGATAGAAAGCATTCCATCATGCATAATGGAAGACAAATATTTATAATGTATACATCAGTGGATGTCCTTGGAGAATAGTTAGCACTAAGGATGAAGTGATTAACATGTCGAGGTCTTTGAAAAGGTCTTTAGATGAGTGCCGATATCTACAAAGCATGAAAGGACAGCCTCAGAAAAAAGTAAGCTTTGACTTTGGAAGAGCGTGAAATGAATTGTAAACACCTTGATCGTGCACCTTCTAATCACTTTGTTTAGTGCTTCTTCCCACTTTCCTTTTTTCCCTTTGAAGGCAGTTCCATCATTTTCATATCATATAAACATACCTTTTTTTTCCCCAGTAAAAAAGCAAAACTGAATAGATAATTCTAGAAGTACCTGAAGGACCAAGACCATCAAGGTATCTACAGTGTGGATTCCAAGCATAGAGATCAACCAAATGACCAAACCTGTTCAGAAGCAAGAACAATGAACAACCATTTAATATAAGCATAACCAAATTATGCAAATATTGCCAACAAAACATGCCACCCCATGATTTTGATAGTCAAGAAGTCAATATCACAGCACCTGTCACCTCCATTGCCATCCGCGTTGTCTAACGGATTCCCACCATAGAGCCGTCCTGGAATGGCATTTCCAATTGAGAAGTGCATAATATCAACTTCATGACCTTTGCAATTCTTCCTATTGCAGGTATTAGTTCCTTCTTTACAGCCACCCATCTAAAGAGACACAAGCGTGCTCAATTTTCACTCTCTGATTAAGAAATCACGATGAACATGATGAACTAACAATGTGACAACACACCAAATAATCAGTGGAGTAACTTACACTATGATAGGTTGCTTCGTCACCAATCGGAAACATGAGAGCAACTGATGGACATTTATGGTTATCACTGCAGCATGAAAATCCAATTCAATCCAAAAAAAAAAAAAAATTCAAAATTGAGAAGCCATACCATCAGCAATTTGATTTAACCAAAACATACACTCTTTTAATCATTCCCAAAAGGCAAGAAATCCAAATGAAATAATCTATAAAGATAGCAAAAGGAACGTGGAGACAGGAATTTGATGAGATTTCGACTGATGAAAAAAATCAGCGATAAAGCATTCGGATAAATTAATTCCATATCCAATACATAAATAAAGTAACAAATCAATCCAAAAATTACCCTTTTGTATAAGCATAGTTCCCATCAACTTGCAACAAGAAAAATACATTGTTACCATCGTGCAAGGCCTGCAAAAATCACTGTGATTAAATTAACAGGATGATTTATTAAAAGCGTGGTACTAATTTTTGAACAAAAAATATCTTTACCTTAACGGCCATTTTTCCACCTGTGTATTCTTTATCCGCATCAGGGTCAGTAGCAGGAAGCAGTGAGAACTCGAAGGCGTCAATGTCTTTCCAATCATCAGCGTGGCCATCGAGGGTGATGAGTCCAGGCTTGAACTCAGCTTCTACTCTGATTTCTGCGTCGGACTCGCAGCTCCACTCACCTGATTCCTTGTGTGAGTTGACCCATCCGATCCAACAAGAGCCAAGAAGCAATCGTAGCAGTAAAAGTCGAAGAAGCATTGTTTTGTATGGGATGAAATTTCCTGCCACGGGCTATGTTTGGTGTTTTCGGTATGCTGCATTCCGTGGCTGACTTACTCCAGCTTATGAATAAAATTCGCGTTTTGATTCTTCTGCCATCTCGTCTGGATTTTACCATAAAAAAATTCAAAAATAGCAATGCGTCGTCAAAATGGACTGCTGCCGCCTGACCTTGTTATTGTTTACTGCTACCACTTTTCTATGGAGAGGAATATCACACGTGGATAGGTGGGGCTCTTCCTAAAATAAAGCCAAAATACCCACAGATAAATATTGGCCCAAAGGAATTATTTTACATTATACATAAAATTAAGGTAAAACTATTGATTTTATCATTCATTCATTATTTGTTATACATACATAAAATTCATTATTTGTTATACATACATAAAACTAAAGTAAAATTATTAGTTTTATTATTTATTCATTATTTAAAATACTATTCATACACTTACAAATCATTATTTACATATATATAAATCACTATTACTGATCATGACATTTTTATAAAACTTTGGTCCTCAAATTTTCTGTAATTTTTTTATTTAAAAATTTAATTTTATTGTGATTTGGTTTCATTTTTTTTAGTATTTTTTTGTTAATTATTTTTTATTATTTAAAGATTTACTTCTTTAATTTGTCATTTTTTTCTTTCAGTTTCAAACTTTAATTATATTATGATTTGGTCCTATTTTGTTTTAGTATTTTTGGTTAATTATTTTTATTATTTAAAAATTAGTACTTTAATTTTTTATTTTTAAAAAATTCTCATCCAATTAATTTAAAATTATATGCTTTTCAATTTTTTTATACATTTTTTTCAATTTTAAACTTTAATTGTATTGTGATTTGGTCCCATTTTGTCTTAGTATTTTTTGTTAATTATTTTTATTATTTAAAATCTACTATTTTAATTTGTCTTTTTTTTTTTAATTCTCATCCAATTAATTTAAAATTATATTTACTGACAATTTTGATTTATTTTTCTATATGTATTGATTTTGTAGTAAATTTTTAGAACATGATTATTTTTTCTTTTAAAAAATAGATTTAGATAATTTTTAAATTATAGTGGCGGGATTAATATATATAATTTGTTTGAAATACATTTTTAGTCCTCGATTTTTTTATACTTTTTCTTTCAATTTCAAACTTTAATTGTATTATGATTCGAGTCTCATTTTATTTTAATGTTTTTTGTTAGTTATTCTTATTATTTAAAATTTACTACTTCAATTTATCATTTTTTTTTAAATTCTCATCCATTTAATTTAAAATTTTATGGTACTCGATTTTTCTATACATTTTTTTTTTAATTTTAAACTTTAATTGTATTGTGATTTGATTCCATTTTGTTTTAGTGTTTTTTGTTAATTATTTTTATTATTTAAAATTTACTACTTCAATTTGTCATTTTTTCAAAAAAATTCTCATCTAGTTAATTTAAAATTTTATGGTCCTTAATATTTCTATACATTTTTTTTCAATTTTAAACTTTAATTGTATTGTGATTTGGTCCCATTTTGTTTTAGTGTTTTTTGTTAATTATTTTTGTTATTTAAAATTTACTACTTTAATTTATCATTTTTTTTTAAATTCTCATTCAATTAATTTAAAATTGTATTTACTGATAATTTTGATTTATTTTTCTATAGTATGGATTTTGGAATAAATTTCTAAAACATAATTATTTTTTACGTTGAAAAATAGATTTAGATAATGTTTAAATTATAGTGGCGGTGACATAATTAATATATATAATTTGTCTGAAATATATTTTTAAATTAAAAGTGTATGTCAAATATTTTTTTCTCGATTTTTTTTAAGAAAAAACTCAAATTAGTTAATTAATAGTTGAAAGTTAAATGTGAAAAATAAAAAGAAGAGGGTTACTCGCGCGTGAGGCACTGTATTCAAGGACTAGCCATAAATAGCATAGAAATAAAAAATTATATAAGAAGGAGGGAAAAAAAGAATTCACATATTTTATTAATTTGTTTCTTCTTTATATAATCAAAATTAATCGAAATCAAACTTATAATAATTTTTATTTTAGTCTATTAACTTTCAATTTAGTTAATAGATTCCTTGCAAACTAACTTTTTTTTATAGTATTTTTTTTTTTTTTTAGATTGAAAACTCGAACTCACTAAGTATAAAATATTGAATCATTATTTTTTTAGAAATTAACTATGTAACTACTATACTAAGCATTTACTCGTTTATTTTTTTAATATTTTAAAATTAACTTATTTTAAATTAAATAATTAAAATTGTGTTTGGCTTAACCACTCAATGATTCAAATTAACATCACCTTTTATTTTAATATTATTCATTCTTTTGTAAATAAATATCTAAAAATTAAATTCACATTTTTTAAAAAATCGATATTCTCATCAACATTAAATAAAAATTACTCGTTCAATTCCGTGTAAGCTTTTAATAATTATTTTTTTTCGACACAATACTATGAAATACTAAAGTTTTTTTGTTAAAAAAAAATTAATTTTGTTTTTAGTTAATAATCCATGGATTAACAAGGATAAATCCTTTTTCTAAAGAAAAAATTATGAAAAACATAAATAAAAAATAGTTAAATATAAAATTTTTATTAAAAAATTATAAATATTTTTTTCACTTTTAATTTCATATATTTTTATATATTCACATCATAAAACAGTACAATCAAACTAAAATAACTTTTCTAAATGATTTTATATATTTTATCTAGCCCGTAGTATAGCGCGGCCAAAAAACCTAATAAGAACTGATTAAAAAAAATAAGACCGAAATGTAATCACAGTTCACCCCTCTTTCTAGTTAATTATAAAGTAGTCCATATAGTTTATTTAAATGAATTAATTAATCCTTTTAGTGTGAAATGATCTAGTAATCTATGAAATAAATGTACTATAAATAAATCTACTTTCAACTTTTTCTCAATCGGTTATATAAAATTTATTATTTTTTTATTTAAGTACATAGATTTTTTTCCAAAATCATCAATCAAATACTTTCTATAATTTCTCCATTAAGGAATTACGTGTCCATTACCTTTAGAATACCAAATTATTAGTTTGCCTTCTTACAATTGAGTGTACGAACTTTAATTTTTTTATTTGAGCATACAACTTTATTAAAATTATCAATTAAATATTTTTATCAATTTTTTTATCAACCGGTAAAATTTTTGTTGCTTAGAATACTAAATTAGAAATTGCTCTCTTTTGATTCGAAACTTTCCTCCAAAATTATTCTACTATTTTAAAATTTGACAAAGAATTTAAAATTTTATTTTTTAGCTATAAAATCTCGAAATAGACTCGGTTAGATTTGGACATGAAATTAAAAAAAAAAACACGGATGTGATATTCATTACTTGTGAACATCTAGAGAGAAAATTTTCTTTAAAAAAAAAGGCAAAATTATAATTTAGTATTTCGGGGATATGAACATATTATCGGTTGGCAAAGAAATTGTCAAAAATACTTAATTGTCAATTGTGAAAAAAAAATAACGTGCTTGAATGAAAAAAATTAAAGTCAATGCGCTCGACTAAGAAAAAATTGATAGAGTTGTAATTTAGTGCTATGAATGTAATAAACACATCATCGGTTAATAGAGAAATTGATGAAAATGCTTGATCGATAGTTTTTAAAAAGTTAATATGCTCGTATGAGAAAATAAATAAAATTCTTATATTCGATTGAGACAAAATTAAAATTTTGTATACTTTAGTTAATTATCCCGATAATCTATTGATCAAACCATCATTTACTCGATAGATATATTGTTTCTTTTCAAGATGGCAAAAGCATCACTACCTCCCTTTTTAAAATATCAAAGCTCTTAAGATTTTAAAAATCGTTTATCTTATCGATGAATAACAATTTTCTCCAATTCAATGGATATCTACCCGAACTAATAAGAATAATTTGGTCTTTTATTGATTTTTATTATTTTAGATCGATTGTAAATATCCATGATTTTTTATTTGCAATGAATAGATATAGATGTTACCAAATCCAATTTGAATCTCAATCCAACTCGATCCGATATGCAAATGTTAATGTCTTGTAAACATATGTGTAATATTTATAGTTTGCCATTCAACTTGATATATGTAAACCCCGAAAATCAATATAATATACATGTGTCCCTAAAATGTTCATATATTTTGTTATTCAATATACACCTATTCGTATCTTAAATATATACATTATTTTTTATTTTATGTTAACGGTATTTTAGTAATAGTAGTAGCGATGATGTTATGGTTTATATGTTTTATAGGGTTTGAGAGAGAAAACCGGAAAAAGGCTATGATAGAGGAATTTTTTACGAGTTTAGTTATTTTTAACTTGCTTGATTGATGTGGTGATACTATTAAAATAAATTGAAATTAAGTTTTATATGTTGGCCTTGTTGTACCATAAAAACATAAGCTATGTACATTTTAATCATTTTGGCACATTCTTTCAAAAGTGGATAGAAATACACATGAACTAAGTTTTTGATAATAATTTTAGCATGAGAGGTATTTTTCATCCAAAATTTTGAACTCATATGACGTAACATGACATGTAGAATGCCACCATGAATAACGATCCACGTAGGATGACACATGGCCAAAAAATTAAAATCAATGCCATTCGAACGACATGTCGTCCACCTTCATTTGCTATAAAAAATGATAAAATTACGTGGAATATTCAACAGAATCGAGTGAATAAGAAGTGCTCGTTATTATTATTATTAAAATTCTGATTATTCATAAAATACACCACTATGTAGTAAGAAATGTAAAAAATCAAAATCCATCATAGTTGAAAATTCAAACTTATAAAATAAACCTCAAACAATACAAACCATTAGATATTGGGAAGAAGATAAAAGCATAGAACCATCTCAATAAGACCCATCAATGATCAACAAATAGAGAAAAATAATTACCAAACATTACAGTAGAGAAATGCATTATAATGCTCTCTAAATAAGAAAAATAAACCTCAAACAATACAAACCATCATTTGTGTGGAATATTCACATACCCTTGTGAAAATTTGGACAATAAAGTGAAACCCATAACCTTTAAACAACAAAATTAATTTGTCTTTGTGAGTGTTCATCTTCTCTTAAACAACCCTTAGCCACCAGTCGACAACCCCCTCCTACCGACCATAGCCAGAACCCTCTCTTATGAACCATTGCTTGTTCATGTCGTTGGCCAACCCCGCTTGACTTCCCTCACCTCACAATCGCTCCTCCTTGCCAATCGAGCTTCGTTAAAACCCATAAATGTATTGTTACTCTAGCCTAAAAAAAAACCTTACAAACCTAGAGGATCATACATCTTATGAAGGTGCGGAATAAATAAAAAATTTTCTCCTTCTAAAAAGCTAAGATCATGCCATTGAATCAATTAACTATATATACATGAATTAAACTAATAAATAAATAATTATCTCTTGTAATACGGATCTAAATTCTTTAGCGGAAAAGTCATCCAAGTGTCCAACCTCTATTGATGATTTACGCGATCCAAGCACCCACAAAGAAGAATTCAAAATTAATAAAGTGCTAGCTCCATCTTTTCGATTTGTGTAGTGTTTCCTATAGAAATCTTATTAAGATAAGTTTGCGACGATCCAAAGAGAAGAGAGAGGAGGTGGCGTGCTACGGTGAAGAAGAAAACAATTTTCTCCTTATTTTATTTCGGTCGCGTGTCCCTTTTTATTTTTTAAACGTGTTGAATTTTCTTTCTCTTTTAAAAACTCCTCTTTATGCTGCACCTCTCCTCTTATTTATAGGGAGAGAATTTCCTTGTCCTCAAAGAATAAGTAGAAAGGCGGCAAATAAGTCATAATTGGACTTATAATTGTTACTTCCTAATCCTCCAAGGATTAGGAGTTATTTTATAATTGGGTTTTTAATATTTATCTTTAAAACATTTATCCTTGTCCAATAAGGTTGATATTTATCCTCCTATCAAAAATATCTTAAGGCTTTTAATTAAACATATTGGGTCAAAACCATTATGGTCCAATTAATTTATTTGGACTATCCAAATAAATAATTTTAGATAATTTTAAGTGACCCACGTTAGGAAATAATTTTTCAAAATACCCTTTAACCTAAATTAGGAAACTCATTTTTATTTTGGGTTATTTACTTCCAAATTTTGAACCAACTTTCAAATGAGGAAACTAGTTTTTAAAATAGAAACTTTTCATTTTTGAAAACCTTTTCCAAAATAGGAAACTTTCGAATTGAAAATTTTTTCCAATATTTTTTCTTCTCTTTAATCATATGAATGTTTAAACTTATCCGTGTAACGCAATAGGCTCCTAAATGTGTTCGCAATGTATCAAAAACAAAAAGCTCATCTTTTATCTCTTGATACATAAATCAATATTGGTCTCTAGTAAGGTATCATGACTATCCAATTCTATAGGAGGATTAATTAATCCATTATTATCTTTCACGAGCATGGTTACTATATAATTCAATTCTTATATCAACTTATCACAATCCGATCTCGAACTTAGTTATAATTCTTGTTCGATTATGATCACACAAGTTTTCTTTAATTCCCAAATGTCTTAACTCTTAGAGTAAACTAACTATGCTCTATTAGCATGCTCCTACTATAGTCATAGATTTCTTGAGCGAGACATTCAAGGAAGTGCAATGTGATAACTCTTTTAGTATATAAAGAATGACACATTCTATCTTAGTCATACACCTACCTTCATTAGATTCTTAGTGCACCTAACGAATCGCCCACCTACAATCTCTTACTAGGTCCATCAAAACGAGTGTTAAAGTGTATAAATCCTCTAATGAGATAACCACGATGACTTCAAGTCTAAGGACTTGCTTTGACATCATCATGTCAATAGGTGTGAGATCTCTTAATGCTATCATATAAAATGAGTATAGCATTCACAAGTTTATCCGCATATAGTCAACGTTCATTCTTGATAATACTACGACTTGAGATGTTTAATGATATCATTTATATGCATTAGTGTTTGTCTCGTATTTTTCGATCAATCACTATTGCAAATACACATCATCATGACTTCTATCTAATTCTATTGAATTAATAAACATGAAAGCATGAGAATTAATAAAAAAAACTTCTTTTATTATCATTAAAACAAACGATGCGATAATATAATAACTCAAGCCTATCCAAACATTGTTAGATCTTGGGCACCTACATTAACATAGTCGCCAACCACCACTAACCAAACCCCACACCACCAAAGCCCAAACAAACCTAACAACTCCACAACAACCACTTTTCACCCAATCACCCGAAACCCAATAACCCATAAAGCAACCACCAAAAACACATGACCACCATCGAACTTAAGCCGATGTCAAACTCACAACCAACCTCCATCCACTTTTTAAACCACTATTGTCACCCTCGACGGTTATCAACCCATCAACGTCGATCTCCATCCACACCTAAACCCATAAACCCATAACTCCTCCACGAGTCGCTTGAATCACCCGATCTCCACTCTTACGCCATTAACGAGTAACCATTGACGACAACCCCATAAAATCACGAGTCTCAATAATTTTATTTTTTGTATTGTTTTGATTGTCACGATCAATAATTTACAATTATTATCTATAAGAACAAACCCAATCTTTCTTAATCACTATAACTTAACTTCTTCACAAAGACATATTTTTTTTGTGTTTTGTTGAAGATTCATATGGGGTGAGAGGATGGGTTGAAGATTCGAGGAATAAGAAGGTTAAGAAATTTTTGGTTTTGATTTGTGTTTGTGTTTTGAAATTATTCAGATGACATGCCATTCAAATATGAGAAGAATTTTAATTTATAGCCACGTGTAATCCTATGTGGATTTTAATCAATGATATCATCCAAGTTAACCTATCATGTCATGTTAGAATAGAATTTTAAATGAAAAAATGCACATATGCTAATATAATTATAAGAAGCTTAATTCATATATTTTCCATTAACTTTTGAAAAAACGTGCAAAAAAGATTAAAAGGTGTATAGTTCATGTTTTTGTGGTACAATAAGCCTATTTGTTATGGAAAAAATATGAAATTTCACTTTAAAATAAGAATGTTTTTGAATAAAAACCACAAAATTGATAAATTATTGAAGAAAAAAAAACGAAACAACAAAGAAACTAATTTATTAAAGTGTATAAAACTACCAGTATTGAAAGAAAGACTTATTAAATCATTTTGATAAATTATAACAATTTATTATAAATTACAATATATCTATTAGTGGAATGTAACTAAGCAAGTCTTTGCAATATAAAATAATTTGCAAAAAATAAAAGAATAATTACCGCAGCGGTTTGTATGAAAATTTTGTAATATTTGCTTCTATGTATAAACATTATTCTACTCTAACATCTATCACGATGGGCCTAGTTGTTTGTATCCAAACATTTTCCATGCAATTTTCTCCGAAAGCAAATTATTTTTGGCGAAACAAAACCGCTGACAAAATACAACACCGGACTCTGCTCACACCTAAATCGAACCAAGCCCAAACCGAAACCCAAGTCGGACGTGCTCCAGTGGATCATCATTTTTTTGGCCCGGCTAGTTTCCTCATCACATTCTAAAAATTTCAAAACCCATAAACCCTCGCGTCAGAGTGAGACACGCACAGAGTGGAAATTAATCCTTACTTTAATCACATGTGAAGTACCCACAGGATCTGTTCTCTCAAATCAGGCTAAAAAATGAAGAAGATTAGAGATTTATTGCTTTGTTTATCGATAGCAATTCTTTCCTCAATTTCAGCTGCTTCTGCTGATCTGATTCACGGCTGTGGTGGATTCGTCGAGGTGATCCCCTAGAACATCACTATCCTTCTGCTTACTAACAAACCTAAAGAAATTCAAAATGAAATAACTAAGTGTAATTAAATATTATTACGGATCTGAATTAATGGAATTTGTAGGCGAGTTCGTCTCTGGTAAAGTCAAGGAAGCCGAGTGCTACAAAATTGGATTATTCCGATATCACGGTACGATTTCATACCCAAATTATTTTCACTTGGATCAGTAATTTATTTCATTTATTAATTATGTTTATTTATCATTTCGTTAAATTTTATTTTTTGTATCAATGCAAGAGCAGGTAGAGCTTCGTACTATAGATGGATTGGTAAAAGAGAGAACACAGTGTGCTCCTAATGGTTACTACTTCATTCCAGTTTATGACAAGGTAATAATTCGTTAAATCATTCCAAATTATGCAGTTTTCAAATCATTGATGTTGTTTTTTTTCATCCCTTGCTTTTTTTTTAATTAAAAAAAACAGGGTTCATTTGTTATTAAAATCAATGGACCGGAAGGATGGTCGTGGGACCCAGAACAATTTCCGGTTGTTGTTGATGAAACCGGCTGCAACAGTAACGAAGATATTGATTTTCGATTCACAGGGTATGTTTAGAAGATTTATGTTATTGCTTATGTTTGGATAAGTGTTAGGATGATTTGCTGTCCTTATGTTTGTATGTTGTAGATTGAATCTAATTTATGTTTTTATGCTGTAGGTTCACGATATCTGGTAGAGTTGTGGGAGCAGTTGGTGGAGAGAGTTGTTCTGTGAAAAATGGGGGTCCTTCCAATGTTAATATTGAACTTCTGTCTCCTAACGATGATCTCGTTCATTCTATTGTAACTTCACCAACAGGGAGCTACTTGTTCAAAAATGTAATTCCAGGTATGAAGATTTGTTTTTTGTTTTATTCTTAAGGTTTTAGTTATTCTTATGCTTGTACTCCATACGACAACATATAGATATTTCGAATTCATGCAAGCATCATTAGAGCTTGCCGTCACTCGTGATGAAATGGGAATGGTCTTTAACCAAGTTCGTGTGCTGGAAATGAATTATCTGGATTAGCTATCTTACATTGCACTAAATGTGGTGGTATTATTCCCAGTTGTGATCCATGTTTCATCATATATTTACTATGATCTGGTTTCGAAACCATTAACTGAACTCTCTCTCACATTACTTATTTATCCAAAAATCTGTGTGAACAGCAATAGTGTCTTGCAACATCCTTTTCTTTTTCATAGTTTGGGGCAAAATGAGCTGAACCTGGGCAATCTCAACCCTCAAGGCCTTAGAATTAAGTCTCCTACCTCTGGATTCATGCTTAGTGGACGTCTCAAAAAATCTTTGTTTGTGTGCAGGGAAATACAAAGTTCGTGCTTCACATCCTGATTTGAAAGTTGAAGTTCAAGGTTCCACAGAGGTTAGATATGCTGTTTGCCTGCCTTTTTCAGCTGTTTATCTCTTTCATTCTGTGTCTCTTGATGACCTGCAATCGTTTTTATGCTTTCTACTGTTGCTTAATAGTGCACTTCTTGCAGGTGGAATTGGGGTTTGAAAATGGCATAGTGGATGACATTTTCTTTGTCCCTGGGTATGATCTTAATGGTTTTGTGGTTGCTCAGGTAAAATGCTTTGTGAAGAAAAAAGCTACTCTGGCTGCTGCTGCTGTGTGTGTGTATTATTTTAATTTGTATTGTCAACAACAACAACCAAGGATCAATCCAAAACCAGTTGGAGTCAGCTATATGGATCCTTTTGCACCTTTCCATGCGATCATTTACCACATCTTCCTCCATATCAAGAGATTTGATTCCTTTGATACCACTTTCATCCATGTTAACTTAGTCTCCCTCTTCCCTTCTCTCCCCTCTTAGTGACAACTTATCACTTCTCTGAACCAAGGATTAAGTTGCCCTGTTTTGACGTGGAAAAAATATCTAAGGCTCCCAATGTGTGCTACATGGACCTTTTGGTGGATGTGTTCATTATTTTAATTTTTATTGCCAATCTACTGAAAAATCTATAGAATCTAGATTTTACTATCTTTTTTCCTTTTAACTTGGGTCTCGAAACATATTTCTTTTAGTTTCCTTTTGTTTTTAACGGTCAGATTAGAAAGCAAGTCTGTCTTTTGATTTGAAGCCTAGAGTAGCTATTCCCCTTATGAGATAAGAAAAAATAATGTTTGAAGAATGTGTATTCTTATTAGACTATATATGGGGCCAGAGCTGGACATTATATTTCTAGTTTATGATCCCCACAATGCAACATCTATCCTCATTCGAACTTTGTGCGTCTTTACTATTTTTTATTTTTTATTTTTCATAAATACATGGCTTGTTTTCTCTTTGGTAGGGAAATCCAATTTTGGGAGTTCACATTTATCTATATTCAGATGATGTTAAAAAGTAGATTGTCCCCAAGGTTCTGGCGAGTCTGTGGGGCAAAGAAAGCCTCTCTGTCATGCTGTATCCGATGCTGATGGAATGTTCACATTTAAATCACTTCCTTGCGGTAATGCTCTTTGATACTTTTGTTCATCTATTCACTGCACTGGTGCATGCATACACATGCTCATATATTTCGTTGGCATCTTTCTTCATGCTTAGTACTTAGCTGATCTCCATGCTAAACAAATTGTTACTTGATGAAACTCAGCAACTTTACATCATTCAGTGTCTGTGTGCTATTTTACAATGAACATGGTCAAGAAAACCGAGCCAAGTTAACTACATTCTGGTAGATGTAACAGGATAAGTTTAAATAGTTGGATTGTACTGTAGATATTGTACTTTACTGCATACTTTCTGCTCTTTCTGCTTTTGCAGTTACAATTTTATGCACACTCTGCTTAAATTGTCTTGGTTACCATCTTGTGTCTATCAAGTCTGGAAATGCCTGTTTTAGGCATTTTGTGACACAAAAATTAATTAAAGGTGCTACTTTCATGCTTCTTGGAGACATTGTTGTGATCAATTCATTTGAATGTTTATAGGTCATTATGAGCTTGTTCCATCCTACAAGGGTGAGAATACAGTATTTGATGTTTCGCCTCCTCTCATGTCTGTTTCTGTTGAGCATCAGCACGTAACAGTTCCCCAAAAATTTCAGGTAGGACATATTGTAGTTCTCATGGTCAAATAGATAAACTTCTATTCCTTTGTTTTCTCCATTTTTCTGGTTTCCTTTTTACCTTTTTATCTTGAAAAGTATTGAGCACTGTATATGTTACATAAAGTGTTTTTCTATGGAATAGAAAACTAATAGTTGCAAGCACAATCAACTTGTGATGATTTCTCATTCAAGTGCTGTCTACACGGGTTTTAACTAGCTCCATTAACCGGCATCTCCAGCAATAAATTTATTCACAGTATATATTTGTATAATGTTTTACTTTTGTCAAACCATCATTCAGTTCCTATGGTGGATGATAAGTACAATTACCCCATTTGCTGACTGTTTCTGTGCAGATCTAATCTGTCTAAAATGCTGTAACCCCCCACATAAAAATGAAAAGTTAGTGATTGTGTAGTTGTCCTGATTTTGGCTGCATTGGCATCCTTAAGGTTAGAGCAACCTAGTGTCTTGGTGGCCAGGCTTGGTATACTTTCCTTGGTGCCAATCACTTGGTTACTAACCAGCTGACAGTTAAACAGACAAGTAAAGAGCTATCAATATGATGTTCTATCTGGCTAGCGAGATTCTTGTCTTTAGTGGCATTGGCATGCATTCTTCCTTTATAGGCAATCGCAGCTCTGCTTTCAAGCTTTCTGAGGCATCTCAGGAGTTTTGGCATTGCCATCCTTTTCATACCCTTACTTCTATCTGTTTTCAAACAGATCTATTCAGCTATATCATTCTTTGCTACTGTTGATTTGTGCAGGTCACAGGATTTTCTGTGGGGGGCCGAGTAGTTGATGGGAATGACATGGGAGTTGAGGGTGTCAAAATCATAGTTGATGGTCATGAAAGGTCTGCAACTGATAAGGAAGGCTATTACAAGCTTGACAAGGTATAATCTTGTGCATGATCTCAACTTTACTAGTTGCATTTGGCAATCTTGATCATGTCAGTTTTTTTCTTAACGAGTATTATTTTTGGAAAGCTGAGTTCATTCTATTTTCTTGTTTTGTTTCATGCCATTGAGTGCATTTCATCCTGTTATGACGTCAACTGTCTTGTTTTATTCCTTTTCTTTTCAGCTGATCAAATAATATCAGCTGGCAACTTACTTTGTTTTACCTGCCTTTGACGATCCTCTTGGAGATTTGTGAAGCAATTGACTAATGCGAGAAATTATACGTAGTCCAGGGCTTAAACTCACTGCGAGTAGCAAGCCCGGAACTCTATAATTTAGACGTGTGGTTGTTTTTTCCTAAGTCAACATGGGGTCCACTTAAGGGCATAACTGTATAATTTCTTGATGGATATGCTAAGTTGGATTTCAAATTGTGGTAGCATGGTTAGAGGTTAAGTTTGATTGGCTTCAAATCATAGGCTATAGTCACTTCACTAGTTTAGGAGCTGATAACATCTCTATTTATTAAAGCAAATCATTTACTGTACAGAAATCTATATATTTGTTCCCTTATACTCTTTCTTTTTTTTTTTTGTTGGGGGGGGGGGGGGTTGGTTGTTGTGATGATCAGGCTCTCAAAGAGTGAATTAATGATGTTTGTTCAGCATAAAAAAAGAGTTCAAGGTTGTCATTGTTGGATTAAGATCCTTCTATTTATTGATTGCTGGCTTCTGTTTTTGAAAAAAAAATTTGCATTGTTCTATTGCATGCTTTCAAAAACTTACTTCATGTTGTATTGATCTCCTTCATCAGTCTCATGAATCTGGTACCTCTTAATTGTTGACTATGTTAATTGTTGTTCCATTATAATTTTTATGCTTAGGCTCGGTGGGAAAACTTTTCATGGTCATACAAGGATGTGGTTTTTGACTTTGAGATTTGATAGTTTTGAGTCATGTACTTCATCTTTGCTAAATTGTTGTTTATTTTTAGGTTACGTCAAATCGCTATACGATAGAGGCCAAGAAGGAGCATTACAAGTTCAACAAGTTAAAGGAGTATATGGTAAAGCATAATAGAATTTTTCTTTTGAATCTTAAATACTCTCCTCCTCTTTTGTAATGAATAAAAGAGGTATGCTCTATAGGTTTAATTATTTGCTTAATTTTCATGACACTATTATGAGGCATCCAGTTGAATGTTTCTACTTCGTTGATTAGGTTTTGCCAAATATGGCTTCAGTTCCAGATATTACAGCAATCTCCTATGATGTCTGTGGTGTAGTTAGCGTGGTTGGTTCTGGATACAAGCCAAAGGTAATTTTTTTCAATTAAAATGTGATAGCACAGTAAAAGTAATTTTGCAATTATGTTTTCTTTCTTTATTTATTATAGACTTGCATATTTACTTTTTCAAATATTCTCATGTACGACTTCTAGGTAGCTTTGACCCATGGACCTGAGAATGTCAAACCTCAAGTCAGACAGACAGATGGAAATGGCAATTTCTGCTTTGAGGTATGCTTGCAGAAGTACAATTAGGAAACACCTTTGATTGCTGACAAATGATGTTTTTTCCTTGTATTGCTTAAGCTTGTGAAAAGAAAGTAAATTATTTACTGCTTGTACATTTTTAAAACACGACCATATATATCCTGCATGCTGCTGCAAAAACTTGAATTATTTTGAATGAAACTGAAGAAAATGCGAGAAACGAAGAGAACAAAAAAAATGGCATATTAATAATCATTGTGGATGGTGGGACCTACACAGGTTTTCTTTCTTTTGCTCTTTTCTTTCAATCATGTTAAACCAATGCCATCTTGCAAAACCACAAATATACACTGAGATACATTGTGTATATATGTGCATTATGAAAACAATAATGGACTATGCCTTGATGTTTAGTTTTCGATGTTTGTTTTAGTTAGTGCAAGGAAAGTAAGCCTTGTTAAATTCTTTAGAGTTGTGACTCAGTGACTTATACATGGCTAAGTTATATGAGCTATTATTTCAAAGGATGACTTGGGATCTGTTTTTTTGTTTTCTTAAGGTCTGGCCAATTGGTATAGGTACTATGTTTTAAATGTTTTAAAGAAGTTGGTGTTAACGTGTAGGTACTGGTAGATTTTTGCTACATTGCTTAGAGTTTTTGAACTTGATGATTCATTGAAATGTTTGTTTGACGTTGAGAGTATGATTTACATTGTATTTGAGAAACCTCGGATGCTTCTACACCTTACCATATTATTTTTGTACTCAGGAAGGAATACGACATAGAAATTTTTTTACCAGTCATTGTTTTACACTACAAACGTATAATTAAGGAAGAAAGCACTGTTAAGACAGCAGTGTTGCAGTCACTGTTCCAAGAACAGTGTTATGGGATAAAATTTTAGTATATCGATTATTAATGAATTCTCCTCAAATTTTTTTTCTTTTTTTTTTTGAGTTTTATAAAGAGCTTTTATGTTCATGAAAACCAATGATCTCTCCTTCTCTCTCCCTCAACATGTAGGCTATGTTTTCTTTTTTTGTGAAACTCGTGTGTGTTGAGCACGCATATCTCTTCTGGTCCCATGCCCTAACACGTTGCCTTTCAAGGTTAGTAACGTCCTACATTGCTATATAAGCAACTGGCAACAAGAATATCCTCTCACTGCTCTTAAGTTGATCTATTCAATTATCTGTGTTTGATCTATAGGAGATCTTTGCTACCACTGTGAACTTATTAATCTGCATTCTGGAATAATTTGAAATGCATGCTATGTAATTTTGAATTTTCGATAACTTTTATTTGTGAGCATTTTTGCAAAAATTACCCTTGAGATGATTTAAGAACACTTTGATGCAATTAGAATTTTATCTGTTGAAGTCACACCTTTCTTCTTTATCATCATTTGTCAGGTTCTGCCAGGCGAGTATCGCTTATCTGCTTTGGTTGCTACACCTGACAGTGCTCCTGGACTTTTGTTTTCACCACCTTATGTTGATGTTGTGGTCAAAAGTCCATTGCTGGATTTACAATTTACACAGGTAACCTGAAATGTTATATGCAAAAGAAATTGTGTTACTTAACACTGACTTGGTGCAACTTTATTGGGATTGTGTCCTTCCATTCTCAGAAGTTCAACTCCATAAGTTTTTAGTCTTTTCTCACCACTGCTTGACCCATGAAGTTTTTAGATTGGACACGGGAACTGTTTCAGTAGTATCATTAAATGACTTGAGATGGCATTCAAATTATTTCTATCAATTAGAGGAGAGATGATATTCTTGGTCTGTGTTCTTTTGTTCTTTTCTTTTATCAATGGAAATTGGCATGAATGGACGACCTGAGACTTCTAATTGTAATGGTTCATTCTTTCCTTGGTGAAAATACTTCTTACTGATATTTTTCTTCCTTGTCATGAAGGCCCTTGTCAAAGTCCTTGGTTCCGTTACTTGCAAGGAGAAGTGTGGCCCATCTGTTTCTGTCACTCTTGTGAGATTGGCTGGTACACGTAAAGAAGAGAGAAAGTCTGTTAGTTTGACAAATGAGAGTGATGAATTTCTCTTTCACGATGTCCTACCTGGAAAATATAGGCTTGAGGTACAGTTTGTGTTCACTGTCTATGAAAGTTATGTATCTTAAAGATATAGTTTGTTTTGACCTGAATCACTAAACCACTTGTACCCCTACCTTATTCTATTATTTTTCCAGTGGTTTGTGAATGCTGCTGATTGTAAGAGTTTTTTGTGTTTTTAATGAATGTGATTTCTTAGGTCAAACATGTTTCCTCGAAAGCTGTTTCCAATGAAGATAATTGGTGCTGGATGCAGAGCTTCATTGATGTGGATGTTGGTGCTGAGGATGTTATGGGAATTGCTTTTGTTCAAAAAGGTTATTGGATAAATGTTATCTCAACCCATGATGCGGATGCTTCCATGACTGAGCCAGATGGTTCGCTCATTAATTTGAAAATCAAGGTATTTCATCCTTAAAATGTGTGCTTGAAATTCGCCTGATCCTACAGATGCCAAATGCAACTTTAGTTATATTCATGTTCTTTTATGTTGTGAAATGCAGAAGGGTTCACAGCATACATGCGTGGAATCTCCTGGAGTACATGAGCTGCACTTTGTTAACTCCTGTATTTTCTTTGGGAGCTCGCCAATAAAAATTGATACCTCGAACCCACTGGTAAACTATCATGCAGTGCCAGCTTTTTTTTTCTCCTTTTACTGTTTCTGTCTTGAACTTGCCACTTAAAAAAATCTCCTTTTTAGTTACTACATATTTCTTTTTTATTTGTAGCCTATCTATCTGAAAGGAGAGAAGTATCTCCTTAAAGGACAAATCAGTATCGAGTTAAGCTTAGCTGATGATGGATATGAATTACCTAACCATATCATTGTAGACATCCTAAATAGTGAGGGCAATCTTTTTGATGGTACCACTGCCAGCCTTTTATCACATGGAATTGATCAAACTGGATCTGCATTGTATGAGTACTCTGTGTGGGCAAATCTTGGAGAGAAACTCACCTTTGTTCCTCGGGACCCAAGGTATACTGATTATTGATTTTTGTTTTTCTTCTCTTCAGTGTTAGAATCATGATATTCTCCATGTTGGAAGTTGAACTGCAATGTTTCAACTATAAATTTTGGTAGATGTTGGTACAGCTAGTGTGGATGGTCAGATTTTGCAACTGGTATTCACAATATTTTACTTTTGTATTTTGAAAATCAGATTTGCTGTGTGAATTGGTTACTACGATCTATAACACTATTATAAAATGTGTATCATGCTGCAAATGGTTCCTTTTTTACTCGTAAATATTTGTGGAATACATTGGTGGGAGAAAAGTTAGAGAGCAATGCGCCACTCTATTTAAGGGTAGAAGAGTTGCTTTTTTTTTTTTTTATCTCTCTTTCCCTCAGCGTCTATATGCATTACCACTCTTTCACAATTATCTCCTTATTGAATTTCTTTCATGTTAAATTGAAGGGACTGTAGCTCATTGGTCGCGTTTTTTTTTTTGTTGCTCTTTTCTTATACTGATACGTTGTCTCTGTTAATTTTTTCTTTATTCATTGTGTGCAATTTCATTTTTCTGGTTTCACATCTAAATTTCTAGGAATTCTGTTTACATCATCAATTTTACACCTTGGCATAACCATTCCATCAAAGGAGTTAACTTGAGCTTTGATGTCTTGCAGGAACAATGGAGAGAAGAAGATCTTGTTTTACCCCAGAGAACAAAATGTAAGTATCAATACTGTGTTTCACCTTAAGAATTCTTCCTGGGATGCACTGTCAAGCTTAGTGCTTTAAATATTTTCCTCTTCGTGTTAGGTTATGGTGGCAAATGATGGTTGCCAGTCTTCAATTCCCCGATCGTCTGGCCGAATGGGGCTGTATGTAGAAGGATCAGTTTCTCCCCCACTTTCTGGCGTTCATATAAAGATTATTGTTTCGGAAGACAGCAAAATTACTCCACTCAAGAAAGATGAAATAGCACTTCAAACTGCCACTGGAATGGATGGTTTTTTTATTGCGGGGCCTCTATATGATGATATAACTTACAGAGTTGAGGCTTCAAAGGTATTTTCTGAGATAATGCATCGAACATGAGCTTTCGCTCTCTGTTTTCTTTTCTTTGAGATGGGATTTATTTTAGCTTTGATATCTCAACTTATATTTCATAATTTATCTGACTTGATATCTCTCTCAATTCTTGCAGCCTGGCTACCATCTTAAACGCATAGGACCTTATTCCTTTTCTTGCCAGAAGCTAGGTCAAATTTTTGTACACATGTACTCCAAAGATGATGCTAATGAACCCATTCCTTCCGTGCTACTATCATTGAGCGGTGATGATGGTTATAGGAACAACTCAATATCTGGGACTGGTGGAACGTTCCTCTTTGATAACTTATTTCCTGGCACTTTCTATCTGCGCCCTCTACTTAAGGTAAACTACCAGAATCTCTTATATTACCTGTAACTTAACTCTACTAGGCTGTAACCTTAAATTGTTGAGGTTGATTTTATGAATCCTCTTCTTTTCTTCAGGATTCATGTTCATAAGATGCAATTGTTGTTTTAAACTACTCAGTCGTCAATACATTGCACACTCCTTTACCCAGTCCTAAAATCAGCTCAAGTTTCTTAATTATGTTGCATTCTGCTGATCACGCCCTCCTCGCCGAAAAAAACTCTCCTTCGCAAGTCAACACTCACCATGTCTGTACACAGATGTTTAATTGGTTTTAATTGCACTTTGAAGTGAGGCTAAAAGTTCTTCAAATGAGTGCAAGATTTGCTCATCCCAAAAGATTCTGAAACTCTTATTTACTGTATGGACCATTGAAGAAAATAATATTTGGGAAAATAATTTCTGTATATTAATTACACAACTATATATATATATATATACACATAGAGAGTCCTAAGATAGGAAAGAATTCCTAAAGAATAGGAAAATAGAATAGGATCCCTACAGAGTAGGAAAGAATATACAAAATATTTCCTATCTAATTATATCCTGATATTTCCTACACTCCCCCTTAAGCTGGTGAATATGGGTCTTCCATTCCCAGCTTGCATATATTTTCCTGAAATGCATGATTGTTTAATCCTTATGTTAAAACATCCGCCAACTGAAGATCCGTAGGAACATATGGAGTACAAATTAATCCACTGTCGAGCTTTTCCTTAAAAAAATGTCTGTCCACCTCTACGTGTTTAGTTCAGTCATGCTGCACTGGATTATGCGCTATACTGATGGCAGATTTATTATCACAGTAGAGCTTCATTGGACCACACCATTCAACTTTCATATCTTCCAAGATGATTTTCACCCACAATAGTTCACATATACCTGCTGCCATTGCTCTAAATTCAGCCTCTGCACTTGATCGTGCAACCACATCCTGTTTTTTACTCCTCCAAGATATCAAGTTTCCTCCAACAAAAGTACAGTATCCTGTAGTCGATCTTCTGTCAACTGGAGAACCTGCAAAGTCAGCATCTGTGTAAATTGCTAGATCAATATTCTGTTTTTTCTTGAATAGAATTCCTTTGCTTGGGTGAGCTTTCAAATAACGAAGAACTCTGTAAACAGCTTGTAGATGAATTTCTCTTGGATCATGCATAAACTGACTAATAACACTCACAGAATAAGCTATGTCCGGTCTAGTATGAGCAAGATAGATGAGTTTTCCTACGAGACGTTGATAACTTTCCTTCGCCACCTTCTTATCACCTAAAGCTTCTCCTAATCGATGATTTTGTTCGATTGGAGTTGCTGCAGGTTTGCTTGCTGTCATCCCGGTTTCCATGAGTAAATCAGTAACATATTTTTGCTGTGAGATGAATATTCCTTGCTTAGACCGAGCCACCTCTATGCCAAGGAAATATTTCAATCTCCCAAGGTCTTTAATTTCAAACTCTTGGTTCAAACACTGCTTCAACACTCCTTTCTCTGTTTCATCGTTCCCGGTTACAATGATATCATCAACGTAGACAATCAGAATTGTGACTCCCCTGAAGCAGTGTGTTTGATAAATAAAGTGTGGTCTCCTTGGCTTTGTTTATATCCATTCGCAAGCATCACATGAGTCAACCGACCAAACCAAGCACGGGGCGATTGTTTGAGGCCATACAATGCCTTCTTGAGTTTACAAACTTGATTCCCATCACTGCCACCGAAACCAGGTGGAATGCTCATGTAAATATCTTCCTCCAAGTTACCATGTAAAAATGCATTCTTCACATCATATTGCTGTAACTCCCAATCAAAGTGGACCGCCAATGACAACAAAATTCGCACTGTATTCATCTTAGCTATTGGAGCAAACGTCTCTTGATAATCGACCCCATATGTTTGAGTATAACCCTTGGCAACCAGTCCGGCCTTGTATCGTTCTAAAGACCCATCCGCCTTAAGTTTCACCGTAAACACCCATTTACAGCCGACTGTTTTCTTCCCTTGAGGCAGCAGCACCAATTCCCAAGTACCATTCTTTTCTAGTGCTTCCATCTCTACAGTCATAGCAAGTCTCCATTCTTCTTTAGATAAAGCTTCGGACAAAGAGTTAGGAATAGCAATTGAATTTAATGTGGACAGATAGCTACGGTGATTTTGAGAAAAATTAATGAAAGACACAAAATTGGCCGGTGGGTATAAAGGTGTTTTTGTGCAGTTGCGGGTTCCTTTCCTTAAGGCTATAGGTTTGTCAAGATCAGTCTCAGGTTGTGTAGAATCGGATGAGGGAGAAAAAATGTTAGAAATTGTTATCTCGGGTTCGAACTCGGTACAAGTGATTGATCTTGCTGCAGAGCAGGAATGGCGTCCTTTTTCCTTGTATACACCTTATCAAACCGAACTGATCAATCAACCTACCACTGTCCTCTGTTTCTTCTGCGGGCAAGAGAATGGTGGATTGGTAAACATGATCATCAAGAGGTTGTTCATGAGGAGCTACATCTCTTGATGAAGAAATATCAAGAGACAGATCAATATCGGAATCGACAATTGTAGGAAGCTCCTCCGGAATGTAAGGTGTAGAAAAATATGGTTTATTTTCAACAAAAGTGACATCGACTCGAGACATAGAGCTTCCGAGTAGGTGGATGATAACGCTTGTATCCTTTTTGAGTGACTCGAATACCCTAAAAAAATGCATTTAAGGGCTCTAGGATCTAACTTTCCCCAAGTGGTATTATGGACATGAACAAAGGATGTACACCCAAAAATACAAGGAGTAAGGCTGAAGGAAGATCGAACATCGGGGAAGAACCGAGATAAAATTTCCAGTGGACTTTTGAAATCTAAGACTTTAGAGAGCATCCTATTTATGACATAAGCCGACGTTAAAATTGCCTCCCCCCAAAACGTTTTAGGAACATTCTATTGGAACAAAAATGCCCTAGTACATTCAAGAGGATGACGGTTTTTACGTTCAGCGACTCCGTTTTGTTGTGGAGTGATGACACAAGATGACTCGTGAATAATACCCTCTTTTTGAAAATAAGAAGACAAAGTCCGATTAAAGTAGTCACGAGCATTATCCGACCGGATACGTTTGACTCGGTACCCCAAATTGATTTTTTATCATAGAGATAAAGGTGGGAACAATATGACCGACATCGGACTTTTGTTTAAGAAGATAAACCCGTGAAGTTCTCGTGCAATCATCAATAAAAGTAACAAACCATTTTGATCCAAGTAATGTTTTGGATGGACGAAGGGCCCCGAATGTCACTATGAATTAAAGAAAAAGGAAAACTTGATTTTTTATTACTTATTGGAAACGATACACGTGTGTGTTTGGCAAACTCACAAATGTCACACTCGAAAAACTTTAACATCGACTCCCTTAAACAAGTCTCGGGAACATTATTTTTAAGGTAAAAAACGACAAATGATCTAGACGCCTATGATGCAACCAAATGGTATCTTTATTTGATCGTGAAAAACATGAGACTGGAGAAGATAAATTAATCGGGCTTTGTTGACTTGGTGTACTGAAGTAGTAAAGGGCATTGTGTTCTTTAGCAAGTCCAATCTTCTTCCCCGACTCCCGATCCCGAAATTCACAACCACCAACAAAAAAGGTAATATGACAATTCAAGTCTTGGATAAGTTTATGAACAGAAATAAGATTGGTGGATAATCGAGGAACATGAAGAACATTTTTTAGCATCATGTTTTGACCAATTTGGATATCTCCAATACCGGCTACCGTGGCTGTTGTACCATCGGCTACAGTTATTTTTCGACTACTCGGGACAAGGTGTATAGGTTTTGAAAAAACTGGATTTGTGAGTCATATGGTCCGTAGCACTCGAGTCTAAAATCCATGCATTCCGAAACTCATTATCCAAAACATTTAATCCAAAGGAGAAGGGAGTTTTACCCGAGAGCGTTAATGAACACAAACCTTGAGATTGGTTAGGAGGTGTAGCAGGTTTTTCCATGGATCCTAGCAAGCTCTTGAGTTTTTCCAGATCTTCCATACTGAGTCCTTATAATCCCTTCGGTGCGTTTTGTGTTGTCACATAGGCTTGCCTCTGTGACTGTCTTTGCTGCCCACCTCTTTGACCCCATTCTCGGTTGTGAGTTGACGGCTTGCCATATAATTTCCAGCACTCCTTCTTGGTATGCCAGGGTTTTTGGACAGAATTTACTTCCTCTAAGATGGAAGTTTCGGTTGTAGACATAGTGAAGGGACAAAAGTTTTAAAAAACTATGAAAAATTACAGCAATTAAGGCTGTGGAAAAAACTGAAGAAAATTGACAGCAATGAAGGCTGTACAGTGGCAGATTTCAGCAAAGAAACCCTAAGGCTCTGATACCATGAAGAAAATAATATTTGGGAAAATAATTTCTGTATATTAATTACACAACTACAGATATATATATATATATATACACACACACACACACAGAGTCCTAAGATAGGAAAGAATTCCTAAAAAATAGGAAAATAGAATAGGATCCCTACAGAGTAGGAAAGAATATACAAAATATTTCCTATCTAATTATATTCCGATATTTCCTACAATGAATGTGCATCATTTATTTTTCAACTCTCCATCTTTGGATCAACATCATTGCATGAGCTTTCTTTTTCAAATCACTGTTTTGAAGTATGATCAGGTGATGTTAGTTGCTTTTCGCTTTGAACCTGCCAAGAAGGAATTACAGAACACCTAAACTGTTCAGATTATTTGCCCATCATCTCATCCAATGATTTATTGTCTTTGCAGGAGTATGCTTTCTCGCCTTCGGCCCAAGTAATAGAACTTGGTTCTGGGGAGTCCAGAGAAGTCACGTTCCAGGCCACCCGTGTTGCTTACAGGTCTTATATAGTCTTCATTCTCCTGCTAGAGATTTCTGTTATTTCAGTAAACCAAGTAGATAATGCCATGTTCAATGTATAACATTTTTATTCGATTTTTCTGGAACAAAACTACATTACTGAATCATAAGATCTCATTAAAAAGGAATTTTGAATCCTCAGTCTTTGCCAATGATCAAATTTAATATATTAGATTGCTACTTTAAAACGTCCTGACAAAGATGCTGCATGAATTCTTTGACATTGCTACATTTTCATTTTATCCCAATCTAACTGATATTAAGAAAATCTTCCTAATTTTTATATTTGGATATCTTTCTTTCCGAAAGACTAATATGGGTTTTGCTCTTCGCAGTGCTACAGGTACGGTCAAGCTATTGTCTGGCCAGCCAAAAGAAGGTGTTTCGGTTGAAGCCCGGTCTGTGTCAAAGGGTTACTATGAGGAGGCAGTAACCGATTCATCTGGAAGTTATAGGCTTAGAGGGCTTTTACCCGAGACAACCTATGTAATTAAAGTAATAAACAAGGATGGCTTGGGTACTACTAGAATTGAACGTGCATCGCCAGAATCTGTTGCTGTTAAGGTTATGCTCGTTGGTATTCCTTTTTAAATTTTTTTGTGAAAAAAGAACGAAAAAACTAAGTTTATTCTTGGCTTAAAACCTACCCTTACTGCCATTTTAGCTACATCTTACTAGGCTCCATTTTTGACACCCATGTATAATCACTTTTGCTGCCAATATGTGCAGTCTGATATGTGTATCCATTGATTTTGTAGGTTGGACCAGGGGATATAAGGGATTTGGATTTTGTGGTCTTTGAACAGCCAGAAATGACCATTGTAAGTTGCCATGTGGAAGGGCAGAGAAAGGAAGAATTACGTTCACAGCTTTTGGTTGAGATAAAGTCAGCAAGTGACTCATCCAAGGTTGAGTCCGTCTTTGAGCTGCCAGTGTCCAACTTCTTTCAAGTGAAGAATTTACCTAAGGCAAAACACCTTCTGCAGCTTCGAACAAGCCTGCAATCAAGAACCCACAAATTTGAGTCAGAGATTATTGAGGTTGACCTTGAGAGGACAGCCCAAATTCATGTGGGTCCACTGAGATACAGTTTTGTGGAGGATCACCAGAAACAGGTTTGTTTTACGTTCATTCAAGGAGACATAGTTTTCTTAAACCATTCTTACAACAGTTTGGAACAGTAGTGATCCAGAGTTAGTCACTTTTTTAGGAGAAATTGATAGCCTGGTCTGTATAGACTAAAGCAGTTTGATTAATTGGGACAGTGCAGTGGGTGCCAAAAGATTTAGTTGATTTGGTCTACATAGACCGAGTCAATGTAACAATTTTCCAATTTTGGTCCTTAATTGTCTCAATTATCGTTGGCAGATTTACACACTTCTATTGGAGGCAATCTCTTCTGAGATCTACATACGAATGTTAGCTAGGAAATAGTCTAATGGGTAAATTAGGTTCAATATCATTAAATGATGACATATCTCTCTCTCTAATTTCTTATGTGTCCTCTTCCTCTTCCATGGCTGCAGGAATTAACTCCGGCACCAGTGTTCCCTCTCATAGTCGGGGTTTCAGTAATTGCCCTTTTCATTAGTATGCCAAGGTAACCAAAATATTTTTTTTCCAAACAGAACACGTTTACATGCTTTAGGACTTCAAAAAATCTAATGTATTTGGCTGACACCTGACCATTGTTTTCCCCCTTTCTCAATGTCCTTAAAGATTAAAGGATCTATATCAATCCACTGTGGGAATACCGACACCAGGATTTATGACAACTGCTAAGAGGGAACCCAGAAAGCCAGCTGTGAGAAAAAAGGCATACTGATGATCCCTTTTGTGCCTATGGGAAGCCCAATGGTAGGGTTGAAAGTTTGTCATATTAATTTGCTGTTTCAAGTTTTGGCTGAACACAGAGCTAACTTGTGTGAGAACGCTGGCACTTGTACGGACTGGAATTTCTTTCTTTTAGAATCCCCAACGCAAGTTCACTGATTTGTAGAAGCAAAAAATAATTAAAAAAAAATGCAGATTTAGTTACATTATTAGTTATTTTTACACCGTTTCTTTTTACTCTTTACCATTTTTGGTTATACTGTTGTATTTTGAATTAGTTTTCAGGAAATAGAACAATAATTCTAGTAAATACCATCAATTTTGTTTTTTTAATTTACGTAGTAAATCATATTACATGCATATATAGTGTGAAGTGTGAAGGCCAATGATTCAAATACTGTCGGGTAAGAGCTAATTCTTTTCTTTCATTTTTGCTGGTTAAGGACCAACTGAAAAGGGTTCTGCAAATATGAGTGATGAAGTTGAAGCCTGTGCATGTATGACAGGTTCCTGCCCGGTGTCATTTCTTGGTAAAGAAGCTGACCGCTGTTTGTGTTTTTCAAGAGACTTGTAGCTTATTTCCACAAAAGCTGAACGTGAAGTCCGATGCTTTCACGCAGGTGTGGATAACAGTGGTTTTAAAAGTATAGGCACGTTCAAGTGCTAAGGTCTGTTAGAACCTAGGTATAAGATGCAAAGCTAATGAGTGTACTTGAGCGAATGAGTTATTTTTATCATATAATATATAATTATTAATGTTAAATATATTGTAAGAAAAAAATGAGAATAAAAAATCACAATAATAAAAATTTATAGGGCCTCTTGTAATCAACTGATATTGTGTAGTTGCATAAAGATTGTAAATCTAGATTTCAAACCACCCAGATTGGTTAATATATATGTTCCATTTTATAGTTTGTTTAATAAAACAGTTGTATGGAAGTCGCGACAATAACAATTAAATAAATAAATAAATAGCAAAATTAATATTCATGTGAGAAATAAATGACAAATTCATTTGGACATAAAAATAAGAGCATATTTTAATTAGGTTCAAGATGCACGGGTATTAAGATACATCTAAGCCAATGAGCCTTACCTCTTAACTTCAAAAACACTTCGATTTTAGAGCTGTGTATCTTGAGACGCTCTTATTAATGCTCTTCGTGTCTCAAAGAGATTGTTTCTCTTTTTATTTATATCTATCTAAAATATTTATTTGGTTAAAATTTTAAATAATGTACATTTTTTAAAATATCTCTAATCGATAAAGAAAATCAATTCTTTCTTTTATTCGTGTTCTTTACTAATAAAAAATTAATTTTCTTTATACTCTCTTCTTATACATACAAATACTTTTGACATAAAAATTAAAAAAAAAACCTTTTGTTACATGAAAAATATTCATTCTTGAAGGGTTTTTATGCATTCCAAAATTTTTAAATTAAAATATTTTCATTAGTATTTTTTTATATAATTTTTTTAAACTTAATTATTAGGATAGATTTTCTTCATAAATTAATACTGGTTTCATATAATCTAGAATTAAATTTGATAACTAATAATTTTAACAAAAAAAGTATTTTACGAAAATATAAACAAAAAATACTGATATGACATAAAAATTAATATTTTTTTTAAAACTATGTGAAAATTAAAAACACGATCTTTTTTTAGAAAGAGAGAGTACTTGCAACAATGTTTAAGTTTGGGTTCATTTGTTGAGTCTTGTAAAGATGTTAGAAAATAATATGGGATAAGAGAATAAGTTGTTGTTTGGAATTGTTCTTCTTGTAGCTATTTTAATTTTAGTTTAAAAGCAATGTTTAGTTAATATTTATTTTACTTTAAAATCAAAATAGGTGTCACTTAAAAAAAAAAAAAAAACTGCTTTATTTTTGAAACAAAGTAGAGCATCTTCTGCTTTTAACCAAACGCATATCTATTTATTGTGGACTCTATTTGTTTATTTTAATTAAAATGACAACTTTCTTCTTTACTTTTATATTTTTTACTACTACACTTATCAAAGATGCCGGTGTTTTGTGTAAATTAATTTCATTTTTTTTTCATATCATTGATTTTATTAAAATGACATGCCTATGTAGATTATCATTCAATGTAATTCTTCTTCTTCTTTTTTAGTTTTTTGAAATTAACCACTACTCCTAACACGTGTCCATGCTAGTATAATCAAATTAAATTTATTTTCTTAAAAGTTTTTTGAGATTAACAATTACTCCTAACAAGGACAAATGTCACGTAAATTTAACAAGTTAGGAACTATTTGATATGAATAAAATATTTTTAGTACAGTATAGTTTTTATTGGTCTTTTTTATATTTCAAAAGCACAACGGTATAATCTAACAAACTATTATTAAGCTATTTCAAATATTTATAAGCATAATAAGTAATCAGTCACCAAATATTGCTTTTATCTCACACATAGCACCAAACATACTCTAAAAAAGAGGGCTCACTATGCTATTTAATAAATAAATAAAACCAAAATCTGAATTATATTCGAATTAACTGAAATCATATTCTCAATCTATTTTAATCTCTCACATGTCTATAAAAAGTAAAAAAAATTTAACTCTATAAAATAGGTTTCTTTTAGAGAAGCTAATTAACTTTTAAAGAATCCCGTAAAGTTGGGTTCAAACAGCCATTGTGTTAGGGATTTCTTTCCTCTTCTTTTACCCTTTTTATACGAAAAAGAGATGATTGAATTTGCTGTATGGGGGCAAGCATATTGCTAATTAAACGAAGATACTAGTACAACGTGAATGTTTTTTGGTACTTAAGGAATAAATAATAATACTTATTATGTTCCATAAATATATAATAAAAAAATAATTAAAAAAATCCAGCCAATAACTAATAATATTTACTTTATAAAAGAAAAATTTTTTTAAAACAATTAAAAAATAATAAATTTGAGTTTAAGTGTAAATATTTTTATCAATTTTGATGAATTTGAATGTTATTTTTTTTTAGTCTGTATCTCTCATTAAAATAAACACATAAATAAATATTAATAACTCATTTTAAAATATTTTAAAAATTCTCCTACTAAAGTCATTATTATTATGTCATTTTCATCGGCACAACAAATGGAATCTAGATTAAATAGGCTTGACCTGAACCTTATTACATACCTGCGTAATACATTCGTTTTTCTATTCCCATGACGTCATCAGCCCCAGATGGTGAATAGTGTTCTGTACTTTTGGTTTGTTTCCGGTCGGGGGGGACGAAAGAGGAGAATCCAAATGGCTTGTGTTATGCTTTGTCCACCCTCCTTCAACTTCAGTTTCGACCCCCCAATGCCTTTGCTTTTATCTAATAATCGTAGCATCCTACGGAAGGCAGGGCTATTTTCGTAAATGGGAATCAGTCAATGCTCAATCTAAGAAAAGTTGTGACGTACAGTACAACAGCTTTCTTGGTTTGGGATGCTAATTCATTTTGTTGGGTTTAATCGCAAAAAATTACCCTCATGCTTTTTGGCTTATTACTTTTTAAGATATTTACTATTAATTTAGTTTATTTGTATTCTAAATTATTATTATTTTTTTAAATATTATTCTTTTTCTATTATGTTTAATAGTTAAAATATTGAGTATTGATTTGAATGCTTAAACGACCTGATTTAAACATTTTAATTTTTTTAATAGTAAAAATTACTTCAAAATTATTGAAACTATGATAATTTAAGTTTTTTTACTAAATTATTATTTTTAAATTTTTTTTATTATTTTTATATAGTCAAAGTATTGATTGTTAATTTGAATGGTTAAATAACATTGTTTAAGCATTCTATTTTTTTTTGTTTTTACGAATGAAAATAAATTTGATTAACACGGATGATATGGTGTTCTAATATGTAGATATTATTAAATCAATTGAATTAATTAAATTGAATAAAACAAGAAGAATGTATTATTAAAATACTATGGAGATTACTTTTAGAACTTATGCTTTTTTGTAACAATATTTCATGTTTGATTTACGTCTCTTATGCTTTCTTATAACTAGATTTCAGGTCCAATTCACACCCCCTCCCCTTTCTTAGATGAATTAGGCTAGAAATATTGTTGCAAGAAAGTATAAATTCTAAAAGTAATCCCAACAATAATTTAATAATGCAACATTCTTTGCTTAATTTAATTAAGTCAATTGATTTAATAGTATTTTAGGACGATATATTGATACATATTAAGAGGACACGTTGTCCATATTAACCATTTTTATATTTTTTAAAATTAATTTTCTTTAAAAAAAGGTCAATGCTTTGATCATAAAAAAATAATAAAAAAAGGATGATGTTTACTAAAAAAAATAATTTAATGTCTAAATAATCCAAAATGATAGAAAAAGGCTTCAAACTATCATAACTTTAATAGCTTGGAGATAATTTTTGTGTTTAAAAAAACTGAAATGCTTAAATAACATTGTTTAAGCATTTCAAAATTAACAATTAATGTTTTGATGGTCAAATATATTGAAATAAAAATAACATTTTTCTAACAAAATAATTTAAAATTTAAATAATCCAAATTAATAGTAAAAATTTTAAATTGGTATAATCCAATAACTTGAGGGTAATTTTGGTCCTTAAACCCATTTATTTGGCAGAAAGACACAAATAAATTCACCTGCGCTCTCTAATTTCGTTTTACGCATGGCCTTATCACCAATGATTCAATCTCCACCATTCAATCTACTACTTCCTTTTTGGACCACAAGTTTAGCGGCAGAGATTTAACGTCAGATCTCCAGCAATTGGGTAACATCCCACCCAATTCCTAAAACTAATTTACTTGACCTAGGTGAATGAAAGAGAGAACCATAAAAAATCACAACCAAAAACAAAACAAAATATAATTTACTATGCTTACTACTACTGTCTGTTTACTCCGAAGAGAGAGAGAAGAGTTAAGCGAAGATTCCAATGTCGGAACTAAAAGCCTCTCAACTTTCAACTCTAACGCAGCTGAATAGTAGTAGCGTAGCTGTAGTAGGTCAGTCATAATCGCCAAATTCTCTCTCTCTCCCTCTTATCTCTAAAAGCTACGCGAAAAAAAAAACACTTCACTTTCTCTCTCTAGAGTCTTCTCCACAACCACAACCATGGCCGCCGCTTCACATCCTCCGTCTCCTCCTCTTCCCATTTAGCCCCACCTTCCCGCACCCCCCACCAGCCCGCCTCTCCCTTTCCTACCATTACATACCTCGTTCTACTAGCTAGGGGATATCTATATCTAATTGAATAGAATGGCGTCAACGCCACCACACTGTTCAATCACAGGAACAACTAAGCCTTATCAGAAACATCCCTATCCACACAACCATTTAAAAAACCACCGTCAAACCCACCACCAAAACCCCCACCAAAGATGGACTGCCAATCAAAGAGTCTCTCTTACGAAACCTCCTCTCCCTCCATCTTCCCGCAATGCACCAAAACCCGCCGCCGCCACCACCACCACTCACAACCCACAAATCCACCCTACCTTTCCTTCTCTACAGTCCCCAAAATCAGAACTTGCATCAGATTTCTCCGGTCGCCGCTCCACCCGCTTCGTTTCCAAGCTCCATTTCGGGCGGCCCAGAACCACCATGGGTACTCGCCACACCTCAGTCGCCCAAGAAGCTCTCCAGAACGTAATAGAGTATGGAAAAGACGAGGGGGCCCTTGAAAATGTGTTGCTTAATTTCGAGTCTCGTCTTTCTGGGTCGGATGATTATATTTTCTTGCTTCGGGAGCTTGGTAATCGAGGAGACTGTAAAAAAGCCATTTGTTGCTTTGAATTTGCACTGAAAAGGGAGAGGAAAAGGAACGAACAAGGTAAATTGGCGAGTGCCATGATTAGTACTCTTGGTAGGTTAGGTAAAGTAGAGACTGCTAAGAGTGTTTTTGAGGCTGCTCTTATTGAAGGTTATGGAAATACTGTTTATGCTTTCTCTGCTATAATTAGTGCATATGGTAGAAGTGGTTATTGTAATGAGGCTATTAAGGTCTTTGATTCGATGAAAGATTATGGCTTGAAGCCCAATTTGGTTACTTATAATGCTGTTATTGATGCCTGTGGGAAAGGGGGTGTGGAGTTTAAGCTAGTAGTGGAGATTTTTGATGAGATGTTGAGAAATGGAGTGCAGCCAGATCGAATTACGTTTAATTCCCTTCTTGCTGTGTGTAGTAGAGGAGGGTTGTGGGAGGCAGCGAGGAATTTGTCTAGTGAGATGGTGAATAGAGGGATTGATCAAGATATTTTTACTTATAATACGCTATTGGATGCAGTTTGTAAAGGCGGGCAAATGGACATGGCTTGTGAGATCATGTCTGAGATGCCCGCCAAGAATATATTGCCCAATGTTGTTACTTATAGTACCATGATTGATGGGTATGCTAAGGCTGGTAGATTAGATGATGCGCTTAATTTGTTTAATGAAATGAAGTTTCTGGGTATAAGTTTGGATAGAGTTTCTTATAATACCTTGCTTTCTATTTATGCTAAGCTTGGCAGGTTTGAGGAAGCTTTGAATGTTTGTAGGGAGATGGAAAATTCTGGGATTAGGAAAGATGTTGTGACTTATAATGCGCTTTTGGGTGGGTATGGAAAACAATACAAGTATGATGAGATTAGAAGAGTGTTTGAAGAGATGAAAGCTGGGCGTGTATCACCTAATTTATTAACTTACTCAACATTGATTGATGTGTATTCGAAAGGAGGTTTGTATAGGGAAGCAATGGATGTTTTTAGGGAGTTTAAGAAGGCTGGATTGAAGGCTGATGTTGTTCTTTATAGTGCATTTATTGATGCCTTGTGCAAGAATGGGTTGGTGGAATCAGCTGTGTCTTTGCTTGATGAGATGACTAAGGAGGGAATTAGACCTAATGTGGTCACTTACAATTCTATTATAGATGCATTTGGGCGGCCAGCAACCACAGAATCTATGGTTGATGATACTGGTCAGACCAGTCAGTTGCAAATTGAATCTCTATCTTCAGGTGTTGTTGAGGAAGCCACTAAAAATCCGGTGGCTGATCGGGAGGACAGCCGGATCATAAAGATTTTTGGGCGGCTTGCTGCGGAAAAGGCAGGTCAAGCAAAGAACAGTGGTGGACAGGAAATGATGTGCATTTTGGCAGTCTTTCACAAGATGCACGAGCTGGAAATCAAGCCAAATGTGGTCACATTTTCAGCCATTTTGAATGCTTGCAGGTAATTTCTATTTTGCTGAGCATCATGATTGTTCATTACTGCTTCAAGAGCTAGTCAGCACATGCACAGTCAATGGCAAGCGAAAGCTAGATATACATGTTACTCAAATGCAATGATCTGTGCAATTTATTTTGCTCTTTGTTCATTTATACCTCAGCAATCGTTCATCTTCAGGAAAAATAGATCAAGCAGATGAGACTATACCAGTGTTTCTTTTCAGTAAAGATTAGCAGAGTTACAAGTTTTTGGTTTCTGGAGTTTTGAGATAAAATTCCTTGTCTTTCTAATGCACGAGTGCCCACATTAGTTCACTTTATTGTTAGATTTTGGAGAGAGAATACATTTGTTGCCTGTCAACTTTTGTCCGTAGTTGATGGTAACTTGTTATATATAATTAAGGATCTTTAGCTTCAAACAAATATGGTTTAAATTCATTTGTATATCTTCTTGATGCAGTCGTTGTAATTCCTTTGAAGATGCTTCGATGTTATTGGAGGAGCTCCGGTTATTTGATAACCAGGTTTATGGTGTGGCCCATGGACTTCTTATGGGTCATAGAGAAAATGTTTGGGATGAAGCAAAATCCCTCTTTGATGAAGTAAAGTTGATGGACCCTTCAACAGCATCTGCTTTTTATAATGCCTTGACTGACATGTTATGGCACTTCGGCCAGGTCAGTTTGAGCCATAGGTATTCCTGATTAAGAGACTGTATTTGCTCAATTGAGCTGTGCCCAGACCTACAATGGTTTTCTATGGTTACAAATTTGTCAAACTGGATTAGCTCTGAATGCGTAACACTAATTCTTTTTTCAGAAAAAGGGTGCACAGCTGGTTGTGCTTGAAGGGAAACGTCGACAAGTGTGGGAGAATGTTTGGTCTGAGTCTTGCTTAGATTTGCATCTAATGTCTTCTGGGGCTGCTCGGGCAATGGTTCATGCATGGTTGATGAACATACGTTCTATTGTGTTTGAGGGTCATGAATTGCCCAAATTATTGAGGTATTCCATTGTATATTGCCGTATATGCTAACTAATACCTTCTCTTTTATTTAACCATTTGAAGAGAAAGTTCTGAACCCCTTGTTATTTCAGCATTTTGACTGGATGGGGCAAACACAGCAAAGTAGTTGGTGACAGTTCACTAAGGCGAGCTGTTGAGGCCCTTCTCATGGGCATGGGTGCACCCTTTAGGTTAGCCAAATGCAACTTAGGTCGATTTATATCAACAGGATCTGTTGTTGCTGCCTGGTTAAGAGAATCTGGAACACTAAAAGTGCTTGTACTTCATGATGACAGAATGCATCAAGAAAATTTGAGGTTTGGTCAAATCTCTAATTTGCAAATGCTTCATTTTTAGCTAATTGTATCATGTTGCACCTTTTTTGTTCCCCACCTCCCTGTAAGTTGCTGGAATAGAGATTAAATGCTTCATTTGTAGCTAATTGTATCATGTTGCACCTTTTTTGTCCCCCCTCCCTGTGCTCACCTATGCGCATGTTGCGTGGAACATTAGAAATTTCGCAAATCACACAAGAGAAATGTATTCATATCACTGTTTTAAGTTCATAAAATGATTTTATGAACGAGGCTTGATGGTTATCGTGTTTGATTTTTGCCACAGCTCTGTTGACTATGAGAGAATGCACATTTCGTCTTAGACAAGATTTTCAGAAATAAATCACTAACTCATGGGACAGTGACTAATTTTATTGTGTGCATACTGAGTAAATTTTAGTAACAATTTCAGTCAATACGGCCCTGATGTATTGCTCCCCTCATTTGCTTCTTGGTACAGAATCCAAGAAGTCTCTCCAAGGGCCAACCAAGGTAGAACAGTTGATAACGAGGCCTTTTTTTTTTTTCTTTTTTCGGTAATTTAAGCATGATTTCAAACTAGTAAGGAGAAGAAAACTAGAATGTGTGGCCATAGTGTGTTGACATGAGTAATTTGCTAAAATGGAAGTCGTTCGGGCAAGGAAAATAAACGAATGGAGCCATAAGTTTACCTGGACTTACCTGCTGCCAAACTGCTACGTGACAATTGGTAAGCTGAAAGAGATGAAAGAAGTTATGAAACTAATTACATGGCTATCTACACCTGAAACTAATTTCATGGTTTTTGCTTCCCTTGCTATATTGGCGATGGATGAATTTTGGACATTTTAAGCAGTTTTTGGCGCGTGAATCTGGACCTGAAATCTTTGACATGTTGCAACATTTTGTTGTGTCCCAATTTGGTTCGGGGCTCTTATACTAAATGAATCAACGGGAGAATGACCTGTTCACCACCGAAAGATAAAAAAAATCGCTCACCTTTACCATGGTTGCAAATGAAATAATCCCTCATAAATCATGTACTGAATTTGTTTGCAATTTTTTAATGTTGGAGGAGTCGGGTGCCTACACCACGCTACGCAGCATAATCGCAACTACCTGTCGCAGCGGATCAACTAACCTGCAGTCTCCACAGTCTTCATTCAATCTTTTTCTCTTCACTTCAAATTTGATCAGCCAACAGTGCAACCCACCCCATAATTCTCATCATTTTAAAAACCAACAAAACCCGTCCATTTCCCATGTGGCGATATAGCCTACCTAAACCTCGAAAAAAAAAAAAAATCCCTCTCTTCTTCGGTCCTTCTCATACCAGTACTTCACGCTCTATACTATACCAGTACCAGTACTTTCTTTGTGTTCGGTAATTTCTCACTCAGTTTCTTCTTTATATTTGGCCATCGAATTCGTGCACTGCTCAGTATCTGAATCATATGGTCGTGTTACCTGCACTGCATAAGATTGGTGTCATTTCCCCATTATCCTATTAAGTTAATGCAGAGTCGCATAATTTTGCTTCTTTTTTTTTAATACGTTCATCTGTGAATTTCTTTTCGTTTAGTTGCATCGGAGGAATGAAAGTGATCATACTCGGGAACAAATAATCGATTGAAAACGATATCCAACACCATATTCCACTGAAACTTTACATATTTTGCTCTGTGTCTTCATAGGCTTAAGGTAGAGTTAGCTTAACATTACTTGCTGGTTTCTTACCGGTTAAAAGGCTTGACTCTTTTTGTCTGTAGATTCCAATTTCTTTGGTCCTCCTATGAACCTGTCTGGAGGACATGGATGTCACCGTAGATGCACAGGGATTTTTTTGGGTACAAAGGAGTCAAAACCAGAACTACCGTCTGACATGGGCAATGCCCGTGGAGTCACCAAGCAAACTAGAAATAATAGCCTATGAACTTGTCTTTCACATATATATATATGTGTGCGCGCGCGCGCGCTCGCCCCCCTCTAGGGATGTAAATTTGATAGTGATGATTGCAAATAGAAATTGGAAAAAAAAATGCGAGTAGAAAAACATATCAAATAAGTCAATTTGTTTTTATACAGTAGTCTGAGTTTTTAATGTATTTCTATATTTATAATTACATTTACTATGTTTTTTAATATTGTTTTAATCTTCAATCTATTTTTTCAATCATGAAATTTTTTTTATATCAAAATGCTCTTGATTGAAATAAAAAAAATAAATAAAATTACATGACTTGCTTATTTCATTTTTAAAATCTTTAGATTTTTTTATTTTTTGCATTTTAGTCGGGGAAAGTTCATGACAAAAAATTTCTCCAAGGTAAAAAAAAATAGATTGGAAATTAAATATTATTCAAAGATATAATAAATAAAACTATAAACATATAAATAAATTGGCAATAGGCCTAGTAAAAAGTGGGTATTTATTTTATCGACTCAATAACTACTCATTAAAAATTATTTATATTTTCAATGAGTATTGAAGTAGATAAAGATAAAAAAAATACATATCTACTAATATCATTTCGAGATATGGGTACATATTTTTTATTCTATTAATACCCATTAATTTATTTTAATTTTTATTTAACATGTAAAGATCTAATTGCATAAATTTTAAAAATTAAAGACTAAAATATTTTTTTTCAAAAAATTCGAGGATCAAAAAAATTATAAAGAAATGACTAAAATATAAAACATTAATTTTTAAGGACCAAACAAAATTTCCAATCAAATCATAAGGAATAAAATGAATATTTTTGATAAATTATTTTTTGTAGCTATTAAAGGGTACCTAAATAGTCAGGTAAAATAATGTGAATTGGATATGAATGGATAAAAATTTATATGATAATTATTTAATAAATATAATAATTGTTTTTTATAAATAAGGTGAAAGATTGAATTAATCGGCCGGATATTCGCCTATCTATGCATAGACATCTATATCCCGTTTGAAATTATATCCGGGATGTTTAACCATGCTCTTTGAAGAATAACTGCATTTCTTTAACGAAAAAACGGAACTGATGAAAGTACCTGAGGACAATCAAAACAAATTAGGCTTTATTTCTTAGAAAAAAAGAAATAAATATACAGATGCAGTAAAACTCAGGAGACCATAGGCAACTTGGCAAGCCACCCATCTTCGTCGATGTACGAAATGTTCAAAAATTTAGCAAGCTGGGGATCACCGGGCTTCTCTAACCAAGGCACGCGCTTGGAAGTGTCTGCTCCTGGACCTTTATTGTTGATCTCTGCATACGTAAAATTTGCTCTGCAATATATATGCATACAGCAAAACGAAAAACATAACTAAATAGCAATGGCGTTACGCATCCACTGGGAGATGTATATAAAACACATTTGTTAATGACAATAATTTCACGAAGAGAAGAGAAGTTGGAGACTGATGTTAAAAGTCTTACTCATGCTTAGGATAGCGCCAAGCATCCCAACCTACTGGATCTATCACATCTGATAGAAATGAGTTGTGGATAACTACCGTAGAATAAGGTCCCCATGCTCTTCCAAGGTAAGCTTTACCACTGCCAGTGATTGCACATGTTTGAAACACAAATCCACTAGGTTCCTCTGGCGTCAACTTTTTCTGTGTTGTCATGCAGCCATGTAATCCTTGCTCGTATCTTCCCATACTAATGGATATTTCACATCTCTGCATATATTAAATTACACCCAGTGAAAATTATATTTTAATTTTGTAATTATAATTATTGAGCAAGCTATAACTACAAGCTACATAAATGTTTATTATATTCGGGCAAGCAATGAAGAGGCGGGAGTAGCTCAGGCCCTCAGAAAATTTCTGAGTCTCGAATTTATTTGTTTGTGTTCCAGTATTTAAGTTGTTTTTAATTTTTAATTAATAAAAAAATCATAAATATATATATTCGGTTAGAATTAATTAATTTTTGACTTAAATCAAACTGTTGTTACAAGTTTAGAATTCATAAGTGTAAAGTTAAAAAATTTAAGAAATGGAATAGATAATTTTGGGCAAAAATGCCCTACAATAATCAAAAGAAATTAAACTTAAATTTGGAAAGCCTAAAAAATAACAATTTAACTTTAAAAAATTTGAAACAACATGAAAAATCCTAGAGAAAACTCAGAAAATATAAAAACATAAAAAAGCTTGAAAAACTAAAACACCTAGAAACAAATAATACTCACTTGTAAAATTTATAAAAAGAAAAATCTTGTCTCGTAAATAGAAATATATTCATGGCAACAAAATAAGTTTATAAGACACTAGTTATTAATGTTTTTTTTTTTTTTTTTTATGGGTTGTTTCTTCTTTTTGGTTTTTGGATATTCCGATTTTTATGTTAGTAGGCTTTTCAATTTTTTTTCTATTTCTTGGGGTTTTCAAGTTTTATAAATTTTTGGTCTAAAGGCTATTTTTATCCAAACAGTATAAAAGTATATACAAGAGAAAATATAAAATATAACAAGAAATATGAGAGTATATATATATACACGAGAATACGCGCAACATATAAAGATAAATGGATAAATTAATCTTTCTTTCTTTCTTTTTTTATTAATTTCACTTACAAATATCAAATTTAATCAGTTATAAAATAGTTGTTTATGTAATTATATATTCTCATAAATATTGTATTTTTAGAGACTGTTTCAATTTTTCATCTTTTTATCCAAAATTATTATTTTATTTTTAGTTTAAATTTTTATATTTTTAAAATCTATCTTCTTTTGATATATATTTAACTTTATGATGATTTTAAGAAGTCATTTGGTTTTTTTTTTTTTTTAACCTTTGTTCTTGTTCTAGGTTATTTATTCCAGACTACACATTCATTCATTATTTTTTATTATTTTGCGTTCAGACTAATCAAAGAACTTTTTTAGCGTCTGAGTTTGGTGTAGATTTTATGCTCTAGCTCGCCCCTACAGGGCCTAGTAATGAACTGAACTTACCTCATAGATAGATTTCCCCCTCCATAAATAAAATCCAATGCACCTTCGATGTAGCAACCATTGAAGTAATGGCGGCCTTTTACGTCATAAAGGGTATCCTGTATTCCGAGAAAAGCGCAATTATAGAAGGCAGATTTATCTCCTTGTATTACAGCAGCCGTAGCTCTCTTCCATACGATTTTCTCTGGTTCAAGTGGTAGGTTATAGGAATTCTGTTCATACATGAACACAAGGGAAATCACACATTGGACGTACCTTTTACATTAAATTTTTCTTGAAACTGTCAAAATTAATTGAAAAAATTACTGGCCAGAGCATATATAAAAGGATTTCTTTTTTGTGTACCTTGATCGTGATGCCTTTTGCTACGATGTTATCAGCAAGAGAAATGAAGGTAGCGCTAGTGTCCTTGTCTTGATCGTCGCCAAATACAATGCTTGTTAACTTGCTGCCAGCTCCTTCAAGAAAAATGCACGGTTTGTTCAAAGGGATAACAACCTTTTCCCTGCATGCAACCCAGATGATAAGAGAGAATTCTCAGGCTTAAAAACACTTAGTATTAATAATTGGAGTATAACATATATATGATATAAACTGATACGTACTCGTAGTTGCCAGGAGAAATTTGAACGCGTATCCATCGAGTGTTAGCAGCAGGAATTGAATCGATGGCACTTTGTACTGAAGTGAAATTTCCATGGCCCGACTTATCAACAGTAATGGTGTATGCAACTCTGTGCTTGTCGGATTCATTTAATTGACAATCTAAAGATTTACAGCGATTGGAACCAAGTACCAATAGTAACATGATGAACAGATATGATGGAAGACCCTGCATTTTTTTTGTTACAAGAAATTAATGTCGTTTAATTTGTTATAAATCCTATGTCGCGATTTGTTCAGAGATCAACTTCATTTACATATTATGATCCAGTGAATAGATTAAATATTGAACTATAATCCCTGGTGATTCACCTGCAGAAGGAATCAATCTGCGGCTTGCCACAAGAGGAGGATTTGCCATTTTTATCTCTGATGTACATTTGTAGGGATTAATCTGGTTCCTTTTATGGTTTTTAAGCTCTGATACATGATCAAGGTTTGAAAAATATATTTTTAGATTTATACTTATAAAGTTAGATTATTGAAATTAAATTCTATCAAAAAGACTTAAATTTTATAATAGATAATCCTTTCACAACTTTATATATTATTTATATTTGATTTGATTATTTAATTTGAGGTGTATTTTTTAACAGTTAATAAAATTTTTGCTTATACGGCAGGTAAGTGATTTTACAAAAAAAAAATTATAAAGTTTTTGAAAATTATCAAGCAATTATATGGAATTTTTGCCATTTTTAACATGTGCTTACATCACGTATGTTGGTTTCAAATTAATGTTCTAGATTTATCAGAATATGACCGTGAGATAAGGAATATAATAAAATCTTTTTTATTTTTTTATATATACAGAGGAGGGATCTAAATACACATTTAGTTTTAGGTTATTGCTAAATTACTAGCAATTTTGTTATTCTCACTACCTAAATTTCTTAAAATGACTAATATATATGTCTTTTTCATTAATGTTTATTATATTCCACCTTCAACTGTCCTCTTCATTAATAATCGCATGAAGAGACTACAATAGTCATTATAAAAAATAGTGGGAATAACACATTTTCATAATGAATTTAGCATCATCCTTAGTTTTACATAAAATTTCAACCGTTGATTTATGAGTAATGTAATCATGTGGTTTATATATATATATATATATATATATAAAGCCAACCATTTAAAATTTATGAAATCCATATTTGACCATTTACAGATGTCAGGACATATTGTAATTTGGATGGAAAAAGAATCCTTGTGTTGTTTGTATGGAAATTTTGTTTGTAAATCATTTTCCTTGATTTATTTCAATGTAATGGTCTAAATATATGTAATATTTCTTTCCTTATAATTACCAAATTTCCTCCCCCTTTGTAATGGTACATCTATATAGATAGTCACTTCCTTTTAATTAAATCGTACGTCACTTTTTTCTATTGTAGTTTATTTTTCTTGATCTTTCAAGAACACTATTTGATTGTTATAGATCAAGGTTTTGATGCTAATGAACTTAATTGGATAACTTTTCTTTTATGTTTATGGCTAATAACTTGATGTCCAAGGTTTTGTATCAATACACTTGGTGACGGATCAATGATCATATTTATATGTACCGCCTTTTTATTATTTCAACTCTTTAAATGGATTTCTATGCATATTCTCACTATATTGGATTATTTGTACCAAAAAGAACTATGATGGATTCATTTGAATGTTTACAATTAAAGTTGAAATAAGGAATAATTTGTTTAAACGAAATCATGAAGAAAAAGAAAGAGATAGATCAGCAATTAAGGGAAAGAAAAATCATTAAAAAGGGAGGAGATCAAGGTGGATTTGATTTTCTGAAGGAAGGAAAAGTCGACAATTATTTAACAGAGAAAGATTTATTTATTTTTTTAATCATGAAAGTCCCTGTTTTATTTTATTTTGATAACATAGTCGGTGTGATTTAAAACTTAAAAATTACGTTGTCTACAAAATTCTTATATTCCTAACAACTTCCATCAGGTTGCATCTTCTAATAAATTTATTATAGAAGAGTGAAAAAAAGAAATAATATAAGAAGACGGTTTTTTATAAGAATTAGGTTTAATGATATTCTTTGATTATTAGAATTGTGTCACATCGAGGTTTTTACCATTTTTCTAATCAATTTTATCCTTAAACTATTATATACTAGAAAAATATTATCTTTTCATTTGATTTGACCATTATCGTTGAGGGCTTGAGGCATGTATTATCAATTTGATCAAAATATTTGACACAAATTTCAACTATTGATAATTAAAGTTGATTATCATGCTTGTAATCTTTATTTGGGTCTTGTGAAAATTACAATACAGTATTAATAAAATTGCATTTTCTTAAAAAAAATAAAATAAGATTATAATCACGTTATATATTGAATAATAAATTACTAATTATAAATTATCTCGTGGTTTAGTTAAAAAGTCTTAGGTTGCATTTGATATGGGTAAAAAAATTGGAAGAACAACAGTTAGTGAAAGTTAAAAAGTCTTAGGATGCATTTGACATGGGTAAAAGATTTGAAAGAAAAATATTAATTAAAGGGTAAAGAGTTAAGAGTGTAAAAAAGTATTCAAGATATTTAATAAGAGTTTGAAAAAAAAAATGTAGGCAACAGTGGGTACTCCGATACAAGCAAAATCAAATTCTAAATTAAAAATAATTATAAAAAATAAATAATATAAGTTTTTGGTCCAAATGAGACTGGAAGAGGAAAAGAAAAGATATTGTTCAATAAGAAGAGGTGGAGGGCCACAGAAACCAAACAACGCTCAGCGTACTGGAAACCAAATATTTATCCCTTCGAAAATTTATTTACCCCTCCTCTACTAGGTTAACATTTAGCTCTCTCTTTTTTTAGTCTAAAACTTAATTTTCTATCTTTAATCCATAACTATACTTTAAAAAAAATTTAATTTTTTTGATTAATTATTATTAATACAATACTAATGTATAAATTCCTCCTCACCTTCAATTAAGGATAAATAACCAATATTGAAGAAATTATTGAAAAAAAATATTAAAACTTCAAAAATAGGTTAATCCCGTTTTCCCAATATTTTTCTATTTATTGTCCACATAGAACACTAGATAATATAAAATAAGATTTACAAATCACTCTTAATCTATATGTTACTTTATTTGCACTTTACCTACGAAAACTCTAATAAAAACAATAATATTAAATTCAAAAATAATAAAACTACATCAAAGTTATCAAATTATTAAATCGGATCCTTATTTTCTATAGATTTTTTTTATTATTATTTTATTATACTACTTTTTACTCTAGACAAAATGATCAACATAATTTATATTATTTCTCTTGATAAATTTTGTTAATTAAAAAAATATTAAAATAAAGCGTCATGATTTTTTATTCATACCTTTACTGTTAGGTTCTATTGACAGTAATATGATTTAAAATAACTCTTTTAAATAAAAAGATTAATTATATTGCCATGTCACTATACTAAAAATTAGTGGGATCGTGGGTGAAACTTTTGTTCACATATAGTATTTTACATAATCATACAATATAAATAGATTTTATTTGGGTAAACGACTCTTTTAGACAAAATAAATTAGAAAGTTTACAGTAATGATATTAATTAATCATGATAGAAAAATACACAATAATTTCATAATATTAAAACTTAAATATTAGCATCAAAATTCTAATGGTTTATAAAATTTATTTCTCAAATTGTTTCCAAGCTTTTTCAACTATAGATATTTACTAAATATATATAATCAAAATCTTTTTTTTAAATAATATTAGATTATTCATTCTCATATTTGTATCTTAACATGTAATTATGTTTTTTATGAATAAGAGATCCCAATATATCATACTTATATTTTGATAATTTGATTATTCTTAATTTCATCATAAAATTTAAGCTAGCTTCAATTTTAAAATAAAATGAAAAAAAATGATGTTTTAATTTTTTTTAAATCTATCCATATAGATAAAAAAAACAATAAAAGTATTTTTTTCTTTTTTCCTTCTATTTTTACAAGAAAAACGTATACTTTTTTAATAACAACATATTATATGAAAAATATATTTTTAATTTTTAACTATGCTGGTAAATAAATTAATACAAAATTTTTTATGATTATTATTTTTAAGAGATCTAATTATAAATAATCATACATATACATACAGAATACACACCCGCGTGTATATATTTCAATGCAATTAAAATTTATTTATTTATATATATATATATATTAAATAAAAAAATTAAATTAATTGTAAACTATCAAGATAAAGACAAGCATTTCAATTTAATAAATTCTAAAAATATTATTTATAAATAATTCAAAATAATCTATCAAAGATTATAAACATACTATAAAATAGTTAATAATATACTTGAGCACCTGTCAAAAACCTACCATCGGTAAATAAGTAAAGAACAGCAAAGCCATCGATCTTCATCCCAGGTGAATCTGGACCCTAGAGGACAAAGCCCTCTCTTTTAAAAGTCTCCTTTATAATCTTAGCAGGCCAGGTTTTTATTTTGGGCCTTTTCTGAACCATAACGAAGCTGGGTCGATATCGAATATCTGAGTAGTCCCTACGGCAAAAAAATTCGAGTTCCCATATGCTCGGTAATGAATTGGCCAGTTTCTCTGGATCAATTAATATTTGTTGCTTTAAAAATGATTTAATATGTTATAAGTTTTCAATGAAAAATTATTAAGTACGGGAGAAGTTGCATTTTATTTTTTTTAATAAAAAAAATGAAACTCTTAAATAATTTTTATGATAAATCATTAGTTTATACAGTAGAATAATAATATATTTAATAATTCCTCTCGTAATAAAACACCTAACTTACTTGCTGTATTTACATCATAAAAAAAACATCTTTTTGAGACCGACCAACATCCAATCTACGATAACAGTTCAAGGTTAAAAAAAGCATATAAAATAGGAGAAAAGAAAAAATGGTTGACTTGTGTCCCGAAGCAAAATCCAAAACTAGTGCGGCCATTTGATTTAAAAAATACTAACTTTCTTGTAATTAATTTTAATGTTAAGAATCACAATTCTATCATTGGATTGGCCTTTGGTCGACCGATTTGACGACCGACCCATCGTAACTTGGGTGGCTAGGCAATTGATTTGGCGACGCCAAACTAAGA